CCTCCAAACTCAACGGTCTCGTCGAGAAGTTGCAGGCCGAAGTTGCTGAGTTCCAGAAAGCAAAAGAGCAAATGCTGAACGAACGAGAACAAGAATCTAAGGATCACAACTCCACAATTGAGAATTTGAAAGCTCAAAACTCAGGACTGCAGCAAAGCCTTCAAGATGCCCAAACAGCTTCTGACGCTGAGAGTGAGAAGTTGAAGGAGACTCTTCAGTCTGTTCAGGAGGAAGTTGCCCTTCTCAAATCCCGTGAACAGGAAGCCTCGAGTGCCAAAGAAGCAGAGCTGAAGAGCTTAGCAGACACAATTGATGACTTGCAGTCGAAGATCCAGTCTCTAACGCGCGAAGCCAAAGATAGCAAAACCACTCACGAAACCGAAGTCAAGTCTATGGAAGGTGTAATTTCTGGGTTGCAAACTCAAGTTACGACTCTTGAGCAGGCGAAGGATGAGTCTACTAATACTTTGAACGACGAGGTCACTGCGCTTCGCCGTACAATGTCCGAGCTCGAAGAGCAACTCCAGAAATCAAGATCCGACAGTGAAGGTTTGCTCAAGACTAAGGAGGATGAGCTTTCCGATCTACGCACCAATCTGGATCAAGCCCGTGCAACTCTCGAGCAAGCGAGGAACGACTCTGCAAGTGTTTTGAGTGAGGAAACTGCAGCGCTCAAGCAGACAATAACCAGCCTTGAAGAACAGCTCCAGGACATGCGCTCTGATAGCGAAGGTGCTCTCAAGGTCAAAGATGAGGAGCTCTCTGTGCTACTGGCCAATCTTGAGCAAGCTCAGACTGCTCTTGAGCAGGCAAAAGCGATGCTTCCAATGCGCTGAACGAGCAAGAGGACAAATTCAAGCAGAGCATTGCTGATCTCGAAGAGCAAATTGACAAATTACATGCTGAATATACAGCTACCCTCAAGAATAAGGAAGACGAGCTCGTGGCCTCACAGGACGGTCTTGAGAAAGCCGAGGTCAAGTTAGCGGATAGCCAGAAATCATTTGCTGACGAAATTGCTGCTCTCGAGCAGGGGATATCTGGATTGGAGGAGCAAATCCAAAAGGCGCGCTCTGAGCATCAAGATGTTCTCCAAGCCAAGGAAAGCGAGCTTTCTGAGCTCCGTAGTAATCTTGCGGTAGCCGAGTCGAAGGCAGCCGATACTGAGAAGTCTTTAGCCGATGCACGTCACAGTCTAGATGATGCTCGGGAGTTGGACTCAATTCAGAACCATGAGGGCGAAATGAAAGATCTTCAGATCGTGGTCAGCAGGTTCCAGACTCAAGTCGCAGCTCTCGAGCAAGCGAAGGAGGACCTGAACAAAGCCCTCGAAGAGAAGACCATTGCTCTGGAGCAAGCGCACAACACTCGCAACGATGAAAGCAAGACAGAGGTCCCCTCGACCGCCATTGATGAACTACAAGAACAAGTCACGACTTTGACATCAGAGAAGAACGCCTTGACCAAGACTTTTGAGGAAAAGACCTCGGCTCTCGAGCAAACTATCTCAAGCCTTGAGGACCAGATGCAACAAGCTCACATTGGTCACGAGAGTGCTCTGAACGATAAGAACCAGCAAATCTTGGATTTGAATGAGCTTTTGGAGAAGGCTCAGGTGTCAGCGTCTGACAAAATGAAGTCTGACGATGATCATGGCGCTGAACTGGAGAGCCTGCAAGCCTCGATCGAGCAGTTGCAGACACAGGTTGCGACTCTTGAGTCTGCGAAGAGCGAGTTGACCAAGCAACTTGAAGCTAAGATCACCGCTCACGAGCAAACTGTCTTAGATCTCGAGAGCCAGATTCAACAAGCCCATGCAAATCATGCAGCGTCCTTGGAAACCAAGGATCTCGCAATCTCGGAAGCTCAAGAAGCTCTCGAGTGGGCACGTGGCAAAGCATCTGATACCGAGAAGATCATCGAATCGAAAGACAACGAGCTCTCGATCCTGCGCGAGACCCTTGACAAGGTCCAGACTGAGGCTTCTACTACCCGCAAGTCCCTTCATGAATCTCGCGCCTCGTTTGACGGTCTGCAAAAGGACAAGTCCAGCACAGAAGAATTGCTAGCCCAAATTCAGCGAGAAAGAATGGAAAGCGAGAACGCTCTCCAAAGGAGAAACGCAGAGATCAATGACCTGTGGGCCTCTCTCGAGCAGTCTCAGGCAGGTTCCAGAGAAGCATTGGCTGAATTGCAATCCTTACGTGAGAACAATACAGCTATATCTGATCTCGAGCGCCAGATGAAGCAGCTGCGAAGCGAAAACGAGAAGGCAATTCGAAGCCGAGACTCGGAGATTCGCAAGCTTCGTGAAGCTGTTGAGAGAGGCGAGTTGGCTTCATCAAACCTTCAGCAAGCACGAACAGCCATGAGCGACATGGAAACACAATTCGAAGAACAATTGGCTCAGCTGGAACACCAAGTCAGAAAGAAGCAGAATGAGTTTGACGACCTGCGCGAATCATATGAGAGGTCGCAGGCAGACTATGCTGAGATGGGCGATCTGCTTGGTACGACGAACGAGCGCTTGCAGAAGTCTTATGTTGAAGCCGAGAAGCTACAAGAACAACTCAACAGTAAGAACGACGAGGTGTTCAGTCTGAACGTGTCCCTGGAGAGTGCGCAAAGAAAGACAGCCGAGAAGCAGGCAGAGCTTACAGAGTTCCGCTCATCTCGGGAAGACGAAGTTGTCGCTCTGAGAAACCAGCTTGATCAGCAACTCAAGGCGGTAGAACAAGCACAAGCCGAAGCTGAAGACCTTAAAGCCTCATTGGCGGAATCTCGAGTCGAGATCAGTGCATTGCAGAGTGCTCAGAGTGCCGGCGCCGAGTTGGAACAACACATTCAATACGTCCATGCAGAGTACGAGGAATCACTTCGGGCCAAGAATGCTGAGATTGAGCAGCACCGCGCAGCTTTCGAGAAAGCACAGCAAGAGGCTGCTGACTTTGCACGCACGCTGGCAGACTCAACAGCCGAGCTTGAGGAACTGCACAAGTCGATTGATGTGTTGACTACAGATGGTGGTAACAAAGATATTGATCATGCGGCTGCAATCGCAAGGGTTGAGAAGGACTTGAAAGACAAGCACATCGAAGAGCTTCGCAGCATACAAGAAGCCCATACATGGGAGCTTGCTGGTCTTCAAAGAGAGCCCGATACTCGATCCCCCGACTCGTTCCGCAAAGCTCTTATCCAAGAGAAGCGCGAGCTAGAAGTCGCTTTTGCCGAAACCGAGCGCTTGTACGTTGAACAAGTTGAGTCATTGAAGTTGGGAATGCACGCCCAGATTTCCGAGCTAAGGGATGAGCTGGCAACAACCACGGACGAGAAGTTCGAGTTGATGCAGAAACTCGACGAAGCGCAGACTCAGCGCGAAGGCACGCCTGCTACTCCAACCTCTCCCCTCAGTGCGGAGAAGAAACTTGCATCTCTACGATCCGACTATGATGCCCGTGTTTTGGAGTTTGAGACCAGACATCGTGAACTTGTGCGCCAACAAGAAGAAAGTCTGGAGACTCATCGTGCCGAGACTGAGGTGAAACTCAGCCAAGCAGAAGAGCGACGCCGCGAACTCATCCGTGAGCATGAGGAGAATCTCTTCAACCAGGCTGCTGAATTCGAAAAGAGCAAGAACTTCTCGGTCGATGCGTTGAATGCTAGACACTACACTGAGCTGAAGAAGCGAGACGATGCTATCGATTCTCTGCGGGAAGAACTCAACTCATTGAAGAAACAGGTTCAAAGGCTGCGAGCTGCTGATTCTGCAGCGCAAAGTCCTGCAATCAATGTCGAGACTTCAGAGCCAGAGGATACACAGGATCGTGATGTACAGGCAGGAGCCACGTCAGGTGCTTTGGAGGAAGGAACTAGGTTCGAAGAGTTCGTCACACCAATGGAAACACAAGAAGAGCAAGAGCCACAATTCGAAGACGCAGACACGACACAAACATCTGCACCTGCCGATTCCGACGCAGACTCAGACAACTCGTACGACATGGACTTCGCACACCTGGACTCTCAAATCGACGCCTCAGAACCCGACCCAGCAGCACCAAAACTAACCGTCGACACCACCGCAAAGACAACCACCACCTCCTCCAACGACGAAACCTCGACAACTCCTCTCGACCAACAACCCCCAGCGCAACAACCACCTACTCAAACTCGGCACTGACCTCTCAACTCGCCCACCTCGAAGCAGCCCTCGAACTCAGCCGCAAAGAAACCTTCCACGAGCGCGCAAACCTCCAATCCCAACTCTCGTCCCTGCGCGCCGAGCTCTCAGCCACAAAAGCAGAAAAGACCTCTCTACAATCCAAACTCGCGAATTTCAACGCTGCGATGGACGAGAGGGCTGATGCGGTGTTTGAGATTGGAGGGTTGGATGCAGAGGATGATGTGTTTTATACCGACGATAAAGATGGGCAGCAGCAAGAGGGCAAGAAGAAGAAAACTATCGAGGGTACGTTGGCGAGTTTGCGCTTACAGGCTAAACAGCTCGAGGAGTTGAATGAGGAGTTTTGAGCCAGAGTATGCGGTGGAGTGGCATTTTACCGTTGAAGCAAGTGTAAATGTAATATAGAGAAGGGAATTTGTAATACTTGTTTGTATGTGTAGGCGTTGGTTAGGGGTTTGAATGTTTTGGGAAAGACACCCACCAATCAATTTACTTCTTGTTTTTATGATTTTATGCACTCTTTCCTCCACAATTGCCTTTTATTGCTCCTTCCTCACCATTGTTTTACGAGTGTTGAGTCACAAGAGTCAATAGCGAGTGTCTCATGAACTGAAGTCATTACATATTATACATTATCGATACTACTTGTCGTGTTCTCTGGCTGGGACATTATTGACATGGTGACCCATGACCCAAAGAAAGCAAATAAAAACACCCTCAACGCATCGCTGGAATCGCAGCAAAGAAATCAAGACGAAACCGTTATGAACCGTCATTTTCACATCCTGATGACCATATCAGGAACGCCTGGTCTACCTACACGGTCGACACCAACATGACGCTTGCCATCACGACCAAAGTACTTTCCATATCCATAGCGAGGCAGCTCCGAGCTTGCCAGGAGCGTTGTAGCATCAGCTCTGGCGCGTCCAAAACCGCGCAGAGAATCGGCGATTGAGACCTTGCTGCCGGTGACAGCCCCCTCGGTATCAGGGTTTTGATGGTAGCTGTTGCGCTCGCCAACAGGAGCGGAGAGCAGACGCGTGACCAGGGCAGTCTTAGTTGCAGGTGCTTGGAAGGCAGCATCATTGAGAAGACGGCTTTGGTGCAGAAGAGAGATTGTGTCCGCAAGGGTGATGCCACGGTTGGGCAGTGCGCGCTTGTGGCCTGCAAACACGAGAATGTATGCGAGGGCGTAGATGACGAGGAAGACCGTCAGAGGGTAGAAAGCAGTCATGTGTGCGCTCACTCGAACACGTTGCTGGTCAATGTAGAATTGACTCCAGAAGACACCACCAGCCAGGATTGGGAGAAGCGAGGCAATGATGGTTACGAAGCTGAGCAATGCGACGCGAATGTGGCCGTTGACTGCTGCTTTCAGTGTGACGACGAAAGGTGCATCAGCGGCGTAGGACAGGAGAAGGCTCTTCTCTGCAAGACAACCGCCTGGCGAGGACATTGACGCGTACGGCTGCAGGCGGCGGAAAGCAAGATCGATGGGCTGCCAAACTAGCAGACACAGCAGTCCAAGTAGAGATGGCACGAACGAGTACAGGAAGTTAGATGAGGAGAAGCCAAATCTGTTGACGGCTGCTGAAAGGTCCGGCAAGAATCCAGCATTGACTGCCGTGGCTGGGAGGTAGGATACTACCAGGAATGCGAGAAGGAGGATAAGCGCAATAAAGAACCAGAGAGAGGCAAAGCCAGTTCGAAGAAACCAAGGCAGGTAGTTATCAGTGTTGTCAGGTTGCAAGACAAGATCAGTTGTGTTGTGGGAGCCGTAGCTGTAGGGCCGATCATATCCAGCATCGTTAATGTTAGAGTAGCCAGTGGTCTGACTCAGAAGCTTCTCGTTGAGGATACTTTCTTCTGTGCTGTACGGTCTTGCAGGTCTGTTTGGTGCACCGAGAGTATGAAAAACGTCGTTGGGGTTATAAGCAGTGTTGAAGTAACCTAGTCTGTCTTGTCTCTCGGTACTGTGGCCCCAGAGCTCGTACTTGTTGACGTGAACACCAATGTCAGCGAAGTGGTCGAGGATGTTGCTGCGTTCAGTGATGACGATCAAGTCAGCCAAAGTACGAGCATCCCACTTCAGACCAGTTCCTCTGCGATGAAGGAAGATCCATAGAGTAATAGAGGCAGCCAGCAAGACAATATACAGTGCAATCGTGGTCCAAATGGTTCCTTGCGTGGCAAGCCAAACCCATCGACCAGGGGTTCCACGGAAGTAGACATTGAAAGAGGAAGCCAGCAGTGGGATGGTGAAAATAGTGAGCCACGAGGCGATCAGGAACGTACCAATGGCTCGCTGACCTGCCCTAAGGTGTGCAAGAGGAGGCAATGCGAAACCTGATGGGTACATGGGCAATGTAGTACCGTGTCCACGAAGCGCCGAGTTTTTGGATGCCAGCGCAACGAAGGGTGCAATTCTATACACTGCTTTCTCGATCTCGAAGAGCCATAGAAGCAAGATCATGCCCAGAAGCGTAGGCAAGTACTGAAAAACGAAGTATGTACCATCGCCAAGGGATCCATAGTTGCATAGTCCAGTGCGGACACGAGACCAGATCGCGGCAAAGATGAGGGCGATCAAGTAGAGCGCCGTTAACGAGATGAAGACACCGAGACGTCCTGGACGAAGAACAGGCGGCAAAGCGGTCAGAGGGGCATAGAAAGAGTCGGTGTGAGGCTCAAATGGCGTGAACAGATTCAACTGTTGCTGCAAAGGATGTTGTGTCGGCGTCTGGCTGCTCTTGCGTTTTGGGCTTCTCGGAGGTATCGGAATTGGAGAGATGTCGTCGAAAGGCATGTCGGGCACTGGGGGATACTCTTGTTCTATGGGTATCGGGCCTTCATCGTAGGAGTTGCCGAACTCTGGACCAAGCCAGGGCTTGCCTTCAACTTCATCTTCATCTCTCGTGATTTGATCAAGAGCGAAGCGAACGTAGGGCGTATCGGCCTCAGGTGTCGGTGGATCATACTGACGTGCAATTTGCATAGAAGCAGAACTCAGGGCAGCTTGCGGGATTCGGATCGGTTCTAGATGGGACGGAGTCTCGAGCACTGTACTAGGCACTGGCTTTCTTTTGACAGGCGAGCCTCTCCTGGGAGGAATTGGAGGTACAGAAATCTCGGCGGGAGCCAAGTCACGCCTTCTCACACCATGGTTNNCTCTCATGGGTCTCGAAGATGGTTTCGAGACTTGGCGAATGAGGACTGGTCGAGCAATGCCTTCATAGCTTTGGCGTGAAGGAAAAGTGGAGGGTATCGGGGATGCTGGACTCTCAATTCTGCGAATCGATCTTGAGTGAGTTCGTGGCAATGTTGTATATGGTCGTGATTGCGAGGCTCGGCTGTCTGAGCGGTCGGACGATCTGGAAGAGAGAGAATAGTAGTCCTCTGATGCCGTGAACGAGCGTTCTGAATGTGTTCGTTCTAAACGCGGTTGTGATANCTGCTGACGATCAGATCAACACTTCAAAAACACTACTGGGTCGCTCCTACCATTTGTGTGTTTGAGATGTAGAGATTCCAGTGAACGACTCATTGCTGCGAACGTGCAAACGATCAAACGGCAAAAACGACTGAAACGACGAAAACTGCTGTCAAAGATAACAAAACGTGCAAAAGACTTCAAAGCACAACGAGTGGAGCAACTGCATGCTTTTCTTCACTTTCATGTTGATGCTCGATTTTACATGTGGCCGGATGCCGAGGAGGAGGCTGGTAAGAGCCCACTTCTCCCAACCACGTCGCAAGACGCTCTGTAAGTATCCACCTACCTCGTTTGGTCTTATGTACTCAGCCGCCAGACTTAGAGCCATATGTCTACCTTTTTCGAGCCTGGTGTCCCAGCCATCCTCGACCGAATCGTTTGTTGATGAACATGTCATGGGTTGACTAGGTGAAGTAGACGTCGATCAAACACTTTGGCGCCCTGTGCACCTTCCACCACTCGATGTTCGCGTGGGGTTTGACCAACCTTCTTCCATGGCGTCTTGCAATTCTCCGTGTTTGGTTGACAAGCGGATGAAATCCGTCTGTAGCTTTCATCGAGCAAAGATGGCTATAGATCCTCGTGCGAGGTGTGTTTGGTGGTTTGTACTTCTCAGGGTTGACAACGTGACACACGACTCCGATGATCGACCTTGATGTCATCGAGAGAATATCTTGCCAGCAACATCTTTGTTGCTCTGGAGATCTTCTGAATTTATGCTGTCCAGTACTAGAACATTGTCAGCTCTCACCAGTAAATTCAACATCATGTCCATTGACTCTGCTGTCGCTCAACTTCTGTCCCTGGACCCAGAAAAGACCACACTATCCGGCGCTGGAGCAGGATCAAGCTTCGCATCAACATCCAAAATCACAGCCAAACTCAGCGATGGCACAGAAAAACAATTCTTCATGAAAACAGGTTCAGGAAAAGAAGCCTCGGTCATGTTCGAAGGTAAAAACCCGTCTTCAGCAATTTGACATAATCTAGCTGGAACTAAAGACAAACCTCANGGCGAACACGCATCACTCAGTGCAATCCACAATGCCGTTCCCAGCCTATGTCCCCAATCCTACGGTCATGGCACTTTTGCCAATTCACCCTCTACCCACTTCCTCGTCACCGACTTTGTAGACCTCTCTTCGCGATTCTCTTCCAAGGCTTCCTCTACATCCCCATCTCTAGCCGCAAAGCTAGCAAAATTGCATACCACACCAGCACCCCCGCCACCGGGAGAATCAACTTCCAAATTTGGGTTTCCGGTAACGACGTGTTGTGGAGATACGCCTCAAGACAACAGCTTCAAAAGCAGTTGGGCGGAGTTTTATGCTGAGAACAGATTGAGGTTTATTCTGAAGAGGAGTGAGAAGACCAATGGACCTGATGAGGATTTGCGCGAGATGGTGGAGACTACTTGCAACAAGGTAGTGCCACGACTGATTGGCGACGATCATCTGAATGGCGGAAAAGGCATTACTCCTGTGGTCGTTCATGGCGATCTCTGGTCAGGCAACGCCAGTCTCGGGAAACTGCCTGGTGTGAAAGCGCCCGAGGAAGTTATATATGACTCCAGTGCTTGCTATGCACATGGCGAGTTTGAGTTCGGGATTGTCAAAATGTTCGGAGGATTTGGAGGNAGNTTTTTCAAGGAATACCATGAGATGGTCCCCAAGACTGAGCCGGCCGATGAGTATGAGGACAGACTCGCTCTGTATGAGTTATACCACCACCTGAACCACCACGCCATATTCGGAGGCGGCTACAAAAGTGGTGCGGTCAGTATCATGAGCAGGCTGATTGGGAAGTATGGCAAGAATGAGTAATGGTAGCAGGCATGGTTCTGGTTTGTGAAGCCACCTCTTAGTGCAAAAGAAGGCAAGCAAATGATAGATGACATTAAATGGATTTGTAGCCGTACAGTTGATGTACTTTTTATATACAATTCTTCGGCTTCTTGAAATGTGTGACAGCCCCAATCTTCTGGACTCCAGGCAAATGCTCCCCCAGCGCAAGTTGATATCTGATGTCCGCTCAGCCCATCCCAGCTCATGAAAACACCTGAAACGCCCACAGCCCGCAATTGAAAGATATGAAAGCACGAGGTTGGATTTATGCAGCGTTCAAAGGCTTGAAGTCGCCTGCATCCTCGGCCATGGCGAGCGAGTTCTTCTTGGCACGCTTCTTAAGGACGTTTTCGATGAAGGCTTCACCGGCCTTGTATGAGCTGCGGACTAGGGGGCCACTGGCGCAGTAGAGGAAGCCCATATCGAGGGCACGTTGTCTCCAGAGTTCGAACTTCTCGGGCGAAACATATTCTTCAACCTTCATGTGGCGTTTGGTAGGGCGCATATACTGGCCGAAAGTAACAACGTCGACATCGATCTTGCGGAGTTCTGTGCACAGTGTGTATTAGCATTGATTTCGCGAAGAGTCGGTGAAATGAGTCTTACCTTTGAGTGTGTCCCAGAGCTGATCTTCGGTCTCGCCCAGTCCCAGCATCAAACTGGTCTTTGTGATCAAGCCTTCCTTGGCCTCCTTTGCAGCGTTGAGGACTGCAAGCGATTGACGGAACTTTGCGCGAGGATCGCGAACAAAAGGTGTCAAGGCTTCGACAGTCTCCATGTTGTGTGCGTAGACATCCAGACCACTCTGAGCCACCACCTTGACCATATCCAAATCACCAGCGTAGTCGCCGGTCAGAGCCTCGACAAGCATTGTAGGTGCCTTCTGCTTGATCTTCATGATTGTGCTTGCGAAATGGTGTGCACCTCCGTCTGCAAGATCATCACGGTCGACGGATGTCAAAACAACGTAACCAAGACCCCATCGTGATAGTGCTTCTGCGGTATTTTCGGGCTCGTGGACGTCAAGCGGCGGAGGCTTTCGGCTTGTCTTGACGGAACAGAATCGGCAACCGCGGGTACATGTGTCGCCCATAAGCATAATAGTGGCAGTAGCAGCAGACTTGTCGCTGCCGCCCCAGCAGTCAGAGATGTTGGGACAGCGTGCTTCCTCGCAGACAGTGTGTAGGTTGAGACCGCGCAGGTCATTCTTGATCTTCTTGAAATTGTTGCTGCTAGGGACAGGAGTCTTGAGCCATTCGGGCAGTCGTGTGTGAGGNNGCTTCTTCTTGCCGGCAGGGCCGACCATGACCGTCTTCAATTCCAGAGCTTCCTCGGGACTCAGAGGTTCTTCTTTGCCAGAGACAAAGTCCCCAAATGCTGGACCGGCATTCAGAATATCCGAAAACTTTGTGGCTCGTCGAGGGGTAGATTTTGTTGTATTCGGCGATGAGGGCGTGATGTCTGATGCCGCCGTGGCAAGGCATCGTCTCTGGAGGAAAGGCGCATGTGTGGTCGACGAAAGGATTCGACGGGAAGCTGGTCGTAATGAGGCCATGTTGGATGATGTCGCGAGCAAGGATGTGTTAGTCAGTAGAGAGTGTTAGGAGCGGGCAACAATCTCTCATCAATTGTTTGACTCGGGCCGTCCTAGAAATTCCCGCGTCGGCGCCGCCACTCGAGCTCCGCAAAGAGGCGCAACACCTGAACTCCGAACCGCATCTGCCCGAGGACCCTGACACACGATATGGAAACCCCCTGCTAGCCGCATACAACTGTGGGCGTCATCACTCGCCATAACCACCCTCAACATATCCATGGTCCTTCTTCTCGCCTTGACATCAAATACTGTTCATGGCCGCTCACACGCTCACTACGTTTCGTTATGATGCCGCTTCTGGCAACTTCGTCAAGAAGACTACGCAGCGTACTCTGGGTTTGAACGAGATCAAAGTCAGGGTCACACACTCAGGCATCTGTTATACAGATGTCCATGCAAAGGAAAAGGCTTGCGGACTAGGCCACGAAGGTGTCGGTCTGGTCACTGATGCTGGAGCCGCTGTGAGATCTATGAAAATTGGCGATCGAATTGGTTGNGGGGTAAGTGCTGCTTTACAACACCTCCTGTCCATTTCTCTATATTCTCCCAACATGGCCTAATGATATTGTAGTTGGCTACGTAGCGTAAGTGATCGCATTGGTGAATGCAAATACAGAGACTAATTACACCAGTCTTGTGGGTATTGCTCTGTTTGTGTCGATGGATATCGCCAGTATTGTGCTCAAGCAAGTGGTTTTGCTTTCTGTGACCACGAGCAAGGTGATCAGGCACTACCGACACCATACCACTTATGCTGACCTCGTCTCTCAAANGGTGCCTTTGCCGACTTTCATATCATTGATGCCAACTTTGCATACCACATCCCTGCTGAGATTCCTTCCTGGCAAGCTGGTGTATTCATGTGCGCTGGTGCCTCTACTTACGAGGCTCTGGACGCAGCTAGCACGAAACCACATCATCGCGTTGGTATCGTGGGGTTGGGTGGTCTCGGCCACATGGCTGTGCTTTTCGCCAGAGCGATGGGTTGTGCAATCACGGTCTTCTCAGGTTCTGCAGGAAAAGTGAAAAGCAAAGCCAAAGATGCCTTCCAACTTGGCGCTGATGAGCTTCGAGTTCTGAACGACATTGACATTTCTATCCGACCGGACTTTCAAGGGACCGAGAACACACCTAGGTCACTGATAGACATCTTACTAATTTGTGCTAACGAAACACCTGACCTGGAGAAGGTCCTGCCCTTCCTGGCACGCAGAGCAACCATCGTTCTGATGTCAATACAACAGAAGCCGCTGGTCATCCCATACATGCCTTTCATACTCCCTGGTCACAGAATCATTGCTTCGACCGAGGCATCGAGGCAGAACCACCTTGCTATGATACAGTTCGCCGCGAGACACAAGATATCGCCTTGGATAGAGCGCTTCCCTATGACTGAAGATGGTCTGAAGAATGCTTTTGATAGACTCGAGAGTGGTGAAATGAGATATAGAGGGGTGCTCGAGATGCCTGCTGTTGGAGCATAGAGGCATTTTGCTTGGGCTAGCCCGGGTTGACGTAGTAGAGTAGTTTACTCAGACTCGCAACTTCGTGTACAGTACATTTGGTGGCTCAGGGTGCACTGTTGGGTTTCTCGATCTTGAGGTGAAGTCCGGCCACTTGGACGTCATTGTGAGGTCTTGGCTCTGATGCGTGGGAAAATGAATATAACATTTTTGTTGGGAGAATATTTACTCGATCATGTGTCTTCGTTAGAGCGCAAAATCTAGTGGTGCTTGGGCAAGTCGTCATCGTCCTCGCTCATCAAACCTTCCAGCTCAAACTCTTCCGCATCTCTTATCTGGCGGTCGCTCGCGTCTGGAATACGGGCATGGCCATTCGTCATAGCAGAGCCATTGAGTCTGCTCTCCGGGTCCGCAGGTTTACCACTTGTTTCGGCCTCTGCGTAGTAGGTATACAGGCGAAGAAGCATGTTCACGACTGTGAAGAAGTTAGCTATGGTAATTTTGGGCTTGGAAGAGTCTCAATCTTACANAAGGAAGAGGAGGAAGGCAAAGCTGTAGAGGATTAGAATGTAAGTGACGTGAGTAACACCAGCTTGTGACAAAAGCAGCATCTGCTCTTCGGTAGCACCCATGAAGAGGAAACCACTGGCATACAGCAAGAAAGGAGGCAGGAACTGGAAGCTGTTGGTGTCTTCTCCATCTTCGGAGATGGAGTTGGCATCTCTCAAGACAAAGCTGATCTCGATGATGCGAGTGATACCAGCAGCCATGAGGGTGTAGCCAAAGACGCTGTGTACCATAGTACTAAGATGCAACTCCTGTGGGTGGCCACTCATGGCCCAGCCAGTGATGGCGATTACAATAGCAGGAATCAAGTTGCGCTTAGGACGTCCGCGGCGGTCACGACTCAGCCACATGCCCAAAAGACCAGCACACCACCAGATGATTCCCATACTAGTGTGCTGTAAATCATTGCGTACCCAAGGGCCTCCCCATCTGTGTTCGGTGAAGGTGTTGACACATCCCCAAGCAGCAATAACCAGACTGTCGTAAAACTCCTGCGAGCGGCCAGTGCGACGCAGCCAGATCTGACCGACGAGAAGGAGAATGGTGTAAACGATGCCGTAGGCGATGAAGGCGGAGCCCATGATGAAGTGTGCAGCACATTGACCAGTGTGATCGCCCTGGCAGAAGCCCAAGGCAGTGATTCCACCAAATAGCATCTGCACCCAAGCGGCTAGCGGAATAATCTTGCCCAGTATACCATGTCCAGACACAATCCACTTCCTGATCTTGCCCATGAAGCCACGTTCGATATGAAGTTTAAGATAGATGCCCATCACGGCTTGAGCGAATACCATCATCATCAACCAAGGGGCATATTGCGCGTGGACGTTCTTGCTGAATTGGCGGCCTTTGTGGGCATGGCCGAGCAGGTAGCCCAAGATGGCGAGACCAGTGGCGGTGATTTGGACAGGGACATGCCATCGCGAACGGACGATACCCAGAACCATGCCGGTGGGGAACAGGATGCCCCATGCGAATATTTGAACGAGGATGTGGATCCATAACGTCGTGTCCTGGGCGAGAGTCAGTCTCGGTGTGTGGTACGCTCATGCAGGAAAGCGTACCAAGGGATCAGGCGAAATAGCAGCGCCTTCAGGGATCTTGTCTTCGTGGTGTTCATGCGCCTGAACAGTCGAGACAAGCAAAGCAAGAACAGTGGCGGCTTGGACGCTCCTGCTTAGCGTTTGCGACGAAAGCTGCATCGAAGAAGCCATCGTGTTGCGATGTACAGACAGCAATTTCAATCTTGGTGGCTTCGAGTCCGAGTCTTCCTATGAGGTTTTGTGCATCCCCTTTGTCTTGTCCAACAGGACAGAAACACAAGGTTTACCCCGAGCCCACCTTGATCTAAAGATTGCTGACCACGCGTATCCCGCCAAGCCAACTGATCCCCTATCCCACTGCACCCATTCTCTTCTCGCATCTGCCCTGGTCCCTTCAGCAGTGTATATAGACCATAACTAGTTCTCAGGACCACAGATAGCCCTTCACAGTGGGAACAATCTCGCTTGACCAACTCATGGTTTCATGTGATCGTGTTGTAGTTGTTCCTCTTTCGATTGATCGGGAAGGTGCGGATCATGCTTAAATCCTTTTATGTCCGACCAGTGTACGAATCCGGTCAATTCCAACCACATCTCATCAGCAACAAACCTCACAGTGCTGCTTCTAGGGTACTGTAACACCTTTGTCACGCAATAGCCATCGTAGAAAGTCACTCTACCAACCAGTGTGACCTAGACTGCTCCGATCACTTCCAGTCGACTACTGAAGCAATCGAGAAGCCTCTTTTCTGTAAGAGCAGCAAACATGGCCGAAGATAACTTGCCCTCGTCTCCCACTGCACCATCTAGATCCAACATGTCTTCCAAAACATCATCTTCTGGTAAGGATACCCAGCTCGATGCTCTTCGTGCTCGTCAAGCTGCTCTTGAAGCAACTGTCGCCGAACTGCATGCTCAGCGTACCTCTCTCGTCGATTCCTTCTCNCCCACCTTCAATATTCAAGAGCCAGAAGACACAGAAACTCGTGCAAAGCTCGCAGTGAATGCAGCCAACACAAAGATCAAGTCCCAGATCAAACAGCTACAGCAATACAACGACATCAAAGATATCGGCACTCAGCTGATGGGAATTATCGCCGAGAAGCGTGGCTGCCGCATCGGTGAGGTTCAGGAGGAGTTTGGTATCAATCCTGATGATTGAGAGGCAAGTTTTACTGCTTCGTTGGCAGATATTCTTCGATTGAGCGGTTTGTACTGACTTTTCTCAAGATATCACATCACCTGGAAGACAGCACAAACCATCGGCGTCATATATCAGAGAACCACGATCAGCCTTGCTACAAAGCTTGTGCAGCAGAGGACAGCAGCCTCCCCATATATATGGCCAGCATTGGGGGTTTGGGGTTGCAGAGGATTCTGAGGTATACATATCGTCTGCAGATTGCCCATGTCCTGCGAAGATCGTGGACATTCGCCAGCTCGACTGCTTCACTCGCAAGTGAATTCGAAACAATTCCGGTCTAAGCAATTTTCCGTGGTATAATAGCTTCCTATTGGCCGTTGCCTTGCGATTGTGCCTACAATTGTCGCTTCACTTATTGTCACCTTGTTGTTGTCGACGCGTCTATATAAAAGTTTGCTCTCGGCTGCCGCGCTCTCTCTTCTTCCTCAACATCACGCAAAACCAAGTTGGCCAACCACAACAACTTTTGCAACTGCACCACTACTCCAACCCTTCTTCAGCTCTTGCATCGTTGCACAACCATCATCAAACCATTATCACTGTCAACGCCTTGCGCAATCTACCAAGAACTCGCACTGCTTCACTACGCGTTTTGCACACATACCACGACCACAACATACATCAACATCGTCACCAAACATCTTCACCCATCATCACTTCAAGATGTTCAACTTCAACGCCCTTATCACTTTCATCATGGGTGCCGCCACCTTTCTCACTGGCAACCTCAACGCCGCTCTCAAATTCACTTCACAAAAGCTCCTCGCCGCTCCTCAGGCTCACTTTCAGGAGTCTGTCACTGTCATAATTCCAGTCACCCTCACCACTACTATCACTTCGGCCGCTCAAGCTTTCACTTCTTCAATTGCGTCTCCCGGCAACGAGCTCGCCGTCGTCCACAATCCTCTGCCTTCCGGCAACATCTCTTTCTTCGCTGCCCTCAAGGAGATCATCTGCGTTCTATACGCGCTCCTTCGCTTGTCGCCTGATGCCGCCACTCTCGTCTCCGCCTTCCTNTTTGCGGTTCTCCTTCTGGCTCTCATCGTCTGCTTCTTCGACTCCTCTGCTCCCGCCATGAAGCCCCAAGACCTCATTCATCTCGAGGCACAAGTCAACGCCAAGGACGAGCTGCTCCAGCAGCTTCGTACCTCCTATGCCGCCGACCGCGCAGAGCTCCGCCGCAGCCTGCAGGTCCAGAGAGATGAGGCAGACAAGCGCCTGTCCGACGCCTCCGCCCAGCACCGCTCCGCCCTGGCTTCCAAGGATCAGCAGATCCGTGAGCTTTGTGACGAGCTCGCCTCTGCCGACCTCCGCGAGGAGAAGGCACGCTTTGAAGCCTCCGACGAAGTTTTCAAGCTCAACAAGGAGATTGGTCACCTCTGAAGTGAGCTTGATAGCCTTGAAAACAGGCTGGAAGCCCAAGACGAGCTGGTTGCTGGTGCCGAGAAGGCACAGGAGAAGGTCAAGGCTGCCGAAGAGCGCGTAATCGCCGCTGGTCAACGAGCCATTGAAGCCAAGCAGAAGGTCCAGGCCGCCGAGAAGGCCCAGGAGGAGGTCAAAGTCGCTGGAGAGCGCACTCTCACCGCTGCTATCGCAGCTGAGAGAAAGAATGGGCAGGCCGCTGTCGACAGGGTCAAGGCTGAGGCTAGGGAGCTCCTGGACAAGGCCAGGGACGACCTCAGGGTCGAACAATACAGGGTTCAGGACTTGAAGAAGGACATGGCAGAGCTGAAGGCAGGAGTGGCAGTGGGGGCTGCTGCTCATGTTCTGATGCCTACCGTCCTCGAATCCTCTTCCTCGGCCTCCCAAGCAGAGGAAATTCGCAAGCGTCTCGAGAAGGTGCCCGTCCCTGTTGTTTCGGGTGCTCTTTCGATGCCCGGCCCTGCTCCTGCCTTCGCCGGTTCTCCTGTTGCTGTCCCCGGGCCCTCCGCGCCTGCTGAACAGCCAGGGGTGATCCGCCGTCCTCGCGTCAGGGGTCCTTTTGCTCCTATTCAGCGGGGCAAGAACAGCAAGCGTGGTTAGGGGAGGAGAGGAGGAGTGGTTTTTTGTGTCGTTTTTCAGGGGTCGATTTCTGGTGTGTGTTTCTTCTGGGTGTCGTTTTCAGGGGGTTGTTTTCTGGTGCCTGTTTTTCTGGGGTCGTTTGCCGGTGTCTGTTTTTCTTTGGGGAGTTTGGGTTGTTTCGTCGCTGGTCGGTCTTTTTTCTTCTGCATGGGACAAAGCATGGTATAATTTCTGATGACAGAGACGAGAAATGAGAACAATGAAAGCATTCAAAAGCCACATATTTCGCCCTCCCACTGTGACCACCCTTGGTAAAAACATAGCATCGCAATGCAAAAATCAATTCAAAAGTAGACTATTTCCACTGAGACTGGCTGATGACACTCTATCTCAGTGGAACAAACGATAAGTCCATCACCGTTCTGCATTTTTATAGGTATCTTATCTATGCACACTCCGTTTTGGAGGTTCAAACTTCGTATAACCTCAGGGGTGATCAGCTTATCTCCTGCAAGCCGCTCTGATTTTTTCATGCTATAAAAATGCAAGAATCAATTCAAGAGTAGACCATTTCCACTGAGAGTGGTAACTATCACTCTATCTCAATGGAACAAACCATGATCCCAACAGTATTGTGCATTTTTATGGTAGTATATCTATGTACCCTCGTTCATGGAGATCTAGATATCGTACAATTTTCAAGAGGTGTTAGCTCATCTCCTACAAGCCGCTCTTGTTTTTCATGCTACAAAAATGCAAGAATCAATGCAAAAGTAGATCGTGTCCACTGAGAATGGCTGATACCAGTCTATCTCAGTGGACTCTATCCATATTCTAACGAAATTGTGCATTTCTATGGTTACCTCATCTAATCACACTCCCCCTTGGAGTATAGATGATGTGAAATTTCATGAAGGCATTGAATCACATCTCCTGCGAAATAACCAGGACTTTTGATTGCTATAAAAATGCACAAAAAGAATTCGAAACATAGGGATGTTCCATAGAGAGCAACCAGAATTACCATATCTCAGTGGAACACATTATAATCCCAATCGACACTGTGCATTTTTATGGTTACCTTTGCTATCTGCTCTGGTTGCTGGAGTTTCAAATGTTGTACGTACGTTGTCAGTGGGTATTGGAAGTCATCCCTCTCCTATAAGCTGATTGCAACATTCGATACTGTAGAAATGCACAAAAAGTCTGAAACATAGAGATGACCAGAGAGAGTGACTATTATTATGTCTTCTCAGTAGAACAAAGCATGTTTTTGAACGAGATCCTGCATTTTCATAGTGACTCTATCGATACTTCTTTAGCTAGAGAGTAGAAAATACACTATACAACCAGGGGCATCAAGGCCTAAAGACTAACACTCCTCCGAAGCCACCTGTGGCATATTAGGCTATAAAAATGCACAATTGCTAACATATTCTTAATGCCACTAGAGAAAGACCGTTAACTCATTAACATCAATCTCTCTTACTGGTCTTGAACCAGTAACGCTGTATAGAACGAGGCGGAATTCTGTTGTGGTGAGTAATTCGACGTGGTTGACGCGCGTGTAAACTTCATCTGTAGTGTGGATAGAGTGTCCGTCCTCAGTGTGGTCCGGCATTGGTACCCATAGCTCTTTCATAGACTCTTCCTCGCCATACAAGATTGTGACTGCTATGACGCGATCGCGTTTGCTTTGGTCCATATGGAGAGTTAGTTGCTTTGACTTTGGGATCTTTAAAGTAAAGCACTCTTGGTTGTGAAGATCCTGATTTAGTGGTGGTCTTAGACAGAGAGAAGAATTCGTGACTTTCACCTCAACCTCGCTACATTTGTTGGTGTATTCGCTTTTCCGCCTGGCAAGAACTACTAAGGCTTGTCGTCTATACAGAATGCAACTCCCATTCTAAAGTGGTCGTATAGAGCAATTTATGGAGGGTCATGCGAGGCGTAGGGGCAGGCGCTTCATACACCACGTTCTCGACTATAGCAAAGATGCTATTGTTAATGCCATAGGAGTTCTGTAAATGTGTAACAGGAAGACCTTTGGACCAGAGGAACGGTTGCATGACTTGACAGATATGGCGACATATTAGTTGTTGTGCAAGATTGCAGATTTTAAGATCACCCTGTATGCCTCAAGACACAGCTTTCAATCCTTTCGATCTCTTCCTCCTTCCTTGCAACTTGTTTCTGTTGCTTCTTCTCTAGTCTTTGGCATTTTTGTACTCCCAACCTGGCTCAGCGTCTTCGCAGACCGAATTCCACATTCCAAAGTCTTCGTAGAGAGGAGACGAGTGGTTGTAGCCTGCGTATCTGGGGATTAAGTTGTTGGTGCTGTCGCTGTCGTAGGATTTGTCTGAGGAAGAGCTCCTTGTGGAGTGGGATGGGGAGTAGGATTTGCTTTCGTTGAGGAAAGGATGTGGATAATTGAGATCTCTGGTTATGATAGCAGAGGGGGTTATGTATCTGCAGGTTTTGTGTGATTGCTGTGCATGTTGGTTATAACATTATATGATTGAGACAAGATAGGGTGAGACCGGAGCACTGGATTTTGAGACACAGTCATGCTCTCAAAACCAAACCATATGTTTTGTCGCACCATTTCAAGACGTCTGTTCTTTGTAGTGTCTCATCTAGAGGAACAAGATCAAGCTGCTTTCTCAACAGATACAATCTTGACAGCAGACTGGCGAGTCTTCACTGCACAACGCAAGAGCATGGGCATTGGGAGATTAACGTGGTGAGTTTTAATTCCTCATACCAACTCCTGCAACATGTCCTCAAGATCCTCTCTTCCAAAAGGCACAGCCAACCTTTCAACACCCAAACCGTCTTTCTTGCTCTCCACAATATCGTGATCATGAAACTCTTTGAGCAGAGTCCTGAAACTCATCTCTGACGAACAAACGAACTCTTCAACAGCCTTGTGATATAACGTCCTGTACTCGACACCCACAAACGCCGAAGTCTTGTGTTTCTTGACTTTGGGAGTTGGCGCCTTCTTTGGCGGACGGCCTCGGCCACGGGTGGGCTTTGTGACATTTCCGTGGTCCACATCCATGTCATCATCCGAGTGACCCAGGATACTTTCTGAATCTGAGGAGTCGGGATGTGCCTCAAAGGTGGTGTCGGCTAGGGCCAATTGTTCTGCGACCAAGATGCGGAACAAGTTTCTCGCATTCTCGGGTAGTGAGCGCAAGACATATGCCACACCATCCTTTCCACCTATCCGGCGACCACTGCGATTGAGCAAGATGTTGACCTCTTCTACAGGGTCGAGTTCTGCAGTGTAAGGTGCAAAAGTCGTAGTGTCGTGGAATAGGAAACGGAGCGAAGAGCGTTGTGATATGTCCCAGAGTAGAGGGAAGGTCGGTGTATCTGCTGATGCAACCAGACAGATATGAGGNNGATGGGCGGCTAGAGCCGAGATGGTGGATTGGAAAAGTGGTTTTCGGAAGAACGGGCTGTCGATGGAATGGACAAGTATATATATGGGCGAGGCAGGCGGATTTGCTGTTAGCGCGGAGAGGAGAGCGTCCAGGAGAGCCTGAGGCTGAAGAGGAAGCTTGCTGGCTACTGAAGCAGGTAGAGAGTGTTTTGCGATGGTGGTCAGAACGTCTCTGACCGATATGTTGGGTGAGTAGCCATTGACGACAATGAGGTTGGGCCTTTTATCTGAAGCTTGGTAGAGATGGTCTGCAAAATCGAGAAGAAGTTCACGTTTAGAGCCGTAGCCGTAGATGCAAATATTGAAGCCTTGTTGGAGTTCGAACCACCACTGACCGAAACCATACTCATGTAACCCAGCCAAAAACTGTTTATCTGCAGCGTGCGGGTCGTTGTATGCATTGATCACAGCAAAGTAGTCGTCATGGTTGAGAAGAGCGTTACTCGGCAGAATATTTGTTGACGTCTTGACACCTCCTGGCCTGTTCTGGAAGAAGTACAGCTCATGTGATGGCATGTCCTGTGGTGTGGGAGACGGCTGCCTCTTCTTGCCCTTCGGTCGTCCTCTCGGCCTGGGAGTCTTCGAGGGAGTACCTGGAATAGCGGTGATGTTGTCGTCGTCTGGCATATCTTGACCCGACTCAACGGCGTCATCCAGGATCTCACGAGCAAGTGCATCTTCCAGGCCGGTGTCGTCTACGGCAGACTCGTCTTGATCTTGAGGGTCGAACAGGATCTTGTGGCTCTTGCGCCTGGCAGAACGATCTGCATTGAGAGCGGCCGTCAAGGGNNGGGAGTCCTTGGTCGGCGCATCTTGAGTGTCGTAATCGCCAGGTTTAGCTGGGGTAGAGAAGAGGACTTTTCGTAGAGATCGAGGAGTTCCTTCCTGCTTGAGGTTGGATTTGAGGATGGAACGCTGTTTCGAGGGCGTGTCTGCGTTGGTGTGTCGTGACGGTGTCTCTGCGTCGATCATCCTCCTCTTGGATGGTGTCATTTCCACATGTTCGGCCTGGACATCTTCTGCTGTATCATCTTCATCATGGCTTCTTGGTCGTTTGGGCATTGAATGTCGTTTGTCGTGTTAACAAAGGATTGTTTACTTGGGAAGGCGCTTCCAAAGTCCGACAAAGGGAGCAACAATAGCCGGCCACTTTCCCCACAGATTGATAAGATTAACCAGGCTAGGTAACTCTTATCGTGCAGCTTTGACTCACCAACAGTCGCGGTTTCCTTGTCTTTTCCTCCTTCTCGATCAATTGTATATTCATATCAGTCAATTGACACTCGCCAGTACCATGGCTACCTCCCGATCATCGGCCGCTCGTCGGCTGATATCACTATCAGTACAGCACACGCGATGCTACTCTGCTCCTACCGACGGCGCAATCCCACCTAACAAGGCCAAATATGTCCCTACCGAAGGAACATACCCCAAGGGCTTCGTTGTCGGCAGCGCACATGCTCAGGTCAAGGCCTCAAACACAAAGTTCGACGATCTCGCCTTGATCGCCTCTGAAGTCNNCCCCTGCTTCGCTGCTCTCGTCACCACCCAGAACCATTTCCAGGCTGCCCCCGTTAGCATCAGCAAGAAGATCATGTTCCAGCACCGAAGCGGCGCCATCAGAGGTGTTGTCATCAACTCTGGATGCGCCAATGCCGTTACAGGAAAAGGTGGACGTGAAGATGCCATCCGCATGGCCAAGCTCACTCACAACCTCTTGAACAAGCGCAACCCGAGTCCTCGCGACAAGACTGCGGAGCTCGAAGCCAAACATAGCATCGACGAGGGCGCTGTCAAGATTGCCGACGACGACCAAGATGTATCTAGCATCCGTACCCTGGTCATGAGTACTGGTGTCATTGGACAGCGCCTTCCCATCGATCGTATCGAAGCAAAAATCCCTACCCTCGTAGAGTCTCTGGGCAATACCCACGACCACTGGCTGCACTCAGCTCGCGCCATCTGTACCACTGACACTTTTCCCAAACTTCTCTCTCGCCAGTTCACCCTTCCATCGTATCCTGGCATCACCTTCTCAATCGCCGGCATGACCAAGGGAGCCGGTATGATCCACCCCAACATGGCTACTCTTCTTGGTGTAGTTTGCACCGACGCTCCTATCCAAAAGACTGCTTTGAGGGCACTTCTTTCCACTGCCACTAATTCCTCCTTCAATCGTATCACTGTCGATGGTGACACTAGCACAAACGATAGCGTTGCCCTCTTTGCAAATGGCATGGCTGCTCCTGACAGCGAGCAAATCCGCCTCAACCACCTTCAGAAAGATGAACTGCGTGAAAAAGGCTTTTCCTTGGACCGACAAAGGCTCGAAAAGCAGTCAGAAGACTACAAGGAAATGAACAAGGTCTTGACATCTTTCATGGAAGATCTGGCCAAGCTTATCGTCCGCGATGGCGAGGGAGCTACCAAGTTCGTCACCGTAAAGGTAACAAAGGCTGAAAACGATTCCGCCGCCCATGCTGTTGCCAACTCCATTGCTACCTCTGCTCTCGTCAAGACAGCGCTATATGGCAAAGACGCCAACTGGGGTCGTATCCTCTGCGCTATTGGATACGCCCCGGGACAGAATTTCATCCGCCCTCAGCAAACCTCTGTCTCCTTCATCCCCGCCGACGGCTCTGAGGAGCTCAAGCTGCTGGTCAATGGCGAGCCTCAAGCTGTCGATGAAACTCGTGCTGCCGCCATCCTCGAGATGGAAGACTTGGAGGTTCTCGTCAAGCTGAGCGACAAAGGTGTTGGTGAAGCTACTGTCTACACCTGTGACTTCAGTCACGAATATGTCACTATCAACGGTGATTACAGGACGTAGGATGTCTTGAGTAATTCAAAAGCTCTTATTGTAAATACTTGCACTCTAGAGACAACAGCCTACCAGGGTATCAGGAGGACATTTAGACATAACGATTATAATGGAATACTATGCCATGTTGCGAGCCATCGGAGCGAGCTATTCATGATCCGCCGACGCCGCTCAAACTTGCTTACGACAGGCTATCACACCACCTTCTCGCCGCCAACACCAGCAACCATTATATTCAAGATATCTCAGGTCCTTTTCGACCCAAATAAAGCCGTGGTGGTGTAGTGGTATCACGTCCGATCCTAATTACCTAAGCCCCTAAACTCGCTTACCTAAGTCCCTAATACCCCCCTTCCTTGGGATTGGAAGGTCGCAGGTTCAATTCCTGCCCATGGTGCTACTTTTTGTTTCTCATGTAAGACGTTTGCGTCCTTCTGCTAGTTCTTTTCGGCACGTCTTATGTTTTCGTTCCTTGGAAAAGGGTTCTATTATGTTCTTTCTTGAGCGCTTTGAGCTCTGAACCGTGTCTATGTACATGTTTGTTGTAAGAATCTTAGGATGGCTTGTTACAACTGAGCAAAGCCAGTCAAAGCAAACGTAGCGCCAAAGGCCAGCTTGAAGGCTACGTTATCTTGCATGGCGGAGCGCAAATCGATGCTGGTAAAGTAGCGTTGCATGCGACCGTAAGGGATCAGACTGATGCCCAGTTGAGACTCTGCAAACTGTTTTGATGTCAGGATTAGCAATTGCGAAAGGAGTGTTAGAAAGAGATGGGAAAGAAGGGAGAGACAGAAGGGTAATGGGGTATTTACCTGTATGCCAACGATCAAGAGACCGATGAGCAGAGTCAAGGGCTTTGAGAAGAGGGAGACTGCCATGCCGCCTAGCACACCTACAGATTTATATGAGTACCTTGCAGTTTCCGAAGTTGGGGATGACATACCAGCAATACTTCCACTTGAGATCTGACGCACGGCGTTGGGGTTGAGTCCACCTCTGCGTGTCACCACTGGAACCTTGGCATTGTGTGTGTACGAGTTGAATGCATTCGAAGGACTTGCATCACACAGAGCGTAAATATTTCTTCGAGGGGTGAGAAGAGAGTAAGATGTGAATGCAGCGCCGAGACCGAGGCCGATGCCCAATGGGCGCGAGTGCAGCAAGAAAGACATTGTGTAGATTTGATTTGATGAAGTTTAAGTGGTGTGATGTCCTTGAGGTGAGTCACTGGGATGGTATCAATGCTTTGGTTGGTATGATGAAGGAGGTGGTGTTTTTGGTGTGGTTGTTGTTTGTTCAGATTGTCGTCGGATGTCAATGACGCTGATCGCGGAAGCTTGGACCCTGACTACATGGATCAGATTGCGGAGGGGATTTCAAACTGTGCAAACTGCCCCTCTCAATTCACGCTGGCTAGAGGAGTTGAAGAGATGTCGCCGCGATACCGCTAAGCTTACCGAGATGCCAGTTAATCAGACTCATTGACAGCTCGATTCCTTTACATTGTGGAAGAGATTGAATAAGTCATGGAAAAGCATGCTATACGGCTTTTGTACATCTAATCCCCATGCCAGAACCAATCGGTGCGGTTCGGTGGTTCGGCGCCAGTTCTCAGGTCCGCGCCTTCCGACAGCGGGGCACGGGGCGGCGGGACGTGGATCGTTCTCGACGGAGGAGCACCCTTGGCAGTCGCCGCCCTACGCCCGCGTGTTTTTCTTGAGTAATAATGCCTTCTTAGGCAGGTGAGTCACTCGAAGAAGGCCGAAGTTCCTGTCGAAGCGATATACTTTTCTGGATCTTGGAACCTAGACCCTTTCTTTTCTCTCTCTTACATACCTTTCTATCGCTTTGTCCTTTTGTTTCCTCTCTCCATATTCGCCTCATACATACATCTTCCACAATGGCCACTACACTACCCACTACCAACGGCAAGCACGATGGCGCCAATGGCACCGACGGAGTTGCCTCGTTCGCTGTCAAGGCTGGACTTGCCCGCATGTTGAAGGGCGGTGTCATTATGGACGTCGTTAATGCTGAGCAGGTGCGCTCGTCTTCTGCTTTGTTACAATGACATGGTCACTAACAATTGTTCCAGGCCCGCATTGCCGAAGAGGCCGGTGCCTGCGCAGTCATGGCTCTCGAGCGTGTCCCCGCCGACATTCGCAAGGACGGCGGTGTTGCCCGTATGTCCGACCCCAGCATGATCAAGGAGATCATGGACACCGTCACCATCCCCGTCATGGCCAAGGCCCGTATCGGCCACATTGTCGAGTGCCAGATCCTCCAAGCCATTGGTGTCGACTACATCGATGAGTCTGAGGTCCTTACNCCCGCCGATCCCATCTACCACGTTGAGAAGCACGGATTCAAGACTCCCTTCGTTTGCGGTTGCCGTGACCTCGGCGAGGCTCTGCGTCGTATCGCCGAGGGTGCTGCTATGATCCGCACAAAGGGTGAGGCTGGTACTGGCGATGTCATTGAGGCTGTCCGCCACATGCAGACTGTCAACCAGCAGATTGCCCGCGCTGCTGCCATGTCTGAGCCCGAGCTCCGCGCTTTCGCTCGCGAGATCGGTGTTCAGTACGAGCTTCTGAAGGAGACCGTTCAGCTCAAGCGTCTGCCCGTGGTCAACTTTGCCGCTGGTGGTATTGCCACTCCCGCTGACGCTGCCCTCATGATGCAGATGGGTTGTGACGGTGTCTTCGTCGGCTCTGGTATCTTCAAGAGTGGTGATGCTGCTAAGCGCGCCAAGGCCATCGTTCAGGCTGTCACCCACTACAACGACCCCAAGGTTTTGGCCGAGGTCAGCATTGGACTCGGTGAAGCCATGGTTGGCATCAACTGTGGCTCCATGGACCCTAAGGACAAGCTCCAGGGCCGTGGCTGGTAAATGGTTACCACGATATGATATATGGGCAGCAAAGCATTTTCAACAAAAGAGCAATGGCGTTATCAAATGGAAGGATACATCGGACATGGTTTCGAAGACATTATGATCACAAAAGCAAGGCGTATTAGCGTTCTTGGAAGATTCATTTCAGCAGGGTTGAAATTCTCTAGGAGTTTTGTACAATAAGTAGCCAGTAGCAAGAAATCAGCACGAGGCATGACACTTTTCTAACGATTTACCTTCAATGGCACTGTTTTACCATGAACGAAGCTAGGTCGACATGGGGAACGTGTGTCAAAAGCGGTTCGTCACGAAAGACGTCGGGTTGAGTAATCGACTTTTGACAATGTCAGTGGACCGCGGAATGGAAAGCGAGCACTGCAAGTACGGTTTTGTGGCGTCGCGTTGAACTGTCTAGAGCAGCCTTCCGCTGGATGTACAGTGTCATTGTACGGTGCATTGGGACATGGAAAACTATCAATGATTATATAATAAATAGTAGGGATATCATCATTAAATGTTCAGTATAAGAAGGCGAAAGCGGAAGTGCTGATTAGATGTTGAAAGTGTTAAGCGGTAAAACGTGAAGGCCGGCCGTCGAATCGACGATGAATGCAGGGTTTAGCACAAATAGCAGGCCTGGGCCACTTTGGAGCCGTGTCTGAGGGTGAGAGAGCGTGGAACGGCAAATCCGCGAGAGTCAAGTCTTCTAACCTCCTGTAACATACTCCATGCCTGGTTGTCGAGGCGTGCGTACGTGAAAGTGCCAATGTCGACGACGACTCCCTCGCCCTCTGCGCCCAGCGAGACGTCGCGAACACGCGAGGTCTTCAAGTGAGTTCGCGGAAGCGTGTCCGCCCGACGATCAGGCTAACAGTGAGGCTCTGTGTAGATTNNTCTGGAGCCCTTCGAGACGTCCATACACCCTTTGCAGTTCAGCGATGGCGAAATTGAGAACAGAGTAGCTGTCGGGAGCGACGACACGGCCTTGGCTGCTTTTGCTCAGCTGGGTGCATTACGGCTCAAGGCCCAGCGCTGTCTCATCTCGCTCTTGTCCAAGGATGAGGAATACGTCTTGGCTGAGTCTACAAGGACTCTATCGCTACAGTCGGATCTGGTCCACAATTCTCGCGATGCTCTGTTTTTAGGAACGACCCGTTTTCCTCGCGAAGAAGGCTTTTCCATCACTGGCCTCAAGCAATGGATCACCACCAAAGAACGCCGCGAAGACCCGAAGGAAGATTCATACTACTATACCGATGGTGTGAGCCCTCACTGGCACATCATCAGCGACATGCGACAGGATGCTTCCTTGCAGAAGCTCATGATCGTCAAGGCTGCCGCTACCATGAGATTTTACGCTGCTGTGCCCATCCGAACAAGCAATGGCCTGGTCGTTGGGTCTTATGCCATCCTGGACGATCGCCCTCGCTTCGGAATCAGCGCTGAAGAAATGGTTTTCATGGAGGATATAGCTGACACCATCATGGGTCACCTCGAAGCCAAACATATCACTATGCAGAGACAGCGTGGTGATCGTCTGATTAAGGGTCTGGCTCTCTTCAGCGAGGGCAAGGATAGCTTACGAGACTGGTGGCTGGATACACACAGCAAGAAAGCCAGAGGTGAAGGGGCAAGACGTCGCCGTGGTTCCATCGAAGAGGGAAAGACTCAGAACGATCGTGCTGATGAAGAGTTGGGAATGACATACAGAGCCGACCAGATTCCTCATGGTCGCAATCCCACGACCACCGACTCCAAGGACATTCAACCAGCCAGCCAAGCGTCAAAATCCACCTTGAAGTCTGGCCACCTGGCACAGGACAAACATGAAGGCTTTGATCTCGGCCGTGAGATCAATACGGCCTTTGCTCGAAGCAGCAACCTCATGCGCGAGGCTATTAGCGCTGAAGGCGTTGCCTTCATCGATGCTGACTTCCACCGCTCGAAGGAATCCACCAAGAACCAAGCAGCCTCGTCCACCGATCCTGAGAGCGATGCCGCGACTGGCTCTTCAGGCTCAGAAGCAAAATCGCTAAAGCAGGAGACGCCCATCTCTCCCGAAGCTCAATGCGCTCTGCTTGGTTTCTCCACAAAGGTCAAGTCTACCATTCGTGGCTTCGATGCTTCTGCCAGACACTCTAGTCTTCCAAAGACTTTCATTCGTAGTCTCATCCGCCGCTACCCTATGGGCAAGGTCTTCAATTACCATGATGGCAAAGCTCTTTCAAGTTCCTCTGGTACCGACCTCTCTGACGACTTCAGTGAAGGCTCCAGAAGCAGCAGATCTCGCAAACGTCGCAGTCGTGAATACGTCGACGCTATGACCCTGGGCGAAGTATTCTCAGGACCCCGAAGTATCGCCTTCTTGCCCTTGTGGGACAGCAGACGAGAGAGATGGCGTTCGGCTGTTTTCGTCTGGAACGCTGCACCCAACAGATATCTGGACAAGGCCGAGGATATCACATATCTTGCAGCCTTCAGCAACAACTTGATGGCCGAACTCTCACGCCTCGACGCTATAGCCGCTGATCAAGCCAAAGCCACCTTCATCAGCTCTGTTTCGCACGAATTGAGATCTCCACTGCATGGAGTTTTGGCAGGAGTTGAGCTTCTGCAAGAAAGCGATCTCAGCAATTACCAACAGGAAATGACGACTACTATCAGCATGGCTGGCAAGACGCTGCTTGACACGATCAACAACATTCTTGACTTTACGAAGATCAACAGCTTCTCGGACCTAGAACGTAAAGACAGAAAAGACAAGGATGCACATAGGAGCTCTGGATTTAAGACGGCAGATATGGGTGAAGTTGGTGTTACGAGTGCAGTCGATCTTGCTGTCTTGACCGAGAATGTGGTCGACACGACCGTCACAGCCAAGAGCTTCCAGGCAAGTAAAGCTAAGCAAGAAGAAGAAGAGGACGACGAACTTGCTGCAAAGGCACCAAAGCAAGTCGCGGTAGTGTTGAACATTGCCAAGCGATCAAACTGGAACCTGAACATATCGCCTGGAAGCTGGACCAGAGTCATCACCAATCTTCTCGGCAATTCGCTCAAGTATACTAAACAGGGAACAATTACCGTGAGTTTGCAATACAAGAAGTCGGAGCAACCGAACCAGGCTCTTGTATCTTTGACAATCGAAGATACTGGTCAGGGTATTGGCAGCGAGTACCTTCGAAACCACTTGTACACACCATTCATGCAGGAGAACACGCACGCTGTCGGTACTGGACTTGGACTTTCGATCGTCAAGCAGATTATCAAGGACTTTGGTGGTCACATCAGTTTCGAGAGTGAGCTTGGAAGAGGAACCAAGGTGGTTGTCTCGTTCAACACCACATTCGATGAAGACATAGAGTCCGAGTTTGACGTACCGAAACGTCCCGACGGGAGCAATCTCAGAGTTGCACTGTCAAAGTCTTCAGGCATTGATGGGGAGCGAACCCGCGAGAAGGCCATCAAGACAAACACTAAAAAGACCTGCACGGAATGGCTAGATTGCCAGATTGACTCAGTTTCAGCCTCTGATAACACAAACGCCTTCGATGTTTGCATTCTGGCTGAAGCAGATTACGAGCAATGGCAAGAGAAGAGGAGAAATTCAACGAGTCAGGCGCTGCCGCCGATGATTGTTCTAGGCTCAATCTCAGCTTCGTCCGTCGTGAGACAGAGCGCGTCTAAGAATGCGATCTTCATCAACCAACCCTTTGGTCCCAGGAAGATGTCAAGAGCACTGACGGCAGCTCTACAAAGTCGAAACCAGTCACAATCTACCTCTGAAGAACGAACTCTAGGCGCGGTTGCCGCCTCGCCGTCCGTACTGCATATCCTCACCAAACCGGCAAATGTCAGTACAAACAGCGACCCTCCACCTACCTACGCAGAATCAAAGCCTGCTGCATCCATGCCCTCAACACCCATTTCACCCCAGAAGAACCTGTCTCCAGCAATCAGCGAGGTCACTAACAGTGCGGATCCGAACCTTCGCAAGGTCTTGCTGGTGGAGGATAACTCGATCAACATGAAACTCCTGGTCGCGACCATGCGCAAGCTGAAAAGGCCGTACACCTGCGCAGGCAATGGCTTGGAAGCCGTGACTGCATATGCGTCTGCACCCTCTTCCTACGCCTTGATCCTGATGGACATCTCAATGCCCGTGATGGACGGCTTCACAGCCACCGAATTAATACGCAACCTCGAACAAAAGAACAAATGGGAACGTTGCACTGTGATGGCCTTGACAGGCGTCGGCGACGCAGAAGCAAAGAAACGCGCCTTCCTCGCCGGCGTCGACGACTTCATGACCAAACCCGTCAGCATGGGCAGATTAAGCAGCATCATCAAGAACCTCGAAGGAGGAGGAGGAGAAGCAGACAACAATGCCAACAACGCCAAACCCAACAACAAGCCGCAAATTGACTGCCACGAAAAGACGAACGGGCATGCTCAACAACAGCAGCAGCATACGGTGGAGCAATCAGCCTGACATGATAGCCGGAAGCAAGAGCAACAGATCGAGGTCCAGGATTTTGCTTCCGGCATACCTTCGAGCAGTGCTCAACAAGGAACCAAAAGGAGGAGATCTCCAAACACTGATGGCTATGACGATGCAGAAGACAAGAGGAAAAGATCCATTGTTGAAGCTCAAGCTACTTCAGGATCGTGAGTGCAAGTCGTCGAAAGAAGGTGGATGATGCAATGATGAAGAAGTTTTTTTTATGGGATCAACGGCCAATTACAAAGGGGGAGCGAGTTCAGGGAATGATTTTTGGAAAGGGAAAGGCACACTCTTTAATTGGAGTTCTTGTTCTATGTTACAACGCACATATATCCCAATCCTGAATTTGAGAAGGAAGGGATGGATAAGAGGGGGAGTTCTTTTTTCGTAGTTCTTTTCACTCAATTCTGTACACTTCCTACTGAGTATGGAACTTTTCAGCAAATTGCTGTTGTTTTTTTGAAACGGAAACCCCCATTTTCACATTCGTGTCTTTACTTTGCTTGCAGCCTTTGTGTTCGTGTCTCTTTCTTCATCTCAGGGTGTATAGGAGGTTAAATAACAGAGCTGTAAAAATACACGATATTATCCTGGGATAGGTCTTGTCCATTGAGAGCCCATGAGACTGTCGACTCTCTCTGGACATCACTTTGAGAATGGAAACAATTGTGCATTGCTACAGTTGCAATTATAAGAGCTCGGTATCGTGGGAAAGATGAGAAAGGAGTAAACGTATCATCGACTCTCACATCGAATGAGCAGTGCTTTGAGAACCGTCGAAATGCAGGATAGTTTGTGGGGACGAGTGGTTTCCACTGAGAGCCTGAGCTCTTAGGGACTCTCCTTGGACATCGCCTTGGATATGGATATTATTGTGCATTTCTATAGCTATATTCGACTATGCTTCTGCACATGGGGAAGTGCACTATATTGGCAGAAACGTCCGGGGTATCCATCAATACACTACATCTCAGTCAAGGAACAATCAAACACGATAGATACTGTAAAGTTACATGATTGTATTTCCCAGCAAAGAGAGAGCTATCCACGACTACCAGCCCCACCCCTTTATTCAAACGAGGTCACCGTGCCCTTGCACAAAGCCCAAAACTCCTTGACCACGACTACTGTCTGTCTACNCCNCCTCAACCCCAGCACCTTGGCCGCAAAGACCCGCTTCTCCTTCTCCCCCACATTGGTGGATGGAAAGTTTGCATCTAGCAGTGCCTCTTCGAGGTGCTGCTTGGCCANGCTTCCAGGCTGCGAGAAGACGAGCGCGCGCAGGGGTTTGCACAGCGACTCGATCTCTGAGCGCTGGGCCAGCCCACCAATGTTAAAGATGAGGGCGCGGGAGAGAGGAGAAGCAAAGGCGCTGAGGACGGAGAGGGAGGNGACCCGGCATGCGGGCAGGGAGTTTGCGGTGCGTGGGTTGGCGAGACCCAGCAAGGTTTNCCTGCTCATACATGTTAGCGTCAGGTACGGAAAGAACGACACTCAGGCGAAGACTGAGACGAGAACGAGGCTTACGAAGAAATTGCAGGCGTTGCGCTTTAACATGGGCGCGTTGCCTGCCATACAATTTATGACAAATTGCAGAGCTGCGGCGATCTCCTCATCAGAGGGCGAGAGCAGAACGTCAATATAGCTGACTAGCAGCCTTTGCATGAAATCAATGCATAGCTGGGCGAGTTGAGGGTCGTTAGCCGGGTCACCGAGCTGCTGCATCACCAGCGCTACTCTCTGATAGACCGCTGACATCTCGTCAAACATGTGAGGTGCCGACTTGCGCGAACAGTTGGACACAAAACTGCACGCTGTACCGATGATAGCCTCGATACGAGGTGTGCTGATCTGTGCCTTGCTGATGAAGGCGACAGTGGCCGAAGGTGGGAAGACGAACGGACCCGGTTTTGTCTCCTTAAGACCGGCGCGCAGGATTGCACAGGCGGCATCCATTGCATCGCCCGGGTTGTGAAGGTACTCGACTATGTTAATGCATTGCACGATGCGATTCTGGATCTCTACGCCAGCCTGCGAAGTCCAGAAATCGCCAGCTGCAGCCGAGTCGTCGTTTCCTTCCTCATCATCGCTGTCCACATCGATTACATCATTGGTGGGCGCTTGAATACCTTTGCCAATGCTGGCCAGACATTGCAAGGCAGACGTTCCGAGCACTTCGCTATCCTCGACATTACCCTTGTTCAGAGTTGCGATAGCTGTGTTAAGATCATTCTCGATAACCCCAATGAGCGAAATNNCAAAGGCGCAGCCTTGGCTTCCCTCGGTTGGTAAGGCTTGTATGATCGAGGCCAGAGCTGCCATAATCTTCTCTTNTTGATAGCTGTTCGCTGAGGGACCGGAAAGTGCTTGCGGGCATTGTTGAAGGAGTTCGTCGAGATGTGGCGTCAGAGACTTGCGACATGAGGAACAAAGCTGCTCAAGAGACTTGGCGGAAGCGTCCGCGAGCTTGACACGGTCTGCAGGTGTAGATCCTAGTATTGTGAAGAGGAAGGTGAGGACAGGTGGTAGGAACTGTGGATGCTNTTTGATGAACGACGAGTATCGATCGACAAGCGTCATGGCAGCACGCTTGAGTTTGTTTGGGATATCTGCACTGTTGGAAGAGATGTCGCTGAACAATGAGGAACCAATGAGTGCGGATAGCGCCTGAGTGTTCTCATCTGACAGTGCAATGGAGTCCGAGATGCAATTGATCGAGAAGATTATGGCCTCAAGATGTAGCCATTGGTGAGTGGGCAAGACACGGGTTGCAAGAATGACCATATTACTGAGAAGATGTGTCTCTGGGACGCTGTTGACCTGGTCAAAGAAATCGCTGATGTTATCGCGGAAGAATTGCCAGTGATCGACATTGTCTTCGTCCCACTCGGACATTTCTGCTAGAGGTGGCGCCTGCAGCTTGGGTATGTATGTCTGAACGGCTTGCATAAGGTCGTTTCTGACAACTGCTAGGGAAGGAATCCCATCCTCTGCTGCGTCCATGACTGTATCGGCAATCTGCTCGGCGTACTCAATCCAGAACTCGGTCACGTTCAGAATGACTTGGTCATCTTCAGCAGGGTATCCAGGAGCGCGCAGTAGTTGTTGGAAAAGATCNNTAAGGCTGTGTTAATTGAACGATCATGGGCGGAGTGTAGGCCTCGTAGACTGACCAATGATTTCTTGAGATGATTCATGATTTCTCTCCGAAATTAAGTCCTTGACAACCAATTTACCATAAGCAGTGATTAGTTTGCTGAATGCCACAATAGTTGGGTCCAAGAAGTTTGAGCTCTGCAGTAAACATTGTGGACCAATAGTTCTGCGCACTAGCAGTGATAGAGATTCTAGTTGCTCTTNTTGAAGGAATTTCGAGCGATACTCCAGCGTATTGACAAAGAATTCAACGGTGGGGTCCCTGACGCTTTCCTCATGGTGCAACAGATGCTGCAAAGCCATTGGCGTTAGATTTTGTAGAAGCTGCAGGGCGACAGGGTCAGTGGTCCAGTGCGCGAAGCTGTAGGTGACCCAAGCAGAGAAGCAGTTCACGGCTTCGACTCGGATTTCTATGGACAGCGGTGTTGACGTGCTGAGCACATAAGTCATGAGTATTGCCGAATCAGTGGTGTTGCTCTTGAAGATGTTATCGAGATGATAGTACTGCGGGCCCAAGATAGAACTGTTCTGTACATCTTCGGCCAACACCCTGCAAAAGCGTACAGCCATGAACAATTTCAATCCTGACAATCCACTGATGATTTGGCTGGTGTCTGGATATGTGCCAAGCATGTCGTGAGGGACGACATCACCAGCGTGCAACGAGCAAATGATTTGGCGTACAGTCTGAGTCCAGGGGACAGGGGACTGAATGAAATATGTGGCCATTGTAGAACAAAGCTTGTCAATGATGAGTTTGGGAGGCATGTCACCTAGCGCAAGGCGAATNNCTGTAAGGAGAAACGATAAGAGGTTGCGTCGCGCGAATGGAAGAGACAAACTTACAAACCACAGAATCAGACGCGATCTTAGTTCAGCGGCTGCTTGATCATCGAGTGTGCTTCTGAGTATCGTCAGTACCACGAACCGCACGTAGTGCTGACGGAAGAGTACTGACCTGTCTTTGTTGAGTTTGATCTGCAGAGTCAGAGCTCCGTAGAACTTTATGTTGGTATCTGCATGGTCGAGCATAGCATCTGCAGCAGCCCATCCTTGATCGGATAACTGGATCTCCTGCAGCTCGCGCGATATCTGCGAGGCACCGGCTGCGTATCTGGGATCATTGAGTCGTCGTACGAGCTCGATCGCTTGATCAGCCACGCTCATTTTTGGATCTAGAAGAATCAGTTCAATTAGTCTTCCTGACTCGATTGCTCGCTGGATGGGGCCATGAGGCCACTGGCTACGGGTTGCTGTATGCCAAACCGACGAGTAAGTCATCTTGACGATGGTGGTAGGCACGGGATGCTCTCAGTTGCAAAGGTTTCTCGTCGTGCAAAGATTCGCACCCGACTGATAGAGCAAAAGAAACGAGTCTCGTCGAACATCCACCAGAGACTGCCTTGGCATTGTGTGAGACGGGGTCAACGACATGGCCTACCTTTCGAGATATAATCCGGGGAAGCCTTGCTATAGTTGTCGACTCAGCCTGGGATCCAAGGCAAGGTACCTTTGCAGAAGTAGTCACTCACGAGAGACAGACAAGGAAATCCACAGCCAAAAAGGCGTGAAGGCAGTACGAGAGATGTTGAGATCTCACGACGGGAAGATAGCTAGGTAGAGGGTATGCACCTACTGATGTCCCAGAATGGCCTCCTATGTCTTGGTGATTGTCTTTGGTAGTTGATTGCGAGGTAGAGATGATGTTTGCGCATAGACGCCGACGCTATGTTGGCGGAGGTTGCCGACCGGGAAGGAAGGGTCCTTTCGGCGTTTGTGAGGCCGTGACTCCGTCATAGCGTGCCCAATCGACAGCGAGACATCGAAGCGACACGCGACCTGATGCTACGTGGACTTGCTAGACTCAGTACACTTTCAAGAGGCATCACTGCCGGAAGATTGTTCCACGCTTCGGCAATTAGAAAATATCCTATCGATATGGAGAAAGTCAACACAAGCGAGCGACTCGCGCAGTTGCGAGAGCTCATGGAGCGCAACAAGGTAGATATCTACAGTAAGCCGTCTCAATGCACATCGACAGACAACTGACTGACTCTCGCAGTTGTGCCTTCCGAAGACAGTCACCAAAGCGAGTACATAGCTCCTGCCGATGCTCGTAGAGGTCAGTCCGCATGATATCATGCTCAGATGGCCAGCCGACACGGTATTGACGCGAATACAGAATTCATCTCTGGCTTTTCTGGCTCCGCTGGAACTGCTGTAATCACCCAGGAGAAGGCCGCCTTGGCTACTGATGGAAGATATTTCAACCAGGCCGAAAAGCAACTCGACAGCAACTGGACTTTGCTCAAACAAGGTCTCCAAGATGTACCCACCTGGCAGGAGTGGTCCGCCGAGCAGTCTGAAGGTGGCAAGATCGTTGGTGTTGACCCTACTACCATTACAGCCCGTACGTCTCCCTCAAAGTTCAAATGACCACCACTAATTGCATACTANGCCGACGCACGTAAGCTTTGCGATAAGATTAAGAAGAAGGGCGGCCAGGACCTCATCGCTGTCAAAGAGAACCTCGTCGACTCGGTTTGGGGCTCCGCAAGACCTGCCAGACCGAATGAAAAGGCCGATGTCCTCACGCTCGACTTTGCCGGCAAGAAATTCCAGGACAAGATTGACGATCTGCGCAAGGATCTGGATAAGAAAAAGGGCGCCAGTTTTGTCGTGTCTATGCTTGATGAGGTTGCCTGGCTATACAACCTACGTGGAAGTGACATCCCCTACAATCCCGTCTTCTTCTCTTACGCCGTTGTCACTCCAACTACCAGTACCCTCTACATCGACGACTCGAAGCTCACTGCTGCCGCAAAGACACATCTCTCGGGTGTTGAGGTCCGACCCTACGATGCCATTTTCACCGACATGGAAGCCTTCTCAGCAGCCTCTGACGGAGAGAAAAAATATCTCGTTTCCAACAAGGCTTCTTGGGCTTTGTACCAAGCACTCGGTGGAGAAGATAAGGTCGACTTAATACGCAGTTTGGTTGGCGATGCCAAAGCTGTCAAGAATGAAACCGAGATGAAGGGTATGCGGGAATGCCATATCCGTGATGGTGCTGCGCTGAGCGAGTATTTCGCATGGCTCGAAGACCAGCTTGTCAACGAAAAGGCCAAGATTGACGAAGTCGAGGCTGCTGACAAGCTGGAGTCGATCCGCGCGAAGCACAAGCACTTTGTCGGTCTCTCCTTTGACACGATATCTTCTACTGGTGCGAACGCTGCCGTCATTCACTACAAGCCAGAGCCCGGCGCATGCAGTGTTATCGACCCCAAGGCGATATATCTTTGCGACTCAGGCGCTCAATACTTTGATGGTACAACAGATACCACTCGCACCATGCACTTCGGTGAGCCAACAGACATGGAGCGTAAAGCATACACTCTTGTGTTGAAGGGTCACATCGCGTTAGACAAGGTCAAATTCCCGAAAGGCACCACTGGCTATGCGATTGATGTCCTAGCCAGACAGTTCCTCTGGGCTGAAGGACTTGATTATCGACATGGCACTGGTCATGGCGTTGGATCNTTCCTCAACGTCCACGAAGGACCTATCGGAATTGGCACTAGAGTTGCCTACAGTGAGGTACCGTTGGCAGTTGGCAATGTCATTTCGAACGAGCCTGGCTACTACGAGGACGGCGCGTTTGGTATTAGAATAGAGAGTAAGTTCAGGTCAGAGAGATTGCACATGGGACCAATCTGGCTAACACGATCTNNAGATATGTTTATGGTGACGGAGAANAAGACGACGCACCAATTCGGCGACAAGCCTTACTTGGGCTTCGAGCATGTTACAATGACACCGATGTGCAAGAAGCTCACAGACGCATCGCTCCTCACGCCGGAGGAGAAGCAGTGGCTGAATGACTACCACTCAAAGGTGTACGAGAATACCAAGGGGTACTTCACACATGACCAGAGAACGTCGAAATGGCTTGAGAGAGAGTGTGCAGCATACTAGGACAAGTTCGTCGAGACGTGACGATAGCATAGCGTGTATTCATACAAAGACGTTTTTGATAGAGCGGATAAGGCGATGCCTCAATCAGGGAAAGTGTCGTGAGAGAAGCCGAGGTCCAACCCCCACGCCAGTCTCTCCAGATTGATCGGAGCTCTCTTTGGTTCTCTACTCCAGACAAGTGTGACGATATTCAGCAAAGAAGGTGTTCAGATAGCAGCAATTGAGCAGTGAACAAATACACCGATGCTGCCATGTTAGAAGGGACGCGCCGGTGGTTCAGGCGCAATCGCACCAGGTTCGCCATTGGAGCAGGCACGCTAGGGCTGGTCTACCTGGCCGGTCAATATGCCTGGAGCAAATGGCTCGAAGCACGCCAGCGCATGGCCGACGAGAGGATCTCCAGAGAGAAGTAACGACCACTATCTCCGTACGGGAACAAGAGGCTAACAGCATGANNCAGCCTCCGTCGCCGCTTCGAACAGAATCAGGAGGACTGCACCTACACCGTGCTAGCCTTGCTCCCTACAATCCGAGAAGAAATTATCGGCGCTCTGCCCGTCGAAGACATCACGAATGAATTGCAACGCCAGCGGTCAGAGAAGCTGGCAAGAAGTGCTGGCCCGTCAGAAGCAGCGTCCTCGGAATTCCCCTCAGCTCCTCCCAGCACAATCGACGACTCTGCCAGCATGTCCAGCTTTCAAACTGGCAGCTACATCCATGCCAGTCAGATGGCCGACAGTCAGGACGCCAGGTCGCTTTTGAAGAAGAAATCCAAGGCACAACTCTGGAATGACATGAAGATTAGCTGTGAGTCGTGCTTCAACNNCGCTGTGTGAAAGAAGGCCACTGACAAGTTGATTGCAGCCATCACAAGAGCTCTGACTCTGCTATATACCCTTTCTCTCTTGACTCTCCTCACCCGCATCCAGCTGAACCTCCTTGGTCGTCGTACATATCTCTCTTCGGTAGTCTCGCTCGCCAACCCGTCGAACCCCTCAGACACCCACATCTCCATGGAAAACAATGATGACGACAATTATGATAACGTTTACGGCAACGACTTTGAGACAAACCGCAAATACCTGACCTTCAGCTGGTGGTTGTTGCACAAGGGTACCAAAGACATTGTCGACAAGGTTAGCGCTGCTGTTAAGGACGTCTTCGGTCCCATCAACCCTCGCGAGGATATGACTCTCGAACGCTTGAGCGAACTCATCCTCGAAGTCCGTAAGAAGGTCGAGGGTGCCACCGAGGCCGAGCGTCGCGAACATAGGTGGCTGTCGTACATGCTTCCTCCTCGCGACCAAGAGGATCATGTCTTGTCAGAATCTGGCATCGACGCCATGTCTACATCACCCGCACCGCAAGAGACGTCGCAAGATCCCATGTATGCAGCCAGCTCAGCTTCCTCGAATGCCTCCCTTCGCAGATTGCTTGACGAGACGTCCGATCTCATCGACTCGCCAACATTCACCCATGTCTTCACTCAAGTTCTCAACGCTACCTTCTCTCACCTCATCGATTACCGTGTCGCAACCGAAGCCTTCAAGATCAGCCCTCCAGCACCTGACTCTCTGTCACGCATCACCGAGATTAGCGACAAGAAATGCAAGTTCGCTCAGACTCTTGCTGTCTTCTGTCGTCAAGCCCATGTCATCGCTGCTGGTAGCAGCGAGCCCGACGACCTTGTGGCTGCCGAATCTGTCGGCTCTCAAGTCAACGAGTATCTTAGTGCTATCGACCAGGTCAAGGATCTGGAGGCCTTTGCTGCTGTCATCTACTCTAGCAACTTCGAGTTCGAGGCTGCCGAACGACAGCAAGACGAAGTCAACCATGCAGCTTCTACTTGTCAAGTCAATGCGCCTGCTACGTCAGCACCAACTCAAGCTGCAGAAACATCCACACAGGCATCTGCAGGCCCTTTGTCTATTGAGGAAATGGATCATGTGTGGAATAGAAGCCAGGCTGAAGGACCGTCGGCACCCAATGCCCCGACCTACAGTGAAGTGGTCCAAGCTCCTGTACCTGAATCGTCATTCTCACANCCATCCCGAGGCACAAGAATCACAAGTAGCCCAGCAAGAAACACAGCCTGCAGAACAACAACAACCAACAGAACAACCCAAAACCTATGCAATGGCCGCAGCAGCAGCGACAACTATTCCCCACTCACCTTGATTGTCGCCACCACAGCCAAAAATGGCATCGGCAAGAATGGAACTCTGCCCTGGCCAATGCTGAAGAAGGAGATGGCCTATTTTTCCCGCGTCACCAAACGCGTCCCTGGAGCATCTTCCATGCCCGACACCTCTATGCTCGCCGAGACTTCGTCACAACTCTCTGATTCCTCTGAAGTTGCGGCAACAGCAAACATCCAACCACCACAAAATGTGGTCGTCATGGGCCGCAAGACCTGGGAAAGCATACCNCCCAAATTCCGCCCTTTGCCGCAGAGAACCAATGTAGTCATTTCGAGATCTGAGAAACTTGAGGGTGTGGGTGAAGATGTTGTTGTGGGTGATAGCATCTCATCTGCTCTTTCTGCTCTTGTCGCAAAGGTCAAGGAGGGTCAAGCAGCGCCTTTGGGACGTGTGTTTGTTATCGGCGGCGGTGCCATCTACAAGCAAGCCTTGGAGATGGAACAAGCCAAGAGCATTTTGCTCACCAGAGTTGAAGGAGAGTGGGACTGCGATACGGATTTCCCTATCGATGTTGAAGCCGAGCAAGGATGGACGAGACGGCACAAGGCAGATTTGGACGAGTTTGCTGGTGAAGATGTGCAGGAGGCCCAGGAGGAGGAGGTCAAGGGCGATAAGGTCAGATATGAGTTTAGACTATATGAGAGGGTGTGAAGAGCAATGTATTGGAGGGGTTTTTTTTTTTGGCTTGATGTATGCATGATGGGAATGCTTTTTTTGTTACGGCTGCATGATATACAAGTTCATACACATTTCATTTCCGTCTTTCCTTTGAAGTTGGGCCATGTTTATCATTGTGGCACTTTTTAAGCTCTTGCACGATCAAAGCACGTAAAGGCTGAGGTGGACAAGTCACACGGCATTGATAAGAGCTAGATTGAGGTTGTGTTATGCATGCATCTTGGTGCCAGTAACTAAGACCCTCAATCATGACAATACAACATGTCATCTCTCATTCTCGTTTTCGTTGTTCTCGCATGGCGTGTCTGTGAGAGCGCGTGCCAGGATTCACCCATCTCCTTACTGTTCGGAATAGTCTTTGTCNGTCTGTGGGAAGTGTTAGTTCATCAATCTATCCATAATGCTGCTTGATGCGAGATGAAACAACTTACAGTAAGATGACCACCATACCAAAAGTGATAGGCAAAGCCAGCCACCAGAAGTANNTCTAGTTTTCAAGTCAGCAACTGGTGCTCATAGACAAAGAGAGTCGAGAGAAGCAAAGATGATAGCCAACATACACATGCGAGTTCTTCAAAGGCTCGAACTCTTCAAAGTTCATTCCGAAATATCCAGACAGGAAAGTCAAGGGTAAGAACAAAATGGTGACAAAAGTCAATTGTTGCATGCTCTCGTTCTGGTATGCTCCCATGGTGTTGAAGATCAAACTAATCATGTTGTCGCTTTGCGTGCGCATTTGATCAAGAGAGGCGATAATCATGATACAATGGTCTTCCACATCACCCAGATATGTGTGCGCGGCTGGAGAAATGTTGACAGAAGACTGAGTGTGTGTTTTGATGATCGCAGGCCCGGAACTGCGTCGAGCGAGATCGGAAATGGGGTTTGCGGATGAGGTGTTGCGGTTTAGAAGTTGGGCTGTGCTGTGGTGGTCGCGGAGACTGTTGATCAAAGAGGCTATGGGTTGCATTTGTTGTCTTAACATTGACAACTCGGATGTCAGGATGTAGAGGGCTTTGGAGTGTCCAATGGCGGGTTGAGTGAGGACGTCCATTTCCAACTCGGCAATGGCTTNTTCGTATGTTGCGACGATTGGAATGGCCAAATCCGTGATAGCATCGATGATTGAGTGCACCAGAAGAGAGGCATCGCCACTTCGGCGAAGAATTGTCTCGGGTGAGTTGAGTCTTTTCAAGATGGGTTCTTCAATGACATCGCCAGAGTGTTCGAAGAATGATACCACGGTGTTGTCGCTACAGAGAAATACGCTGACTTGCTCAATGGAGACCCCTAGGCTCTTGCGTGTCAAGATCGAGTTCTTCTCCATGTACGCGACTCGCTCGGGCGATCTGTCACCACGATAGGATTGCAAGCTACGTAGGTGTGTTTGATTGTCCGGTGGCTGGAAGGTCTTTTCGGTCTCCCACGTGATACCAGTGCGACCGCGCGTAGCATGACGAGATTCCGAGCTCGAAAGAGCTTNTTGGATATCGGCGTCGCTACGACCATTTTGTGACGAAAGTTTGGTCAGTCGTTGAAGGGTCATAATAATGAAAGCATGCTCTGGATACCAGTCCGCTTTCGTTCGGTTTCCAGTGTGCATCAAATCCTCAATGGCCAGAGGGTGAAGTTNTTTGTGGTTGCCTAGCAATTTGATGACATCCCAGCTCAATCCGTTGACATTGATCCAGCGACAAGTAGCCCATTCCGGCCTTGACTTTTGAGAAAATCNCGCCAGTGATTCGTTGTCCAGCTCAGTCTGCTCAATTTGGTTCTCGCAGAAGTCCACTGCTGTTATTTGTGANNCTGTCGCTGTGGTCAGTTCTTCGTATCGGGTTGTTCGTCGGATTGTGTTTACAGGAAAGGTTTTGCCATGCGACACGACACCGTCAGCAGAAGTATCGATGCCTGGCTCGCTACCAGGCTGCCACTGGAAAACCGAGTTCGAATCATAGAAGCCAGATGTCGTGGAAGTCCCTTGGTCACGTTTGGCAGATGATGTGTATCGAGATGGTGAGACTGGTTTGTTCGTGGACTTTAATGTCGATTGGCTATCTGTCGATGTATGCAGCAGGCGTCCGCATCTGCTTGTGATTATAGGATTTTCCCAAAGCAGCCGCCTGCTTAGGAAGAGCGAGCGCCGCATTTTGGACTTCTCGGGTCGTGTCTGTTCTTACAAAAACATAGTCGGTATAGACATTACTTTATCAAATATGACGTTGATGTGGTCGCGGCTTGGACAGGATAATTGGTGGAGCATTTGGAGATGCGCGTCAGTATGAACACCCCTGGTTGTATCAACGCATCAACGTTCCAATTGTGCCCTGAATCGTCTCCACTCTTTAGCAACGCATTATCAATCTCGTGTCGACGATATCGTGGTTGTGAAATCAGCCATTGCAGAATTGTCCATCGATGTTCCCATTGCAGGAGGATAGCTCGCAACTCGCACATGCTTTTCTAACATCACAAACAGGGTCGTTTTAGCCAGGGCTGTGCCTACCGTCTTTATCCGGACTTCTTGGCTTTGCGCACTCCGTTCCATCTTCGCTCTCGATTCGCAGTCCATGCACCCCACGAGATGAGCACAGCAGAGCGCGGTTCCAGAAGGCCAGATCAGACATTTGACAGGCACTTGGATCAGGACACGAGACCCGATATCGTTGTATCATCAAATCTGGCCATGTGCTTCTCGAGGAGCAACTCGCTTCGCGACGGAAAAAGTGGGCCTTTACCAGTGCTTTGGACTTCAACCACACATGCGCTGAAGGACAAGAGCTTTGTACTATACAAGCGAGTCATGACATCCTCCACAGATTTTCTTCAATGAAGACGCAAGACTCAAGTAGACAAAGCATGTGGACAGAACACTAGACAGCTGCATCACGTCTTTGACGCCCAGCAATGCGCAATACGCCCAAAGGATTCAAGCGAGCTCTTGTAGGGCGTGCTGGGCGCCAATAGGCAGGTAGATGGAACAGAGATGAGAAAAATACCAGCGAAGTCACGCCGTGCACCCCAAACTCCAGACCCCCAAGCTTCCAACATAGCGTTTGTATTACTTAACGAATTACTGCTTGCATCCTAGTGACAATGACGCCTTCTCGACAAAGATTCACGCAAGAGCGTGGCCATTTTACAAAAGCACACGGAGGTATCGATTCGATGGATCCCAAGAACTGTTGCACAACTCCTTCAACAAAGGACCTGATATTCCCTACTTGGATCTTCGAGAGATGGTCTTCTCATCGTCAAAGAAAGTCCAGGAGGCTGAGGTGAAGGATCCCTCGGCCTTTGTGGACAACGAGACAGCGAGCGACGATGGTCACGATGTCTACCAGACTAGCGAAGGCCGACGACAGATTGGTCTCGTTAGTGCCATCTTCCTCATCTTTAACCGCATGATTGGAACTGGTATTTTCGCTACCCCAAGTAGCATTCTGTCAAGCAGTGGAAGTGTCGGCCTTGCATTGTTCATCTGGGTAGCTGGATTGATCATTGCCGCTGCTGGAATGGCTGTCTATCTCGAGTTTGGAACAGCACTTCCCAGGAACGGTGGAGAGAAGAACTACCTCGAGTACGTGTTCAAGAAGCCTAAGTTCTTGGTCACTGGTCTTTACGTATGTTCAACTACAAGACTATCAACGGCCATAGATGACTGACCTTCGGACAGNACTGGATACGTTGTTCTCCTCGGATGGGCTGGATCTAACAGCGTCGTCTTCGGTGAATACATCCTCAATGCCGCCCAGGTGCCCGTCAACCGCTGGAACCAAAGAGGAATCGGTCTCGCATGTATCACTTCGGCCTTCCTCATCCACGGTCTCGCTCTGAAGTGGGGTCTTCGCCTCCAGAACGTTCTTGGTGTTATAAAGCTCATCATTCTGCTCATCATCGTTATCGCTGGATTCGCCGCTCTTGGAGGCCATTTGCGCATCGAGAAACCCAACAACTTCGACAATGCTTTCGCGGGTACTACAGGTTCGGCATACGGCGTAGTCACCGCGCTATACAATGTCATCTGGTCATTCATCGGCTACAGCAACGCCAATTATTCCATGAGCGAGATGAAGAACCCTGTTCGTACACTCAAGATCGCAGCTCCTACCGCTATCATGATCGTTGGAGTTCTCTATATCCTCGCCAACGTTGCATACTTCGCTGCGGTTCCCAAAGAGGAAATCGTCAGTAGCGGACGTATTCTAGCTGCTCAGTTCTTCCGAAATGTGTTCGGTCCTAAAGCGGAGAGGGCATTGAGCGTCTTTGTCGCTCTTTCGGCTTACGGAAACGTACTTTCCGTGATCTTCTCCCAGGGCAGACTTGTCCAAGAACTTGGTCGTGAAGGCATCTTGCCGTTCTCCAGACTTTGGGCGAGCAACAAGCCCTTCAATGCGCCTTTCATGGGCCTGTTTGAGCACTGGGCTGTTTCGGTAATCATCATGTTGGCTCCTCCTCCCGGTGACGCCTACAATTTCATCNNCCTGAACGTGATCTCATACCCACTTTCAGTCGTCAACGTCTTCGTCTCGGTTGGTCTTATTTGGATCTACCTTCATCGCGAGCAATTCAACTGGAACCCTCCGGTTAAAGCTACCCTTCCGGTTACCGTCTTCTTCTTCCTCAGCAATGTCTACCTGGTCGTTGCACCATTTGTTCCCCCTCCCACCCCCGAGCTGAACCAGTACAAATCACTCCCCTATTACCTTCACTGTGTTGTTGGTCTCGGCGTAATCGCAGCCGGCGGTATCTATTGGGTCTTCTGGGCTGTTCTCCTACCCAAAATTGGAGGCTACCGTCTTGAGAAGGAAGTCCACAAGGATGCCGAAGGCTGGACCAGGAACATCTTCATCAAAGTTCCAAAGCACCAACCTCCTGTCGAAGGCAGCAGTTTCTAAGCACGACACCATGACTTTAACAGTTTTATTAATGACGGGTTACGAAAAGCATTGATTTTTATTTAGAGATACCCCACGATTTCAACCATCGTACCACCACTTGCTTTCAGCGAAATGTTCATAGAATATTGGAAAATCATTTGCTTCCAGCAAAACACTTTTGACGCTCTCCAAGAAAGCTAAAATACATGCCATTCTGAATACAAACCCTCTAGCGATAAGGCCATCTATGTACGCTATGCATGCATGACGTAACAGCACCGTCGTGGTTAAGATACATGAGCATTGGTGTTACAACCCCATACTCTAATCGCGATGAGGCTCTGCGGCCAGCCCAGTCCTTGGCCAAGAAAGCTCGCACGTCTAACTCGACGACCGCAAAAGTGATGTCCTTGACCGAAAGTTACTATCTTCGACCAAAATCCATGTCTTCGACTGGTAGTAATGTCTTCCGACCGAGAGGGATCTCTTCGACCTTCCCACCCCTAATGGTTAGTGAGACGTTCTCGTTGAACGCGATACAGCCAGGATCTGAGTCATATGCGAGAATAAATGCCTCTGCGAAGTGCATATATCGCCGATATCTTGTCCGAAGGAGGATGAGACTTCTGACTTCGAGTGGCTAGATTGAAAAGGTAGCAGGTGATCTACAAATCCCGAATGTCCGTTCCTTCCTAATGTTGTATGTTGCGGCTCACTGTATAGGCTTGGCGAAAGGATTAAAAGCTTGGTTCGAATGGTATAAGTTGGACACCTCGACCTATATCTATTGAACACCAGTTACGTACATCCTATATACGCTTCTCTTTCTTTCATTGCATTGAGCGATTGGTATAGCACACACACTACCTAGTTTGAACCTACCTACCATCCAAGCATCAACTTCGCAACTACGTTTACGTCATTGCGACTTCCTCAACCTACCACAGACATTCGCATGAGCATACAGGCTCCAATTGATGCAATACGCAAATTTGTTGAACTTCCCAGAGTTACGATCATTACGACTGTTGGTATTGTCCAAGGACTTCTTTTCTGTCGATCCCCGCTTCTCTGAGAGCAGTTTGCTCGTCAATAGAAATGGGCCTTACACTGCTCAGTCTACCGAATGAAGTTCTCATCGGAATCATAGAGCATGCGGCCGAAGCTTGCAAGAGAACACTTTTNAGTCTACGTCTCGTCAGCAAGACTCTGGAGCGACTCTGTCATGATCGGTTTCTCTGTTGTCTGGAGGTGCTCCGCATAGATCCATCACANAAGGATAATCTTACACGACTGATGGAGATCTTGTCGAGTTCCGCACATGCAAGTGCAGTCAGAGCTGTGGCATTTGACTTCGTACGAGACTGGCGCAATGTATGGGCTGTAACACCACTGGTCCAACAGCTCTTCGATAAGCTAAGCACTCTAAACGTTACCCTCGAGCTGAAGTTCAGTCCTTATGGTAGCAATGAATGGATCTCCGAGCCATGCATTGTGCACTACATTGCTGGCATCGTGAAGCAGGTTTCAACGTCACATATGTCGGTAAATCGGCTCATCATCAGAGCAAAGGAATGGGATCCTGAACTCCAGCTCGACAAGATGCTATGCAGACTGGAAAAATTACTCTTAGCTCAGGAAAAGGAAGCCCAGACATCCTCCATGGAATCGGTCATCGTGGAGTTCAAGTATGGCGAGGTCATGTATGATCGACGAGATCGTTCTCTTCGATTCAATCAAGTAACAGCCCATGACCTCCACGCAATTGGTCAATGGATTCAGGAAAAGCGTCCTACCGAGCTCTATTTGACAGATTGTCAATTCTTTGTCGAGCAGCTGGATGGAGTCCTGCTACCTACCGTCCAGCCAGTCAGTTCGTTGTCCCGCATCACGATCAACAATGCTCGACTTATGCATATAACGTCGTTCTTCGGAGGGAGTCAGACAGCCACACCACTCAACAAAATGCTCTCACATATACTGGAGCACACACACAGCCTTGATCATCTTTATCTAGAGAACATTCGAGTGGAGACTCCACATCCGAGGACACTCAATTTCGTAGGGGTGAACAAGGTGCAAATGACCGGCGAGGAAAACATCCGCGAGACACTTTCGCATCTGATGGCACGGCTAGCGGAGGAAGACCTGTCTGAGACCGAAAGCGAAGACATTGAAGAGGATGAAGAGGACGATGAAGATGACGAATAGAGCTTTGACGAGTATTCCCACTATCATTTACGATCTTACCAATTCTACGTACTTGTTTCCATTCAGCAGACAACACCGCTCCAATCTGCCGTTTCGTGGAGTGGTTAGCATTGACTCTGGGTCTTACCTATCTCTCTTTCAATCTACTACCTCCTGACTTGTGCGTGTTGGAGCAGTTGTTCGCAGCGCTAGAACTCTGCCAGTCTGTTGTCCATGTCATCGAGAAAACGCAAGTGAAGAACATGACTGTGATGTCTTTATATTCCAGCCTGATCTCATCAAACACAACAATATCCCCCATGGTCTGGTGGCTAGCAAAGCACCTCACTGTCGATACCAAGCTAACCCAATTCGGCAGTCACTTTCAGTCACAACAACCATTCGACCAACCACAGTCAACAAACACAACTTGCTCGAGTTCGAGCCTCTGCATCAGCTAAAACTTTCACCAGCACTTCAACTTATCAAGTTTCTTGATCAGGCGCCCCTGTGGAAGGGGGTCGGGTCAAAATCAAGAGGCTGGAGGAGAAGAGAGGGTGAGAGGGGATGAGGTGGAGGAGAGGAAGTCAGAAAGTAAGTGAACTTCCAAGCCATCAGATCTGGGGATTATCTTTTTGGTTTTTGTGTCTAATGCATGTATTGGATGCGGTTTGCGCCTGCCTTTCGCGTATGCTCTATCGCTTGCAATTCCTTGGGAATGATTATTGTCATATTGTCTTGCCTTTTGTAATGTCGACTCTGAGACTTTTGCTTGATCTTTACAAGGACTATAATCTATGAAACGAACCATATACGCCATTCAGCTTAGGGGTTCCCTATAAGCTCTAAGTACACCCTGGACGAGCCTCAATCTCCATGTGGCATCGGGCGGTGCATGAAGCAACAACATGTACTTTCGTCCCACTGGAGTTGCGTCCAGCCAAAAGTCCTATTTCTCCCTCGAGATCGAACGACTCCATCAATATCCTTAGGGTTCGTCAGTCACCCTCATCTGTATGCAGAAGATTGATCCATCTCTTGCGTTGTCGTGTAAAAAATGGAGCTCTTCAGGATGATAAGATCGTCTAGGCAAGCTTGTGATAATGCTATGCCAGAGCATGTGTCGCCATGTCCTGTTCAGGAAGGTATGATCGGCATAAGGCCGCAGCAACTCTCTAGTTCCGGAGGAGTAATGGCGGGTTGGGTGTGTTTCGTGTCGACGTGTGTCAAGTAGTAAAAGTTGGGTGCGCATCGCAGAGTCAACAGCGAGATCCGTACAGTCGTCTGCATCACACCGAGGCAACTGCAGCCCGCCGTGACGGTATTGCACGGCTACTCTCTGGATTTGATTTCACGAATGCTGCCGATGTCGATCTGGAAACTCTACGTCGACCTTAGGCTAATCGTTCGCTGCTCTTGCTGGGTCAAGGAAGATTACTTCTCCTTGTAGGAGTCTGCAAATTTCATCATGGCGGGATAGTCCCACTCGAGGAGCTTCTTATCCTGCGATGACAGAGCGTTGTTGATGGCCATTAACAAGATTGAGTCCCAGTTCGTAGTCCACCATCTGAAATTAGGCGCACCCAAGACGACAGAATAATGGGAAAGCACGAGCAGAGCATCTACTTCATGGTTCTGCACTCGCAACCAGAATGCATCGCTGACCATAGTAGGCCAACGACCTATGTTTGAGACTCCATCTGAAGACGTCGCGAGCTCTTTGTGTATGAAGTCAACAAGCTGATCGGTGGCCAGAATATCTGCTGGATCATTCAAACGTGCTCGCAGGATCTGGAAACGACGATCGACTTCGGGTTTCATCTCAATTGGATGTCCAGCGAAGGTGGCCTTGACCCATGACGCCAATTGAGTGCCGGCGAGCGATTCTGGGTTCAAGTTCCACACAGTCTTGCAGCCTCGCATAAGACTAAACAGATCAAGAATGCCATCAAAATCTGGCGGAGTATCGCATGCGTGTGGGAATGCAAAGGCTAATATGGCCAACATCATGCTGAAGAGCATAAGAACATGATGGCTATCGGACGGACGAACTTGTTCAAGCATAGACCTGAACAATCTGGTGCCAGCATTTTGATGAGCTAACGCCCTGGTCGCATACAATTGTCGCTCATTTGGTCGTGTGCGGGCAAGGTCCATAGAAGCCAAGGCAAGAATACCATGCATCAGTAGGGGGTTTGACTGTGCCTCATTGGGGACCATCTCTTGCCAGATCTCTCGTGAGCCCTGGCCAGCAAACAGTCCAAGCGAAGTTGATATGGTGTAATGGTGCATCAAGGATAGATCGAGCATATCAAAAGTTGAAGGATGTTCAAAGACTAGAGTTGATGCCGAGGACCCAGCTGGACTGAGACTTGCACTTTGTGCTGGGCTAGTGGGCACTTTGAGCTGGTCATAGGTACAAACTACGCTCGCTCTCTGACAATTGGCGCATATCGGACGACCTTCATCACACTTCACAGGTTGCTCATCAGCAACCGAACCTCAGGTTACACAGGACCAGCTTACTTTGATGTGTCTTTTCTTGCAATGGAGGCACCCGCTTCGCGACTTCCTGTGAAACCTGCGGGAGGACATCGGAGCCCTCGAGTGGGGTTGAAGATCTTGCGAGTTTAAGAAGAAACGCCTAAAAGTTGATGCTTCGGCCTTCCGGGCTATTTTTCTGTTCAAGTGGGAGAGAACATGTCGATACGGTATGCGCATCATCGGGCAAACCCAACCCCGTGGGCCCTAATTACTCACCGTCTCGGCGATGACCTGTCACCAAGAGCCGCGCATCCCGGCGGCCAAATTTGTCGCACTCTTCTCAGGATCCGTGCATCTTGGAACGCGCGCGCCGCGCTTCCCTCGCTAAACGGCAGCCTCTGACGGCCCTTTGTGGCTATTTGGCATGCCTCATCTACAAATCCCTATGCAGATCGCGATCTTGGCTCCGGTTTTACGATGAACGCATACGAGGAACGTTCGTAGCTCGTTTACAGCACGCTATCTTCAACGAAACGGCAAAGGATGTGCAGGCGCGATATGAATGTCGCAATTAACGATGCTCCTTCTAGGCCAGCACGTCGCTTATATCACAACCCATCCACCCCCACCATGTGCTTGTTTTCTGTTTTCGAGTCTTCTTTCTGCAGCTGACCCTGTCAAACCTTCATTTTTTTAGCCCAGTCGTCATAATACAACGACGCTGCATCGTCGTCGCGACTTCTAAACATGGCACGCGGATACTGCACAGAAGTCAGTGCGCAATGTCCCGTAGAAGCAACCACCTATGGATATCGACCTAATCTTGGAGGCGACATCTTCTTTTGTGTGGTGTTTGGAATCCTCTTCTTCGCTCAACTTTTCCTTGGAATCAAAGCTCGCCTGAAGGGCTTCACCTTCGCTGTCAGCATTGGATGTTTCGGAGAATGTGTCGGCTACATCGGCCGACTTATCATGCACAACAACCCATGGAGTCAAACGGGCTTCAAGATTCAGATTGTCTGTCTTATTCTATCGCCGTCCTTCCTGGCCGCTGGAATTTACCTCACGATTAAGCACCTGGTCATCCACTTCGGCCCTCAATATTCTAGACTAAAGCCCACTCTCTACACCTGGATCTTCATCTCCGCCGATGCAGCCAGTATCCTTGTCCAAGCTGCTGGAGGTGGCATTGCCGCCGGCGAGCAGACTGACTTGATCAAGATCGGAAACTCAATCATGGTTGCTGGTATTTGCGTCCAGGTTGCTACTATGGCTCTCTGTGGTCTTGTCGCTGCAGACTTCTTCTTCCGCCGCTACAGATCCCGCGAGGCTCAAAACAACCTTGACGACCCGATGACTCGCTCAACCCCTGGCTTCAAGTTCTATGTTGGCGCCTCGACTCTCGCCTTCATCACCGTCTTCATTCGTTCCGTGTACCGTATTCCTGAGATGGTTGGTGGCTGGGGCAATCCTCTGATGCAGAATGAGACCGAGTTCCTGGTCCTCGACGGAATGTAAGTTGTCATTGCTCAGACGCACATGGAGAAACATATTTGCTAACACTATAACCAGNNGATGGTCTGTATCGCTGCCATCGCCCTCACCGTCGCCCACCCTGGAGTCTTCTTCCCCCAAATCAAGGAGCACAAGAAGCCCAAGAAGGAGAAGAAGAGCAAGAAGAACAAGAAGGCCGAGGAGGCTGGACTAGAACTGTCAAGCAGTGGTGACAGTGTATAAAGAGATGGTTCATGATGTATTCTTTTCCTATACCCCTATTGCGTATTGCGGTTGATTGTTTCCCATAATTCGATAGAGCTCAAGATAGTGTATGAGTTCGCGATCCTACAAAATAGAAGTTGTCGCTCAAGATCCACCCTTTATGGCACCTTCGCCCCCGATAGACGACGCCCTGAGACCTGAACGATGAACAATGAAAACTCAGTAAGGCCAAAGCAAGCATCCACACCAATCCCACGCAACACCTCCCAGAAAGTCAAACAAATGGCTGAGCTGCTCCTTGAACCAGAGAAGTGCAATGACAAGCCCGAGAAGGGGGTAGAGACGCTTGTCGAAAGCAGATTCACTTGGCGTGTAGTCGGGAGCCTCGTGTTCAGCCAACAAGTCGACATCAATGACATTCGATGGATCAACTCCGATGACACAAGCACGACAGTATGGTTTGCCGCTGCGATCAGTCTGGCCAACGACTCTCACATGCTGGAACTGCTGAGGTACGTGCAGCGTGAAAGGAAGAGTGTATGTGTGAGTCGAAGGTAGGAGGATGTACGTGAGCGGCTGGACTCGAGGGTCTTCCTTGACTTGAGAGTTGGCGGAGCCGTCGAGGTATGTTGCCAGTTTTTGGGGGCTGTTGANAAGATGTATTCTTTTGATGATATGGTCCTGGTCCTCCTTGCCCTCATCCATGGTCTCGTCTTCGACCCAACCTCCGGTAGCATGTGCGGAGAAGCTGGGATGCCAATCGGACGATGGGTGGAAAACAACGTATTGAGTTTCATTGGTCTTCGCTCCGACAGGATAATCGTCAGGATACATGTACTGTTGCAAGACGTTCAGTGCAACCAAGTTGTACACCGCTTCAGCAAACATGCGTTGATGACCGAGGTTTGCCAGGCTTGTGATCTCAGTGCTGAGAGTTTGTACACTGGCAGATACCTTGTTTGCACGCTTGTCCAGGTTTCTCATGATGCGTAGCATGCAAGCAGCCAGAATGATGACCAATCCAGTAAACAGCAAGACATACATGAATACCGCAAAGGCATTGGGAATTGTCCATGTGGCCAGTGTGATGTTGTCGACCATCTGATGCACGGCCGTGAGAACATCATCGAAGTGGTTGGTGTTGAGTTGTATCAACTTGCCAGCTGCGAGGTTGCTTGTACGCTGAACAGATTTGAGGGCTTGATGAGAAAGATTGACATCAATCAGACTGAGCTTCTGTGTGGCCACTTCTGTCATATGCTGGAACGATTTGCATGCCTCATTGAGGAGATCGAGATCAAGGGAGTCCAGATGCGTCTTGACGGCGACGAAGAAGTCGTCCGCTTTCCAGCCTAGCATGGATTGCCCCATGGTGACAGATGATCAGACTGATGTTCAGCAGAATCAATGACAGATGGGTAGAATGATGGATGCTCATGTTGGCAGATCTGCGAGCGGGTTGGACAGTTATATGCAGTAGTCTCTTGCTGGCCATGATAGATGTGACAATGCAGACGCAAGTGAGACAGCTTCAGACGCAAACATGAGCTGTCAAGCATCAACATGGTTTGCTTCAAGAAAGGTTTCCTTGCACAGACATTGTCTCTGCAGGTGTGTCAACTGAATTTCGTTTGGACAAAGCTGATTCATGCTATTGGTATATACAAGACCCCAATCAGACGGCGAGAGACCGTTCCTAAGTAAGATTACCCTAATCATTGTTCTAGGTACTCTGAGGTAGCAATTGACACCATGAGCACCACTACCAAGCCAAACAAGGGCCAGACAAATGGCCAGTACGGTTTTGGTTTCTTTGGCAGGGAATCAACATCTTTCAGGTCCACTCCAAGCGGCTTGCCTCTGATGTGACCACGACAAAGTGCTTTGCCGCTGTAATCTCTCTGGCCTCGAATCTTGAGCGGTAAAAGAGCTGAATCAGAGCGTAGATCAATGGTGAACTCATATCGATGAGCGGAAGGGAGCAAGATGTAGATGACGGCACTGAACTCCGGGTCCTGGCGCAGATTGCGTAAATGCTCGATCAGTGCTGGAAGATCGTCGTACACGCCTCCAAATTCTTTGACTGCGACATCCTCAGCATGGAATGAGGCATGCCAGTCATTTCCAGGATGGTAGACAAAGTAGACAGCATCCTGTGGGTCCTTCGAATATTCTTTCTCGTGTAACACATGCTGATATTCGATAAAGCGATGAACCGCACCAGCGAATTGAGTCTGGTAATGAATGTTCTTCTGAACTTCGGTCACATCGCTAAGGTTCCTCAAGCTCTTGCGAACATGGTGGATAAATCGTCCCAACCTNNCCCTGATCAGCAAAGCCCCAACCACAATGGCCAGCACAATGTAGATCTGTGTGAAAAGGAGTGTTGCCTTGGCATTGTAGATCAGGTGGGCAAGGTCCTGTCCTTTGAGATCTCCAGACAAGTCGACAAGAGTTGTAGCTGCTTGCTGGAAGACATCGAGGCTGCTGTCCAGTCGGCCAGGCTTGATTCCATCCAGATGATGCTTGACGGCGACAAAGAAGTCGTCTGCTTTCCTGCCAAGAATCATTGTGTCGAAGATTGACCCACCAGGGCTGGCAACCACGTCAAGTCGTGCGTTGTTACTGCAGTTTGAATGGAAGACGGCAGTGTCTCCAGTTGAGAACTCTGGGTTCGTGTAAGGTTCGCGGAGCCGTCCACGCAAAATTCTATCGCACGTAGCTATTTACAGCGTCGACGACGTTCTCAACACGCTGGACACTAAAAGCTTATAGGAAGCGCTATACATGCTAAAGTTCAGCTATCTCCACTTGGGGTATAGAGAGTGGGGCGCATGTGCATGGATGTGGCTGGTAAAGCCTGGAACAGCGGCCTTGGCAGGCACAGTGACGTTCGTTTCCCCCCGTGCCTGCCTTCACCGACTGGCTACATTTTCAGACATATAACTCTGCTCAATCCTTCCGTCTGGAAACATTGAACTTCATCCTTCTCACATACAACTTTACGAAGACATCAGTTCATCTCATCAATCACATCACAAACATCAATCATATTACAATGTACACCTCAATCAAGACTCTGGCCGCAGCCATTGTTCTGCCCCTTGTGGCAGCCCTCCCCCTCAGCCAGCATAATGAGGCCGCCGTTTTCGACAGCAGCAAGCCTTTCACCCTCCACACTGAAGTCGTCAACGCCACCTCGGCATTCAATGACCTCTACCTGACCTCCTTCCACACCGGTGCTGGTCAATCTACCGTCATAGGAAGCAAGAACAGCAGCATCGCCATCGGATGGGGTAAGTCTGGTTGATGCCCTTTCGAGATCGTGCACGGATATTAACAACATTATTTAGACCTCTCGAACTCAATTCTCTCGCAGCCTATCAGTATCAGCGGAGAACCTGGCTTCAACTACGCTTACAACCTCAGTCTCGTTGACCAAGCACCTTTCCGCTCAAATGCCCCTTCTGGCTACGACTATATCTCCCTGGGCGTCAGTGGCGTACCTACCACCGGCTTTTACTTCAACAACTCCACTCTTGCCTGGTCTGGCTCAAACTCCACGGCTCCTGACTCCTTCGACGGCTGCTTTGCTATCTGCCATGTCAACGGTACTGCTCCATACTTCACCCTCGGTCGTGAATACCAGCTGTTGTGGAAGACCAACAACGCTTCTAGCACCTCCTCCATCTGTGCTGATGTCAAGTTGATTGGAGCCAACATTGCCTAGATGAGTCGCCATTAAGCCAGGAAGACCAAACAACATGATAGATGACTGCGAAGTCAAGTATATTGGGACTGGAAGCATAAAGCATTGGGCCCCTAATGGTGGAATTATACTCATGACAAACACGGAGTTACGACTTTACCCCTCCGTCTTACGAACATCCCTAGATAAAATTAATGATAACGACCCTTCTGACTACCTCTTGCCACTGGAACGTCTTTGTGAAAATTAACAAAGTTTACTGCAATTATCGACTGGGTGAGAGCGAAAAGATTATCTCGTGGCTGGTGTGTTATACGCTGTCGAGAGCGAGCTTTTGCCTGCTGAGCTGGTCATTAGTGTCGTCCGTGGAACCCAGGTCCAACAACTTTGCCATTAACATGGCAGCCCAGGAGCTCTGCTATGAAGTTTGATAGAACTATGCTGAGCCTCTCCAAAGCTTGTATGTTATCAAGATTTTGCCGCACTATGAGAAGACCTGCAACATGCAGCGCTCTGCAAGCCACGGCGGCTACAGTATTCTGGCAACAATGCTTGCAACAGGGCATACATCAGACAGGATGTTCTTCATTCTAGATGCGGATCTTAGGTAGACGGTCGGGTAGTAAGACAACTCCGCCACTACCTCGATTTCTGAGATTTGCAACTTCGCAGATTTGCAACTTTGTAAATTTGCTGATTCACAACTTTGTAGATTCGCAGATTTCTTGGTTCTGTTATTTGGTATCTTGTGGTTAGCGCCGTACAGATTCGAGAGCATGGCTTTGTTTATGTTTTGTTGTGCGGCACTGGATGTATATACCTTCTTCCTCCCACCTCGTCACCCACCACCTCGCCGTCGCCAACACCCTTCTCTACCCTCTTGCTGCCCTGTTATCTACCATGTCTCACTCGAAGAGCAGAGCTTCTCATGCCTCGTATTCTCCTAGCACAGTTCTCGATCTGAAGAGACCTATCATTGAGCACGAATGGTGGTCCATTACCAAGAACCGCTGGAACGAGCTTCGCGCCGAAGCTGTTGGCAGCAACAAGACCAAAGCCCAAACTGCTAGCACTACCCTGCGCAAGTACCATGATGCCAATGCCATCATGCTCTCCGACATTGGCAAGCCGACTCCTGCTGGTTGCTGCAAGAGTTGTTGGGACAGGAAAAGAACCAGCCGAAGAGAACTTGTCGTGTATTCGCTGCCCACGAGGACGGCCAGAGCCTTGCTTGTGCCTACTGCAGGCTCAAGGGCATCGGAGGTTGCAATGCCAACGTTATACCCCAGGATGAAGAAGTAAGTCCTAGCACAGCGCTCTCTGCACAAGGTTACTTATCTTCTGAGTAGGACTCTCCAGAAGTTAGCGCTGGCTTTGGAGAGCGTGTTGCAACTGTAGAGGGTCAATTTTATGACCTTGATCATACCGTCACCCGCCTCTACCAGGCACTTGAATACGAGCGTTCGGAAGTTGCTGAGTTGCAGATACTCAACCATGAGCTACAAGAACGCAACAATGAATTTGAGAAGCGTCTGCTCGCTCTGGAGACTGCTGCCGCCGCTTTTGCTAGCATCGCTGCTGGCACCACTGCCATTCCCTCTCCGGCTTCCAGTTCTTGATACGCCCAACGAACGACTTCCATTCTTCTGTTAGCTGCTCTGCTATCATGTATCATCGTGCGTCCTTCATATGAATTTTGCTGTTAATGATTGAAAGCAAATGAATAGAGTATGGAGTCAGCTCGGTTTGCATTCTCCCGAGCTTCCGCAAACTGAATCGTGACTGCCCCGCCAGCATCCCCACCATCGATCCATTGAAGCTTCCTAAAGTTCACATCAACGGACAAATTAGGCTGAATAGCAAGGTGGACTATCTCCCTCTGCTATGTGTATCGTCATGTTTCTGCTCCGTCTCTTCTACGGCACTTATAGCACTCACAACATCCCGGACACCTGATATCACCTCACCAAGAAGCAGCCACCCAACCAAACACAAAGCAAATACCACGCAAGATGTCGATGACCCTCGAAGAAGCCCAGGTCCCCCGTCAGCCCAAGCCCGTTCCCTCAGGTCCAGACAATGTCCTCGAACAATTCAACCTCAAAGACCGCGTTGTTGTCGTCACTGGTGCCGCCGAAGGTATTGGCGGTGCCGTGGTGGACTCAATGGCGGAAGCTGGCGCCAACGTAGCACTCTGGTATCGATCCAACGACAAGGCCATCACAAAAGCTGAAGAGCTAGCAAAGAAGTATAGAAACAAGTTCAAGGCATATCAGATCGAGATCTCAGACCCGGAGAAGGTGAAAGAGTTGGTGGCCAAGGTCGTTGAGGACTTTGGAAGACTGGACGTCATGGTTGCAAATGCGGGCATGGCTATCTCGAAACCCATCTTGGAGACTAGTGTGGAAGAATACAAGAAGCAGTTTGCCGTCAATGGTGAGTCGAGTCGTCCAGTACAGTAGAACAATACTGACGCGGTGGCAGTCGATGGCGTCTTCTACTGTGCCAAATATGCTGGAGAACAGTTCAAGAAGCAGGGCAAAGGCAACCTGATCATCACATCGAGTATCTCAGCGCATATCGTCAACGTTCCTGTCGACCAGCCTGTAAGTTCACACTCTCTTCACAATGTCGTGCAGCCCGCTAATACAAGTTCCTAGGTTTACAACTCCACAAAGGCAGCTATCACCCACTTAGGCAAATCTCTAGCCAGGGAGTGGCGCGAGTTCGCTCGTGTGAACATCGTCTCACCTGGATTTTTCAACACCAAGATGGGAGCTGGAGAGAGTGTCATCAACGAGGCATACCGCATGACTCCCATGGGCAGACAGGTCTGTTTCTTTCAACGGACGAAGCGAGAAGTTGACTGACATGTTCCANNCCAGGGCGATGTCCGCGAGATCAAGGCTCTTTACTTGTACCTCGCCAGTGATGCTAGCAGTTACCAGACCGGTAGTGACACCGTTATCGATGGAGGCTACATCTTGCCTTGAGATACGGCATACGAGGAGGTCAAGGATGTACATACAGCAGAAGTGTACTGATTACGATTATACGAAGCGAAAGAGAAAGAAGACATATCAGCCGAACCGGCCAGATCATGCATCATAGCAGCATTGAACACGAGACCATCATCAGGCAGCAAGCATACGCATGACCGTGTCGACGATAGATTGATCATCAACCATCAACGCTCGAAATGTGCACCTCTTCAACCTTCCACCGCCTCTTTCATCATGAGCCACGCAACCTTCACATGATTCATATCTACATCCCTCATGACAGCCCAAAAGCGGAGCCAACACTCCGCTCTCACGTTTATGAACCGCAAGCTCCACCATGCTATCATATCCGAAGTCCTCCATATCGATCGATTTAGTCATCAAGAACGTTAGCAGCTGAACTGATATCAACAGGGATTAGAGCACCGGTGCAACCAAGATATTTATAAAGTTGTCAAGGGACTTCTGGGTGGTGCGGCAGTGCAAAGAGTAACTGAGTGGTGGGTGGTGATGTGGCCATATGCACGTCCCGTTATGCCAATCTCATTTCCCACCGGGGCAACAGGTGTCAGCGGGATCACGATCGTTTTTTCCTTACGCATCATGTCATGTTCGCCGGCGGCTTCAGCTGGTCGTTTCGCGGTCGTTGATGGTTTGGAGTGGCGTGGAACGGTGTGACGTGCTAGAGGAGAGGTAGGTGGGCATGTGGAAGTTGGGACGTGGAAGTGCTGGTGTCTTTTAGACAGGGTCGTATCCTCGACGATGATTTTTCGAGATGATAATGATATAGATCCAGCTACGAGGGGTCTGGAGTCCCATACAGTATCTCGTACGGCAGTCTTATCTTTGAATGGCTTATTGGTTTGTCTAGAAACAAAGATTTCGGCGCTGTGGGTTGCAAAAATCAAATGTAGGATTTCACCATAGGCTCTGCAGCTTGCTCACACTTAGATCAACGGATACGCGTTGGTTACTTTGTAAATATACACAACACGACTCAACAATTGACCCAGTATATCAACCAGAGGATGAAGGAACAGGAGGCAAGGTCGTCAAGGCATTATACTTTTGTTTTTACACTACTCGTACACTCATATATCGATGGCTGTAATGGGTTGAGATGGAAGCCATCAGTACCAGTCATCCTATGACGGCACATCCAACTCTTTGCTAGCTGACTCTGCCGCGGCCTACGTCGGACCGTCTCGTCGTTGTTCTTGTTATGTCTTTCTCTACTCCTACGCTCTCTAGACCACTCTCTCTGCTCGGCGGCTCTGAGCTCTTCACCAGCAGCGGCCAACCTTTCCTCCTCGGTCATCAACTCTTCAGGCTTGGTCTGCCGTGAAGCCTGCCTCGAAGGCTTCGGTCTTGCGGCAGCAGCAGGTGATCTGTCAGCTCGTGTGTCGCGTTTGTTGGTAGAAGGATCTCTGCTGCGCTCGCGGTTGCGTGGCTTAGATGATGGAGTCGCGGCATCCATTTCTGCATCTGAAAGGATAGCATCCTCGGGAACATCATCGGTGCCTCCACGGACATTCTTCTTACGCGGCCAGAGGGAAGGCAGGACAATTTGCTGGAAACGAGGTTCTACACAGCGTTCGTCGAACCAAGCGTGAATACGCTGCTCTACCAGTTGCGCAATCTTTGGTACATCCTGCAGGCGGGCACGTGAGCCGATCAGAGAGTGGACCGAGAGATCCAAGCGATAGTCGTCCAGGAAGGTGAATGTAAGTGTGGTAGGCGAGGACGATGGGTTTGCAGAGGACGACTCGGACTCATTGGCGGGAGCGTCTGGTTGTTGGGAAGGCGTGAAGGAGAGGGAAAGAGTGCCAGAGAAGCGAACGACCGAGACGGCTAGAGCGACAGGCAGGACGGCAGAGAAGGGCTTGGGATAGTTCAGGACGAGTTTTGTCTCAATGCCCAAGGTGACGACGTCTGATAGATCAACGTCCATGCGTGCTTGCAATCTGCTCTCTCCAAGGCCTCCTCTATTTGTGCCCTTTTGGCAGGCATCTGCTTGACGGGTTGTCCATTCTCATCTACAGGAATGACCCTACAATTGCTGAATATGGGGAACTCTTCTCCCAACGAGATCTCGGTGACTTTGATCTCATCGATGAAATGTGGTCGTTGACCGCCATTGAGGGCATTTGTAAGAGAGGTCAGCACGGCGTCTCCTTCAAGGGCATCCGCACGCAGCTGAGAAATTGTTTGGGCAATCAAGACATTGAACCAGTCCAAGCTCTCTGGCTGGTGTCCATCGACATTATAGTAGGTCTTTTCCAGAATCTTGTCTGTAGTGAGGACTGCACCGCCAGAGGAGATGTTTCGTGGAGCGAGCACAGCAGCGGAACTGCGTTTACGTAGACGGAGGTCGGAGAAGGAGCGACGGCGCAAAGACGAGGCGTGTGAGAGGGTACGTTGGCGGCGGAGGGCTGCTCGTGTTGCTGCACGACTGTCGGCCGACGGAGGCTCGCCGAAGATAAAGAACTTGATCAGGAATATCAGAATCAAGGCCAGTGTCAATTGACCCAGCACGAAGCCTTGGGCGAAGGATGCACTGCTCCCGGACTGAGCAGCAGGCGACGCGGCTATACCATAGTCAGTGACGTTGTCTAAGACGCGATCCGAGGAGGCATACCGTATGCCGCTTGTTTTGCCTTGGACATGTTCCACCAGCTTCCTCCCTGAATCTCAACCAAGGACAAGGTTCTGTCGCATGCTCAATCCTCAAGTCGCGAGAAAGATATAGTCCATGACGCAGTTTTGGGCTTGTCGATAAGAAGCTCCAAGCCAAGAGACCCCGACAGCGGGCGCTTCACGCGGGGTCTGACAAATGCTTCGTTCTCTTTGGTATATAGCACCGTATATTGTTGTTTGATATCTAGGCTCCTATAGCCTTTCCCAATATATCTGATTTGAGATCGTATGGCTGCTTCGAGAGACTATCCATCTCCTTCAACCACGACTTCTGGTCTGACCTTACCCTCAACATGTGATCCTCCGGGAGAAGACAACCCTCCCACACAAAAAACATGGATCGTCAGTATAATGCCTGTTCCTTGCTTGGGCACTGCATGCTGATGAGGTGTTACANNGGTCTTTGGTGCTACTGGCCACATGGGTCGCTCAATTGTCAAGACGTGTCTTTCTCATGGCGACAAGGTCACTGCTGTCGGCCGCGTTGGCGAGCACACGCTTGATCAGATGCAAGGCTGGCACGACTCTTGTCTCGGCCTCTTGTGCGACGTGAGAGTCTCTAAAACAGTCGAGTCTGTCATCGAGAGCACCATCCGCCATTTTGGCGCCGTGGACGTCATTGTCAAGTCAGTATACCTCCTCCAATCTCTCTCAGATGGCTTCGATCTCATCATTGATGTCGTTATNAGCTGCACCGGATATGGTGTCATTGGAGCCTGTGAAGACCAAGACGTTTGCGATCTTCGTGCTCAATTCGAAACCAACTTCTTCGGCTGTCTCAACATTGTCCAGCAGTCACTTCCCTACTTTCGCAAACGCAATGCTGGCCGATATCTCATTTTTTCTTCGACCTCCGGTGCACTCGGTGTCCCAGGCCTCGGTCCCTATTGCGCAACCAAATATGCCGTAGAAGGTTTGGTTGAGAGTCTTCTCTACGAGGTCGATGCTTTCAACATTAAGGCCACCCTTGTCGCCCCAGGCCATCTCCGTCTCGACGAACCCACGGGACTGGATGACAAGGGTTCAGATTCAGCAGACAAGAGCCGCCTACCAACCTATGGCCATTTCCTGGTCAAGTCGCCGTCTCAGCCTTACGAGAGCCAGAATGCTCCTGCCGCACATGCTAAGCGCGTGGTTCAATGGCTTAGCAATCAGCAACCCACCAGTGCTGTCAAGAGCGCCGAACTTACCTGGCAGTTAGGTCATTGTTCATTTCCACCACTGCGTCTTCTCTTGGGTAGCTTCGCTGTGGAGAGTATCCGCGATCGGTTGCGATGCATCATAGAGGAGGTGAGTGACCCAGTAAATGCACTATTGAACATCTATTGATAGTCATCTACANNGATCGAAGATTGGAAACATCTAAGCTTTCCTCGAGCCGACGATAGGGACCAGCAGACACCACAGCCTACAGGGGAAGACTCGACGTCACAGCATCAACTGACACCAGGCGATGAAATTGCAGAAGTCGCAGATGGGGACATGGAAATCGACGAAGGCTGATGCCATACCGATGGAAAATTTTCTTTGCTTTTTCCTTCTCGAAGGACACCCGAGATGTCAAAGATTCACGGATCATCGACTTCCCCAAGTTTGAGAGGTTATGGATGCCTAACGCCGGTAGTTTCAGCGCGGACCTAACCTGAATCAAGCGGCTACTACGTAGGCGGTAAAGGACCAAGAGTTACGGTAAGCATGAACAATCCGTTGAGCACAATTTTTAAGGATTAAGAGGTCATGCTGGCCGACGGCAAGCAGAGGCATACAACGTCTTTGCCCGAGATGACCGAGTGGCGAGAGAAGGGAATGATGTTCAAAAATGGTCTGGGTCAGGGTCGTGGAAGTTGGGATAAAACGGCGACACGTAGGGGATGAGGCTGTCAAGCGCGCGCGTTGCCGACGAAAGAAAAATGGTCTTTTGCCCTCTGGGATGTGACCAGCCGACCTCCTTAACTACATATCTTTGGCTTTCGTGGAAGGTCGAGGCCGGCTCGGTGTGGGAAGAAATGTTGTAGCGGTCGATAGTCGTGCACGCGGAATGTACGCCAAACTCGAGTTCACAAGAGGTAGCACTCGGCTGGCGCTTAACGTTACCCCCTGATTCAACTCAGTATCTCTCATACAATCGCGTTCGCTACCATTTCGGCAGACGAGGGAAGTAGGGTTGGATAGTAGAAAAGATGGAACAAGGGAACAGGTTTTGGATGTTGGCATCGAGCCGATACTCGCACATGGAACGGGGAAGGAGAAGCGTGATCTCGATGCCGGTTCACGAGGCTCGCGCAAGCAAGGCGGAGTAAGGACGCGGTTAGGGAATTGTTCACGGGCAATGCATAATTAAAGTGTCTGGCCTGTGCTGCCGCAATCTTGCCAGTCTGAGAGCCAATCGATAGGAACAAGACGGACGGGCTCCGACAAGAGGCAGCAGACGAGCGGTTAGCGTTGGGGGGCACATGCAAGGCATTCCAATGGATGACATCAATGGCTACGCCCGGGAGGAGCGAGACTTGACATGCCCCGCCGGTTTGACGAGTCGGATTGCATGTCGTGCAGATTGTGCAAGAGAGGACACGAGACAGCTGAAGTTGTGAAGAGCTGGGCGAAGAGGAAGTTGGCAAGGATGCGCTGAGAGCTGCAGGTGAGAGCGGCAGACGAAAGCTTGCCGTGTCAACAAAGTCGAGCATAAGCATAAACAAAAGACGCTCTCCCCAGGTGCAGTCTGCAGGTTTCTTCTTGCTACCTCGCACAGTGTACCACCAGCGCGGTCAGTCCCATTGTTCACCGCTTGCACTTCTGGCGTGACGCGGATTGACAATTGGCGTGGTCGATCGTTGTCCGACTCTCAGATCTCGTCCTGATCGCTGGCCCGAGCTCGTTTTTGGAGCAAGGCAGGACGGTTTTCTTTAACGCCCAAGCGTGAGGCACCCCTTCTGCCCTTAACGGGTGCAATCTTAGTTGCAAGCCTGTAAGGGCCTACTGGCGGTCTTCGTGCTAACCAAGCTCCTTTTCCTGCAGAAAGGCTTGCAGAAAGATTAAAAAAAGGCTGTGCCCCAAGACAGAAGCGGCCTGTTCAACTCGAAGCGCACCAGACCGACTAGCACAAAGCACGCCAAGCCCGACCACCATCTCCATCTTCTGCCTTGTCTGAACTCGAAACACAGGCAGCAAAGCTCAGCTCCGTCTCCGTCCCCCCTCGTCGCCAGTCCTCTCCACCCAATTTTTGACCTGCACACCTGGTCCATGGCGTCGACGCGTCGGACGAATTACCACCAGCTCAACATCTACCACGACCCCGTGCCGGTTCTACCGTCCACGACCTTCCACGATCTCCCACAAGATTCGGTCGAGGCAGCTCTTCTAAGCGCCCTTGGCCAGCAACCTTTTAGACAATCGGGCTTCGTGCTCAGTCCCTCGCACAATTCGGCCACCGCCGACCTACCGAGAAAGCACTCGAGCTCGCCCGACGGCCCTCTCGGCAGACGCTCGCTCCACAACATCGCCGTCCCCTCTCCGCTACAATCAACCTTCCCGTCAGACTCGCCCGCCAAGTGCGGCTTCTTTTCCGCCATGAACATGAACAAGGAAAACATGTTCCCCTACGATCACCACCTTTACGCCGCACAGAAAGCCGTCCCTGCGAAGCGGGTGCTGGCCGACAAGACTAGCAAAAAGCCTGTCAAGCCAGCAGAGCAATACGATTTTGTCCTTCCTGAGCCCGAAGAGATGCCCTCAGTACACGACGACGGTAACAAGCCCACCTTCAGCTATGCGACTCTTATCGGCATGGCCATCCTGCGCGCACCTAACCGCCGCCTCACACTCGCCCAGATCTACAAGTGGATCTCAGACAACTTCAAGTACTACCGCGCATCTGAGACCGGTTGGCAAAACAGCATCCGTCACAACCTGAGCTTGAACAAGGCTTTCATTAAGCAGGAACGTCCCAAGGATGACCCCGGCAAGGGTAACTACTGGGCAATTGAGCCTGGCATGGAACGTCAGTTTTGCAAGGATCGCCCTCTGAAGAAGGTACAGATTCCTTCCGAGATGATGCCTCTGCAGACTCTTCCCAGCAATGCTCCCCGCCCTGTCACTACCCCTGCAATTGGCCGATTTGCCCTTGGCCCCAACCCTGTCAAGAAGACCGACACCAAGGCTGTAGACTCTGCTTCGTTCCCTCAGGACCACTTCTCTTCAGACGGCACGATTCCTGCCAGCGACCCCGCCCTCCAAGATGATGAACTCGCCATGCCTCCTCCCGCCGCACGCGCTTCTATGCGTTCTTCTCCTCCTCCCGCCTTTGGCTCGTCTCCTCCACCCATGCAAGACACTCCTCCACGTCCCTCGCGCCTACGTTTCCCTACCGAGACACACTCTGGCGGTGCTCGCAAGCGCAAGTTCAACGCTCCTCAGGACAGCGGCTATTACTCCTCGATCGAGTCATCGGCCGTCAGAAACCCTACTATCTCACACGTCGCCCTTACTTCCGACGCCGACCCAGACCACCGTCGTATCAAGCGTGGTCGTGCAGAGGAGGAGATCGCACGCATTCGTAGCTCGTCATACGACAGTCCTACAAAGCAGAAGACGGCCACTCACAAGCGCAAGCCTTCTGTGCACTTTGAATACACCTCTCCCCAGCGTCCTACCTCTTCTGCTGCTGCTGTCGCTCCCCTGACCCCTGCCGTTGTCTTCAAACGCCCAGCCAAGCCTCCGCAATCATGCTCTCCCAACACCAGTCTGCGCAACCATCGCAACAACATCAAGGCCTTCCTCGGCGAATCTCCTGCAAAGAGCTGGACTCCTCTGGTCCCCTTCTCCCCTGCTTTCAACCTTGACGAATTCACTCCTGCCAAGGACCTTACTCCCTGGCGCGCATCGAACGATAACAACGACGTCTTTGACGAAAATGCTGCTCTCGACGACCTCAGCGCTCGTGGCAGCCCTGGAAAGAAGCGTCCTCGTATTGAACGTGCCGTCACTTCCACCGGTGTCCTGGCTGACATCACTTCCGGCAAGGGCAACGCTATGGCTCTGGACAGCCCCTTCAACTTCCAATTTACTCCCTTGAAGGCTACACACCCCGCTCAGCTGCGCTCTCCCGTCATGCTCGGCTCGCCTTTGAAGCGTGTAACCATGGCTCCTCCTTCTACTGGCGTATCTGAGAACGCTGTCAACGCTCCTGACTGGTTGGACTTGTCTCTTGACAACTACTTCCCTCAGCAGAATGGACACGAGCTCTTCGGACTGGGCATCCAGGATGATATCTTTGACGAGCAGGGTCTTGACATCCTCCAAGAATTTGGCAAGATCGGATCCAAGCAGCCTCAGCTTCAGCCTACCAACCCCGGCAGCAGCATGGGCAGCCCCGCCAAGCGCTCTCAGCGCCCTAGCATCAGCAGAAGCATCACATCGAGATTCTGAACTCTACACAACAAGGCCCGGAGCCTCTACAAATCCCAACGTATAGATTGCGCAGGATACTGATCATGAACATCAAACTACGATACCCACGACTATGAGGGCTGTATTAGCAGCACGACGGGTCGGCAACTTTGCATACGAAACGAACAAATGGTGGAAAGAAGAACATTCCTGATGAGACGATACAAAAAGTGTTTCTAAGGTGTGGATCTTGTGTTTTCTGTTGTATTTTCTGTCTTGAGTCTTTTGGTTTTTCTGTTTTCTGGATGTTTCTGTCTTTTCAGGAGTTTTTATTGACGATGGTCCTCTGGGCGAGGATCTTAGGAACGAGATGGGAACGGCACAAAACCAATGGGATGGGAATGGGATGGAGACCTGCATTGCGCTCGGAGTTTGTTGCCATTTTGGCAGTATGCATATTGGGCGATTGGGTTTTCTTTGCACATTCTCTATGGACAACATGCATTAATGAGTTGTATGAACCTTTCTTTTATACTGAACATCTTCCTTTCCAGACTCTTCTGCGTGATTGTCCTATAAGCTCTTAGTGCATACATCTGAACCTGAACTGTCGTCAGCAATCAACCCAAGCTTGGATAACTCGGGAAAGAGAAGTTTAGGGTCCTCAGATCAAGTGTATTCGAGTTTTCATATCCCTGCGGTGGTCTGAACAATGGCAAGTCTTTTGAGACAGCAAAGTCGACCCAAGTACCCGTGAAAGGGTGTCAATAGTCTCTTGAGTGATCATCACTGGACGTGTTTCCTTCTCCACCTTCTCCTCGTAGCTTTGTGGAGAATTGGAAGGGACAGAACAAAGGACAAAAACGTACCGAGGCATCAGTGGTGATTGCTTCATGAGGCGTGACGATCTATTGTTGAGGGTTTGAGCTTCGAACAGAGGCACGAAGGTACAAAGTTCCAAGCTTCGCAATGTGAGAATCAAATGGACAGCGGCAACAACCGTTCATTTGTGACTGCTGTACAAATGCTGGCAATGTATCCAAGCAAACACAACTGCCGGAGAATAACAACTACAAGAGACAGCTACAAGCAGGAGAAGCAGGTACAGTCAGACAAGGACCAAGCCTTTGGTAAGCTTATTACAGACATGCATGTCCAGAGCGTTATGTGAACGCTTTCCGTTTTGGGCGCGAGGGGTAAAGGCAAGCCCGCACATGCTCACAGCGTGCGTTGCTCGTTTTGTGAAGCAGATGTGCTGATCAAAAGGTTAAAAACGCCTCTGTACTTGTACTCGGAGTAGGAGAAGCGAAGAGGGCTGACACTTCTCGAGTGTCATATCTCAATTATCATACGATGAGACTCATGACGGGGAATGGCAGAGGCCGTAATGAATTTGAAAGCGAGGATCGGGGTTTGTACGGGTCAAGCAAACGGCGGAATGCGGTGCGAAATAGGAGATGAAGCCTGACTGACGGTGCTGACGGGCACTCGAAATCAGCGCCGAGGCAGGCTGTTCTCTTTGTCTCTCAGCGTCACCAGCGAGGGATCGCCGAGAAAGGGACCAAATTGGACCAATGAGAGGTGGCGAATATAGTCTTATGGGCGAAACGGCAGGGCATCGAGGGCGTTTGCCGTGACTGGCGGACGTCGGGGTCTCGAATCGAGAAATGGTTCGCTTCATTCCCAGTGCTTCGATGGTCGGGGAGATCTGATCAAAATTACACATCACTACAACTGCATCCGCCTTCCGACATCCCTCTCCTTTCTCTTCCTCACACGCCCACCCCTCGCCCCTCCAACACCTCGACAAAGGAAAATAAAAAGAAATAATATCAATATGGAGGCTCTTCTCCGTCAATCACGCGGCATGTGCCCATTCTTGCACAAGACGTCGCCCGCCACGCTCCGCTCGCTCAGCACTAGCACCAATGCTATCCAGGCCAACATGTCCAACTTGCAGGTGACTGCCGGTCAATGCCCCGTCATGGGCAAGGCAATGGCTGTTCAGAGCACTCGCCTCAACACCCTGCTCTCTGGCGCCTTTGGTGGCTCCAGAGCATACAGCACTCGCACTACCCGTGCCCCTCGTGCCTACCTGCACACCACCCGTGCTGAGAAGGCTCAGGCCGTAGACAACAGCCCTCTGAGACGCGACGATNNGGTACGAACAAATGCGACAAATCCCCCATTGAATCTTGCTGACCTGCTCTTAGTCCGCTATGCTCCTGCACTTCACCAGCAGCAACAGACTCAGAAGCAGTCTTCTAAGGAAATACACGGTGCTCCGCCAGCTCCTCCGAAGACCGCTCGCTTCGACTACGACACTTTCTACCAGACCGAGTTGGACAAGAAGCACAAGGACAAGTCGTACCGCTACTTCAACAACATCAACCGCCTGGCCAAGGAATTCCCTCGCGCCCACAAAGATACTCCTGAGGACAAGGTCACTGTCTGGTGCTCCAACGACTACCTTGGCATGGGAAGAAATCCCCAGGTTCTGAAGAAGATGCACGAGACACTTGATATGTATGGCGCTGGTGCTGGTGGTACTCGCAACATCTCTGGTCACAACCAGCATGCCATGGGTCTCGAAGCAACCATTGCTAAGCTCCATGCAAAGGACGCTGCTCTTGTCTTCTCTTCATGCTACGTTGCAAACGATGCCACTTTGGCCACTCTGGGCTCAAAGTTCCCTGACTGTGTTATTTTGTCTGACAGCAGCAACCACGCTTCCATGATTCAGGGTATTCGTCACTCCGGCGCCAAGAAGATGGTTTTCAAGCACAACGACATGGTTGATCTTGAGCAGAAGCTGGCCTCGCTTCCTGCCGAGACTCCTAAGATTATTGCCTTTGAGAGTGTTTACAGCATGTGCGGTTCCATTGGTCCCATTGAGCAGATCTGCGACCTTGCCGACAAGTACGGTGCTATCACTTTCCTCGATGAAGTCCATGCTGTCGGCATGTACGGCCCGAACGGTGCTGGTGTCGCTGAGCACCTTGACTACGACGCATACGTGAATGGTGGCCAGCCTAAGGGCACCATTCAGGACCGTGTTGATATTATCACTGGTACCCTCGGAAAGGCTTACGGCTGTGTTGGTGGCTACATTGCTGGCTCCAGCAAGCTGGTTGACACTATCCGCTCTCTGGCTCCTGGTTTCATCTTCACCACCTCGCTTCCTCCGGCCACCATGTCCGGCGCCCAGGCTGCCATCGAGTACCAGATGGCATACAAGGGTGACCGCCGTCTCCAGCAGCTTCACACTCGTGCTGCAAAGGACGCTCTCGCTGCCAAGGACATTCCCGTCATCCCTAACCCCAGTCACATCATTCCTGTACTGGTTGGTGATGCCGAGGTCGCGAAGAAGGCATCTGACCTGCTCCTTGAAGACCACGGCATCTACGTCCAGGCCATCAACTATCCCACCGTCCCTGTCGGTCAAGAGCGTCTTCGCATCACTCCCACTCCCGGCCACATCCGCGAGTACCGCGACCACCTGGTTGAGAGCCTCGACAAGGTCTGGAAGCAGCTCGGCATCAAGCGTACCTCCGACTGGGCTGCCCAGGGCGGTTTCCTCGGTGTTGGACAGGAGACCTCTGGCAACGAGCCCTTGTGGACCGACGAGCAGCTCGGTCTCTCCGAAGTCAATGCCGAGTTGAACAAGGTTGGAAAGGATGCCGTCAATGTTCTCGAGAGCGTCCTCGAGGCCGAGAGAAAGGAGGTCGCTCAGGCTGTTGCTTCTGCTTAAGTGTTGCGAATCGCCTGATGTGTTGGGACAACTCGCGAGTCTTTGGATATAGCTGTGAAAGAGAAGGAGGATTGAGCCATCTGTGGCCCATCATAATTTCAAACCATTTTCACCTTCGAATCCTTTGTGCCTACCTCTCATTAGCTGTCAATATGTGTACCGTCACATCCCGATCTTTTCAACACGAGAAGCAAAGAAAGAATCAAGAACTCTAGGAATTGTAAGGGTGGAGCTGCGCTTTTATATGCACGTATAGATAAGGCGCTGGTCTTTGTATTGCCAGATTAGGCATGTATTTCCCTACCTATTTTTCTTTTCTGCCATTTTTGCTCGATTACTCTTTGAGCAAAACCATATGCCATAACAACAACAGAATAAGAAACACAGCTTCTGATGTGACGGCCAAATACATCTTTCGGATGATCGGTTTTCTCGTTCTGCCACCTGCGAGTAAAGATGGAACAGACCATGAACAACAACCCCAACATCGAGTCAAACGATATGAACAGTGAGATCGCAGTGGCTAGTCGGTCAGGAAAGCAATAGGCATGAGGTAATACGGACAGTGGTAAGCAGCAAAGAGAGAAAGAAGTATTGATAAGAGTTGAGGAAATCCCTCCACAGAACAAGTCGAATTCATCTATGAACAAGAAAAACAAGCACAAGACGCACAGCAGAGCAAAACGACTAGCAACAAATCAGGGTATCTAACAAGAAACTCCCTCTTTACTCTCCAAACTCCACCGCAACACTCCGTCTGTTCGGAATCGAACTCTAATCTTGCTGTATCATGTGCGAAGGCAAGTTCCAACTAGCATAGTCTTGATGCACAAAAGCACGATCGACTGTCGGCACGGATTCCAACACATACTGCAGAGACTCACCCAAATCGTGACTGTCTCTCAACGACATGTGCTCATCAAGCACAATATCAACCTCCACATTCAGCTTATCGCCAGAATGGTATGCCTGTAATCCTTGGATCTGCTTGATGGTCTTGGCGAAGCGCATGGTCAAGTAGAGAAGCACGTTACGCTCGTCTGCAGAAGCGGCAGCACCAGTGAGATTGCGGATGTGGGAGAGAGACGTAGATGACCAGCCGAGGATGACGTAGAAGGAGAGAAGAATACCACCGAGAGGGTCGAGCCACCAGATACTGAAATAGTAGCCCAAGAGAGGGAAGATGATGGAGAAGATGTTGAAGACGACATCGGTCATTGCATCTTGAGCAAGAGCTTGGACGCTGCTGTTTGGGATCAATCTGCACCATAGCCAGCATCCAAACTTGATGATGACGGTCGCAGACATGATGGCAATAGCGGCATAGGTAAGCTGCACAATGGTGTGGTCCTGGGAGGTGAGGTGATTGAAGCCTTCAATGGCAACTTGGACGAAAGAGGTGACCATGATGACGGAGAAGACCAGAACACCGATGGGTTCTAGACGCCTGCGTCCGACAGGGTATGCATACATGTCATTGTGGCTGATCAGTCTAGTGGTAGTCCATACAATCGCGGTCGAGAGGAAGTCCAAGGCTGCATCGACCAGGGAAGCCAAAACGGAGACGGAAGAGGTGAGGACGGTGACAACAATCTTCAAGGCGAGGAGTACAGTGTTGGCGACTAAGTTCAGGTAAATGGCTACAGTAACAACGCGGCTCTGGCTATCAGGCTCGTCATCGGGTTCGAATGCAGGGATTCCAGTATTGAACAGCGAGTTACTGTCGTCAGCCAACAAAGGCGTCTCTTCATCAGCGACACGATACAAAGCCTTGGGGGTTCTCTTGAGCCTGTAACTTTGGTTTGCCGAGGCAGTACCGTTGCCTTCGAGGGGCGTTATAGCAGGAGAGGCTTTTGCGGAAGCGTCAGCACTCGTACCGCCATTTTCCTCACTGATAGTGGGCGGAACGGCGGCAGATCCTGAACTGCTGTGAACGTTGTACTGATACTCCTGGATCAAATCATGGGGCAAACTCGAGTCCAGCAACCTGTCAATGTACAGATACTGCTGGATCAGGAAGTTGTTCCTCTCGTAGTATTGACGGATGGGCTTCTTCATCTTCTGGAGTTCCTCGTCGGGCGTGAAGTACTTCTCCCAGCGGTAGCGCGGGTTGCTGTTGCCAATCAAGCGCATACTTCGCATCTGGGGAGTCATAAGGGCAGCGGCGCCAGAGCTGAGACGACGAGAGGCATCGGGGTTCTGGTCGGTGGCAGTAGCTCTGAAGCGAGGCTGTTGGGGAGTTGGTGGTTCATTGTCGCTGACCGCGGCCGTGTCTTCGAACGAGGTGCCTGGAGCGAAGTTGCCGTCCAGCGACGAACGGCGACGGCGTCCTGCTGCGGTAGGCGCATTTGTCGTCGAGCGCTCGCGTATCAGCTGCGGAAGGTGCTGGCCTCGAGTCGAGAGAGCCGTCTCTTCGGACAATGGCAGGAAGCTTTTAACTCCCGACCCCGAGAGACGCGATGAAGGTGTCGACATGGTCGCGCAAGAGTCGTCGTGATAGCCAAAAGGGTCAAGATTTTCACTTGCACATGGTCAGGAATGACATGTCTTTCTTAGACCTCAACCAATGTCTATCACTTTCATGTCGTGGTTCGTGCCCGTTCGCGCCTTGTCCACTGGCCCGGCCGTTCTGCCAAACCCAAAACTAAAAGGGTTTCAGCTGGGGAGAGCTCCACTCTCTGCTACTCGTCATCTCCGATTATCGGTCTTATCAGATCGAGCTGTCAAGCGAACACATTTAGTTCTGTATCTACATGCATTGAAACGAGAGTCGACAGGGCAAACGTCTTTAGTGGGAATGGTTCCTTGACCATCTTCAGCACGTAGGAGCCTCGAAACCAAAAATTTACTTGAATGAACTCGACAATCGTCTGTAATACTTTTGGGTATAATTCTACTCTAGTGTACAAATGCTGAAAACCGAGCTTGAGAATAGCAAGTAAGCAATGTCTTCCACCGAATAACGAAAAAAATAAAAAATGAAACAATGCAATGCAAATCGTAATGCCGTATAATCATGCTGCAAATGATGCTTGACCACCATCACTGCGTCCTCGGACCATCTTCTAAAATCCTCCGAAGCCGCATACTTTGCATGAACAGGAAGGGAAGTAAAAGATGAAAAGCAATCGCTTGGCGTGTGATGAGATGAATCAAAGCAACGTGTCTGCTCGAAGACACCCTAATTGCCGCGGAACAAGAACTGCATGTCTTCAGGCGTGAGCTTCTCCATGGCCACCCTGTCATTGTTGATTGTGCCGTTGATCATGTTTGCCTTCTTCTCCTGCAACATGACAATACGCGACTCGACCGAGTCTTCGATGCACAGTCGAGTGATGACACAAGGACGTCTCTGTCCAATGCGGTGGCAGCGGTCTGCGCTTTGCCACTCAGCGGCGGGGTTCCACCAAGGGTCGACAATGAAGACACGCGAAGCTTCAGTGAGGTTGAGAGCGACACCTCCAGCTTTGAGAGACACAAGGAACACCTCGACATCGGGATCCGTCATGAAATGCTCGATCGACTTCTGGCGCTGCTGAGGAGTCATGCTGCCGTCGAGCATAACAGTGTTGAAACCAGCGCGACGAAGACGCCACTCGATGAGCTGCAACATGGACGTGAACTGCGAGAAGACAATCGACTTGAGAGTCTGCTTCTTGCTGCGGAGCTTGTACAGGTCGTAGACAAGCATCTCAATCTTGGTCGACGAAGTCCAGTTCTCCATCTTGATGCGGTTGATGATCGAGTTCTTCTTGACGTCCTCCTCGTTCTGCTCAAGCTCAGGCATATCGAAGTCAATCGAAAGCGGAATGTGGCAGCGAGGACAATCGACGTCACCAGCATCCTCCTCGACAGACTGAGCGTAGTTCTTCACACAGCTTCTGCAGAAATCATGCTTGCATTTGGATCGAATAGGCTCTTCAGCAGGCTCGTCGCAGATGTTGCAGACCAGAACATTCATGCCTTCGGCGGCTTTCCTCTTCAGAATCAAGTCTGGGTGGTTGGACACCTGGCGCATCTGCATGATGAGACCAAAGATGTTGGCGTAGTTGTTCAACATGACACCACGCGAGACGTATGTGTCGAACTGGCGAGCAGTGTTCGACATGATGCTCTGAGAGAAGTCGCGCTCAATATCTCCAAAGAACTCATTGTGCACAATGACCTCCTTGGGTGGCAACTCCATAGAGCTGACATAATCACGCTTCATGCGACGGAGCATGATGCGAGATGTGATGAGGAACAACTTATCCATGGCCTCTGAGCGCGCCTGAGAATCCTCGGACTGAGTGATCGGGTTGAGCAACTCCTGGTTGAAGACGGAAACGTGCTCCATGCCGGTGTGCTTGCACTCCGTACACATGTGCTGAGAATCCAAAGACCAGTGCAGAAGTGAGCAGGGACACTTCTTGCAGAAGTAGTCTGCGAAAGGTCGGACCTCCAGGAAGCGAAGCAGGGAGAAGAACTCGCCGATACGGTTTTGAACAGGAGTTCCCGACAAGCACCACTTGTATTTGCCTTTGAGAGCGAAGCAGGCTTTGGCGACTTGAGTTGTTCTGGTCTTGATGCTGTGTGCCTCATCCAGGATTAAGCGATGGTAAGTCAGGGCGTGAATAGGCGACGCCTCCTTGACGAGGTCTCCGCCACGGCTCCATCCCTTGATCTCCCTTGCGATGAAGCGATTCGAGACTGTTGTACGAGATCATGATAACATCGTACTTCTTGAGCTCAGTCACCGTCATGTTCTTGGACTTCGCATTAGTGCCGTGGTATACGAGGACCTTGAGCTTTCCATCGGTATACTCGCCAATCTCCTGAGACCATTGCATCAGAGCGACCGGAGGAACCAGGACCAGTGTGGGCTGTTTCTGAGGATAATCGGACATGATGAGAGAGACAGCTTGGATTGTCTTTCCCATGCCCATCTCATCTCCGAGCAGACCCCCCTTGTAGTTTGACTGTTCCTGTTTGATCATCCAGTCAACACCTTCTAGCTGGTATGACTTGAGCTTGCGGTTGATCGAGGGTGGCTGTACGCCAGCGACTCCCCTTGATAATAGGGATGGCCTCAAGATCCTGCCACATAGTCTTGATTTGAGGATGTGCCTTCTCCAACTTCAGTCTCTCACGGTCTTTTCTGGACAATCTCATCTTCTTGATTTCGGCACCAATATCGCGGCCCTGGAAGTTAGCCTGGCCACGTCTGCGGCGAATGTTCGTCAAAGCCAGTGGTTGATCATCCTCGTCGTCATCTGAAGTTTCGGCAGCGCCTGACAGAGCGTCTTCAGAGCGGAACTCATCTTCAGTCACCATGTTTGCCTCGATTTCCGAGAAGGTCGATAATTCGCTGTCACTATCAGGAATGACGACCGTGTTTCGTTGCTTAGGCATGACTGCCTTCTTGCCAGCACGTGCTTGGGACAGGCGTGATTTGTACTTCAGAGGCTTGTCCTCATCGTCTGTGTCTGCGATCGCCATCCGGGGAGCCTTTCCCTTGGGTTTCTTGAAAGTGGATTCTTCGTCGAATTCTTCAGTCTTGAAGGAAACAGCAGACGAGAGGTCACTCATGTCTTCCCCATCCGAGTCGTCGATCACTGTAACATATGATCTCCTCGATCTCGACATGGGTTCAGTCTTGATGTTGGAAGGCTCAGCCTTGATCTTCTTGAATGGTTGTGCAATCTCAGCCCATTCTTCGGCTTGCAGTTGTCTAGCAAGTGCAGCATCATCATCGTCTGTATCTCTCTTCCTCTTGCCACCCATACGGCCACGAGCCAGGGGTTCTGGAGTAACACCGGCACTGGTTGCAGGGGTATCGATTGGTTGAGCATCACGACTGTCAGCCGAGGACAGCGATGACGGGCTGTTGGAGCGAAGAGCTGCCTTTGCGCGGGAAGACATGACTGGAATGACGACTTCAACTTCAGACTTTGCTCTGGTCCTGGTGGTGGCGATTGATGGTACTTGATCTCGGTCACTGGAATCCTGGTCCGAGTCTGGAATCGTTGTGGATCTTTTGGAAAGAGATGTGCCTTTTGTAGTAGACATGGAGGGGGTGTTGGCAGATGCAAGGGCTAGCACGCGTTAGTCACATGTACTTTCACACAAGGTGATAGCTGCGTGTTCGCATACATTGTCGACCACGGAGAGAGGAACGGGTTTGACGAGCCATGATGGAAGATTGGAGTGACAAGCAGAAAAGAGGGTGGAACGACGAAAAGACAGAGGCAGAGCCCCAAGACAAGGCAAAGGTACACTTGGGATGAAAGGACAACAAAAAGAAAGGACCAGCTTTCTTACTTACTGGATAGAAAGTCTTCCTTCGCCACCCAGGGATATGTTGGAGAACCCTTCGGAGATAGCGGTCCAAGGAATTGCAGAGCGAGTCAGATCCGAGATCCGGGACAATGCAGATCTCGACCTGTTCCTGGGGTCTGGACTGTGCAGTTCCTTGTTGACAGGTGCGAGTGTGTCACAGTGTGCAACAAAGAGAAGACAATTGTAGAAAAGGTGAATGAAAATCGAGAATGGAATTGGAGTTGGGAAACACCTACGGAGTGAGGCCAAGGGAATTCATCTTGCCTTACTGCCAACACTCGGGCAGCCGCCAGGCCGATCCGAAGGCAGCGATGTCCTTGCAACGCGAAGTCACGACGCGTGAGCCAAATTGGGATCTGATCGGAGGCCGATTGGCACTCAATCTTGTGGCCTTCATTCTCAAAGAAACGATGTTGATAGTCATAAAGTACCTAGTATTTATTGAGCAGCGAGCAGAATATCGATTGATATGCTTGAACCCCAGTTATATGTCTCCACATGGCACTGTTTTTGAGGCTCAGCGAAGAGTCCAAGCGTTGGTCTCACGTCATTGACTTTGTGCTATCTGTTCACACCCGTCAAACATGTTCTGCTCTTTGTTTCCTCTAGATGAATCTCACAGATATTGCTGTCCTTGATCAATATCCCATCATGGCTGGCCAGAACTACGCCTACTGTACTCTGATTACTCGGTCGTCGTACCTCGCCGGTGTGCTGATCCTAGCTCATACTTTGGCCAAATACAAGAGCGCATATCCTCTCATCGTTCTCTACACGGACACTCTACCCACCTCCTCCGTACGCGCCCTAGAGCTTGAAGCCCCTCATAGCAATCTTATCCTCCACCGTGTCGACGCCCTATTGCCACGCGAGAACGTCCATGTACACCTCATCGCCGAGCGCTTTGCCGACACTTGGACAAAGCTACGCGTCTTCGAGCTGTACAAGCTTGACAACTACGACAAGATATGCTACCTCGACGCCGACATGATTTTGCGCAGGAACATGGATCACGTCTTTGACAAGCAGCTGCCCGCTGATGACTGGATCGCTGCCAATCACGCTTGCGTCTGCAACCTCGATAAAGATCCTTGGGCTCCCGAAGACTGGACNAAAGAGAACTGTGCCTACACCGCCGTATCACACCCAGGTGCTCTCGATCACCCCACTCCAATCACACCAGACTCACGAGGCACTTACCACCTGCTCAACAGCGGCATGTTCTTGTTCGTCGCTTCAGAGCAGCTTTGGGACCGCATGATCGACTTCTTCAACACAACCCCTTTGCTGGGCGAGTTCAAGTTCCCTGATCAAGACTTCCTGGCCGAGTTCTTCAAGAACAAATGGATGAGCTTGGGCTGGCAATTCAATGCTCTGAAGACCATGCGCTACTGGCACGAGAACATCTGGAGGGACGAAGAGGTCGTCTGCTTACATTACATTGTCGATAAGCCTTGGGCTAAGCGTGTGACCGAAGACGGTGTGGCTGGATACCTCGGCCGTGATGGCGAGACTCACACCTGGTGGTGGCAAGAGTACGAGGACTGGCACCAGCAACGCAAGTCTCAAAACGAGACAGAAGAGCTGGAGATTGCTGAGAAGCATGTTGCTAAACCTATTGGCCAAGAGGATCAAGAGTCGGACGAGATGCGCGCCATTGGCAGTGGCGTCCAATCCTTTGCGAAGAACAAGAAGCCCGGTCAGAGCAATGAGGAAAAGAAACAAGATGCCGGTGATGATAAGGAAGAAGAACTCCCTCAACCACAGATCCCTGCTCCCCATGAGCTCAAGGGCAAGGTATTTGGCGAACGAGGACACGGTCCCAGAGTCCGTGGATGAGGCTTGAGCAATCCATTCGTGCATCGCATATTCCCACCTTCTTGTCGACGATTGTACATAAGTCATACCCCATTCATACTTTGCACGATACACCTAGACACAACGACTACTTATTGCCTCTTACCATACCATCTTACATCAAACAAGCACTGGTTGCGTGGCCCAATGGCAAGGCGCTTGACTACGAATCAAGAGATTCCAGGTTCGACCCCTGGCGTGATCATCCTTTGCCGGTGTAGTGCTCGGTACAACAACTTTTTGTTCTAGCCTTTTGTTAGTCAAGAAATTTCTTTCTTCTCTGCAAGCCTCGACGTTCAAGGAAGGTTTTCCGAGTCGGCCTGAGACCCGTGCAAACATGACACCGAGATCCGAGGTTCTGCCTTCTTTAGTTAGCAGGACGACCCTGCTCGGTTTTTGGTTATTAGGTCTTTCTCCTGTGTCTTTTGGTCACGTTCTTTGATTTGTCTGATCATGATACAAATAAACAGATATACTGTTTGAAATTCGAACAATTGATACAGTGGAAGCACATCTGCGATGCCGAAAGCCGCGTCTTCATGAGCAGATTCAATCCTCACACCACCACCGCACACGTTGTTGAGTTTTGGTACATGTTCAACCTGGCTTCCTCACAATGGCATTGGTCGTTTAGCGAGAGGCTACCTGTGAATGAGTCTTTTCCCCTCATCTATTAACAAACTTGCTTGCTGATCATACAAATAGCAATGGGCTGTCGAGCTGTACAATATCTGGATGAAAGTTTTCTTTCCTTTGTGTACAAGGTGATTGTGTTTGTAGCTCTGAGTAATGCAGATGTACTGTCGATGCTCTTCAATTGAATCTCCGCCTACAACCCTGCAAACAAGTCATCAATAGCATTCTTCTTTTTCTTCTTCTTGAGTGGCTTTGCAGCACTAGCAGCACCCTCTCCTTCCTCTGGCTTCGGCCTTTTCTTCTTGGGCTTCAAGCTCGTTGTCGATGGAGTGACAACCGGCTCTGAAGACTTGGTAGCAGTTTTTGATGATGTCTTTGGTAATGGTGTCGTGGAATTGTCATCCCAGTTGACGGCAGGTAGGACTTTGGTAGGCTTTGGTTTGCTGTCGTGATCCACGGTCTTGAGTTTCTTGCTTGTTTTCGTCTTGGTTGGCGGAGGTATGCTGGACTCTCGAGAAGATGTGACAGATGGCTTGCTGGTAGCCATGGCTTTCAGTGCCTTACGACTTTGCTCCAGCATATCGCGTTCAGGACCCAGACAGCCACTCTCGGTCTTCCTTAACTCTTTCTCTGTGGCTTTTGCCTTTGTAGTTGTTGTATCGTCCTCGTCTTCGCTGTCCTCTCTTGTCAAAACCTCGCCCAGATCTTCTCTTCTCTCTGCTTCTCGCGGTACAAGGACACCCACTCCTTCATCTTCGCCCCATCCCTCAGCAGCAAATACCTCGATGGCTTTTCTTGTCTCTTCCTCTCCTAGTTCTTCGTAGACAGAGATTAACCCAAAAACCCTGCATACGTGCCCCAAGATTGCCATCAGCACCACACCCAACACTGCAAACCGTCCATCGGCAATTAGTTGTCCAAACGCATGTTGTGTCTTTGGCACCAGCACGTCTCGCCAGAAAGACACCGTTTGCTGTATCCTCAGTCGCAAAGCCTCGTCTTCTGTTTTCTTCTTGTGCCGCGCGAGGTTTGTGGTAGGCACATGTGATAGAGTTGTGAGGTGTTCCAGCATAGTACCTAGATGGCGGCGGAAGATGTTGAAGTGGCGATACCAAGTGCTGCGACGATGTTGATTGTGGTTCCGGTGGTGAAGGAGATGCATTAATGTGTGCAGATGCTGGAGGTCGGCCGTTTGTGAAGATGAGGGCAGTTTGAGTGGTGCGAGGTCCGTTATGGTTGTTATTGGGTTGGCCTCCATGGTGTAGATTCAAAAGGCGTGTTTGTCTATCTTCTTGATATGCCCCTGGCAAGGCCTGTGTTCATGCGTCTTACCAAAAGATAGTCAAGACACTTAGCACTTCATAGATGACTCAACAATCTGAACCAACTTCGGCCTCGTTGGACGTATGACGAGAGGCCTAGTCGAAAAGAATTTTCGACGAGGGCGCAGGCAATATCCAGAAATTTTGCTGATGTCGATGATGATTCTCGAGTATGAGTAAACTATCATGAAAGCTGTGTCTTCCAGCTCCAAGACAGGAGATCTGTCCTCGTCCAGCCAGAAGTGCGCTCCAAAGCTTTTCTCAAAAGCTCTGATGGCTTTGGTCGTTGGTCTCAAATATGGTCCGCTTGATCTCTAGGATGGAAGTACCAGAATTTTCCTTTCTTTCGTCCGCGTTCTTCTTTGTTGATAAGAATTCGAACTTTATTTTGATAGAGATTCGTCACGAACTGGTCGTAGGATGTCTTTATGTATTAAATCGAGTATGGCTGTTTTATGTGTTGATGAAAGAGGTGCAGAAGAAGGCACACAAAAATGTGGGCGATCGTGACTCCAGCCTCGGAGTTATCGGATTTAGGACATGAATACAACCAGCAATCATCACAAACACATGAGAACGAAAAAATATTATCAAGGCAACCTCGTGCATTGTTCTGTATGTCTGAAAAGCAAAGCTAAGCTAGAAGTAAGTATCTGTCTGCGAGAGTGCCACATCCTCTATCTTCTTTTCTTATAGCAAAGGCAATTCATCTGTTCAATCCATCCTTCTTTTCAATCCTTTAGAGCTCACCAGGAAAGAAGCAACACTGCCAAACGTTGTCCAGAAACGAGATGTCTCCAGATGAACACATGTCTGATGCTGCCCAAGCCTGAGGCCTTCGTATCGCCGATTTTCTTCATCTTGATTTTCTGTTGTTTTCCTGTGAGTGCCAACCTTGTGACAATATGGGGACATTTCTTCGTGATGGCGTAAGAAATTTGTGCAAAGGAAACCAAGTTCCAAGCAACAACTGTTTCGTCCAAATCTCAGCGCTCAATGGCTGAAGACTGCGTCGAGCCCAAGAAGTGTTCAACGACGGTAGTGAGAGCGGTAGTTGCCACGGAAGTAGGTGTCCTCCTCATCGAAGTAATCCTCCTCCTCGTCCTCGAAACCGCCACGGTAACGAGAGTGCTGGTTTCTACCGTTGCGCAGGCCAGGACGCTGACCGCGGGCATTGCCACGGAAGCCGATAAGGCGACGCTCATTGAAGCGGAGCTGACGCTGCTCCTCGTGCAGACGCTCCTCCTCAATAGCGAAGGACGTGCCGCGGTCGTACTGACCCTCACGGAAGTGAGAACCAGGTCCGTAGGGGCCTCTGCCACGACGAGGAGGGAACAGTCCGATGGTGCCGGCGTTGTCTCTGGAGCGCTTGCGCTTCTGCTCGTTGTTAGGAGGAGGGAAAGCGGCCTCAGTGCCGATGGCGTTGATGTCGGGAATGCCACCAATAGTAGGCAAGTCAGTGGAGTCGACGTGGTACCAGAGCTTGGGGCGGTAGCGAGGGATCTCCTCCATGACGACAGAGTTGCGGAACTTGGCGAGCAGACAGTCGATACCCTGAATGGTGGCATACGAGACCTCGCACTTCTTCAAGGAGCCGTACATGTTCCACTCCTTGTTAACACGCTGCTCCACGAAGTTGATGATGAACTCAGGGCGCACGAAGTTAACGAAGGCGTAGCCAACGTTGAGGTTGTTCGAGAAGTCAATGCGCAGGTAGGAGAAGTCGTAGTGACCTTCAGAAGTGGCATCAAGGAAGAGCTTCAAGTCNNCCTCAAAGTCGACGCGGTTGGGAATGTTGCGAAGCATAACGGTGGTGCGAACATCAATTCCTGCCTCAATCTTCTTCAGGTTGACTGTCTGAGGCTGGTTAAACTTCCAGTACTCCATGTCGGTCTGGTGAACAGGAGAGTCGTCGGAGGGAACCCACCAGGCAGACTGAGGGCTGCGAGGGACGGAGCTACGGTAGCCGCCACGGCCACGGCGAGGACCATAGTTACCACGGGAGTTTCCCGAGTAGTCACCTCTGGAGCGGTGAGTGGAGTAGTTGTTGTAGCCATCATCAGACTCGCCAGAGACGGCAAGATCCTGAGTAGCATCCACGATCTGACTCATAGAGGCAGCAGGGTGCATGTAGCGCATGTAGCCTGGAGGCGCGAATTCCTTGACTGATACGGTGAGAGAGTCNNCTGAGGATGTCAGTAAGAGATCCATTCAGGGGAGCAGAAGTGAATGTTGAAACAGCAGAGGAAAAAGGGAACAAGTACTTACGGAGAAGCAAGCAGAATCATTCTGGGTTGAGACTGCAACCGCATTCTCGGCCGCGTTGACTGAGAAGAACTCAGCGCGGAAACGAGGGGCCTGGAACCCCTTGCTCTCAATGTAGGCGAACGAACGAACGTTGCCAAATGCTTCGGCAAACTGACGAACTTCGGCGTAGATGGAGTTGATGTTGAAGTCCATCATGCTCTTAGGAGTAGCCGTGAACTCAACCTGACCATCGTAGGCTGAGACAGCCTGGGCACGGGGGTGGGTGTGGTCATGACTGAAGTACTCATGGTGGTCGACGAATGCGAAGCTGACAGTGGTAAGGGCACTCTCGAGCATGTCCTTGGAGACGGGGGCGGCACGCAAGTCGTCGAAGCGACAGTAGATAGAGATGCAATCAGGGGTATCATCACCAGCGATAACACAACGTTCGAACACATTGGTCAAGCCGGTCTAAAGAAGATCAGTAAAAAAATCGGAATACAGAGGATAAGAAGGGAAGACNNTTACCTCTTCCAGGACTTCGTGGAGAGTGCCCTGCTCGAACCATTCGGCGGGAATCTTACCGAAACGAACAAAGCGAGTCTCGGCGACGTTAGGATCGGTATCAGTGCTGAAGACAGGGCCATCCTTGAGTGATGGCTGGCGAGTGGGCGACGAGAAGCCAGAACCAATGGGCTTGACCGGCGACACTGATGAGGCCTTGGTAGAAGGTCCGTCGGGAGTAGAACCAATGTTAAGGAGCTTCATGGCGCTGCCCTTGGCAGGGGTGTAAAGGATGCTGGAAGAAGAACTGGAGTTGTCCTTTTCCTTGTCCTTGGCAACGGAGAAGCCCTTGCTAGGGGTGAACTCTGAACCGAAGGGGTTCAAGACAGTGTTGGACTACAGAAGGAATATAGTTAGTATCGAGTCATAAAGATGAAGGTACAGAATAAGAAAAGCATGGATGGGAATTGTATCAGAGGAGAAAGGTAGAAGAGGAAAAAGACTTGCGATAGATGGAAAGACAAAAGATGGGGTGAGACAAGTTGGATATGAAGTGGATGACTTGGAAGTTGTACAAGGTGTAGAAGGATGTCAATGAAGAAAGAAATGGATCGAACCAAGGCAAGGGTTGTGGCAAAGAGTGGAGCAAGATAACAGAGCAGGTGTGGAAGGATTGAGGATGTGTAAGATGGGCAAAGCCAAAGAACAAAAGACAAGACAAGACAAGTCCACGCATAGAACTCGTAGAGTGGGACACCAATGATGGAGACTCAGAGTTCTACAGCCAAAGAATGCGAATCAACGCGCGAGAGAGTGTGCTGGGGTCGAGGAGAGATTGGAAAGTGCGCGCAAAAGACGAACAAGATGACACAGATAGGAAGGGTGCGGTAGAAGAAGGAAAGAAGACATACCTTTGACGATGGGAAGAACTGTGCGCTGGCGGCAGCATTCTGGAGGATCTGGCGCTCATCGTTCGATGTGGCGCTGTCCTTACGGATCATCTCAGAGGACTGAGGTGCGAACATGGTGTGCGCTGACTGTCAACGATAGAAGGGGGTGGATGGAAGATGAAAGATGGAAGGAGGAAGATAACCTTGACCAAAGAGGGGAGACACAGTGCTGAAGCGCGCGGTGTCGAAGATTGGTAAAGGTCGTGGAGGAAAGGAAAGAGAGTTGGTTGATGGGGGAACCACTCTTATAGAAAATGGACCAGCGTCTATGATGTCGTCCGTACAGCCAGTGAGAACACCAAAGAGTGATCGAGCCTCAAAGCTACTGGTGAGGAGGCTCAAGAGAGATTTGACAAGGTAGACCTAGGCGTGGGTGGGGATATCTGGACAGAGGAAGGTGCTCGAGAAGGTCACTCCCGAGGAAGGTGCAAATCTTGCTCCTTCCGTACGAGGCCAAGGGTTTATCGGAAGTAGGCGATCGTGGATATCAACTCGATCGATTCGGCCAGACGCTCGACGTCGTAAAACCTCAGGGAATTCTACGGATGGAAAAAGAAGGGAGGATGGTATAGAATAGAAGATGGGCTGAGCGGAAGAAGTCCCTCTGAGACGGCAAGGGTACTTCTACCTTGATGGTGAGCTCGCACGTCATGTTGTAAGTTCAACAACCGAGTGATCGAAGCAATTGGAGGCCATCCTTCACCACTATGTGCATTGAGTTTCGACATGTTCAGGCTGTAGGCTGTATACATGTCCAAAAGCCTCTCAACAAGGAAAGAGGCTTCATTCTTTGTCATTGAGCAAGGCAGGCTTCGAACATGTTTGTCTGCAATGCTTGCTTGGCAGCTTGAGCCCGTGCCCTGGCCATGTGGGATTGCACGAGGCTCTGCGGGAACTAAGCTATTGCGGTATGGCTCGGCGCTTTGACCACAACCTACTCTCGAACACCAAATCATGGAGTACTTCTGACTTCTCGAGTCTAACAACCATCAAGATCAACGATTTAATAGATTAATCGAACTCGATCTCTCCGATCACTTGTGGAAACAAACCAGTGCATCACTGTTGTTTAATCACTCGCTTCGAGGTGGTTCTTTTCGCAAGTATCTCGAGCAGATACGTGTCAAAGGACGTGTTTTGTGCAAAGGAGCGCCTTGGGCAGGCCAATTTCGAGCGAGCGATTGCGGTAAAAAATGCCGGCAATCATTGAACCTCATGATGAGTTCATGGGTGCTGTCCAACAGGTACTAAATCTGGTCTGTCTGAGATCTGGAATCAAGCTAATCAAGTANCAGATCATCCTGTCATCGTCCGAAACAGACTACATCGACCAGTTGATCCCGGTGATGCGTGATGTCAGAAACTCAGAACGTGCAGGCCATCTCATTCAAGCTCTGACACAAGTTTCAAACGAACGGCAAGCCGAGATTGAGCGTATTTGCAATACCAATCATCAGGAGTTCATCAGCTCTGTCAACCAGCTCCAGCGAGTTCGGGAAGGTACCGTCACTTTGACAGCTGAGATACTGAGTCTCAGTCAGTCTATTGAGGCCAGTACTGAAAAGCTCGCTGAGCAGAAGAGAGCATTGGTCGATTCCAGAGGTGTTAGGCAGAACATTGATGACGCTACCCAAGCCTTGAAAGATTGTCTCGAGGTGTTGCGGCTCGCAAATCAGGTACATGATCTGCTCCAGGAGAAGAACCGTTACGCAGCGCTCCGAGCTTTGGACGAACTGCAGAATGTTCATCTCAGAGAGGTTACCCGCTACATGATTGCAGGCATGATTGAGCGCTCGGTACCCGCAACCCAACGTCTGATAGCTGAGGCTGTCATGGCGGATCTGAACACCTGGCTTTTTAGAATCCGAGAGACTTCACAGTTCCTGGGAGAGGTTGCATTCTATCATACGGAAATGCGTAGAACCAGACACAAGATGAGATTCGAGGAGAATCCTGATCTCGGTAACTTCAAACTCAACTCGGCGGTGGAAGCTGCTGCTGATGAGAGCGAGGAGTTTGATGTGTTGAACAACGAAGAGGTGCAGGTTGACTTTTCTCCTTTGTTCGAGGCTATCCATATACATGATGCGTTGGGCCAGAGCGAGAAGTTCCGTCAGGACTATTCGGCAACCAGAAGGAGACAGAAGGAGCTGCTCTTGCCTGCGACTTTGGATCTTCTAGATGAGGATGCAGGCGAGTTGAGTACTCTGTTAGAAAGTATCGCTGGATTCGCCATTGTTGAGAAAGCCACCATGATGAAGACGGAGAACTTGAGATCCTCAACAGACGTGAGTTTAGTCCTCTAGATTGACCAGAAGTTTTGCTGACAATGTTCANNGGTTGAGGAGCTATGGGATTCAATGTGCCAGAGTGCTATCACACTTGTTAGCAAAGCCCTGCCAATCATCGACAACGACGAGAGACTGTTGAAAATTAAGGGTGTCATCGCGCTCTTCGTTCAGACCATNGGGAGTGAGTATCGTTCAACACCACCATAATGAGGGGCTGGCGAAGATGCTGACAAGTAGCGACAGAGCTGGGGTTATTCTGTTGATAGTCTCGACAGATTGCTCTTGAAGATTTTCGACAAGTACGCTCAGCTACTGAAGCAGAGATTCAGCGAAGACTTCCAAGAGGTGAGTGTGCAGGCTTCGCGAGCCCGGCTGTGCGGTTCGTGTTGCGTGCGGACGCTGACTTTCACACGCAGNATTGTTTCGACGGACGACTACATGCCCATGCCTATCAATAACCCGGATGAGTACGACAAAGTCATCAACGTCAGTTGGTACACACCAGAGAAGGACCGCGAGCAGCAAAAGTATGTGTATTGATTCGGTGCAAGCAAAATTACGATACTAATTTGTCTNAGCTTCCCTTGTGTTCTTCCTTTCTCACAAATGTACCCGCTTTGTTGCATCGACATCCGGAACTTTCTAAACCAGATCTATCTCTTCTCGGACGATCACTTCCAGAACTCTGGCGTGATCGACGACACACTCAGAAGCGTAAGCAATCACACGTCCCGAGCCTCAAGTGCACGCATGACTGACTGATGTTCTTCGATACAGTCTTTGGACGACCTTCTCTGCCACAAAGTGTGCAGGTCATTGGTCGAGAGACTTTCATCACAATATCCAGGACAAATTGTCCAAATCCTGACCAACCTCGATCACTTTGAGACAGCATGCCGAGAATTGCAAGACCTACTCGCAGAAGCTCGCTCATCNAAGCAGTGCAGCCGGCCCAATCGTGCTCGCCGCGACAGAAGAATTTACGACAGCCAAAAAGCGGCTGAGAAGCGCATCTTCGAACTTGTTAACAGCAAGATTGACGATTTGATCGAAACGGCCGAGTATGACTGGAGCTCCACCTACGAGCCACCAGCTGCTTCGCCTTACATGCAGGAACTAACGCGCTATCTGTCCGACGTCATGTCCAGTGTACTGCTTGGACTTCCCGTGCAGATCAAAGAGCTCATCTACTTTGACGCCCTCGGTCATATCAGCAATGCCATTCTTGCTTTGCCGCTTGACCCCTCAATCCGCCGTCTCTCGCCCCAGAGCGTCACAGCTTTCCGCCTCGACACTGAGCACTTGATCAACTTTGTCCGCAGTCTCGACAACCCAGTGCTCATGGAAGGTCTTGATGAGCTGCGCCAGACGGTCGAACTCATGGCCGTAGCCAAAGAAGGCGAAGGACGTGCAGAGGAAGAGTTCTTTGACGTTGAAAAGGGACGCAAGAGATTCGGCAAGGTGGATAAGATGAATGGAGCCGAGTTGCTGGAGAAGGTCAGTCAGGGAGTGGAGGCGCAGAAGGCAGCTGCAGTTGCGGTTGCTCAAGCGGCCAGTCCAGTAGACAAGAAGCCGACCATGAACTTCCCGGCCTTTGCGAGCAGGTTCAAGAAGGACAAGGATGCTTCTTAGAGAGTGGATTGAAAAGCACATGGACAGAAGTAGAGATAGGATACCCATAGAGAGATTTGTTCTGAGTAAGGTTTGGGGTTTCATCAAAAGTGGCATGTTTTATTTTGTACAAAGAAGTGGCAGGTGTAGCCTTTTTAATGGTAGAGCCAGAGGTCGATGCCGCTGGCTGACCTGCATCTCGATGGGCCTTCCGTAAACCCTCAACACGACTTCATGCCTCGTTTCGTCTATCGTACAGTTTCCGACCAGCTTATTCTGCTTAGATGGCGAGAGGAGAGAAGAGCCTGGTAGCTAATTAGCGTGCTGTTTCCAAGCATATGTCATTAGCGGAGTCGTACTTGATCAACGAAGGGCGGGGCACGCTGCGAGTGTAGCCCAGGTAGATGATAAGAGGAAGGTAGCCGCTAGAAAATGCCCGTCAGCGGAGTTTCTCTTTGTGATGATTGAGCTAGTCGTTTGGCGTGGACGTGATCATGGTCGACGGAGAGAAACATGATGGTTGGATGTTTTGCTTCGTGATGGCCCCATATCCTTGCTCTTTCTTGTCGTTTCGATTTCGAATAGTATGATCAAATGGACGATAGGCGATCCCAGAGGAAAAAGACAGACGAAAGACAGGGCGAACGTACTAGTGAACAGCGACACGAGAAATGTCAATGACGCGCGAGATGCGCTCCTGGACGAGGGTCAGCCAGAAAGTCATGAGAACGATATACATAGGATCAGAATACCTTTGTCTCTTCGGAAAGCTGCATGTTGACTAGATGGACACGGCGTTGGGTATAAAGTGGCTGGACAAGAAGAAGTCGTCGACAGCCTGTAAATCGTCACTTGCGACGGGCGTTGGATCGGCCTTTGCGGCGAGAAGAAGAAGCGGAGCCTTCCGTCATTGCTGAACTTCTCCAGCGCATGCGACAGGACACAGCTCTTTGCTCCACTCATTCACAAGAGAAAACATGGCGTCGGGAGGAAAGCATTGGTATGTTAAATCCTGTTGTTCCTGCGACTTGGTTTCGATCTCGTTTCATACGTAGTCGAGAACGCATACTGCAGCTAATCTAGAGCTCAAGCTAACACCATGTCCAGGGAACAAGACAAGGAAGCGACCGTCTACGTCGGCAACCTCGACGAGCGCGTGACCGACCAACTTGTCTGGGAGTTGATGCTTCAAGCCGGCCGCATTGTCAATGTCCACCTGCCCAAAGATCGCGTCACCCAAACACACCAGGGCTTTGGTTTCGTCGAGTTCGTCAGCGAAGAAGATGCCGACTATGCCGCCAAAATCATGAACCAGATCCGTCTATGGGGAAAACCTATTCGTGTCAACAAGGCTTCGGCGGATAAGCAGAAGACGCTGGATGTGGGTGCTGAGCTCTTCGTTGGAAATCTGGATCCCATGGTCGACGAGCGCGTTCTGTTTGAGACTTTCAGTCGCTTCGGCAGCTTGACTTCTGCGCCNAAAGGTATGCGGCCTCCTACCGATCCACTCCTACAGCTGCTAACAATATTTTAGGTTGCTCGCGACGATGCGAACCTCAGCAAGGGATACGGATTTGTGTCTTTCACCACCTTCGAAGCCTCGGACGATGCCATCGCAAACATGCACGGCCAATACCTCATGAACAAGGAGATCACCGTTCAGTACGCCTTCAAGAAGGATGGCAAGGGCGAACGTCACGGAGACGCCGCAGAGCGTGCCCTCGCTGCTGCCGGTCGTGAACACAACATTGAACCTCAAGTGCAACCTCTGCCTCCACAACTGCTGGCTCCTCAGATCGCCACCCCTATCGCGCCGCCTACTCCCATGCCAGCTGCTCCCTATGGTGTTTCGCCCGTCACTGGCGGCTACGGCGCTCCTCCAGCAGCCAGGAACCAGCTTCCACCTCCTCCAGCAGCTGCTGGTGTGCCTGCTCGACCACCCCCAAGCGTTGGCGGATACAACGGTCCCCAAGGTGGCTACAATGGTCCCCAAGGATTTGCTCCNCCTCCCGGTTTCGCACCCAACGGAGCTCCACCTGGCTTCGCGCCGCCACCAGGTTTCGGAATGCCTGGCATGCCTCCTGGATTTCCTGCCCTCCACCAGGAATGCCTCCGAATGCTTATCAGAGACGATGATGTAGTCACAGCTGGGAGAAGATTTCATCTACGATTCAAGGGAAAAAGCTGTTGTTTTTAGCGAGGCGTTCATGGCATGCTCGGGATTTGGGTTGCATGGTGAGAGGAGATGGAAATGTATATTGAGATGGACTTAGGAAATGTGGGCAGCCTCAAGGCTGAGCTCCAATCAGAATCACAAAACAAGACTGGTCCGTAGACAATGGTATATCGAGTAACAAACAGACAAAAGAAATGCGCAAAAACCAGACCCATGTTCCATTGCTGGACATCGAGCAGGCCGCCGAGGCTTCACAAGCGGTCAAACATGACAGCCTTGGGATCTCTCGGCCTGCCATCCTTGCCAATATTCTCTCTTCCAAACCTCTCCTCCATAACTATCCTCCTCGCCTCATCAAACCCACAACCCCTACTCTTCATAATCGCTTTCACTCTTTCCTTGCCCTGCTCATCCAAGCCCTGTCTACTATCCCCACCCTCGACATTCTCGCGCAAGTCAAAGTTTGCACTGCTGAACCCAGCCTCAATATCGTCTTCGAAACTGTTTTGGCCCAGACTGATGTACGCGTTTTGGGCGAAAGGGTTTAGTCGTTGCAGGGATTGGGAAAGTCGCCAGAGGGGCTCGGGGATGTGGCCTGGTGCTGTGAGGTAGGGGATCGGAGGGGCGTGAGCGATCCAGAGGTGTTTTGTTAGGTAGAGTGCTGCGAGTGTTTGTGTTAGTGGAAGGGGGAGTGGAGGAGAGAGGGTTGAGTTTGGCGTACCGGTTGCGCTGACGAGGAAGAGGAAAGTTATTGAGTAGAAGACGTAGCCCATTGTGACGGTATCGCGAGTCGAAGAGGAAGAAGAGGTAGAGAATGAGTGCGCGGTCTGGTGGTAGACTCGGAATGGACGGATGAGACAGTTGGTGAGCAGCGGCCTTGTCGGAGATAGTAGTGCTCCGTCTGAATGTAGGGGTTTCAGGTGTAGAAGATTCAATCAGGGCCTAGCAAGGCCAAAGTGTATACACAATCACATAAAGGGCTGGCGGAAGAAATGGATAAAGAGGCAGACAACACGACAGGGGAGATTGCTGCTGACAAGAAGTCCCAAACGGGTTGCGGCGGAGGCTCAGCTTACGCACTTGCAGCGCAGCGCTATGCTTGGCGGACGCGACCCCAGACTCTCTCGGCAAGCGCGACCGACGCAAAGAGTCGAGGGCTGCCAAGACCCGCGTCAGGCCATTGGCAGGAGCGGAAGCTCGTCGTCAATTCCCAAGTCGACCGCAAGCAAGCAACCCGTACGCAATTGCTTTCTCTTCCACTCGACCACACCACACACATACCCTCTCACAATGGCCTCAATCATCGGACGCGCCGCTTTCCGCGCAACTCGCCCTCTCCGCGCCTCGGGCGTCAACTCGGGCGCCGAGAACGCTGCTTCTCAAGCCAGCCGTGAAGCCGACAAGCAGGCCCTCAAGCAGGGCGCCCGCAAGGACCCCGAGCTCTACGTACGTCGACAACTCCTCTACGCCTTCTTCAAAACCCCAAAAGATATTGCGAACACCCCAAAAGGCCCAATGCCCCTCGATCACCCACACCCGCTGCTGTGCTGCTTGTGGGCCCAGCCAAAATGACAGGATACCCGATTTACTGACAAGGCTTCGCGAAACAACAGNATCCTGCTCACCATCATGTCTGGTGCTTTCGGTCTCGCTGGCTGGCACTTCTCGCGCAACCCCACCTCTTCCTCATCCGAGAACCCCGTTAGCAAGGCTGCCGACTCCGAGCCCTGGAAGACTGGTGGTGATGCCAAGTACCAGTACCACCCCGGCGGTGACACCAGCAAGCCTCGCAAGGATGCTCCCTCGGCTTTGAACGAGGTCATTGTCCCCAACGTCAACCTGCCCAGAGTGAGTAGCGATCGAAAATCTATCATATCCATCCCAGTCACGCTGACAACCTTGACCAGNGAGCTCCACGAGAAGTACAACAAGTGGGGCAAGGAGGGTTACTAGAAAGACCAAAAACATTGGTTTGCAAACTGTATAGATACCTTAACTCCAAAGCCGCCTTTTCTTCTGTCATCTCAATTTTACGCTCCTACGAATTGTCCGCTCAGGAAGCACACACGACACTTTCTTGGTTCACATCTCTGCATAGATCTGTTCGTGCATAATACAAATCATCTTGACTTGATAAAAGCTAGAATACATCGAGGACCTTTTGACCATGAGTGATCCATTCGCTTGACTTGCAGCACACGCCTCAACTATGATCATGTCCATGTCCTCTGTGCATCTCCGAATTCCTTATCGTATGCCATCTTCATCATCACCGCGCTACTTTGAAAATTTCTGGTTGAGAAGTCTCATAACTGCCTTCAGTACTTCAGGCTAGAGCCGAATCTGAGCCTTCCAACGGAAGGACGGATACTACCTGCATCAATACCGCGGTGCCCATCGTAAGCACCGAATCTGCCCTCAAAAGGCAAAGGTCTGTAGCGCGAGTCTCTACTGATGCGCTCAGGAGGTTGGCTCCAGTCCTCGCCAAAGAAGCTGTTGTTGCCGTTTGCGCTCTTGTCGATACACCACTCAGGTGGATCGCAGAATGGAGCAAGATAACCACGACGCTGTTCGAGAGGGCCCTGAGTGTATTGTGACAGACTCTCATGCATGCTTAGAAACAGGCGTGTTGTGACATCGTTGAAGGGTTCTGCTTCTGGATTCTTGCTCGACATGGAACGAGTGGAAGGTGTTCCGATGGGGCCAGGATTGACCTTCGACTGCGTGACACCGAGTGCTTGATTGTGTGCTGTTTTGATGAATTCAAAATGTTCATCTTGACGCTCGATGGTCGTGAGTCCACTATAGAACCAATCGTAAAGCTCCTGTTCATGGCTTTTTCTGCTAGCTTCGCTTGGGACGTCAGGGCTACCCATGAAGAACGGACCCTTGAAGTTTTGGGGACTTGGTCTCGAATAGATGGCAAGCTCCCCAGTCGTCATGTGTGGTAGGCTGATGTCAACAATCTCCATCGTTTTAGATTCGGGTACAAACTCAGGCTCACTAACATGAGGATCGAAGACAAGATCGTCGTTGCTAGTGGAAGAGGATGCCTGACCAATACAACCCGAAGCCCCCTCGCCGACCGGAGTACTTGACCAGATGGGGTTGTAATGCTTCACTCCAGAGTCTTGCTTGATCACTGGAGAAGTCTTGGAAGACTGGCTGTGAAATGGATCATGAAGGACAGTTCGAGCACCTGTACTGTTGTTCATGTTGCGAGTTGAAGCGGCGTCGAAGATCTTGTCCAGACATGCCTTTGTGAAACTGCGCTGAGTTGATGCGGGTGTTTGTCCAGAAGAGTCACTTTGTGGTTGTGTCTTTTCGAGGAGAGTAGAAAGATTGAGAATGGATGAGTGAAGCTGCGAGGTGGCCGTTTGTGGCACACTCTTTGGTAGAAACGAGTTCAGGTATAGACTACCCTCATTCACATCTGTACGCGTCGTGATAGATCCTGCAAGACCAGGGGTCCGATAAGAGTTCTCAGAAGCATCGTGGTTTCTATTTGTAGGTAGTGCTCCGAAAGACATATTGTTGAGAGTAGTCAAGCTGTGCGGCCATTGGTTGAGTGCGCTGTTCGGCATGGTGCTGACATCCTTAGTCGATTGTAGTGAGTCAGGTTGGAATGAAAGGCCTCTGGATGCTGGTACGACGGGTGTACCGGACAACTTGCGCCTGCTGCGAACACAAGAGGCGTAACCTTGTGCCCAAGGCTCAAGTTCTGGTCCGAAGGATGGTGTACGAGTATGTTGTTCTTTCTCGGGTAGGCGCTGTGCAGATTCCGAGCTGATCGGAGTTTGAATAACAGGTGTGACTGCTACTTTTCGCGCAGGACGATTGATAGATACCTTAGGCATGTATGCTTGCAACTCCTTTGGGCCGAATGGCAGCTTCATTGAAGACGCCTCGTGCTGTTTTGCGACTGCCCTGAAATAACAAAGGCTATGCTGCAGGAGCGAATGGAGCTCGTTCTCGCCTCTCAGTCGATGGGAAGCGAGAGTGCCCTCTGTGCGCCTGCGGGAATTGGAAAATTGGCCAATGTTAAACCACTGGTAATCAGACTGTGACCACTGCTGAGCTGAAGTATCGCCGTTGGGATGCATTGCAAACCCAATTTGACCATCTTTGTTTCCAACATTGCCCTGAAAATAGGTCAGGGGAGGAAGATCGTTGCCAAACACTTCGTTGATTTCCTGCCTGTTGAAGGAGACAGCGATGGCTGACGATTTGTCGTCAGTCTTGACCTCGCGTGCGTTCAGACCAACAGCAAATTTAGATGAGGCCTTGGTTCTCTTGCTAGTGACGAGCTGAAAGTCTCCGTCATCCCCACTGAGAGTAGCAGAGTCCCTTCGAGGTGCCTCGAGGCTGCGGGAAACAGAACTCTCGCGTGAGCCTGGTCGAAACACTTTGGCATGAACATCAAACGGGCTTCCCTTTCTAGATACAAGACTCTTCGAGGTCACGTCTCCATCGCTCGAATCGGGGTACTCGGCATCCGGCCAATGCTTGGAGACTTTGTTTCGTGCTGTCCTAGGGAGGATGAGCTTGTTCATAGGGATGGTGGGATCATTCTCGATAATCCGCTTGCTCTGTCTCTCAAGCCGGGCAGTTGCCAGCTCAGCAAGACGCATCTGGTCATCGGCACCGGAATCGTGATCATGCATTTTGTCAGAGCCGTCAGAGTCTAGGAGTTCTCTTGAGGATCTGGGCGAGGGTACAGACGAAGAAGAGACAAAGATTTTAGAACCGGGTTCCTGATGGGCCTTCGTACGGTCCAGGTCTTCGGCCTTGACGACGTTGATGTGGTTGAAAGGGGTTCTGGGTTTTGAGGAACGTAGAAGCAGACGATCTGCCGGAGTGCCCAGTGGAAGTCGACGCTCAGAGATGTTGTGCAGAGTAGGGGTGGCACGTCTCTGCCAAGCTGAGAGTAGAATGAGCGGTCTACTTCTTTCAATGAGAAGGAGACAACCAGCCGTTGCACTTACCTCTGGCACGACGGCCGAAGTGAGTTTGGCTCGCCAGGGTGAATGTGGATCTGTTGCTGATATAGACAACAATACTTCGAGGATCCTGTCTTAGAAGGCGAGACAGGTATGCGTGAGCCTGGACGGGAGCAGTCGATAGTCTATCCACGCGTCTGAGATTGATGTGAGGTTGCGCGCAGCTAAATGGGGCCACAAAAGGAAGGAAGTGGTATGTCCGGCAGATCGCGACTTCCGACATAACACACCGCGCGCGCTTCACTCAACCGCGTGTTGTGTCTTCGTCATATGTGTCCAATTTCAAGGGCACAGGCTTACAAGCAGACGGAAACATTTGCTAGCAAACACAGCAACGGAAAATGTGAGAGACAATCCTAAATCGAAGTTGGAAGTTGCCCTGGGTTTCATGGCGAACGAACTCGTCTGTTCATCTTTCGATGGCCTGTTTCTGATATCTATGTTGTCTCAGTCGGCCCGTCTGCGTCAGGTAGTTCGTGGTATCACCTGTTCGCTTCTGGACAGTCAGGCAACTCAAGCTCATACCTAAGACTTAGTATTTAGTATGCAAGTGATATAGTCCGAATCTGCTTCCCTTCCATTAGTGTACATCATGCCATAAGGATTCTATCTTTGTCCGAGCACACTCAAGCATCACCACTACGTTGACGACTTCGGCTTGACGTGCAATGTGGCATATACATGCTGACACTTCATTCGAACGTCTGTCGCTCATTCTCGGCATGATCATTGGGTTGTTGACAAAGGCATGTAGCCTGGCAGTGCATCGGCAGAACAAACCCAAGCTACATACTCATCGTGAGCGCATTTGTCTTACTATGACAGACTTCGGCAACTGAGAGCCTATGGGCAAGGATCAGGATTGATGCAAACAACCAAAGAGACATGCAGAATGCAGGTTCTACTCATGCAAACCGTATGCAGACAGGAAGTTGTCTTTGTTCCCGCCGACGAATTGCCGCAGACATTTATCTTATCTTGGATCAGACGATCTGATGATCTCCTTTGCTTCTCGGAAGTCTGTCAAAGAATGCATGACGTTCTATCTTTGGTATGGCAGGCGTTCCTTCCTACGCTGAATATCTTCAGAGATGAGAATGAAGCTTGAGTTGCATCCTGTCCAAGTTAGAAAGAACGAAATGTCAAGGTCCAAGATCTACTGGCCATCATCAACCGATTGATTTGATCACATCATTGTCGACTATCATTGACCCTATACCCTACAAGGCGGCATATTCCTACAAACATGTTCAAAAGACCAAGTACGCTTGCTGCCGCCATACCTTGCGCTGTCTTAATCTACCTCAGTTTGACGCCTGCTGGACACTACATGGCTCGCAAGCAATTGAAGGACTGGGAGTCACAAGGTCAAGATAGCGAAGATGAAGCCATGAAAGGACGCAAGGCCGCAAAGCTACACGATCACGATCATGCGAAAGTACATGGACCAGAAGTTCACCAGCAAGAGCATGTTGGAAAGACAGAAAGTGACAACGAGTCAAAAGGACGCTAAGGCGGGCCAAGCCAATCGCGGGGCAATGGCGTAAGGCTAGGGCACGCGATAGCGACGGCATACGCATGCCCGACTTGCGCACCCTCTCCACCACCACCAAACTGTCTTTCCCACTCATTCAACTCATTGCGCGCCTCGGCCTTGTACACACCTTCGACGGGCAAACACACCATCTCTCGATCAACCATGAACCAATTCCAGCCTAGTCCGTCTTCGAGGACAGCCTCGACTATGCAAGCAATGCCCGATTCGAGATCACAGAGCTTCGAGGAGATCTACGGCCCACCCGAGAACTTTCTCGAGATTGAGGTGAGTCAAGTCGCTGTGTTTGTCCTTCACGAGCGCTGACAGAAGTGTGTTTGGCAGGTATGCAATCCGCAAACCCACGGCCTGACTCCCTCGTCGCGCTACACGACCTACGAGATCCGCCTGAGCACAAACATTCCCTCGTTCAAATTGCGCAACAGTAGCGTGCGCCGCCGCTACTCAGACTTTGAGTACTTCCGCGATATTCTTGAGCGCGAGAGCGCCCGCGTCACCATCCCTCCATTGCCCGGAAAGGTCTACTTCAACAAGTTCGACGACGCCGTTATCGAGGAGCGCAGGAAAGGTCTCGAGAGGTTCCTCAAGATTGTCGTCGGTCATCCTCTTCTGCAGACAGGAAGTCGCGTGCTCGGAAGTTTTGTTCAAGGTATCTTTTACCCTTAAATCAGGTCTGCTCGCGCCGAAGGAATTTGCTGATCCATTTATCTAGACCCCAACTGGGACCGCAGCGCCTGGTAGATTTATCTGCCGCCTTTTCCTCCATGACGACGAACCTTTTGCACTTTTCAGAAGAATACCCTCTCCTACTTTAACGATCTCTATTGTCCGTTTCTCCTGCGGTTCAGCGACATCTGGGCGTTTCACCTCCTCTTGCTCTCGAACTCATTGCCTCTGCTTGCAGATGTACATTGCACCACCTGCTTCGCTCCTAGTCTATAATGTCAAAATGCGATACCATTTGTCTTCGAACGCATGTCTTCTTCGAGAACCATGTCCGAGAATCAATGCTCTTTGTCCTTTGTCCAAGATGGATAGGCTGCTTTCTCCTATGACCCCCGTTCTTTCAAGCCTACCAACGAGTCTTTGTCCATCCTTTGCCTCCTAGTCACACCACAAGTCAGGGTACGACTACCACGCTTACAGTCAAAAAGATACATATGTATCTCAAAGTTCAACCTCTGCTCCCATCATCACACACCGCAAACCACAAAGCTAAACACCACTTACACAGTATTCTCGAAACATCCAAAATGTGCTCTCACACCAAGACTAGCTCTATCGCCGTCGCCGAGCCCACTCTCTTTGGTCGCCCTATCAATGATCTTTGGTACGACTGCCCTAAATGCGGCGCTCGCCTCGTCTGGATAACGGGTCGCGGCTGGTACTGCACTGGTGGTCGTTGCCGCCGCTAAAGTTTGCAAAGGCCAAAAGGGAAGTGTAGGTAAGTGCGTTCTTTCACGTTTCTGTCGCTTTTGCCGGAAAGTTTTTGCAAGGTAGTGTTTTGTACTCTATTAATCAACGAAATCAACTTTTTTTTTTCTATCATCGAATGTTATTGTGCTCTTCGTGATTTTCTAGCTCGGCTCTCATGTTCCAAAACCAATGCTCTTTGTCCAATATGAACGACCATCTCCCCCCAGCACTGTCAACGGAGGATGGATTCAAGCTCTGCTTCGACGTCTTTGTTCATACCCAACAATACTAAGACCACAACCACAATACTTAGTCGGTAGAAATTGTTAGAAAGCATTCTACACATGGCCACTGAGATCACATCTGTTCATTGACTTCTTTCTACACATCACGTTCCTCTATCCCAAAAACATATCATCTCATTGTTCGCACCTCGCATATAAAACAAGAGAGTTTCCGTCTACCCTCCATCCACTCCTCCACTTTCTTAAGTATATCCAAACGTACACTCTCGCTAGTAAGTGCAGTGCCTCCCCTCAACTCTACCAAAACCAAGACCTCTTACTTACCAAAAGTATAGCTTTCTTCAAGTACATCAACCCCAAACCAACAATCAACAATGGCCGCTTCCACTTTCTCAAACACACCTGTTGATTTCTTCTACCAATCGACCAATGGCCGTGTGGGCCACAACGGCAACGGTGGTCGCTGCGTCGTGCAGAAGAAATTCGACGCCTCCGCCGAGCTGGTGATGGAAAGGGCAAGGGCTCGCTTGTCATGGCTTCTTGCACTCTCCAGAAGAACTAAGATTGCCTTTTGAAGGCGATCTAAGGACCTTTTCATCTTTGGCTGCGCTTGGGTGGATTGTCTTACAAGGCCTTTTTTTCTTCTATCTTGCGAATCTCTTGAGTGGTAGTGTTTGCCTGTAATACGGGGTAAACTTCTTCGCTTCTCTTGAGGTTTTTATATCTCTTTTATCGAATTATTATTCTTTTGGGTTTTGCGAATGATTTGTTTCTCTTGTGTCTCGTTGTGGTACAGCTGTGATAAGTGCAGTATTGATGTATACCTAAACAGTTACTGCAAATTCCATATGTGGGCATGTAACACGATCGAAGCGTGGCCTTCTAGAACGTGACCATCAGCAAAGTAAGCAGGAACAAGATCAATATACAAAGCACACTTCGATGAATAAAAGATGGATCAGAGAGGAGTGAACATCGATTATTCGTTTCATATCTAATTCTCGTGTCATAGTGGAAAAGAGGAGAGGATAGGGATGTTTCTAGGTTATCAGCGCATTTCTCCTGCCACATCGGCTGCTTCGAGCGAGTCGCTGATTTCTCCGTCTTCTGTATCGTGTCTTTCGTCATGGTTTGTTGCTTCTGTAGTCTCAGAAACCGTCTGAGTGTGGTTGTGCTGTGGGTCGAATGCCAGCTCTTGTACCGCTGCCTGCTCGGGCTCTAGCTCATGAGTGACTGTCTGCTCAGTGGTTGGCCGCTCGGTGTCTGGATCTGATTCTTTCGGCAAGCTTTCGTTATGTGGAGCTATCTGAGCTTCCTCTGCACTTGTGGGCACGCCGTGATCTATTTCGACTGTCGGTGTGTTGGGCATACTATCGTCCTCTACAGGTGCAGCGACGACGAACAAGTCGGGATCTCCAGCCACTTGTTGCTCTGATCGAGTAGATGGTATCGACGGTTGAAAAACTTCTCTGCTCGTAGGTCTAGGCCTCGCAGGCAATGGTGGTGGATGTCGAGCTTGTTCATCAATATGGTCAACCTTCTCAACCATCTTACTTGGCTGAGGAGAAGCTGACTGTGATCCTACAGGCTTACGTTTGAGGCTTGGTAGGTTCAAACCTGACGATGCCCAAAGACTTTTCTGAGGCCCAGGTAGAGGAGTACCGGGTGGTGGCAAAGGCATTCCACGACCCATTGGCTGAGCCAACAGTGCCGCCTTTAGAGCAGCCGGATTGGGCGGCTGAGATGGCAATGACACTGAAGATGATCCAGTATTGGCCGACGATACTGAAAATCTTTTACCCAAGCCAAAGGAATTTCCTGATGTCGACGCCGAAGATCCATTTTGTCTGTTGAGGACTTGCCAACCCCATTTCTTCGCCGCATTGGCAGCCGTACTGAGATGAGATGGAGTCGAACCTGATGAAGCCGTGGTATCTAAGGATTTCACCGATGGTGATCTCGGGGTCGTCGACAGATCATCTGCAGTAGCAGGTGCCTGAGGTTCAGCCTGTTGTTTCGTTGCATGTTGTTCTAGAGGCTCAGAGCTCCGACGGAGGATTGAAGGATCGGGTAGATCTTCTCCTTCTTCATCTTGCGTTGCCAGAGTCGAGAAAGTTTCAGAGTCAATGGGCAGGACGTTCTCCGGTTCGCGCAGTACCCGTGGAGATGTAGCTGTCGATTGTGCTTTCGAGTTGACTTCTTTTACCATCTCGACTGCATCCTTCTGCCCCTTTTTCTTCGTGTGTGACCTCACTGCCTCGATATTCGATCCCTCAGTGCTAACCAAGGGCGTCGCTGCGGCAGAAAATGAGTTTTGGCGCATAGTACGAGGCTTACCAGGTGGTGTGCGTGGACGAAGTGGTGGCGAAGATGGTGTTTGAGCTGGTGAGGCTACAGCAGTTGCACTGGTCGATGCGCCAATTGGGCTCTCTGAACTCTCTCCCAGAAGAGAAGTCGCGGACCGTCTTGCGTTTTTTCGGAAGTTAAGTTTCTGCACTGGCTCCAGAAGGCTAGGCATACTCAAAGTCTTCGCACCAGTCTCGGCAAGAGTAGGAATGACAATGTCCTCCGAGTCTCCATCACCAGCGCTATTGGCGAGTTCATGCGCTGCAGCTTCAACCAAGCCGGAATCTGCCTGTGCAGCCTTCTCAATACCATTAGGCTCTTCGTCTGAAGGCGAAGGCTCGAATATGCCACCTCTGTACTCTTTCTTCGAAGTGTCGAGGAATGGGCTGTCGTCCCAGTTCGGAAGGACGATCGTCTCCCCGATAACTTCTCGGATTCTGCTCTCAATCGCGCGTAGAATGACACCATAGGTGATCTGCCTGCTGCTGACAATGGGTTGAATGCTCATCTCGACTTGTGGCATGGTCTCGAAAGTCATCCAGATACGGTTACTCGGTGGAGGCTTGATACGAATCAAGAGGTGACCGTTGAGTTTCTTCAGCTCGCCTGCCATGATCAAGCTGACTTCACGAGCCTTGAAGCGGGTTCCGAGGTCGATCCGTGCAACCGCTCCCATCTCGATTTTGAAACCCCCATTGTACTTTACGTCTAGCTCAATTGTCATATCACCATTGACTGTAAGCTCCTTCAATCTGGGATTGCTGATAATTGGGGCACTGTCGCCCATGTCGATATCCATGATGTCGATGGAAGCAATCAAGTTTGGCTTTGGTACGCGTGAGATCTTCTTGTTGATCTTGGCACGAATGAAGTTTTCGATGTCTTTAGTCTTGTACATGGCAAGGAAGATACGGCCGACGATACCGTTGATCCAGCGCGAATGTGCGTCAGCATCAGACGAGTGTAAGTTCTGTACGAGTTTGATGATGTCTGGAGTTTCAAATTTCTGAGGCAACGGAGGCGGATCAGTATTGATGATGGAAGACTGGGTATGTAGCAAGGCATGATAAAAGTCTTCCTTCTCGGAGCAGTTGTCAGAGAAGAAGTGGAAAGGCTTGGATGAAGGAGCGTGCTCGCCGGCTAGAGGTTTTCTGGTCAGGCGGATGCAGTTGCGCTTGATCCACAGATCTCCTTCGGGTACGGGCTCTCCACCAGCATATACATCGATATCGTGATAGGCAAGAGAAATAACGTGTCGCACTTCAACCTGCTCCGAGTCGTCGTAAAGCATGAGATGGCCGTGCCTCAAGACAACGTAGAAGACATTGCGGGCTTTCTTGACGGCCTTGCCGTCGCGTTTGTCGCCCTCGATAGTTGGAATCGAAGTCTTGCCTCGCTCAAAGATGCTTCTGTACATGCTTTGGTAGACACTCGGACTCTCTGCTATGAGGACTTCACCAGCCGGAGTCGAGCGCTCTGGGGGCTTGCCATTGACTCCACCAGGAACATACTCTCTGCAGACGGCAAAGTAAGCAGCCGCCGTGTCGAGTTCACTGTCATTTTCCTTGCTCTTGTCACCGAGGTCATCTGTTGTGTTCGCAGTACTTGTCGATTCTACATGATCGGTGGGCGTGGCAGTCGATACAGGAGCAACGGGCTTGGTGAATGCAACGTATGTGAAGGCGCCAAGGATGAGGGCGAGCAGGGGGATGAAGGTCAGACCGCCGACGACGTACGCCAGCAGCAGCGATTTCAAGGTCATAGTGGTTGCTGCATGGGAAGAGCTGGTTGATTAAGAAGGTTTGAATTGCATCTCGATCGCTTGTAGTAGAAGGTGGCAGCGAGGTATGGTCTATGTACAAGAAAGGTCGCGAGTGGTAGCTACACCAAAGTCCACGCCCGAGCTTCCGCAGCCCCAGAACGCCAGCGACCCCTCATTCCCTTCTTTCCTTTCCTGAACGCCCTCATTCCTCTTACTGGGATTCTCCTCCTATTGACAACCCAATCCTCCATCTGTGTACAACACCATCAGTCGCGATGCAAGACGTCAGTCGCTCAAGTGTTGTATCTACTGAGCTCGTCTGAGGACGGCTTCAAGCAACAAACCCATGACTGTAGTGAGATATTGCTTTGCAATTCTTACTTTGTCATGTCGAATAGGTCGCTGCTCAACAAGTCGTCAATGTTGAAGGTCTCGGGGAAGTCGTTGCTGCTAGGAGCCAAGTAGGTGCCGATGCTGTTACTGGCGAAGGCGGCGTCTTGGTTCATGTTGAAGGGATCGAAGTCGAGCGAGCTGGACTGGAAGGGGTCGAACTCGTCCATGAAGGGGTACTGCTGACTTGAGAGGTTGTGAACGGTCTGTCTGACAGGACCACTGGCACCCATGGCGTTGTTGTTGTTCTGGTCAAGAGCGCCCTGGTCGGTGGTACCACCAACGAACAAGTCATGGTCATCAGGCTGGTAAGGAGACTCAGAGGTGGAGAAGTCGAACACAGGAGGAGAAGATGATGCCTCATTGGACATAGGCTGAGCAGCCATGCTGGTGAAGGTGGTGGTTGAGCCTGAGTTGCCGATCATGTTGCTGTTCTGCTGGATGTGGCCGGTGTGGTGGCTGCGAGCAACAACTTCCTCGCGAGCGGACTCGAACGTAGGCTGAGCAGCCATGGCGAGGGCAGCAGTCGAGCCCTGATTGCGAGCGACATCAGTGCCATTGTGGTCAACGTAGCTGACACGCTGGTAATGGGCGACGATCTCCTCAGAGGACAAGTTGGTGGTCAGAATGTTCTCGGGGAATGAAGAGATGTCAGGAGTGTACATGCGCTCCATGCTCTTGACTCCAGCCGTGTCAACGATGCTCCAGCCCATGACACCGAGATAGTCGTCTCTGGGGATGATGCCGATCAGAGGGCAAGTGAGGGCCAGGAACTTGTCGAGAGGCGCAGCGTCCTTGGTGTTACTCTCGCGAATGATTGAGTAAGCCTTAGCGAGGATGCTCCACTTGGCCTTGAAAGGGTCGTTCTGCCACATGCGAGTCAAGAAGCCAGAAATATCCTTCTGCTGAAACGACTTGAAGATGGGAGAGTGATAAACCACAAGACCGAATCAGAACGACCTATGGGTACTTCGTCACGACGAATCAAGTTCNNGTCTTGAAGTTGTCCAGCATTTCGGATAACGAGCGGGTGTGTTGCTGCCAGAAGATGAACGTACGTCCTTCGAGGCAGCCGACTTCGCGCGCTTCTTGCATTGCTTGCGTTTCTTGCGTTCGGTGTAGGCGCGGATCAAAGTAAAGGAAGTCGAAGCAACGATAGCTGNACTCGAGGTAGCTGGGCGCATTTACATCATAGCACCATCGAGTTATGCAGCCTGTTCGGGCGAGTATTTCTCGAAGAGCAGAGCCATCGATTCGGGCATCACGACAGACGTTATGCACGAATGTATGGTAGAATGGTAGCTCTGGTTGACGTTATACATACTAAAGTATTGGGCTGGCTTTCGGTGCTCTGGGGAGAACAGACTGCATAAAACGAGTAAGAAAGCAATTGTAAGAGTGCTATGCAAGATAGTAGCATCGATTCACCAAAGCGGTGACATGAAAAATAGAATCTTCGCATTTCTGCATTGTGGCTTAATTCGTTCATCACATCCACTGAAAGACTAATTAACAGTTTGTGACGATTTTGATTTTATCTCTTTGTTCGATGAAAGTGATTCGCACTTCAACCAATATGTGCTGTGAAACGTGGTGACAGCCAAGAAGCTTTGACAAAAGCCCGTTTCTCTCTTCACTACAGAATTCACCTCTCGATCACTTAACTCGAGAAATTATGCCGGGCTCCATTGTGAACTGCGTTTTCTTGTGGTCTCGGCCGCAAATCCCTGACCCCTTGCTTGACTCTTTGTTTCCCACATTCCAGACCATGACGGTTGCGAGACAGGCTCTTGTACCCATCAGAGCAGTGATGTTTTCGCCGTAGAAATTATGTCTGGGACTTGCGCCAGTAGACTGTGTTGATCTGTCAGCTCCTGTTTCATCCCTAGTGCTATCAGTTGAATTTCTCTTACCATCAGCTGCCTCCCAACCTTCATTGAGGTCAGGATCTGAGAACTCAGGTGGAAGACTCGGCCGCAAGACTGGACCCTCACGAAGGACACGCTCACGCTTTCGGAGCTTTGTTCCCAATCTGCTGCCCTTTGTTGCAAGACCTTGCATGACAAAGAGTCTGCGAGTTTGATCACGCTTAAGTGCAACTGCACCTCATCAGCTTGAGTTTCATGCTTGCTTGTTTGGAGGCATACTTACACCAGATAGCAATTGTCTGGATCGGCACACGACAAGCTACGGAAAGCATTTCCAATTCTGCCAAGTTGGGCTCGCGGTTGAGCTGGAAGAATTCTTGAAGCACTTGGTCGCTTTCGCGTTTGAGATTGGTCAGTCCAGCGATAAGTCGGACGCCGGGTTTGGCAACAAGTCTGAGAGCGACGGTGAAGTCATCCGTCGACCTTGTGTCTGTCAGAAACTGTACGAGCAGGTGTGCGAGCTACACTTACTCGAGAAGCTTTTCGCGCAAGGCTGATCTCATCAATCTCTTGAGGTGAGGAGGCATGGTTTCATCGCCGGTCAAGACAGCTGACACTTCATTTGCCAGTGCCTGGTCAGCCTGATAAAGAGCTCCTACACGAGCGAGCTTGTTGGTTTGCAGCTGGGATTGGGTGGAGAACATAATCTTTCGCGACAAGTTGAGTGAGTCCTGATGAGAGATGTTGCTTTTCGGCTCCTGCGACACGGCCAGTTTGAAGAGGTCGTTATGGATGTCGTCTAGCATGCTAAGGATCTCTTGGTCTTTCTCCTCAGCATCTTCCTTGAACAACTTGCTGATCTGTGCAGGGTTGTCTTTGGCGGCCTGGAGGAAAGACGACATTCTTGCGTTGCTCTGAAGACAGAAGCGACGAGTTGATCGAAGTGTGCGTTGACGAGGGAGGATATGGACAGCAGGTTTGACTGTCTATGTGGTTGTGAAGTTCGAATAAAGTAAGTTGCAGTGAATATGGCCGGAAATGTTTTGCTGTTCACTTCGAATTTATTGTCACTATTGACGCTCTCACAAATCTTATTGAGAGCTTCATTTGGCTAGCACTACCAACCACCCCAAAACCATCACTTGCGTCTATCTCACACATCCTTTTCTCTCTCTTCCAATTCTGCGCATCGTCTCTTCTTCGCTTCTTTGCCAGACTCGCTTTCATCCCATCCATCTCATCCACTCCATCCAATTCATCCACCTCCTTTCTATATCAGCTTTTGTCACCAATAACCACTCACACAATGGCATCAGTTTCGGCTTTCCCCTTGATGTCGGCTCAGCAGCAGGAGATCGAAAAGACTTGGTACCACGCCATGATCCAGATTGCAAGTGGTGCTGCCGGAGGCACCGAGATTGTTCTCCCATCCGACCTCAGAAACCGTCTCGGCGACGATGGTGTCGCCGCTATTGCTCAGCGCTGCAGGTGTGTATCTCGTGCATTCTTTCTGAGCGCGCACTAATTTTTCGTAGCACCTTCAGCAATGCGCAGGTCGAGGTCAAGGATGACGCCGCCAACGATTCGATTCGTATCAACGTGCTGTCTCCTGGCTCGCACCATCAGTCAGATGCGACTGCCATGTCGTCGCCTGGCTCTCCTGAATCTTCTGATTCTCCCAAGAAGGGCCCCAAAGTCAGCCGCCCTGCCAATGCCTTCATCCTTTATCGCAAGCACCATCACTCAGACATCGTGGCTCGCAACCCTGGCCTTCACAACAATGAGATTTGTAAGTTGGCTTTTCTGCGCACAATCCTTCTTCATGTGCAATGACTTACACTCAAATGCAGCAAAGATTATCGGCAAGATGTGGCGTGAAGAGTCCGAGCCAGTCAAGAAGCAATGGAAGGACAAGGCCGAGAACGTCAAGCGCCAGCACCTTCGCGACCACCCTGACTACCAATACCAGCCTCGCAAGCCCCATGAGAAGAAGCGCCGCATGACCAAGCGCAAGGCCATGGCTCTTGCTGCTCAGCAGAATGCTCCTTCCACTTCTGCTTCTGCCTCTGCTGCCTCTGCACCTCTCAATGCACACGTCCCTGCCGACGTTACTACCTTCTCGCCTACACCATCTACTGTTGGCCCTTTCTCGTCTGTCACCTCTCCTGCTCAGATTGTCGACCTCGCCAACTTCGACGACCCTACTCTCCAATACTCGGCCGATGGCGACCTTGCTGCCTTCACCCTCGACTCCTTCCAGCCTGGCCAGCTCGACCTCTTCACCGACCTCTTGGACGACCACAACACCGACATGATGTACGGTCCTACCACCGTCCGCGCTCCTGCTGCCTGCACATCCATCCCCACTGCCATCAACAGCGCCATGGCTGACGGCAATGCTGGCGCCTCGCTCACCAACCCCACCCTCACCAGCAACGACCTCTCAATGGCCCAGTCTGACTTGAATAACTTCGAGTCTTCGCTTGAAGAGATGCTGGCCCGTGAGCTTGAGACCATGGAGGAGGATGGCGGTCTTGGTGCTGCTGTCGAGAACGGCTTCCAGTACAACGACCTCGAGTCTCAGCGCTTCACAGAGTTCTTGGAGCAGATGCCTGAGCACATGTGGGGCATGGAGTTCGTCAACTAGACTCTTGCTCTACGAGACCAACCATCTCTGCAAGAATGGTCGGTCTCAACCATCATCTTTCTTTGTTGTTGTCTTTGTGGAGAAAGGATAAAAGGAGGAGCATAGGAGGAAAAGGGGGTCTTTGCATGGTCGGCGTACTGCGCATTGGATGATCTCAGCTTTTGTTTCTTTTCTTTTCTCATTTCATCGTTCTTCTTCGAGCAGATACTGCTCTCTCAGTCCATAGCAATGCACACCAACTAATTCGTCTACCTTGCCTCTCCTCCTTTGAAATCGCTGCACCATATGAATGTTGGGCATCGCCATTGTGTGCCTTTCTCCTTTGTGCCTGACGGTCCTAGTGGTCTTGCACACATCCAGAAGCTCCGCCCTTGATTCTCTCCTTTCTTCTTGGTTTGCATGCTCTTGCATGGTTCTTCGTGGCTTTCGCACAATGGTGCTGCTGGTTTGCGGAACAGTGTCTGCCATGACTCCTTGTTCACGATTGGATCATACACCATCTCGTCAGCATCGTCAAGCCGAGGAGGAGGTTGAGATTCAGGTTCGGCAGGTGTGTCAGCTGTCACTTGACTACCTCGGGCATTAGCTGGAGATGTCATGTCTTTTGTGCGGAGCGAAGGTGATGTAGATGATGGAAAGGCTGCTTCAGGCGTAGTGGTCTTTCCTACCATCTCTTCTGCATCTTTCAACACATTTATCTCGCCCAAGGCAGGCACATCTTCATTTACGCCATTGATTTGCTCCTCCGGCTTTGGTTTTGATTGGAAAAAGCCTTTCAAGCTCTTTTGACCTTTGGCAGGAACTGCCTTTGACGTGTTACTGGGTGCAGGCTTCTGTTTCTTTGATGATTGAGTAGTAGAAGTCTCTGATGCCTTGCGTTTCCTCTCTGGCGATGGAGAAACGGCCACCTTGTTAGAGGAAGAACTGGCTGTTTCATATACGGTGGAAGAAGTGTTGATCGAGTGCATGGGTTTGCTTGCTGATGTGGAGCCTATCTGGTTGTTTGACGAGGAAGCTGTGGTAGCTGGCGCAGCAGGAGCTGTGGGTTTCTTGAACATGTCCTTGATGCTTCTTCTTTGGTAGAACTCTGGCATGAGTCTGGCGCTGAAAGGAGGTAGCTCTTTGATGTTCCATTCCTTTTGGCGAGTGCCATCGCTGAAGACACCAGGAGGGTTCATGATGTCGAACAGCTTGACTTCTGATCGTCCATTCTCACCCTCGACATTGACAACATCTTTGAACTCTCCGTAGACCGGGCAGTGGTCGGAACNCCTATCTCCAAGTTAACGGGTGTACATGAAGATCCAGACAATAATACTCACCATGAGACCCTCCTGGATATCAGCATGAACAAACCAATCACGCATAGAGCCACTGGCCAGAACAAAATCGATGCGGCTACCGAAGTTTCCAGGTCTGGCGTTGATCTTTTGCTCCCAATGAGTGTACATGCCTTTCCTCTCAGGATGAAACTCTCTTGTGGTATCAAGCAAGATAGGCTGTTCTCGACCTTCATCTCTTTCGCCATAAACCTCACCGTTGATGATGAGCTGATTGAAAATGCGGCGGTTAGGAGTACTGACGTAGTCCTCTGGTGTCATGCCGGCTTTCTTGACATCCTCGGCTGCGGAAGCTGTATCCATCAAGCCTCGAGAAACATTGAGGTCACCAACTAACACAACACGTTTGCCCATCTTGTCGAGTTTGCGTATCCGACAATCCAGAGCATTCAGGAAGGCATACCGGAAGTCGTCTCGTAGACCGTTCGAATTGGCAGGACTGTAGACGCCGAAGAGGACAAAAGCTGGAAACTCGAGACACACACAACGACCTTCGGCGTCCAGGAGAAGAGGGTCGACACCAAGCTCTGCAAGCTCTAGGTCTGAGAGATAGCCACCGATCTGCTGAGATTCTGGTAGGTTGCGGTATTGGGTTGTTGAATTTGGTGGCGTCAAGACTCCAAGGATACCTTCCTCGGCTCGGATGGGAGAGCAGGTAGCATTGCGAACATAGATACCTACACCTGAATAACCTACAACGTAAGATTATAAGCAAAGGTCTCCGAGAAAGAGAGCTATCATGAGCAAACCTTTCTTCTGTCTAGGCAAGCTGAAATAGCAATCCCAGCCATCGAGTATCACCATGTCATCCCGTAAATCCTTTCGCTGGATCTTGAGCTCTTGCATGACGATGATATCGGATTCGAGGATATCGAACATGGCCGGAAAAGTCTTTGTGATACTCCATGGGTGGTAAGAGAATGGATTACGAATGCCATTGACATTCCAGGTAGTGAGTCTCATGATGATGGAGGTAGTAGGGTCAATTGCACGTTCACGTTGAGGTTGAACATAGTAGGAGGCGATTAGAGAACGACAAATTCATCGAGAGATTTGTTGTATTTCGATCAAGAACCACCTGGCACGCGACTTCCATTTACGGGAGGACGTGACGAAGAGACTATGACGTGCGGCAGGTGACAGCGGAGCGGAGCGGAGTGGAGGTCGCAGCTTCCTTCTTTGGTGGTCCAATGCCAAGCCCTCCGGAACCTCGCGCCGTGCGTGACCCGACGGTCAATCAGGTGTTCAGCAAAAGCCATAGTAATTGACCACTCTCCACTCACCGTCATATACCGCAACAATGTTCACCACACGCGCCGCTAAGCAATTGCGCTCTCCCATCCTTCGCCAGCTCGGCCGCCGCCAGCTCCACGGCGCCGGCCAGTCAGGCTTCCAGGGCGCTGCAGACAACGCTTTCAACCGCGAGCGTGCTGCCGTCAAGGACCACGCTGCTGCCACCAGTGGTACGTCTTGAGCTGGACGCTGCTTTGCGCATATCAATTGGCCTTCAATCTTACTGACTCGGTGTATTACAGATCTCTGGCGCAAGCTCTCCATCTAGTATGCATAGTCCAATACCCAACGTCCCATTATCCTTCCACCGAACGAGAAAGAGATGCTACCCCCTCCGAACATACAATGAAAACGAGCCCAGAAATTCTGACCGAGAATCTTGTAACACAGCATCGTCATCCCCTCGATCATCCTCGGTGGTGTCAACGCCTACCGTCTCTGGCTCGAGCACTGGGAGCACCAGTCCCACATGCCCCCCAAGTCTGAGCAGCCCGAGTACCCCTACCAGAACATCCGTACCAAGAACTTCTTCTGGGGTGACGGTGACAAGGTGAGCCAGACCGAACCAAACAACCACCAGCAACATACATAGCTAACACTGCTATCCTTGCAGACCATCTTCTGGAACGACAAGGTCAACTACCACAAGAAGTCTGACGAGTAGATTATTCTCGTCTGATTTTTGGAATGAACAAAGCGTATCTCTGAGAACCCTTTCGACTTTTGTCCTTTAGCCAAACACTCCTGTGCTCAAAGAGCCGTAGAATCCAGGAGTCACCTCGCGCCAATTGTACAGATAGCAGAGGCCACGCATCTAACTATTATTTAACGTTTCGTTTGTCAGCTATCTCTGCGTTCCGCCGACTCTTCGTCTGTCTAAACCCCTTGCCCTTGCATCGCCAATTGTCTGTTCTCGGCTTCTTGGACCGTGCTATTGTATAAACGCTCCATCTCCTCGATCATGTCCTCGTCATCTTTGTGCTTGTACAGCATCGCTTTTTTCGTCAAGCTGTCCAGAATGCCATCCAGATCCTCTACTTTGACGTNATTCTGTTTGTGTTTCATTAGTCTTCTACAACTCATCTTACAACTCGAGGAATTCATACCTTCATGCGCTCTGTCAAGGTACATGAATGCGGCATCAATGTGCTTTGAGCTTTCGTTTTGGTCCTTTCCAAACGCCTTGCCGGCAAGGCCAACATAGGAGTCCGTGAGTATAGAATAGAGCTGCGCAATCGTAGTTGTGTTGCCGCCTTCCAGTACCTNGTTTTGAATTAGCTGTGTGGATCGTCAAAGTTTTGACAACAATCGACGTACCTGCGGCATGATGGCATCTACTAGACTTCTAGCCGCACCAAACTCGCCAAGGTCAATGAGGATAACACAAAGAGCGCCAACAGCTTCCCACATTGCCGGCATGATCATAGCTCTCTGCGCTGACGAGGCTGCACGCATCGCAATGCTGAAGCCTTTGGTTGGTAGCCCTGCCTTTGCAAAGAGCTTCGCTTTGAGAGTCAGTAGCTTTATGCGTCGTACGATGTNCTGTCAAAGGTCAGTCGTTGTCAGAGGTGCGTCGTGTACGATCTTCGTACCTGCACTGTCTGCAGCCTTTGCTTCGGCTACTTGCTTTTCAATGCAATCAAATGCGCTGGACAGTTTCCCCTGCCGCATCAAGAGTTCAATCTCCAGTACGTATGTTTCGAAGATCACACCTGCATCGGCCGTTTGTCTTATGGGCTTCAGCTGTCGGAGAAATTCTTCGGCGACGAAGAAGTCATNTGCTGATGCTGGTCAGTGGACAAAATTCTCGTGAAATCGTATTCAAACTTACTGATGGATAGCACGTCTAAGACTGATCATCGCTGCAAATGCAGTGAATGTATTGTCGAGACGTAATGTCTTCTCCTTCGCAGGGTCATTTTGTCTGAGCAATTCGTATGCTTCTTCGTATTCACCCAAGATACTATGCATATGCGCATTCTGCAGCACTACATTGAGTATGTCGGGTCTTGATGCGTCCTGGCGGAATATATGATACATGACCTTGCAGTAGTGTTCTGCTAAAGGCATCTGACCGAGTCTGTTGAAAATAGCCGAGTGAAGTCGAAGCTGGCTGGGTACCATGCTAGTGACATTGTGCAAGCTGTTGAGGTAGCTGGACTGGTATATTTGCTCCAGGGCCCTGGCTACGCTGCCGCCGCTCTCGACGTTAATTTCGGCTTGGCTGAGCAGAGAGCTGCTGAGAGTTGCCCAATCTTTGTTCTCAACTGCTTTCTGTTGCAGGAATGTGATGATATCGCTTTCGTTACCTGCTAGCTCACTGCCTTCACCGCCATTCTCAAGGCGAGAGAATTCAGGATATGCTTTTCGCAGGTGGGCAAGCCAAGAGAGACTGAAATGCAGACAACGAGCATCCTGGTTTTCACGAGCAGTAGCAATACACTCGTCCATGGCGGATATAGCTTCACCATAGCAACCAAAGTCTGCGTGAAGGACGGCCAGATGGAGCAAGGCATACTGGTGGTACGTCTTGATGGTGTCCGAGCCTTGGCTCTCCATGGTGTAGTCGAAGTAACGATGAAGAAGCTCAATAGCCTTGTTGTATGCACCACTTCTCCAGGCATCAAAGAAACTNNATTCTTGTTAGCAGAGGTATACGTGTTTGAGCTTCAGCAACACAACATACTTGATAAAGTGCATGTCTGAAGGCTTCGACGCGCCCTGTTCTACCATAGCTCTCAATTGAGCTTTCATCTCATCCGACACTCTGCCACCGAATTTCTGCAGCTGTCCTAGCTGGAAGTGCATCACTTTCTCCACGTCATCCAGACTTGATGGTACCGTAGGCCGACTCTCCTGCTTGTCCATACGATCAAGCAGGATAGCCGATTCACCCGACTGATCTGGCTGTAGCAAGTTGGCCGATGCTGCGTCCGGGTAATAGCTAGCATATGGAGATTTGGGGTTGCGCTCAACGTAATTGCCCTTGGTCGGTTCGCGGAAGACAACCAGATCTTCCCAGAGCTGATAGGCATCACTGAACTGCAATCTCACAGACTCCAGATGACACCTTCTCGCGAATTGACCTATTGGACTTGTCGGGCTGCATACAGACTTGACCTTGCTACCCTCGGCCTGGTCTTGCAGCGAAGCCGTGACCGAAGTCTGGTCCTGAAGGAATGCAGTGAACGTGACGAAGTCGTGGATAGCCCACAGGTGATCGACGAACAGATGGTACAAAGAACGACCTGGAACTGCTGATTCATGTGATCCCAGTAAAGTCTCGAAATCTTGGATTGATGGTGGAGTCAACGGCTTTTGGTCGGCGGCATTGAGTGGTGATCTGTGTATGGTATGCTTGGAGATGAACGACAAAAGCGGTATCGTACTTTTCGAAGGAACGTTTCCATCACGATATAATTGTACCAGAAGGAGTATGCATATCTTCGATGGCGTAAGGTAGCGCGACATCTTGGCAATATTTTGTCCAGTATCTCAGATTTCGGCGAGAGGTATGGTCTGGATGACTAGCGGTTGGACTGAGAAAAATCACGCTGCATTGTACATAATCTTTCAGTCTTGAAACTGTACAGCCTTTTTCGTAATGACTTTTACAAGATTGGTGTTGTTGTGGTTGGTAGAAACATCGAAAGGTTCAAACCAGCCGCGCTTCTTGTTTTTGACGCCGTGAGACAACAGAGCTTCGACCTTTCAAAACACAACCAACAAAGACACACAACCACCTCATAATTTGCTGACAGCCATACTCGCATAGATCTAGCAGGCCAGAGAGATCGCCAAGGTCACCAGATATGCGAACAGTCTGTTATACCTGCGATCGAGCGTATCCACTGCCGCCTAAGACGCGTTCGCATCAAGACCATCAGTGCGATAACAATCATTCTAGCATCTATCGTCCTGTGCTTACAGTCATAGAAGCGACTTACGCATACATACATAACACACAAACGGAAGGCTACATAAAGGCAAATTCAATGTCTTTAGATTCGAGTGACTGACATTTCACATTACTGCCGGTCAAACCCAAGTCTGAGCCCGACCAGATCATGAGTCCGGATCCTCATTAAGGCCTCAATCCTCAACACTAAATTTTCCTACAGCTCAATGACCACCTTCTTGGCACTGACACCAGCCTTGTTCTTGTCAAGACCCTTCTGCACGCTCTCTAGGCCCTGACCGACAACCAAAGGCTCGGGCAAGCACTTGAGATCTCCGCTTTGAATAGCACCGGGAACGAATTTCTGCCAAACAGCGTCACCAACTTCCTTGTGCTGGGTAGCGATAGTAATGGCAAAGACGCCCTGGACATTGAGATCAGAAGGCTTGTCTTGAGGAGGTGGGAGAACGGTAGCCATGTTCTTGCTACCACCAGCCTTCTGCAAGACTTCAAAACAGTGCTTGAAACTCTCGGGCAGAGAGATAGAGTCGTAGACACCAGCAAATTCGGCACCGGTATCCTTGATGGCGGAGAGAATGTCATCGGCCACTGAAGAGCTGTTGTAGTCGATGACAGCTGAGGCGCCCAACTTCGAACAGTAGTCGTGGTTGTGCTTGGAGGCAGTGGTGACTACCTTGACACCACTAGCTACGGCAAGCTGGATGGCAGTTGAACCGACACTGCTGGATCCTCCCCAAATCAGAATGACCTTTCCTGAGAACTTAGGGGAGGCAGTGGGGTAGGGAAGCTCGAGATAACTCTTCTGGTAGAGACCAGCCGATGCTGTCGAGATAGCCAGGGGNNGCAGAACGGTAGCCTCAGTATATGAGGTTTGCTCTGGGATCTTGGAGGTCAGGATCTCGGGACATGCTGAGAAGAGCTGGAAACCAGCATTCTGGGCCTTGCCGGTACCGAGACCAATGCAGTGGCTAATGAAACCAATCAGCTCCGGAATCACATTGCTCAACAGCAGGACTTACGCAAGGACTCTGTCGCCCTTCTTGAAGTTCTTGACATCTGATCCAATGTCATAGACTTCGCCGGCCACATCAGTACNCTGAATTGAAGGTAGAATTAGCATGATATCCGAGAACACAACACTCCTGCTAGCCAATGCTTCCAACCCTGCGAGGTGCCGTCCTGGAGGGAAAATGTCTTTGGAAAACGCACCCAGCACATTAGGGTAACTCTGGATAAACATTCCAGAGTCTTGGATCTTCCAGTCGACAGGGTTCACAGCCACAGCCTTGTTCTTGATGACGACCTCGTCTGCACCAGGAGTTGGCATGGGAGCATGGTCGACCTTGAGTGGGTTCTGTTTGGCCTCGGTGAGCCAAGCGGCCTTGTTGGCGTTGTCTGACATGGTGTTTGCCATTGTGATGTGATGAAACAAGAAGATGGATGATTAGTTGATCGACTGCTTGATTGACCGGTTGAGTGGAAGAACTGTTATATTTCAATGGATATCAAAAGGTAAATGACACTGGGAGCTCTCGCTGGAGCTATGTGATTGTGTTTGTAAGCAGTTCATTGTGATGTCAGTTTGGTGACAAGGCGGGGCAAGCTTCGTCGAAGGGTCGAGATGCAAGACTCGGCCTTCGGGCCAACACTGCAACGCGCCATTATTCATCCCTCGGACATCACCACCCACTCCTCTACATGACCGACTCGTAAGTTTGCTAAGCATGCATGAATCTTTGTCACGCACAGTGCAATTGACATCCTCCGCAGGAATGTAGCCTCAGCCGTCGTGCTGCCCGGCGCGACTCCATCGTCACCACGTCGCTCGNNCCCTGACCGATCGCAAACTCCAGAAGTACGCGCCGGAGAAAAGCGTCGCCGGTCATCTGGTCCCCATGATTCTCCTAAGCGACAGCGCATCTCGCCATCGCCCGACCAATCCAGAAACGATGAACATGCACCACCAACTCGCGAAAGACGACCTGCCAAGCCGATCGATGAGAAGAAGCGCACTCAGAGGCTATTTGGTGGTCTACTAGGTGGATTGGGTCAAACAAGGCCGGTCAATTCGCAGGCAGCCAAACGACGAGCGGAGCAGGAAGAACGACGCCGCCAGAAAGAGCAAGAGCTTAGCGAGCGCCAGACAGAACGACTCGAGCTTCTCAATGTCGCACGNAAAAAGGAGCAACGGAAAGTCGATGAAGCCAGCATGCGTATCAAGCATGAGAGCATGAAGGCCATGTCAAACTTCTTGACTACTTCGACTGAGCCCAAATTATATTTCAAACCATGGGAACTGCTTCCGGAACAAGAGGATCAGATCAATCGCCAACGTGAAGACGTTGACGTTCAGATAGATCAGGAACTCGACGACTTCGATCAAGTTCGTCAAAGCTGGCAGAACGAGGACGCCAATGGACACACCGATCACAAAGACACCGCCTCTGCAGACGAGCAGGAAGCACGCAATGGCACGAATCATGCCACTGCCTCGGTGNNACCGAGCAAGCAAACGATCAAGACCAAGACGCGGTTGCAGATCCTGAGACGGGACCAGCTACCATGAGCGCAATAGCAGCCGAGTCAGCAGAAGATGAACAGGTCCGAGAGCAANGCGCCAGAGGATGTTGATCGACAACGGAAAGAAAGTATAGATGACACGGGCGACATTGTAGTCGAGGCCGATGAAGACACGGTCATCTACTGATCTGACGTGTTCTTCTTGCCTTTGCAGATCCAATCACGCTATCTGGATGATCGGATGGCGTATCCTGTCGGCTATCGAGAGGACTCATAATAATGGACTTCACCTAGTATGGCTTCTTATGGCATGCCTCATAAGCTCGCGAGCCTCTCTCAATGGTTGATGCGCAAATCGTACTCTTTTCAAGGTACATCATGATGATGACTGGCTTCTTGGCTGCTATGTCTGGAATCTCTTTCTGTTCGATCCGTATCGCATTGACACCGCTTGAACCATTCGACAACTGCTCGATGATGAAATTCATTGTCGCAATCGCTTGTCTCGAACGCACCTCTTTGGACGATGTTGTGCCTCATTTCGAGGGAACTTCGACACGAGTTGCTCATGTCCACCATTCATACTTTGCCAGGAGCCTCCTAGAAAACGGGAATCTCATATCCGAAGGGTTTGTCTCACTGTGATACAGCCTTTAGCATGTGCAGACCATCCCGTCCTCTCGTCTTCAACTGAAAGTCATGCGTCCAATTTCCCCACGGTATCTCTGACTCGCTTGATGTCGCTAATTGCGACTTCCAAATCCAGTGTGTATTACGCGAGCCGAACAGCGAAGATTGATCTTCATCAGCGAACAGACACCAATATTGCAGATCCCTCGGCTAATCTTGGAGAAGGTGTTTCCAGATCTCGCAGCTCTATTTTGAGATCTTGAACGACTGTACGTGGTTGCGAATGGTCCACAATACACGAGCTTGCCGGGACTTTGTCTCAGTCTCAGGGCCGCTACAACGGTTGTGGGTTACCACGAGGGCTTCTACGGTGCCGTTGAACCCTACTCGGCATTCCGAAGGGTCCACATCACAAATGAGCACCACTTTCTGCCAACTCTCCTCGGTCTACCAAGTTCGATGCCTTTCCTGTGTGTTCGTGACTGATGGCTAATTTCACTGTGTTCAAATCCTTCGACCCGCTAGACGTGGCGAATGTCGGCGAGTGAGTATAGCGCCTTGGAGAACCAAAGTATTACAGTGAGAACCACTGCCCCATGACTCGATGATAAATATCAATTCTCGACCCTCGATGTATATAAGATATGGTTCTGTCGAGGTAAGTTGTCTTCCCATCATCGCACCTCTCATTCTCTTGATACCTCTCTTTCATCTTCGCAACTTCATTCACTCTCCAATACCTACAGCCGACAACATGCGTTCCGCTCTCATTGTATCCGCCCTTGCTGGCGCTGCTTTCGCCGAGCACAGATCCTTGATCGGTCGTGATGGCACCTGCAAGCCTCAGCCTGCTGGTTCTGGTCCTGTTGCCTCTCCCGACACCATCGACGGCTTCTTCGCCATCCCCGAGCTTCAGACCCTTTCGGCCAACGCACCTACTCCTGATGGCTACACTGCTGCCTTCACCGGCCTGAACGCTTCTCTCAATGCCAACAAGTACATGGGTCTCTGGACTCTCACCGCATACGACACCATCGGTTGTGCCTCTCTTTGCGACAAGACCACTGGTTGCGAGGCCTTCAACATGTACGTAAACCGAAGGTACAAACACCACGACTAGTGCTGGCGTTTGTCTCAGCCTGCACGAGCAGTCTCTGGAATGTGTGTTTCAATGAAATGAAACGCCGTCCGGGACGGCATCTCGTAGAGCTAAGTGCATTCGTCCAGCTAAGTTGTGGTGTTCTCCCAACCAACGTTTGATGTCTTGCTAATTGTACCTTCGCTTTAAGGNTACAGCGAGCGTGACCCTACTCTCGACCCCAACAACACCAACTGCCCCAACCCTCAATCGCTCACCAACTACAAGTGCACCCTGTGGGGCGCTGGTGTTTCTTCCTCCCAAGCAAAGAACTTTGGCCAATGGCGTGATCAATTCCAAGTAGTCATCACTGGCTCAAACGCCTACAACAAGGTACCCGCTCCCTGCGGCGTCGATGGCTACGACGGCCCTACACAATTGGGCGGCGCCATCAACGCACCTCTCGACAGCAACCGCCACGACACCTACATGGGCGTTCGCGTCCACCCCTTCAGCGAGGACCAGGAGTACGACCCTACCGTCTGCGCCACTGCCTGCACATCTCAGACTGCCTACAACAAGGCTCACCCTGCCAGCGATGGCTCATTCCAGACTTGCCGCTTCTTCAACTCTTGGATCCAGAGCAAGGATGGTGTTGCCTATGAGCTTCACTGTGGTCTTTACAACCAGACTTGGTCGCCTCAGTATGCTACCAACTATGGCCAGTACCAGGGCAACAGCCGCATTACTGTTTCCAGATCTTACAGCTACACTCTTACTGAGGTTGCTGCTTAAGCGATTTTGGTACTGACTTGGACCATTGTTTTCTCTTCTTCTTCTTTCTTGTTTTTATTATTTTATACCATTAACACAGCTTCTTCCACATCATTGTAGTCGATGTTCTCGGTCATTGACACAATACTTATGTATATACTTCTATCTAAATTAATCCATATCTCTTTTCTGGCATTATTGTGCAGTTTCATAGGTGTGTACACGCTTTACAGACTTTGCTATACGGGAAGGGATGGCATGTTGGGTTATGGACTATGCTTCTTTTGATATGTATTCCTACTCTTCATGTCTTTGCAGCATTTTTCTACTCTGATGCTGCTAGGCGAAAAGTCAAACCCTTGACAGGCACATGTTCTCCAACTAGCATGATATCGCATCGGACGACCTCGTACATATTGGTCTCATATAGACGCAAGAATCTTTCTTGGTCCTCGGACTGAACCATGAAAGCATGACCATCCACACGAGAGTTTCCGCTGTTCACTAATGCTCGGTATCGACCTAGAGTTGTGATCTTACCGTCTAAGACGTGTGCAGGCTTCAAGGCTGGACCAGAATCGTCTTCAAGTTCGAGCACTCGCTTCAGGATCTCGGGTTGTGCGAGAGTGCCGTAGAAAAAGTAAAGAACTGGATAATCATGCTGTAGCTCTGCAACACTGTTCAACCGATGTTGTGGTAGGGTTGGATCGTTGACGCCCAGTTTGGGCAGTGCTGAGAGGTCTTTTGCTGCAATGTTGATGGTTATGAAGCCAGGCTCGAAGCTGATGCCTCGGTCCTTGAGGCCTTGTCGGATGCGACGCTCCTGGTCGGCTGTAACATAGCAGAAGCTTGTTTCAGACTCTTCCGACTCAGCTTTGACGACCGTAGGTGTGAACCCTGCGATATTTTGAACATCCTCTGGAGTACCTAGAGGACCACCAAGGATCAGGCCGCGTAGGACGTTGTTCGGATGTGAGGAGGTATGAACGGAGCTAGTGGTGGGAGCACTCGAGTTTACCTTGGAGCGACAGAACATGGCATATTCATAGGACTCGCGGTCAAAGCCTTGTGCTTTCTTTGGAGTCTTAAGCTCAAGCCATAACTCGGCGGAGAATCTCTGGCGGTCGATGTCTGCTCGGTAGGTCTTAATGCAGTGCTTTGCGTCTTCGTGTGTCATGGAGAACAGATTTTGCCAGCGCTTGATGTCGACTTCGCTGATTTTATCTTCGAAGCTGTCGATGGCGTTGGCTCCCATTCTTTCAAGCTCTTCCATAAGATAATCCATCTTGTGTAGAGGTCGGCTCTCTGAATTCTAGGTCGAGTGTTTGATGCAATATTGTATAGACGAGAAGAGTAGATGTGAAGTCATGTAATGCCGATGAGTGGTTGGTTGTCGAAAGGACAAAAGAATTAACTCATGACTCACCGTGCCATCACATGCCTTTCGATCTCGTTGAATATCTGCTTTGATACACGTGAGCTCCAGTCAGAAAGCGGACTCAAATCAACTTGAGACATTCATAGTTGATATATTTGTTGTTGATATTCCACAAGCCAAAGGTACTGATGGATAGAGTGCCATCGTAACCGTGCTAGAGCACAATTTATTAGAAAGAAATCCCTCGACCTACGAATGATTTCTTTACGTCTGATACACCTAGCCGTCGAGTCGATTCCTTGTTATTGGATGTCTCAATGTTTGTGAAGTCGATGATGGGAATTTCTCGAATGCCGGCCAGCCGGAGGTGCATCGCTCCTGCCCATCCAGTCGCTGTCCAAGAGTTATCTCTCTCCAAGATTTACCTGTCCCAGACCATCAATTTTGTTTCGTCCAGGACGAAATTCATTTCCTTGATGCTTGAGTGACCAACCATCTCAATTCCATTCATTCTCCAAATTCATCACACTATTCCTACTTGAATCGCAGGCGAGGATAACGGAGATTAACTGTTAACTCCATCTCCGCGTGTCAGATAAGCTTCCGTGCTCCACTCCGAGGCTCTTCGAGTCTTGATGATCCCTCTCGAGTCTTGGGGCATTTAGTACCTTCGCTTGTTCACCAACGGATTCTTCTTCACCGACAAGATGAGCTCTCCTCCGCACGGCCAGTCAGAATCTTCTGCCTCACAAGAAACTCCCATCTACGTACCAGTAACAGACGATGATTGGGAAGACGATGACGACATGGACTTTGAGGATGAAGATGGCACCGAATATGCAACTGGAGATGAAATCTACTTTGCTGGCTCAGACGATATAGAGGAGACCGAATTCTATGGTAGTGATCACTTTCACATCCCAGAGGTTGAAGGTTGTGGCAAAAGCTAACATATATTGGTTAGACGCCGACGAAGGGCTTGGACCAGTCATGATAGACTTTGAGACGACAGACGACGACGATGAAGGCAGAGAAACAACGGCAGGAGCTGAGTCAACATCAAATGAGAATGAGGAGGAATCATCACAAGCAGAGACAACTCGGCCACAACCCGCAAGACAGACCATCGCTCGTTAGTGGCAATCCGATGCTATTGACAAATACAAGTCGGCTGATAGCTTGCAGTCACGCAACAGCAGATTCTACAACTTCTTGGAAATGCAGGACTCAGAGGACTCTTCGCAAACGTAGTTGGCCAGCAACGAGGTGGCCTTGTCGCCGACGATGACGACGATTACGAGGACGACTCATACCTTGGCTGGCACGCTATGGGTAGAAGGTCTAGGAGACCTAAGAGGGAAGGCTCCGGATACCCCAAGGTTCCTAGCGAGGCTGGAAAGAAGCTGATGGAGTCTGGTACTTTCGGCACCACCGAGCGACCGCGAGGAACATATGGTCGTAAGAGGAAGCTCGCATACCGAAACATGATGCGTGAGCTGGGAGTGGGTGGCTACGGTGCTCAAAAGAGTGCCAACAAGCTCATATCTCAGACCATGATACCTTCAACACAGGCCGACAGCATCATCAACTACAACCATCGATGTTACTCTGGTCAGTTCTCCGACGATGGCAACTTCTTCTTCTCCTGTGCGCAGGACTTCAAGGTTCGCATGTACGATACTTCGAACCCCTACAGATGGAAATACTATAAGACGGCCCACTATTATGGCGGTCAATGGACTATTACCGACGCAACCTTGAGTCCAGACAATAGATTCTTGGCCTACAGCTCCATCAGAAGCGCCGTCTGTCTTTCTCCTACAGATCCTGACAACACCATGGATCCTACAATTCTTGACTTCGCCGACATGGGACAAGCCACGAGTCGAAGGACTGGACGTGGCTGGGGCCATTTCGGTATCTGGTCACTCCGCTATTCTGGCGACGGTCGTGAGATTGTCGCTGGTACCTCAGATTCCAGTGTGTATGTATACGATATCGAAACGCGACAATCGATACTCCGGATCCATGGTCACAGAGACGATGTCAATGCTGTGTGCTATGGAGACAAAACCTCACCACATATTCTGTACTCAGGATCAGATGATACGACGTTGAAGGTCTGGGATCGACGATCAATGGGCGATGGTCGTGAAGCTGGTGCCTTTGTCGGGCACACGGAAGGAATCACTTACATCGACAGTAAAGGTGATGGCAGATATGTTCTTAGCAATGCTAAGGACCAGACGATGAAGTTATGGGATCTGCGTATGATGATGTCAACCGAGCGGTTTGACAAGATCGATCCAGAAGAGCACACGACAGGTTTCGACTACCGGTTTGCACCTTACGATGAAGAAGAGTACGAAGCTCACCCTCACGACTGCAGTCTGGTCACATTCCGCGGCCACAAGGTGCTTAAGACGCTCATCAGATGTCATTTCTCGCCACCAGGCAGCACAGATGGTCGATACGTGTACAGTGGAAGTCACGACGGCTCGGTCTACATCTGGAACATGGATGCCACGATAGCAGGCAAGATTGATGTACTAGAAGCAACCCGGAACTCACGACCCGAGCGAGATGAAAGATATGTTGACCGTTGGGAGCACGGTGGTGGACGCAGCCAATGGAGTACCATTGTTCGAGACGCGAGTTGGCATCCCAACGCTCCAGTGGTGGCTGGTGAGTGAAGCATATCCACAATTTTATATCAGTAGACTGACATCAAATACNNAGCAACCTCATGGAACGGATGGGATCATGGTCTAGGAACATGCACGGTACATACATGGAACGACGGCAACGACTCGGATGAAGGCGAACCAAAGATGGGAGCACGATTGAACCCCCAGCTCGAGCAAGACAGCCGCTACTACGAGAGCACTGCAAGCACTGGCCGTACCACATCCTCACGACGCACGAGATTTGTGACGCGAGCACAGATGGCTCGTAACGACGAAGAGGAAGAGTAGAACTCTTTTCAAGACCTTGACTCGTTCGATTCGAAACCTCTTGAAAGGTTCTCTGCTTCAAACTTCGAGAAGTAGCAGAGTCTTCTGTTTGGTGCTCGGGTTCTTAGCAAACTCTCGGAAACACTCCTTTTCTTTCTCTTGCTTCTGTTACAAGGAGCTTGCTGTATATATGATGGACGATGCCTGCTTTGGTACAGCTTCGGAATACAAATACACTCTTTCAGAACTGCCTTTGAGACTCGTATGTGTTTTTGACGTGTTTTTTTGTATTGCGGATTGTGGTATCAAGATAACTGTTGAGAAAGAGAAGACCATTCCTTCTCTTTGAAACGCCAAAGATTCCTCCCTCGCTCTTTTGAGTGGTGCGAATAGAAGATTGTACAGTCGGAAGATGCGGAAAGCGTGAAAGTGTCGCAAAAGAGATATCAAGCGGGTTTTCTGTCGAGCGAGATTATCCTCTCTCTCATAGAGGATCAATTGCGCCTCGCTGTTATCGTCGCCGTCGCGTTGGCAAGCCTGGAAAAGGGGGGTATTCGAAACGGAGAAACGACTGTCTTATGCGCCACCAACAAGAATGTTGTTGACAGGGATGTGAACNNTGCAAGAGCGCATTTGTTAGAATACATCTTATCCACAACCACAGGAAGCTGCAGGCAACGTACTCAACTTGACGACGTAACCGATAACGCCCATGACGAGGAAACCGACACCGACGGCCTGGCTGATCTTGAGGAATTCGCGCTTGTCGGGCTTNNACTGTGATTGTGTATTAGCTTTCTTGCTACAAAAGGACAGGAGAAGAGAGGAAAGAGGGTTTGTAGAGGGTATTGTCACATACGTGCAGCGGTTGATGAATTGGGTGCCGTCCTTGACGAACTCGCGGGGCATCTCCATGATCTCTTGCATTTGGTTTGACGACATGATTGTGGCGGGTGGTATGTGTGTGTGGTGGTTTGAAGTTGGGTGTGTTGTTTAATGCGACAGGGAGGTGGGTGCTTGCTAAGAGTACAGCTGGCTATCGCTTTGTGGAGAGAGTTGGCCTTGGTGGTGGGGTCTGTGCGCGAGGGAGATGCTTCCCTCTGTCTGGGGCTGGAACTTTTGGGCTTGCTTTCACATGAGATGCTTCGATTGCTTGCTCTTTCGAGATAATAGATTAACAGGATGAAAGATATGTGATCGATGCAATTTTGAGACACGAATCTGCAGTCATGCAATTGAGCTGCCATGTGTTATATACAAAAAGTCATGATCATGACTGAGAAAACTCCGATGAACACCATGCATGCCAAAGTGGGAATATGTACTACTTCTTGAGCAACAAGCCGTCGCTAGCCAAATCCTGCTCGTCTGCCTTCTTGTTGAGGTCCTTGCCGAGGTCCTTGCCACCGGAATTGTTGGTTGCATAGATCTCAGCAATGCAAAGGTCGAATGGTCCAGGAACACGGTCAATCAAGCCTATGCCAATACTTTTGACTTTTTGGCGCATCATATCACTCTGAGGCTCGACAACCATGCCATGATTTGTACGGACGAATTCGCTGATGGGCACAATGACGGTCTCCCATTCGCCAGGCGTCTGAACGTACAAACGGTGCTGGTGAAGATCGGTCGGCACGATAGACTCGGTCTGGACATTGACAAAGTATTTGCGGGCATCGCTCTTGACTTTCAGAGCAATGTAGCTGTACGAGTCGAGGTCCCATAAACCCTTGCCAAACAAGTTGCGACCCATGTCTCTTGTGCGCCAGGCAGCATATCCGGACCTCTGAATCTGTGGTCTGTCGGCGGGAAGCTCATTCGAGATGGTGCCATGGAAACGAATGTGTGGAGGGTGTTGTGCGTCTGCGGGAACGAAATCGAAGTGGACTTTTGAGAAGCCTCCCATGTCTTCGTCCGACATGACTTTGCATAGTTCTGGGGTGTCGGGTTGATTGAAGGTGATGAGTGGGAAAGGTTTGTTAGGACGATTAATTGCTTCGGCCTTGAGAGNCTGTTTTTAGCGACCATGTTAGCTAGAGAAACAATGGTAGAGCAGAAATTCAGAGAAGGATTACAAACCAATGCCTGACAGCCTCGAGAATTCCTGCAGACTACGCTTCCAGAAGCCTGGTGGGGCTAGTAACCGTCGTGTACACTGCATGTTGGGATGTGCGATGGTCGTGTGAGAAGAGAAGAGGCAAAGGTAAGTGGTGGAAGATGTGAGGATGATGAATGATGATCTGATAAGCTTGGAAAGACCCTGGTGGTGATGCATGACTCGCCGATTCGCCGACTCGGGCTTGGATGATGCGGAGAGTTCGCAACTGACGCCGCCCGGGGCCAGAATTTGGATGCTCGCAATTTTTTGGTCCAAGGTTCCTCCCACCATCCATTGCTATCCACATACCGCCACAAGATCAACCCAACCCTACCCTCTCGCACAAGGAACACACTCTATCTCCCACCTTCATTCGCGCTATTACGACGCCCATCTCACGCCGCCTTCGTTCATGACGGCCAACCCGTCCCTCGCCGCTGCGCAAGCCGCTGTAATCGACCCAAGTCCTATACCTCAATCCAGAGAAACCGGAGACGCATTTCCTCAAAAGACACAAGATGGAGCCCAGCTAAGGTCACCACCGCCTGTCGCAAAGTCATGGGCTCATTTCGTTGCTGGANNGGGTGAGCTCGCATCCGCTACCTTACCCAATTCATCTTGCTGATTCAATCGCCACAGCCTAGGTGGAATGACGGCCGCTACTCTGACTTGCCCTCTCGACGTACTAAAAACTCGCCTACAATCCGACTTCTACCAATCACAACTCTCCGCCGCTCGCGCCGCACGAGGTGTCCCACCATTGTCGCAACTCTCCTACTCCTGCACTGCTGTCCTGCACATAAGAGAAACCTTCCAAATCCTGACCGCCATTCCTCGCACTGAAGGTTACCGCGCTCTCTTCAAGGGACTCGGTCCCAATCTCATTGGTGTCGTGCCAGCACGAGCCATCAACTTCTTCGCCTACGGAAACGGAAAGAGAATCCTGTCGCAAACTTTCAATGATGGCAAGGAGGCTTCATGGGTACATTTGCTGGCCGCTGCTGGAGCCGGCATGCTTACTGGAACAGCCACGAATCCTATCTGGCTTGTGAAGACGCGATTGCAACTGGACAAATCAAGAGCTGAGAAGACTGGCAGTGGCCTGGATGGAAGAAAGTACAAGAACGCTCTGGACTGTACCATGCAAACTGTGCGCTCAGAAGGTATCCGTGGACTGTACAGAGGTTTGAGCGCAAGTTATCTCGGTGTGACGGAAAGCACACTACAATGGGTTCTCTACGAACGCATGAAGAGCTACATCGCACTACGAGAGGAACGTATCACCCTTGCCGGACGCCCCCGTACATCCTGGGATGAGGCTGTTTCATGGTCCCTTAGACTCGGTGCAGCAGGTAGCGCCAAATTTGTCGCCGCACTTATCACATACCCCCACGAGGTCGTCCGCACACGCTTGCGACAAGCCCCAGTCACCACCTCAATCGATGGCGTGCCCCAACTCAAATACACTGGCTTGGCACAGTGCTTCAAGCTGGTCTGGAAGGAGGAGGGTATGGCTGCTCTGTACGGCGGCTTGGTACCGCATATGCTCAGAGTCGTGCCCAGTGCCGCCATCATGTTTGGAATGTACGAGGCCGTCCTGCGTTTCCTCGGAACCGACTCGGGCGTGTAAAGATATCTTGTTGAAAATGCGCTTGTCTAGGCGTTGTTCAAAAAAAGCATTGGAGATCTGGCGCAAATCATTCGGGGAGCTCAGGAGAGCATTTTCTTGTTTCTACTAGATGTAACAATAGTGTGGGAAGAATATACGGCGAGAGAGGACTCTGTAACAAAAGGTAGGCCAGCATTGGGCCGCCGGTAACCCAACTCCATTCAAAGGAAATCCAGTACGGGAAGAGCTGCGTCTCAAACCCCACGCCGAATACCACCACTTGTACAAGTCTTCTCGTCCCTTTTCTCTAGCAGCCACTTGAGAAGTCAGTCTCCTGATCTTCAGATCTGACAGATATCTACTGACCCGGTCATCCCCTCTTCCAACATTACGAACTTCTGTTTCCAGGTGGGAAGCTCTGAAGGCAAACGACTACTCTGCCTCAAATTTACAGTCAATTCTCGTGCTCATCGTGACCTCTTCGGGCTCAAAGAACAAATCCGCAAACGCTGGATCCGAATCAGAGACCGATCTTCTCATATCCATCGCCTTCTCCTGCACTTTCATGACAGCATTAGCGTCATGATTGCCCCACTGCGCTTCTCTGACTTCCACAGGCCATACAGCAGACAATCCCAAAGCCTTTGCGTAGTCTTTGGCTCGTTCCAACGCATCTGCGGCAGCCATTGTCCTTAATTTGCTCTCGTGGGCTTGCCGTGTCGTACTCGTTAGCGCCCACCTCACACTGTGGATCAACGTATACGGCAATGTAGACACTTGACTCGCGAAAGTACCCAGTTTGGTGAAATCTCTGATGCGGATGTCGAAAGCGACGGAGGTGGAATAAACCCTTTNGGCATTTGGGAGCGCTGCGCCGAATTCGTCTGTTGGCAATTGTGACGTTGTTTTCATGGAAGTCATTGACCAGTGTGCGACTGTCGCTGGTTCGGTGGTGGGGCTCTCATTCTGGGCAGATGTTTTGCGAAGCAGGTCTTCTAGGCGGCGACAAGAGAGTTGTACTTCTTCCGATACAAAGGCGCGGGAGAAACCAGTGGAAGAGACTTCGACGTCGAGAAGAGCGCGCTCTGCTTTGTGTGGGATAATAGCTATTCCAGTTACGGCGATTGTCATGGGTGTGACCATGATGAGAGGTGTATGTGTGAGGCTTATGAGGGCTGAAAGGTTGTTGCAGAGATAGGAAAGACGTGAATGACCATGTAAGTAGATTGAAGCCTTCCTTACTAGGCCTTAAGGGCTCTTGACTCGATTGCACCTACTTGATTTTCTTCAGCTTCGATCTTTGTATTGAAGGTATCTGTGCACCAAGAGGTTGGGTTGCCTATATTGACCAACCCCTTGACCGGAACGAAGTACTGCCGTCTGGGTTGTCTCTAGGGGCCTGAACTATCCATCATGGTATCATCCTTGTCGTATGCTAAAGATTGTTATAGTGTGCCTACAGACTCACCTTTGCAGACGATGTAGTTCCAAAGAGTATCCTCCCCGAAGGCTGCTTCCTTGGCCGAACTCATACTCGGAACGCAACTATGCATGTTGATAGCTTGTAATACCGCTATGCCTAGGAACGGAGATCGTGTGAATCGCACGATCGTAGCAGTCTTTGACACATGGATAAAATATACTTGAAGATCTTGATTTGTTACCGGATAAGTGCAGAGAAAATTAGGCGTGCTGCGTTGTGATCAAAGCATGGTTGTTGATCCGAGGATCGGTAGAAAAGAAGAAGCTGGCAGCGGCTTCGAACGTCATTCGATCTACTCGAATACATTCCAATGGTAACCCTGGCTTATCGACTCGTTTGGAAGACACATAATTGCACAATTGCACCTTTCGTTCTGGCCAGGGAAGTAGTCAGTAGAGAGTATGCTCTTATAACGATCGGATCTCTATGGACATACCTCTGGCTTCATCGACACGTGTCTTACTACAGTATATACTATCGTTTGCTGTTGTCGGGATCCAATGGGGGTCACAGGTTGTAGCACAAAAGGAGGCTACAGATGCCAGCGTATATCAAATCGCCTTTAACGAGAATGGTGTTGCTGGACTATACAGTGTTTAATATTTGTCTACTTACCCCTCATCGTTTCCCCATCTCGATGTTGCAGGTGTTGTTGCTTGTTTGATCGTAAGACAGGGTCACATGCTGAGCACCGTCGACATGAAAAAATCATGAATTGAAGGGATTGAGTCGTCAGTAGACAACAAAACGACGAATGCCAATGCGGTTCGGGATATGCAACTGTTTCTTTCATTGCTCAAGCTATTTCCAAGTGTACAGAAAACACAAACAACCGCTAAGAAACATAGAAAAACATTCACGCTCGCTTGAAGAACAACGATCGTGTCATGGAAAGAACGAAAAGGAGGAAAAAGATAAAACATAGGATAAGATTCGGAGGGCATTTACTTCTTCTCCTCTTTTGTGCAGCGGCGGCGGCAGCCTTCTTCTGCTTGACCGCAGCTTTCAGCGTCGATAATCTTTCCTCGGTAACTCTGATTGCGTCTTCGACTTGCTTGTCTTCCAAGTCGTGGTTGCGGAGTCTGCGACCCATCTGCTTGGTGCCCAGCACCTTTTGTCTGTCGTTTCCTTCTTGTGCAGCACCGCCGATGGGGATGCCATTGCTCAAGCCGACACGATCCTCGAGCCAATCCCATAATTCGCTTTCTTCTCTACGCCATAGTTCCTCGTACGCGGCTAGTCTACCAGGTGAGTCGATGGCAAAACCGACTCCTGAGGAGCGTGACCGAGAGGGGAAGAGCCATGTCCAAGCCAGCAACAGAGCCAGTATCGTAATGATGATCTGTGCCGAGAACAGAGGCTGGAAGATGCTGACAACAGGCTCCAGTGGTCCACGAATAGGTTCGAACAACCCCCAGTTTGCTTCTTCTGGTACCTTCTTAGAGGCGACTGCGACACGCTCACTTTCGGCTGGCACGCCAGCATCCGTTCTTCGTCTCCCTTTACCCTTGCCGCGTGGAGCACCTCTGGTCGTAGCTTTCGTGGCCACGCCAGCGGTCAGTGCAGCAACCAGATCTTTGACATATTGTGTTTGACCATCATTCGCACCTTTCTCGATAGGTCCTGTGATGTATTAGCAGAGTCCCACAGACGAGAGTGTCATTACATACCTTTNTAACCAACTCTTGCCAGTCCACTCAACTGTACAATTGGCAATTAGTCTGGTAGTGTTGTTCGGTCCCCACATCATGCAGTATCTGGTTTTGGTTGTAAAGATACCTCCGCTGGGCACATCGGNGGTTGCGGTGCTGCAGTTGACGCTAACGCACTTCTCTAGATCGAAGTTTTCTACGGTGGCTGTGACGATACATTTCGTTTGTTTGGGCCCAACAGGCGCATTGAGAGGTTTGATGTACGAGTACGTGAAGCTGCGATGAGTATCATCAAGTCCACCTCTTTCGTTCTCAAACGAAAGCTCGCGAGACTTTTGATCGTCGACCAGCCACTTCTTCATGAATGTACCTGATGCTGGACCCCACATCAGAGAATAGACCTTGCCGAGAGGAGCAGGTATCATGGTGTCGGCCAATGGCTTGTCATAATGGCTGGCATCATCTCCACATTCAGTGGCAGCATGCGTGGCTGGTCCAGGGAAGTCGGCGGCCGCAGTGGCGCCAGGAGCGGCTGCTTCAATAACCTCAGCGCCTTTTGTGGGTCCGTTGGCTGAAGGAACACCGGCGGTAACAGGCACAGCAGAAGTTTTCCGACTAACAGCCTGATCACCAATCTCGCTACCTGCTACGCTGCCGCCAGGTTCAAAGAAGCTGCCATCGTCGTGATCTTCATCTTCATCATATACGTCGTCTTCAGTCGCACCATCCGAGCTGTCTCTATCGGACGCTACTGATTCCGCACGCTCCGTCTTATCACCAGCGCTGGCATCATCTATTGCGATGCCGTGGAGGGAGCTCTTCAAGTTTGGATGGTTTATTTTCCAGATGCCAATGAGGAGATCATATGTGGAATCTCTGGCGACCAAACTGGCAAAAACGTTTCGAGCATGTAAAGTCTGGATGACGATAGCGTTGGGGAAGATGACGGCGGTGCTTTTCTTCTCAACTGAGACCACTTCGTCGAAGCTGATGACCAGATTAGTCACCCAGCCGAGAATGTTGCTGGAGAAACAGATGTGACCTTCCGAAATGTAAAGCCTGCCATGAAGAAGAATGTCACGCTGTAAAGCTGCACTATAGTCCTCGATCAAGTAGTCATCCTCTGGCACGCTCCGGAACAGCTGATGGAAGTCTTTGTTGCGCTTGCTGCTTGCCACAGCGAAGCCAGTAGTACGATGGCCTTGACCAAGGGCACCAGGAACAAGGGTAGCGCTACTAGCAGTGACGGCAGCAGCAAGAGTTCCGCCTGTGGCGGCAGAGCTGCTACGGTGTCTTCTGCGGCCACTGAGTTTACTTCTGACCGAACTGGCGCGCTTGACGCTATCAAAGGTGCCTGAGGTCCTGGGAGGTGTTTGGAAGCCTGCATCCGAACCGTCACCCGAGACCACAGACAGGGGTCTTCCGCCAGTGGCCTGATTTACTGTCTTCTCTACAGGTTTCTCATAAGCAGCAGAAACGGCACGTTGTGCGGCATTCTCTTCCTGCTTCTGGCCATTGCTGGTCGATTGCGAAGGAACAGGTGACGCACTCGGTAGATCCATGTTAGAATTCATTGGGCTGACGTCGGAGCTTTCGGCACTGATGCCGAGTTGATCCAGACTAAGGTCGCCTCGACCGAGAGTTTCAACAGCGAGTTGGCGTTTGGCGCCTGGCTCAAGCTCTGGTGAACCGACAGTCTCGAGAACTGGGAACGCTTCTTCACCACCAACAGCGTCTGTTTGAGCTGACTGTACGGGCTTGCTCTNTTGGTTTGGAGAAATGGACGTGTTCAGACTAGTACTGAGCTGGTTTGCAGCGTTTTGAGCAGCGTTGAAAACAGAGGAGAAGAAACCGGACGAAGTGACGGGAGCAGTAATTGTGCCGCCGGGTGTTTTTGCTTCTTCGATATGCGGAGTCAAGGGAGCAGCGGTGATTGTGCTCGAGAGCTTGCTCGAGGTGAAAGTTCCAGCTCTTTTACGTCGTTGAGCAGCAGCGCTTACGTATGAAGGAGGAGAGTTGATAGAGGAGCTGAGCGATTGAGCAGAAGCATTTGAGAAGTGAGTTTGAGGTTCGGTGGGTGTCGGAGGTGTCACGAAAGTGGTGGGAGGGTCAACAATATTGGGAGGTGTAGAAGGCACGGTTGTGATGATTGNTGGGCTTTTGCGGCAGCGATTGAGGTGTGGAGGGACGTGGAGAGGACACAGCGGGGTGTTCAGGTTCGGGGTCGAGCTCTGNNGGAAGGCCTCATGTGTTTCTGCAGATGTTTCAGGCACAGGCTTCTTCTTGGGCAAGGTGAAAGCGCCTTTGAATCTATCGACAGGCGACTTCTGTCGGTCAAGGGACGACGAGGTAGCGGATTTGTCTGTAGATGTAGATGTGGAGGCAGCCAGATTCTCAGCGAGATGGGGAATGTCGTCAGGCAAGGGGTTACTGGTGGCCGCGGCGTTGATAAGAGGAGAGGAGAGAGTCAAGTAGCCAGTGTGGGACTGGTGGGGAGAGAGGGTTGGTCTGACAGGACTGCTTGGGGCAGTCAGCAAATGGAACGAGAGCCCTTATGTAGAGTAGCAATAGCCGTATGGCGTATCCAGCACGTGTACGGAGCAATACGCAAAGGAGAGCGGGCCACCAGGGTCCTGGACGATTGTGATTGCAGAGCCAAAAGTGGACACTCTACTCCCATGTTGTTGCGATCGGCGTTGCGACGACTCACGGCGCTCGGACCCTTGGCACATAGCCCTCACCTTGAATAGCATCACGACGGCACAGGATGGAATGACAAGGATGAACTTACGCTGNNTGTCGTCTTCGTCCTCGGTCAGTAGACTGCTATGCCCGCTGCCTTGGTTGCCCAGAGAAAGCTCGCTGGGGTTTGGGGAAGAAGCCCGTTGACGTTCCGGCATCAGATCGCCCGATGCCGAGAGGAGGTCGCTGTCCTGGGCGCTGCTCTTCCGGCGCGACCTCTTGGATGATGGCAAGAGGCCACGCAGACCTTTGGACGAGTCGTCGCTGTTCCGGCGGAGGTCTTGCGACTTGCGGGCTCTTCGTTCCTTGACTTTGGCGAAGACGTTGTCAATGGCTGGCTTCAGGCTAGAGCTAGAGACATGGTCGTCCATGGGCCCGCTTCCTATCGAGCTGGTCGAGTCGTTGCGGTCGGCGTCTTTGCGACCTCTGCGGAGGTGTATGGACAGGTTGCGACGGGGTACATCGGTAGATGCCATGGCTTGGTCTGGAATAAAGTCTATCGTGTTTGGTCCCGCATTCCGGCGCCAAGGGTCGACGAGAGAGTGGGCGAAGGGTTTCGTGAAGATTGAGCTGGTGAAGAGAAGGTCCAAAGTAGGTTGGTGAGGCGTAGGTCAACAAGCAGCAGGTTCTGATTGCGGAAGTAGGTGAAACAGGTGGAGATGGCCAAGTAGGATATAGATTTACGGTACGGAGTAGTATATTATCCTGGACCCATCGCCCATCGCCCATCAATCAACAAGTTTGCGGGGAAATGTTTCATGACGTATCTGGCTGTCACATGCCGCCCGTTTAAGTGTTTCTATTTTGCCTATCTGGATTTATCGCGAAGCCATCGACCATCTATGCTGCAGATCAGGCACCACAACCATGGAGGAGGCTCCTTTGACTTTGGTAAGGATACCCATCTGCCATCCATGCCTCTACTGACCTGCACTAGGCGCACTCGCACGCGCGCAAAGCGGCCGTCGAAACGTCAAAGTCACACCTCGCCGTAGCTGCCACCGAGCACCTTGCTGCCGCTGAACAATACGCCAAAGCACAGCCCTCGACTTCGGATCCCGAAGCACTACGCATGCTTAACCTCCTGGAAGAACACCACCGCCAACTAGCACATATCATCCGTTCCAAACACACCATCGCAAAGGCTGTACAGGACGCCGAACATGTCGACTCGCTAGAATTAGATCCCTCTGCAGCCATCGCCTCACCGCCCATCGCCCCTTCATCCGCTCCCCCTCCGCCTGTCGCCAGGGTACATCCCTCACGTCGCGAGTCTTCGCCCGCTCTTGCAAAAGATATAGCCACACGTAGAGGCATCCCGCAACAGCCTTCTCTGCTCAATCCTCGAAAACCTGTCCCATCGACTACCACCTCTACTACACCTTCTGTCGACCGTCGCACTCCTTCAACGTCTGTCAGCCCTGCCACCTCGACTCAATCCAAGGACCAAGACGATGGCTTCTCCCGCTTCTACTCCAATTGGACCACAGGGCCCCTATCCCGCTTGTCGTCCATTCTTGCTTTCACTGCTCTTCCCCTGACAGACACTCCCGAGCCAGACTCGCCGACTTCTTCACGCCACCAGAAGACGAGTGCGAGGGCCTCCAACGACCCCGATGTCAAAAACCTAATATCACCCGCTGCCTTGAACGCCCTACAACAACACGGTCATATTGGGCCTGGCGAAAGTTTCTATGTCATACCTACAAGCGGTGGCACTGCATCTTACGCCAACATTGTCACACGCGAGCAGCGCTATGCCCGTCGCCAGCACCTGTCCAACATCAGTGAAGACGATCCTGCCGAGTTTGTCGATGCCCAAGAGACTCAATCTGCAAAACAACCGAATCGCGGCCTAATTTCCGAACGAGAAGAAGAACTACAACTCCAGAACGATACACTTAAACAAGCCCTGGATCACGTAAGCCATCGATTGCAGGCATTCGAGTCGCACGCTCAAGATGCCTCGATGGCTGCATTGACACACAGTGTCGCCAGCGTGCGAACCACTCATTCTGCTGTTCCTTCCAGTACCTCTCGACAATCAGATGATGAGCTACAAGCTGCTTTGAAAGAGATCAAAAGACTCGAACACGATAATGCCAAATTCAGAGCTTACTACTCCAAGTTGAAGGATAGTGCAAAAGCAAGGAGGGCCGAGTCTAAGGGTTGAGGTCAACTGCATTTCCTTTCTACCTTTCTCATGATACCCCAAGATACCCTTTTGATTACAATCCAATGATACCAATTTCAAGATTTTCACAATGCAGAATCTGTAGCAAAGCAATCATAGGGGTATTGATGCTGACCAAGATCTACTCTGTCCTCAAAACGAACCATCGACGAATAGGAAACCTCTCTCGCTCTCAAGCGTTGTCATCGCCTTGTTGCTTGTTCTTGCCCCTCCTTATCATATCATACAAACTCACTGGCGGCTTCCTCCTCTCCTCTCGAGTTCGATACGGCAACAACCTCGACTCCCTCAACTCTCTCTCCAAACACGCCCCCAGTCTTTCTAGTATCCACTCTGTCTCAGACTTGTGGCCCATCAAAGGACTAGCCCTACTCAACCACGACCACCTATGATCGACATGTTTCCTCTTCCACTCCTCTCTGGTTTCCGGCAGTCGCAATTCCTCAGGCACCAATATATCGCCATTGAGATCTGTGGCGTCCGCATCATTGGCCATGAGTTTCANAAAGTATTCCCACTCTCCCCATTCGTAGCGTTTTGGGGGTGAGGTGTTGAGGTCTTTGAGCAATCTTTGGGTCTCGCGAGCGAGCAGGAAGTTGTAGAAGTGGATGTCGCGTTCTTCGAAATCGCCGGCTTGTTCGGCGGAGAGGGCGTCGTCGAGTTCGGAGGCTTCGAGGTGTTTGGCCATGCGGTCGGCTATGCGGTCTGTCATGGTGAGATGTTGGTTTTCGTCATCGGTTTCTGCGCCTTCTGTTTGGGTTACTCCGCCGGGATGTAAGTCATGGTGGTTGTGGTGGATTGGGTGGGTTTTTGTGAGAGTGAGCCAGGCTTGGTTAAGGGCAGATCTAATGCCTTGTTCAGAAGGAAGAACGGTCAAAGAACCAATCCATTCAGTTGCGTTGGAGAAGAGTTGGACCACTGTGTCGCCCATGTCTGAGATGAGAATCGTAAGGGTGGGTACGGCTAAGAGCGACCAAAGGATGAAGAAGGCCTTGCTAGAGTTTGCTGTAGGTACGAAATCTCCGTAGCCAANTCTTGAAGAGTAGCAGAAACGTTAGCAAAGCTTCGACTTCATGTTTTCGGGATATCGACGTACCGTGAGCAGACATTCGTAGGTAAAGTACATCGTCTGGAAGTAGGTCCAGCCCTGGTCTCTCTCGGCAACATGAAAGATAGCAGAACCGACAAGCCACAACGTGAAAGCAGCTGTCGTAGACACGGCCAAAGCAACCCACTTGCGGTCCCTCTCAGCACATTCCTGAACTCTTCTCATCGCTTTGAACTCTTGCTCTCTCTTCTGAGCAGCATTCGTGTAGCTTTCCACAAACTTCATTGTTTGGAAGCGGCTCACACGCATTCGTTGCTTGCCATCGTTAACACTATTGACGGCTCGGAGTCGCTTTTTCTCCATCATTCTGGCGGATATCTTCTTTTGGCCTCGTTCTAGGACCAAGGTTCGGATGGAGCCGACGACAAGACCGAGGATGACGATGCCACCAATGGCGTACGGGATGAACAGAGATCTGCCGGTGTGCGTTTTTGNGTCTGAGAAGTTATGCATCAGTTGTAGCTTCGCAAACTCTGCAAAGACGATGAGAACGTACGTGTAGTCTCCAAGACCGACAGTAAGCAGCGTCACATCTGCCCAATACACAGCATCCAGATGTTCCCACTTCTCGACGTGGCTAAATACCAGAGCACCGAGCAGGAGGTAGGTGAAAAAGCTCATTGTCTGCAGCATCAAGGTCCGCTGTGCTGCGGTCAGTTTGAATTGTCTCGCATAGTGCCCTTTCCAAGCACCATAGACCGTCAAACACATGAGCATGGCAATGATCAGATAAATAGCAGCAGCCATGATTGCATAGTAGAAGGCAGACGTCAGGGCATGACGAGCGCGGGGTGCTGCAGGGGAGCTCGTAGGAAGCTGATAAGTATGAGACACGGTCAAAGCAGCAAGATCCGCAATGAGAAGTCCAGAAGAGACAATGAAGCCAACGATGGTGATCGGCTGGGCTATCGAGAATCGCAGACGATGGGCCATGTTCAGTAACAAGGCGCCGTTCGCAAGGAGAGCGAGCACTAGTGAGACGGCGTTGATCGCAAGCAACCTAGTAGTTTCTCGTCAGAAAAAAAGTTTCGTGTTGGAATCTGATTGAGTTGCAAAGCACCATTTCGGGTCATCAATGGTAGTTGAGTTATTGACAGTACCTCCGGGCGGTATGTACACTCTCCAACTGGAAGACAAGGCGCATATAGAAAAGGCGGATGCCATCGGCCCGAAGGTACCAGCAATAAGAGGACATGCTGTTGATTCGAACCAATACCGACTNNGCAGCGTATTGTGTCAGCCCATGCTCGAACTGAAGTTATGTCAAGGAAGGAAGTATTACTTCGGATTTGTATAGTCATGTTCTTCTCCAAGGTCTCCAGAGTTTTTTCGTTTCGACTGCTGGCCTCGATTTTCGGGAGATTCGGAGTCGAACTCGTCCGCTGCCTGCTTGATAGGCTCGTCAATGGGGTCGCTCATCCTCTTGTAGGGTCTAGAATATGTTGTCTGTTTGTTTCTGGAGACATTCCCTGCAAGAGTAATCTTGCTGCATTCATAGTAGAACAAAGATACAAATATGCAGGTTCTAGGAGGTCATCTAGGAAATGTTGATCAAGGGCGGCCCGGGGATGTAATCAACTAAAAGTCAAGCCACCTTCGTAGTGACACAACCAAGCTTTCCGCCAAGTAACGTAACCACATGGTCACAGCGTGCGATCTCCAACTGTGGCGGTGCAAAAAAGCTGGAGAAGTTGGAAAGGGGTGAAGGGGTCTAGGTCTTGCACCACTTGCCAGGGTTTTGGGTATTTCGAAACGATATGTAAGGTATCGTTTGACTTCTCGATACTCAAGATCTATTCAGCAAGTAGCTGTAAAGCTACTCAATACTATTCGCTCATGAAAATTGACCATTGGACTTGCATTCAGTGGTATTCCTGTCAAAGTCCCGAATGTAAATGTCTTCAAAGCACTTTCTGAGACACAATGGACAGAACAACAGTATAAAGTTGCCCACACATGGCGAGACATTGCATTTCGTGAGTCCTAGAGCATCTACCTCCGCCCGAGAATATCGATGAATATGCAAAAGTGCCATGAAGGCTACAAGATGGTACCCGAACCATCAACCCGGCAATCCGCTTAGCGAGGGCCGTGCATCACGCTAGCTAAATGCAAAATACCACATCAGGCACCTCAATGTCTAATTATGCAATATCTGCTCCTCGCCGGGAGCAACAGGCAGAAACACCTCTGATGAACAAACACACTTACATTGCTTGCCTTGAGTAATCACCACATATACCGACCCCTCTGGGTTGCGTCAGGAAACACAGTTTGCAGCATGCATGCAAAGCTGGCAATGTCCGAGTTCTGATCAAAGCACCAGTTACTGTGGCTTTCAGCAGAGATTCATTGATCGTATCTGGTCTATTTTCTTTGCAGATGTCTGCCAGTGCTTCTGGAGGAGCTTGTGGATGTCTGGATCACTCTCGGTCCAACACCAAGATGCAGAATAATGCAAGTAGATGCCCATCCAGCTCCTGTTTTGTCCGCTTCACACATTGTTGGACAGTATGGAGATGTATCGATGCATTGGCTCTTCGCCTTTGCCTTCGCTTTAAAGAGCCAGAAGTAGACCCCCCTGGTCGGGGGAGTGTTTGTGGGCAAGGCACGATGCCATGTGAATATGGGCAAGCACATGCTTGGTGTTCGTCGTTCCTTGCTCTTTATCTGTGGCCTTTGTATCTTGCCATACCGGTTTGAAATGCGGAAACAAGCGGAGAGTTGGCCCTGACTGGATGCAACGTCTTCGGATACCTGGATGCAGCAATGAGCAATCAGCAATCGAGATTCGGAGGAAACCCCAACTAATCTGCTCACTCTTTGCTAAGAGTGGTCATCAGCTGGGACTTGAAAGAGGTGTTGTTTGCTTGACAGACGCGTGAGTGTGCTTGATCGGGAAGCTGCTAGTTCAAGCGTCACTTTCTCAACAGCGTTCTTTCTTCCAAGTCGCCCAAGCGTCACTTCAACAGCGTTCTCTCTTCCAAGCGAGCCCGCACACCATCAAGCGCGACTGCCTTCCTTCTTTCTAAACATCCGCCTTCCTTCCTTCCAAACCTCTACCTTTCCACCTCATCACAAACATCAGGATTTAAAGGCATTGTAAGTCTTCTTCTCTTCCATCCTCTCACTCTCTCATCTTCTCCAACTCCACTCACCTTTCGTCCGCGCATCTGTCAACATTACTGACACTGCCACCAGCCTGAGCGCTTCCTCTCACTCAGCACTTTACGCGTTCTGCTTTGCGCCTTCTACTTCACGCTTCTGTAAGTTCACCTTCTTCAACGTTCTGTCTCTTCATCATCTGCTTCCGTCCGCACCAATCCATCTCACCTTTCCATCATCCCCAAAGTACATTCACACTCAGTCCACTTCGGCGCCTCAGTCCTTCGACTACCTGGTACTTTCTAATTCACTGTGCGCAACTCAAAGATCTTTGACTGCCTTCATTCACTGTCTTTGTCTCCCTCTGCCCCCATCACTTGTTTTCTCCAACACCTTCCTCCAACCACCTTGCTTCATCAAGCTTCTTCTTCATTACCTTCCTCCACCACCACCACTTTCCTTCATCAACATCCTCTTCTATCACTGCCTTTCTTCTCTACCACTTCTCGCTTGGTATCTTTCATAGACATCAAGCCTCATCACTCTCAACTCACCTGGGTTATTGAGCACCTTTGCTGACCACTGCGCCCACATCAGATCGTTGTGCCCTCACAACATGTCTGACACTGGTAACCAAGACGCCCCCGTCGAGGTCTTTGGCCAAGACTCTGCTGCCTTGCCCAATGGCCCCACCCCTGAGAATCTTGCCGCCATCCGTGCCCATGGGTGGATGGAGAATGAGAAGCTCAACTACGACGCGTTCAACGCTCCTACCCCAGAGACTGCTCCCACCTGGGCCAGCGCCGCTAGAGTTTACGAGTGGACTGGCGAAGAGGGTGACATCGGTCCCCCGGACTCTGAGCTTGAAGAGCAGCTGTTTGGTGGAGAGCAAACCAGGGCCGGCACCTCGCTGGACCACATTCTGAACTTCAAGGCCATCGTCGACGGCCCTAAGCAGTACAAGCCCATCGACAGCGTTCGTCCCTCCTTTTTCGATCAAATGACATGTATCGCTGACTTTCTTGCANNGTTCGAGGCCGCCGGCCTTCACCCCCAAGTTCTGGACAATGTGAAGCTTTGTGGCTTTGACCAGATCACAGTCATCCAAGCATACTGCGTTCCAATCATCCTTGCTGGCCACGATCTTGTCGCCGTCGCCCAGACTGGCTCAGGCAAGACCGCCGCATATCTCGTGCCTATCATCTCAAAGTTGATGGGCAGNGTTCGCAAGCTCCAGGGACCCCGTCCTGTCGCCGGCAGCCGCGTCCGAGCCGAACCCCTTGTCGTTATTGTTGTGCCGACCCGCGAGCTGGCCCAACAGATCTTTGACGAAGCTCGCCGTATCTGCTACCGCTCCATGCTGCGCCCTGTTTGCGCCTACGGTGGCGTTCCTATGGGTACCAACCTCCAAGAGCTCGGAAAGGCTTGTGATCTTCTCATCGGTACGCCTGGCCGTCTCCAGGACTTGATGAACAAGCCCAACGTTCTTTCGATGAAGCGCGTCAAGTTTACCGTGATTGATGAAGCTGACGAGATGCTCACTCCTGACTGGGAGACCGAGATGAGCAAGATCATGGGTGGCGGTGGTAAGTCATCCTACATTTATGTACCCTAAGCATACGCTGACAATATGTATTANGACACCAACGAAGACCCTGACCACAAGTACCTCTTGTTCTCTGCCACCTTCCCAAAGGAGTCACGCAAGGTGGCCAAGGCTTACATGGACGAGGATGCCATCCGCGTTCGCATTGGTCGTGCTGGATCTACACACAAGAACGTCAGCCAAGACATCATCTTTGTCGAACGCAACATGAAGAAGCAAGCTCTCCGCGACCTGCTCATGTCTAGAGATGCTTGCCGCACCCTCATCTTCTGCAACAGCAAGGGTGGAGTCGAAGAGCTCGATGATTATCTCTACAACGAGGGCTTCCCGACCTTCTTCATGCATGGTGATCGTTCTCAACTCGAGAGACAGGACGCTATGAGAAACTTCAAGAACAAGAAGAACGGCATTCTGATCGCCACCAACGTCTTCGGCCGAGGCATCGATGTTCCTCAGGTGAATCATGTTGTCTGTTACGACCTTCCTGGTGTCGAATATGGCGGCATCTCGGAGTACATCCACCGTATCGGCCGCACCGGCCGTATTGGACACAACGGTCACGCCACCTCGTTCTACAATGAACGTAACGAGGACCTCGCTCCTTTTCTTGTGAACATCCTGCTCGAAACCGACCAGCCCGTCCCCGACTTCCTCGAGCAATACAAGCCCGAGACTGGCAAGGCAGAGTTCGACGATNNGACAACACCGACGATGAGGGAGGAGGAGGAGGCTCAGCCAGGCTATGTCGCTGCCCCTGGTGCCGGTGCTTCTTTCGACGCTCCTTCTGATGCTTGGGGTGCTGAAGCCCCTGCCGTTACCGCTACTACTCAGGCTGATGCCTGGGGCACTCCCGCCGGCGAGGTCTCGTGGTAATCATCGTCAAAGATCTCGACACGACCTTTTCCACAGTGTCATCTGTGCCGAGCTGCAACAAGCGGATGTTCTCTGATCTGAGAGGATGATGATGGTAGCAGCTCGAAAATCTTCCGAGCTCTAGCCAAGTAGAACGAATGAGAAATGCATTGACTTGTTATTTTCTATCCTCTTGTTCATGCCAAACTACAAATAGTCAGGCTGTTCATGTGATGACAGACCTTGTTGCTAATCGGAACTTGAAGATATGCTAACCACACCGCAGCCATTGACGTGAGCTAATACGCAATAATCGTTACAGTCTTTGTTGCTCTCCCATCAGACTCTCGACCCCAGCACTACCTTCACCCTCAGAGCATTGCGACATCGCCCCTCCTACGCTGCCAATCTCGCGAGAGACTCACTCATAGCCGAAAGTCTTCTTGATGATCTCGACACCAATACTGCCAGCTTTACCTCCCACAATCTTGTTGAAACTCTCTGCGACTCCTCGAAGAGTTTCGCCAGTATATATGGCATCATCGCGGTAGACGTGTTGACAGCTCTTCTCCATCTGTTCCGCTTGCATCAGAATGCAGCCAACCAGATCTGGCATGTGTAGGCGATGGATGCCGTTCGGCGCGGCAAAGGGGTGTCTGCCTTCAAACTTGTGGCTGACTTCAGCTTCGAGAGTAGTCAAGATGGTGCAGCAAGTCCGGTGCAGCCGAAGATAGTCGAAGGTCAAATGCATGCCATCACTCTGAACTGTGGCTGCCATACCATCAAGAAGATCGGTGGCCGTGAGTGCATGCTTACTGCTGGCATTGGCAGCTTTTCTCAGATCAGTCGAAGAGGTCGATGAGTCTCTCAACATCTGCTCAGCGCGCAAGACCTTGATTTTGGCTTCGACAGCCGTAAGGTCGGTGGACAATGAAACATTGTCGTAGCACATGTAGCGACCAGCGATCAGACTGGCGAAGGGAATGTGATCTTCCACATTGCGGCGGTTGTCCGGATTGATCTTCAGCGCTTTTCCTTCAATCTCTGTCCGATCGCTTGCGCTGTTTACGATTGATGTGCCCCTACAAAGCTTGAAGCGCTTGACGCATTCCGTGATGGATTGTGGAGCGGCTCCCATGAAGATCCTGTCACGACCTTGGGGTTTGAGTAGCGTTTCCATGTCTTCCCAGCGTTCAGTGAGAAGCTGTACTCGCAATGCATTGTAGAGATGTGTACAGTAGATGGTAGTAGTCCAGTCTTTGACACACGATATGCTGGATCGCTGCATAGTGTATCTTCCGCCAAACAGATAAAGCCCGCACATAATGGGGTTGTGCTGGAAGAACTCGAATGATGGTAACCTTTTGATGTTGTTCCCATTAATCCTCCAATCGACCAAGTCTGAGATCAGCATGAAGTCAATGAGCTCACCCGTGGTGTGCATGTGCTCGCGAATCTGAATGCAGAAGGTAGGATTCAGAAGGTTACGCGAAAGCTTCTCATGAAAGGCGACCGTCTGGTCAAGCGCTGACTTCATGTATTTTCCTCCTTTCTGCATTTCCTCATAAGGTCTCCCGACTTCAGCGCCGAGAGTGTGTTGAACGTCAAGGTATACCTGAGCCGCGAAGGCAAGCCAGAGAGGAATTGGTTTACCAGGCGACATGTCCCTGACACCCCGAACGAATTCGTCTTCTACCCAGCGATCCATTGTAGCCAGAGCAGTAAGTCCGGTAAAAGCTCTGAACAGCATGAACTTGTCATCAAGTAATTTGTCTCTGTTTGACTTTTGTGACCAGTCCGTGGCTGTATCGCGGCATTTTGGAACAAGGTGGTCCACATAAGCTATTTTATCGGGGGCTCTCCAAGCACGTAGCTGGTCCAACATGTGCCACGTATTGATGAAGCACCTGTCAGCCGTAGCATAGGCATCAAAGTTATAAAGATCGTGAGGTTGCTCACGTTTCAAGACATCCACGTTCAACAAGCGGCATGTTGTGATAAAGCATGGAACCACACACACTTGGAAGTCAGGCTGATCGTGGAATGACTTGTCGTGGTCTTCCTGCAGATGACGCACAAGTTCGATTGCGGTATTGGTAGATAGGGCAGCAGCGTGCAGATCGATGTCCTTGACGAGATAAGCCTTCCATAGGCCTTCGATGTGCTTTCGTATCTTATTGATACTGTGCAGAAGAACGAGACCGGCAATGATGTGTTCGTCATCTTTGGGCATGCATTCAGCCTTGTAACGGATGTTCTGGGCATCTTCAGGCTTGTGCTTCGAAGCATTTTCTGAAAGCGAGGTGTTGAGGAAGTCATCGGACAGTTCTTCGACGTCCAGAACCTCGAAAGCATTTTGGTTGCGTGTCTTGTTCTCGGTGGCTCGCTTGGAGTGTGCTTGAGATTGTTTAAGAGGCGCAGCTCCAGTCTTTTCTACCATACAAGGCCGCAGTATGTGGCGCACACCCTCAAGAACGGAGATGAAGTGTGCATGGCTATCGATGTGTGAAGGTGTTTCGGTAGCTAGCTTTGTGTTCTTGAAACAAGCGTTGTGCTCTTTGCGGAATGCGATAGCCCGATCCAAGATGGTTCCAAGGATGGCAGGAACCTTGATGCTTGGTGTAGCAGACGAGACGATCTGAGATGCAAGTTGCGTAAAAGACCTGACCGGTATAGTATAGGTCCGCAGTCGTTCGGATTTGGTTTCGTCTTTGGGAGCAGCATCTCTGGCAAGCTTGCGAGCTCTTCCTTTCAGCTTTGGGGATTTGACTTCAGGTGGGGGCTGAGAAGGTGGTTGACCTGAGGCATTGTCGCCGTCATTGAGCACTTCTGGAGACAAGCCACATCGTTTGGCGGTGGTTGCGAGCCAGTTGGCGATAGTGTCAGTGTCCCNTTTGTAAGTCGTGTAGGTCCCTTGAAGGTAATCAGGTGTCATCTTCGACAATGAAAACAAGATTGCTTGAGAAAGACGACACAAGACTCCGGTGGTTCAATCTTGGGATGGTGACGATGATGAGAGAAGCTGGGCAGCAAGTCGAGATGATGAGACTTGGGTGCGAATCTCTGATCTTGAGGGAAAGTGCGTTCAAGGAAGCAGCTATCCGCGCACGCCACTCGTTACACACTCCAAACTCACACCTGAGTTGATCGCGCCTTCCTTCATACCAGAAGCTTGATTGCTGAATCTTTCATGCTTATGATTCGCATTTTCTCATCTCGCCTCCACAGAAATCTTGCCAGTACCCCTCTTCTTTACCAGCCTTTTCTCTCCACTGCGACTCTTTTGCAACTTGCGCTCATCCTCAAACTGAACCTTTCTCGCAGCACGCTCTACCAAATGTATAGGCATATCATTTCTAGGCGCCGGTCGCTCGTATGAGAATGCTTGATATACTGGTACACTTTGAGGTCTTGCATGGGGTTCTGGCGTTGAAGATTGCTGTGGTGGTTTCGGCACACGAGCATGATGGGGAAGCTCAACTGCAGAGTCCATACGAGAACGTGCTGCATAGGGATATGGCTGTGATGCAGAGTCAGGCCTTGGTGGGAGGGATGGCCTGACCTGCGATGATCGAGATGGTGTTGTTGGACTTTCACTTGATCTATCGTGCATCTGATGTGTCCCTCTTGCCGCTGTCTGGGGTTGGTGATGGGAACGGCGGTCTCGATCAGTCGAAGTCGAAGAAGAGCGGCTATTGTGGGTTGGGTTTGACGGTCGGCAAGGTACTTCTTGTAACAACGTCCTTGGGAAGCCGCTAAGCAGATACTCCTGAGTACCATCTTGACAGCCGCCCCTCAGGACAAGAGCTATCGTGGTCGAAGCCATTGCATTTGGAACGTCGAAGTCGATGTGAGGTATCCTCAGCATACCGTAGGTGGTCAATCTCGAGATCACTTTCTCCGTGAGTTTGACTTTGACACTTCTGCCAGAAACACATCTCGAGGTATCTTGGACAACCAACTCCGGCATGAAATCTGGCGTGCGCTGCTTTGACAAAAACTCGCCGAGAGCTTTCAAATTCGATGAGCCTTCCTCAAATTTGCAGCAGATATAGCCCGTACACATGAAGCTACCGCCTCGCAGTGGTACAGTCTTAACCAGCTTGAAGTAGAAAGAGCTTGCCACAAGAGAGCAAGCAATGTCTTTGGTCATCTGCACCACATCCGACTCCTTGAGTCTCCGCCTGACATCGGCCCGAAACTCTTGAAACTTGTCTTTGGCATCGAAAGGCGGTAGCTTGCTCTTGAGATCCAGATTGAGGCGTATATAAGGGCTTGGGAAGCCATCGTTCCGATTGTCTATGTCGGCGACGAACTCGGTCCAGGCGGATTCAGCGTCAAGTATGTTATCGAATCGTTGATACAATGCCGTGAAGGTACGGCGTATGCCTCCTGACTTGTTTGTTGGAGCNNACTTGGTGTTTTTTTCGTCTTGAGGGCTTGGTGAACGCCGTTCAAACGCCTCTCTTCGTGACTCCGACAGGTTTTGGCCTGTGCCAATTGACAACAGCATATCAGGATGCTTGTTCGCGATGGCAGGCCAAAGAAGCTTTCGCTCNNCCCTATTTGCAACGTGTATTGGATTGTTGTGATATAATCCTCCGTCGATGTAACCCGTTCCGGTCCTTGTGTGAGTATAAGGCTTGAAATAGAAAGGCGCTGCAGATGTCGCTGCTGCTGCTTCCCAGACTTCGAGCTCATGTGAGGAATTTTCTGGCCTGACAAAGGTTGGACTATCTCCTGAAGTTCGCTGACGATTATAGTTAGCCATGATCATGGCCTCATTACCATCAGCAGAGGTAGCCGTGACGGCGACTTTGGTTTTGAATGCATTCAGAGAGTGGTTAGCGCCGAATAGAGGACTCCTACCCAGCGTCTCTCTCAGGACGTTGTGGAGAGGCGTTGCTTTGTACTTGCTGCCATGATTCAACAAGGCAGCTTGTTCGAAGCCCCATAGCCCTCTGAACTCGCGCTCAGTAAAGGCTTGGTCACAGAACTTCTCAAACATCTCGATGCAATAGCGAACAGACCATTGCTTCACTCCCAAAGCCAGAGCGTTAATGCCTCCTGTACTTGTGCCGACAACCAGATCGAAAAACGATTGTATGCGTATGTTCCCTCCTAGGACTTTCTCGATTGCTCGTAAGACCTCAAGCTCCATGATGCCTCGCATACCGCCTCCGTCGAGNNGGGAAAGTACTCGTACGCCTACGTCATCCGATAGACAAGTGACTTCCCAAGGTGGTTCGAAGCTGGTGTGCATATATAGCGGACAAAGCTCCAGTTGTATTTTGCCATGAGTTTTCCGGCCACAACTTCTGATGCAATTGTCGCAAAGCACATGACCGCATGGCAGAGGATGTCGTGGGATATCAACCAGACAACCAAAACAGCTCACATGACTAATCAAACGCGCCGCTGTTCCCAGGTCCGTGAAAGAGTCGTCCATTTGTTCATAATGCAAGTTGCTCGCTATCCGGCTGCTAGAAATTTCTCGCGGTTCCTCGTTCAGAGCTTCCAGGTGTTCGTTCTCGCACATATCGATTTCCTCTTTGACAAGCGAGATCCAAATCGGTAGGTGTGACTCTGCAGCAAGATCTGATGTGAATTGACCCGCGCCAATGGTCTTGCCGTACTTAGTGCGATGTTCCATGCCATGAGAGAGTCTTGTGCCTGTACACACGCGGTTCGAACAGTCACTAAAAGAACACCTCAAATGATCATCGCAGAATGTCTTCAGCATATGTTCCAGCGGCGGCTGATAGTATTCACTGAAAACATCTCTGATNNTCGTCCTAGCACTTGTCAGCATGCCCTTGAACACTCATACGCATCCATGTTCACCTCTGCGATTCCGAATGCAGTCATAGAAGACACATGACGCTACGATACATCCGAGAAATCGAGTTGTCTCTCTGGCAGATGTGCCTCGGGGTTGTTGGCTTTGTATCTGTATTGCAAGTTGAAGTGCATGCTCGCCAATACTCGAGACTCTTGTTGGCGCAATTCCACTCCACCTCCGCGATTGGCCGGTTGCTTGTCGAGTAAGGTCACACATTAGGTGAGGTTATGGTGGAAGATCCAGCTCAGTACACCACACTCAGAGAGAAGAAAAGCATCGAAAGACACCAAGACAAAAACGAAGAAGGGAACGACAGCTTTTGACATTCAGCTGACGTTTCGAAGGTTCCGAGAAAGGCCATGGCTGCCGCGGACGGCCGTCTTGGACCCTAACAGTTCCCAGTCCTGATGTAACAAGAAAGTGGTCCCAACTCAGGCAGGACCATGCCTGAACGACTTTTCTGATCAAGGCAGCCGGACCAGCCGCTTCGGAAAGAGACTCCTTTCGGCAACGGTACGGTAGGGCTGTATTCCTTGCATGTGTAGCAGAAGCATTTGCCAACCTTAAATTTGATAGAACCCATGATCCTGGTTGACGGGCTGCCTGAATTACGATGGATCACCTTCAGCCCTCGTCTATCTTGCATGTAAGCTGCACGATACGACTACCGACAGCGACGAGCCGAGTATGTTTGCGACGATATTTACCATCTAGGCCGAGAGGCCTCGAAGGATGCGATCAATTGTCGGACCAAGACGCCTCCAGAGGTCCACTTCGCTCGAAGGCTCAAGGATGCGTTACGTACACGGTCGCGCCAAGCCCTCACCATCCAGTTTGGAAACACGATCCGAGTCAAGCCCATTCGTGAATATAATGTGAGGGCCGCGGGACGGGACGTTGGAATAGAGTTCAGAGATCACAAAGGTGTCGAGATGTATTAAAGGCATGTGAGAGGCAGGTGATGAGAAAGTCCGATCTGTCGTCTGTCACCACCGTGCGGGCGCTAGCCAATTGCAAGCCACCTGCATGGCCAGAGTCGCACGGTACATGGCGACAGTTGTAGGCAGCTGAGAGGCGCTGTACAAGTCACGAGGAGATTTCTGTAGACAAGCCACAGGTTTCGTCGCTTGAGCTCATACTCGGATGGCCCGATGGGGCAGAAGGTAAGCAGCCATGAACAGTTAAGTTCAGACTGTAAGCACCCCACTGGCATCCTTGTGACCATTCGAGGACAAGCACCACAGTTCTGAAATATGCCCGCTTGTAGACACACACACAACATGTATAACGAACTCCAAGAGAGACCAGAAAAGAATGTTGAAGTGGATGAAGTCAATTTCAAGTATGCTACAAAGGCAAAGGGCAGTCCGTTACCCCAACCATGCTCCGGGTAATATATAAATCATTCTCTTTCGTGTGCTGGGAATTGTTTTTGAGGCGCGCAAATCTTTATGAGCTGAAGTTGTTTACTTCTTCTGCGAGGCGAGCTTCTCGGTCTCCTNTTGCAGTTGCTCTATCGTGTCGGCATCGGCCTTGATATCGCCTCTGTCGGCCTTGACNNCTATTGTGGATTGTGTTAGCTTCTGCAGTTGCATTTCGTCTGTTTGGCAATAGAGACTCACAATGCTCTCGCTGTCGCTGGCAATCTCCTCGTGCCAGTGGCCCTTGCCCTGCTTCTGCTTCTCAATCTGCTCGTTCTTGATCTTGTCGGCCTCGTCGGCGCGGCCCTCTTNGGTCTGGTCTACATGTTAGCCGATGTGTTCAACATCGAGCAAAGGTTTCGATGCGCGATGCCAATGTCTTTGGTGAAGGCTTTGATATGGACGAAGGCCAGCAAGAACTCGGGAAGACTTACGGAGAGCGCTCTCCTTACCGACTCTCAGAACGGGTGCAGTCTGGAAAGAGCGGATGGGAGCAGAGACAAAGGCTCTTCTGGCGATGAAAGATCTGGAAAGCATGATGATTTGTGTGTGGTGTTTTCTGACGGAATGATCAGTAAACACGTCACGGCAAGAAATGTGGTGGAGCTTCGAACCTGGAGGTGAGTTGTTTGACGGTGGTGAGATCGCGGAGTTCTCTGGAGACAATTGGTGGAGTTGAAGGTGGATTGAAGATGTGATGGAGAAGAAGAAAAGAAACAGAAAGGAGAAAGCAACAAAAGAGCTCACTATGACCGTCCCTCGGTTGTTCGTTGATCGTACCTGTCGACTCTCCTCCAATCCGGATCAGCCATTGCGTCACTGGCCGTAGCTTCCAATTGCCAATCGAGCGATTACGAGCTCCATCCACTTGCCGACCATATCGCCCTTTTTTGTGCACGTTTTTCATCGAGCCACTTCATGAGACGAACAATTTATGTTTTAGAATGCATTGCTAATGTTTTTGACACATGTGGTGGTCGGTACACCTCCTCCACTGCCTATCAACCCTGTAGCTAGCCAGCCAAGCTCCTGCCACGTCAAACCTAAGGCGGGACAGAGGCTGTCGAATGCTTGCTACTATGCAAGGTCCCACTGCAGTACACATCAATTGTGATTTGACTGTTCNNACCAACATCACCAACACTAAGAAGCAAGCACAGGATAAATTGTAGAAGTAAAAGAGCTTGTATTTTTCCGTGGCCCAAACTCGACACCAGCATGATCGATGAGACCAGCATAGCGAGAGAAAATCGGTAAGAGAGGAAAAGAAAAAGTTGACAAGAGATACGAAATAGCGAAAGATCAAAAACAACTCCCAGNATCCCAGAATCNTTGGTATAACCGACAATAAGACTCCTTCTCGCTCGCTCGACGACGNNACGATTTGTTGTTGCCAAACCATAACTCAAATAACAAAGACACCGAATTTCCGCACCGACCGGCCATGAAACCTTTCTTTCCCTGTGTGAGAGTCGTAAACAAGAAGAGNNAAAGGATTGTAAACAGCAGAGCAAGCAGAAACCCCAAGCATGCGTAGATATATGCCTGCGCCCGNNACAAGTCAAAGAATCCGACTGAATGTGCATCGTGTGGTTTTCGTTCATTCCATTCCCCACCAAGTGTAACACCGTGCGCTTTGTTGCAAAGGAACATCAACAAAGGCTTTGTAAAAAAATCCGAAAATGCAGAGAGAAATGACCAAACAAGAAAAGTAAACCGATTATGCCCTTTTCATGACAATGATACGAAAACGCCGTTCGTCTAGGATCCAGAGGGCTCCGCAATCCAGTGGTATATGTGTGAAAGCATCGTAAATCTGTACAGTCGCAGAATTAAAAAAATGTGTGGCCGTATAGTCGTCCGGTTTTCCAGAGGATGCGCCCCGCCAGCCCTAGACAAGAACAGCCCGCGAATAGAGTCATGAGAAGGTATTAGTCATTTCTCTACCAGCGGCGCTGGTTGATGTAGCCCTGCATCTGACGGGCCGGCGAGACACTTGGAGGAGGGCTTGCGATGACGCGGGTGCTAGGGTCGACAATAGGAATAGCATTGCGAGTACGCTGGGCCATTGGCTGGTGGAGCTTCATCTGGTTCTGCTGGAAAGAGTTGTTGTTGTAAGAGGCAGCAGCAGAGGGAAGGAGGAAAGGAGTAGGCTGAGCTTGGTGCTGCAGCGGAGAGGCATCAGGAGAACCAGACGACAGAGATGATCTGTCAGAAGAAGCAGAAGAGTGGATAGAGTGGANGCTGTGGATAACATTAGCACTGATGAATGGTACACAGCAAGACATGCATCAAAGACTTACATCGTCCTCGGTCAGGAGGTGGAAGGGGCAGAAAACCTCGTCATCTTCAAACTCGAAACCCTTGGCAGCTTCAAAGTCCCTGATGTATGCGCTGTAGGCAGGGGTCTCAGGAAGCTCCTTGGGACTTCTTTGGGCTTTGAATTGCTGTTGACGGTGGGCATTCTGCGCCGAAGACACACGAGGCCCGCGGCGAGAGCGACCGTGGTGGTTGTGAGAAGGGTGAGGGTGCGACTGCATAGCAGTGGCATAGTGGGGAGCGCCGTAGTGGAAGTTTGACATGGTTGCAATTGAGGTATTGATATCGATCGAGGGGTGCGAGAGAGAAATCCGTGTCCAAAGCTCGGGAGATTGCGGTTAATCGGAGTTGGCCGGAAGCGGTATATCACAACAATAGAAGAAGAAGAGCGATATAGAGTTGGCGAAGGAGGTTGGAAAAAGGCGTAGGTGGTGGAAAATTGGGGAGGTTGATTTCGAAAATGCGACAGGAATAGCGATGATTGTGAAAATGGGATGCGAGAGATATGGAAGAGGATGGAGGGTTGTGGGATTGGAAAACGAGGGAGGCGAAGGAGTCGCTCGCTGTGGGTACCGGCCTTGTCGAGGCGCCACCGTCAATGCACCATACCGGAAACAGCAAGGCTCGAGCCCAGACGATGCACGATCAACGCACAAAGACGCTGAAAGCAGCCTACAAGTCACGAGCTGCCACGGCAACTCACCTGCCTATGACGACCCCTACACTTGTCCGTCGCTGTGTGTCCCCTCTGCTTGAGCTTCTACAGGTCTACAGTGTTGCTGCTTTTTTCGCCGCTTGCAGGAAGTGGTTGAGCGGCAAGTTGGAGTCGTGTTCCCAGCGAGGATCCACTTTGTGAACGCATGCACACTGCATCATGGTCGAGCGCCAACCGGCTGCATTGATTCTATGCACGCCACAAGTCCACTGAGACAAGGGGAGAGACACGACTGCGCTTGGCGGCATGGCCGTCAGAGTTTCCCATCGACCCCTCACCAATAATCCCGCCCGCCCTTTCACCGCCTCGACTCGTTCCGGGGAAAGCTTGCCATCCAGCACCGAATTGCTTTTGGGCTCGAGCCCAAGGTCTGNTCTCGACTGTTGTTGCATCTCCGTGCTTGTCCCAGTGACACCGCCAACGTCTATCGATATGAGTCGAGGCGGTGTTGGCCGTGCCTGCAGCAGCCTCAGTCCTGCCACCGCCATAGCCATGTGTTCATTTGAGCTACTCTCACCCAGCCCATTTCGATTGCTAATTCAGGAGCCGCTTGCGAGTTCGCTCCTGCGTCGTGACAGAGGCATGTTTTGATTGCGAAACAATGAACCCCTCGATTGAAAGCTTGAATCCGGGGGCCGGAATGTCAGATCTCATCTATTTCCGCTGTCGGTAACCCTTGAACTCGTCAAGACAAAGCATCAGGCGGTGGTACGCACGTACATTCTTGATGGATTCATCGGCGCTTAGGTTGAGCCTCACCAAGGTGTTAATTGGCCGCTCATGTTCAGCGTCGCTGTCTGATCGACTTTCATTGCTTCGAATAGCTTCGACCCCTGGGGGCTGAGCCTTCATCTCTTGCATTCGTAACTCTTTTGAACAGCTCACTCCTGATGGCCTTGGCTTCGTACTTGTAGATTACTATCCCTTCTTCCACGCAATTTGACTTCACTGATCAGAAATGCACATCTTTGAGGGGTTCGCCTCTGCAACGATCAATATCAACATTGCCACCATCAACATCAAAAACTTCTCCGCACGTAACCTGACAACCTAGATCGTTTCGAATATGAGCTTGGACTGCTTGAGTAGTTGATCGCGTCAGCCGTTTCCATTGTAGCAACGGGAACGGCAGAGTGCTATGGCATCTGGATGGTATGGGGTTTAACACCTCGTCCATACACAACGAAACAATACTTTGCAATCGAGCATGGGTCATTGAATCTGATTCACTATGTGTCGTGAAAGCGTTCTGGATCTTGGGACACGTCTCAAGGTTGAACTCTGTGGTCATTTCCTGATGTGCTTCAAGGCCACAGTCTACACACTGGCTGGCATGGGAGTGGGACTGCCATAACCTTTACCAACCAACCGAAAAGCAAGAGTTGCCAGTACCATGCGACATACCATCGAGCATAGTGATAAAGTCTCATACGTGGAGAACGCCTACCGATCTGTCACGCAAGAACACAAACGAGAATGGTCATGAATTTGTGACAGGGTCATACTCCTAGCATCTTGACATGGGGAAAAAACAAAAACAAAAACTGAAGACAAAATGGGAGGTGAACTTCCATCGGGTCCTATCATATAACACATGATACATACTCTCCTCTTATTTGTCTAGTACTGTCTCACGTACGTCTTCTCACGACGAACACCCTGTTGCCTCCTTGTGTGCTTAAATATCTGAAGCACCGAGCTATTGCAGCGCACCATCGTCCTGGGAGACAGCGCACTATCTCCTAAGACACGACAAATTATCAGCTCTGTTTGACCATGACTTTGAGATGAACATGCTGGTGGCTTGTCATGTCTGCATTTTCGTATGAGGAAACCCATTCTTGCACGCCTTAGGCTGTGGCTCCCTTTCGAGAAGGCTCGAGCTGGATCCTCGCAAATGTCGACACATAGCTTGCCAGGTTGTTTTCAATTGCAGTCCTGGCGATGAAAGAGGAATATAGAGTAGAGGGACTTAACGGCACAGATGGCGTAAGCTATTTGCCGAGCTGAGTATCCTTCATGAATCTCGAAATGCCGTCTTTACAGTTCCTTTCGATATAGTTTTCCCAGACTTCATAGAGGCTGATAAACTCTTGAGTAGCAGCCATACAGGCTCCGACGTCAATATCGCTTTCGGCCATCCATTGGACCATCTTGGCAATTTTGTTAGGATTTTGCAAAGCACTCTGCAAGGCCGATGCACTCGTCGCGGCAGCATGTGCTTGCAGATTTGACTGAGTTGGGCGTAAGACGACAGCGAGAAACATGGCTGTGACAGCAATGATGTGTGGTGGATACATCAAAGGCATATCAGTGTTGTAGTGATCGTTGATGACATTCTGGGACAGAGCCAACTCCTCGGTAGACAAATTTAATCCTGGGGCCAGATCGTTGAGACTCCGGTACGGATGATGAACGATCATGCGTGCTGACATAGTGCTGATGAGATGAAATTCGCATTCACCAATCTTGGAGATGTCGTTGATACCTAGCTCAGGCCATTGCCTAGCTGCCTCTGCCAAGACCAATCTGATGTGTATCGGACATTCCTCGACCTTACAAGCGACGTATACAGCTGTTGTCATGACGAGGTATGGATTTGTCCTTCGAATATCGACTTTGGTATAGAACCGCCGTACATAAACCTGGGCTGTGGCGAGTGGTTGCTGTCTTACATTCATTCTTCGACCAAGTTTCACAATTTCNNTAGTATCAATCAGTTGGCTGATGTATGTCTGAGATGAACCAGACTTACGTTGCTGGAAGTATATATTCATTAGACGTGGTTCAGGTAGAGGGTACTTGGTATGCAGTTCTTGGTTGTCTTGAAGTTGTTGATCTCGGATGTCCTCGAGCTGGTCTTTTGTGAAGGTCCAGTGTGTCCGCTGAGTCGAATCCCAGTAATTGGCCGCCATGGTCAATCTTGTGTTTTCGTGATCTCAGAAGTATGTTTACTAGTGCCTTGAATGTAAAGAGTTGAATCTAGTATATGTTCCCAATGTTGTTACTATTCACTTGCCAGATTACCACGACTTGTGGTAGATCCGATGCCAAGGCGACGCTCAAGCAGGGAAAGAGAAAGAGCGAGTGATGGAGGCAGTTTTAGGAGCATCTCGAGCCTGGCTACAGGCGACTAATGTTGCTCAATCATTGATACAAGCACGAGGGGTTATGCAGCAAGATTGCGAGTGTTGCAGAGTGCAGTCGTGTTATTTCCGGAAAGGTCAGCAACTCCAAGCTTGGGCGTGAATTGTGAACGCCAAGAAGGGCAGGAAGGAAAAGCGTCATAAGTCAGGACAGCGGGGATGAGGCCTTTTCGGTTGTTCGAGGCTTAAGAGAAGGACGAGATAACACGCTTTTCACTGTCTATCTGTTGCCATCTATCATTTGCTGCCGTGTTGCGCTCGCTATTGAAGAAGCGCTTGTTGCTGAAACCCCAGCAAGGCGCATCGTGGAACCCCTTTCCTGGTATATCAGAGCCATGAAACCGAGATAGCCCGGGCTTCAACAGACGGCAGACCATGGATGCCGAATCACCCGCCGAGAGGGAGAACAGGACTCGCTCCTTGTGGAAGAAACTGGACACACAAAACGAGGGTTATCTCGACTTCAAGGCCTTCAGGAAGGGCCTGAAGAAGCTCGACCATCGTGAGCATCATGAGACCCGCTGGGCCAAACCAACCTCGACAAAGCGCTGACTTGGGCGTCAATCGCANGCTCTGAAGAATGCAGATGGCTTGATAGAAGATGTGCTCGAGGCCGCCGATATCAACAACAGTGGTCGCATCGAATACGATGGTTAGCAGCATGAAGCCAACCAAGCTCCAACAAACGATCCGCTGACCCGACAANNAGAGTTCCGCAAATTCGTCGACCAAACCGAACGTGAGCTCTGGCAGCTCTTCCAGAGCATAGACCGCAATCACGATGGCAACCTCGACAAGAGCGAGTTACGCGCCGCCTTTGTCCGCGCCGGTCTGGCCGTACCCAATTCGCGCCTCGACAGCTTCTTCGACGACGTCGACACAGACAATGACGGTGTTATAAACTTTGGCGAATGGCGGTACGTCCTCAAGGTCGTAAAGAGTTGGTCTCGAGGCTAATTACAAGCAGCNGACTTCCTCTTGTTCATGCCCATCGGCTCGCCCGGACTCAAGGCCGTCATGTCATATTACCAGTCAGCCATGAAGGTGACTGCAGAGGGCGATGTGTCGGTCAGTGATGAGACGATTCAGGGATTAGGTACTGCAACCTCCTTTCTTAAACACTCGCTCTTCGGGGCCATTACCCGAATTGCTTCACCACCACCACCCGCACCATCACCACCGCGGCAGTATCCTGAACATCTTGATACTCAGCCCGAAAGCAATCCACCTCTCCCGTCACTCCACACAGAAGCCGCCGTTGCCTCTGATCATGACGACCGATCACATGCATCGCGTGCCTTGGCCTTTATGAGCATGCTGACGGATTTCGTCCCTGATCCAGGCTACTTCCTGGCTGGCGGCATATCAGGCGTCGCCTCGAGAACTACCACCGCCCCTCTAGATCGTCTCAAGGTCTACCTCATCGCTCAGACTGGCACCAACGAAGCTGTGCAGGCCGTCAAAAGTGGTGCCCCCGCAGCGGCAGCAAAGTCGAGCGCAAATACCTTGGTCAGAGCCTGTAAGGAGCTTTGGGCTGCAGGCGGCATTCGTAGTCTGTTTGCTGGTAAGTCTGTCTCTGTGACCGTGTTTCGATTTTGCTCATCATCTGAAACAGGCAACGGTTTGAACATCGTCAAGGTTATGCCCGAGTCTGCCGTCAAGTTCGGCTCGTATGAGGTAACAGATAGCGCTCCTTCGTTTGAAACACCGCTGACATCCATACTANNGGCCGCAAAGAAGATGGTCGCACGATTCGAGGGCCACTCCAACACACGGAAGATCTCGCCTGTTTCGCAATTCATTGCGGGCGGTATGGCAGGAATGGTTTCACAAGCTGTCGTCTACCCTCTCGATACGCTNAAAATTGTAAGTCTATCATTCGAAATGCGCCATTATTGTGCCAGATTGCTGACCTGCGACAGCCGAATGCAATGCGAAACCGTGCCAGGAGGTCTCCGTGGAACAAAACTCATTGCCGCGACCGCCGTCAAGATGTGGAATAAGAACGGCATCTTATCTTTCTATCGCGGCTTACCTATGGGGCTGGTTGGCATGTTCCCCTATGCTGCCATCGATTTAGGTACTTTTGAGTACTTGAAACGCACTATCACCGCATACAACGTCAAGAAGTACGGAGGACACGAAGCCGACGCTGCACCTAGCAGTTTCGCAACAGCACTCATAGGTGGCTTCAGTGGTGCTATCGGCGCTTCCGCTGTCTATCCTTTGAACCTGCTCCGTACTCGACTGCAGTCCCAAGGCACTGCCAGCCACCCTCGTACCTACACTGGCATCATGGATGTTACTCGCCAGACTCTCGCTGGGGAAGGTGTCAGAGGTCTCTTCAAGGGACTAACACCCAACCTGTTAAAGGTGGTGCCAGCTGTGTCCATTACCTACGTCGTTTACGAAAACACCAAGAAAGCTTTGAACCTTCGCTGATTAACGGAACACAAAACACTGCTTTACGAACGAGATACCCACACACCCTCTCCCCTTACAGCATGGCGTTGCCATCACTCTGGACTTTGCAGACTATCTTCGATTGGAACCTGTCACATTCCTCTCATCTTCGTCCATCAATGCATTGCGCAAGGCGCTATAATGGAGTTCTACTTTTCAACTTGTCATTTTCGGGAATTGTCTTTGGGTGGCAGAAATGCCGAGTTAGAGTTGTCGGATAGGATGTGCGACGGACAAGACTGCTTTTCTCGCTTCTGGATTGCCAAATACTTGGCGTGCTGTATCACTTGTTCCATTAGAAACTTGCTGTTTAAAAATTTTACAGTTTAGACTTCATACGTTTTTGTCGTGACATATCATGTGGCTTCTTGTCCCCTGTTCGCAGCTTGAAGTCTATCAGATCTGCGCACTTGACTTCTCCACGGTCACACAGTAACATAACAGCGAGTTACTAAACTGCAAGGTTGATTCGTCAGGAGCACGCTCGAGTAGAGCCATGATAACAGATTGCAGCCCTTGAGGTGGTTTAAGTAGAACAGCAGAGCGGTTTTGAGCGAGTTTATCAGTCAGCAGGCCATGGAATTGACTCTTCAGCCAAGCAGACACACTATCGACAGGAAATATTTGTACATCCAGCTCTCTTCATCTTCTGAAACCCAGACATAGAATACAGCACACTCATAGCCCATCTCCTAAGACTCTGTTGGCAGATTCGGAGTATCATGTCAACTCAACGCGACACTTTGATGCCAAACGCTCCTCAACTATGGCTTCCAGCCCTCAGAGCTGCTTTAAAGAAAATTCGACACAGGCGAGCACGTCGTGCTCCTCCGAGCACTACTATGGTTGATCAGGCCACACAAACAAAGACTTGGCTAGATGACCAACACCAACTCGAGAGCCAGGATGAGGACCACAAGGAAGCCGAAGAGACTGGTCTAAGATTCATGGATCTGCCTCTCGAGCTCCGTCGAGAGGTATACCGGCATTACATCAACGATCTCCCGCCATTGATGCACTCTTCGCTACAGATCTGTCGCGAAGTAGCTGATGTCACCGACCCCGTTTGCACCTTCCGAATGTTCAACGGTCGATGTAGCCCTTTCAACCTGAAATTCATAGCAGCTGATGCAGTAGCGGCAAAACTCAAATTTCTCTGTGACAAGTCCCAAAGAGAGAAAGTTCGTCTCCGAATCGAGCTACAATGCCCCCACAACTACGTTGGGATGATGAATTATCATTTGGAAGCGATCCTGGAAGTTGTACGAGCTAAGAAGATGGCACCAGTTGAGGTGTACATGACCGAAGACGAGGTCTGCAGCTTGTGTGCGCTCGATCCAGACCCAGACCCAGACCCTGTGAGGTTAGTCAGAGAATTGGTGGAGCGTGTGGAGCGCATGAGAGATAGACGAACTGGGATCTATGGTGTGCAGACTCGATGCGATTGCAAAGGTCGGAGATTGGAGTAGCAAATTCTTCAGGTGCTAGTTTTGTGGTGTGTAGCTACTACCAGCTACCAGAGTGCACAGCTGAATCCGAGATTTTGACCATATAACTCGATATAATGTCGCCTCTCGATAACCAAAGTTCTGTTTCTTTGAGAATGTTGTGCATTTCATGTCACCCGTGTCGCTCTATTGCATCCCAAGGACGCGACTAAGAGGCGTGCAGACCTAACAAAACGTGTAGAATGGGCCTCAGGAGCGAAAGATAACAGGGGAAGTAGGATGCAAAAATAAATGCTGTCTATGGGAGTCGAACCCATGACCTCTGCCTTTCCTTGGTCACCAGAGTTGCCTCTAGATGGGAGGGCAGCGTCTTAAACCACTAGACTAAGACAGCCATTTGTTGGTATTAGCACAGCTTCTGACACTCATATCGTTTGCACTGGCATGTGTGCTTGTTGTGGTGTTGGTGATGGACAACCGCGTTTGGCACCTGCGGCGGCTAGGTGCATTCAGCATCGCGGAAGGAGCGCTTCAGCCAGTCCCCTGACCCAGCCAGCCGGTCCCTTGTCTTGGCTGGAAAGAACCATCCATATCGGCAAGCCATCTTCACGACTCTTCAGCTTCCAGCTCGTTCTTTGTCCCCTCTGTTTCCGAACGGCTACCAGTCTTTGCGCTCATCAACTCCAACCGGTTTTCAGATGTTCCAATCTCCCTCCCAAGTACTGAAGGAAAGCTCCGCGCTAGTATTATCCAAGCTGCCAGCCCAGAGATTCTCATTGATGAGAGTGGGCGCGACGCATCCAGCCATCCAAGCGGTCGCGTCCATTGTTGGCTCGAAGTTGAAGGCCTGCTCGTAATTGACAAACTCATCATCCATATTGCGGAGATGAGAGCCACAAAGACTCATGATAACATCACGGCATTTTGAAGCGCTTTGGTTCAGCCCGATCATTGATTCGACCACCTCTAAGGTTGCAGTCACTTGATCTCGCCATTCAGGTGCCAGTCTCGATTGAGATTTGCTGCGCAAACAATGGATCGGGATGAGCGCTGCTTGGAAAAGGAAGTATCTGTTGGTTTGTCAGTCGATGTTCAAAGCTTCTGCTCACAACAACACTTACAAGACATAGAATGCCGTCAACCTGGTTTGCGGCCTTGACTTCCAGAAATTTTGTATCCAGGCTATACTCTCACGAGCAGCACGCAAGCACCGGTTGGTAGCTTCCTGCTCATGCCAAGTAAGAGTCTCCTCAAGCCCATCTTGCAGTGCCCACTTCACCAGCAACGGTCGGAATATGACGATCCGGAGGTTTCGATATCGCCAGCAGTTGATACCATGAGGTAGTGCAAATCGATCTTCTAGGCTTGGTCCGCTGCTATCTTGGAAGTAATGCGGCACCTGATTTAGCCAATTCTCTACAATCGTCGAGTCGAGTGTCAAGAGTTCTTCCGGCAATGGAGGCGGGTTGCTAATCAGCCGATTGTAAATTGGCATCGTCTGTAAATGATACGACGATTGGACTCTGAGGTACGTGTTGACAGTCGCTGTATCCACTTCGGCTGGTGTTACTGGCGAATTGACCATCAGATCTTCTTCCCGGATGTTGGACGGCAAAGCTGCATCGACTCCAATTTGTGGCCAAATCAACGGGCGACTATAGGTGATCGTTGCACCTACGTCCAAGACACAAAGAGACCACCAGATCCTCCGACGCAACTCCTGTTTGAAAGGGCTCATGTGCTGGGATCCAAACTCCTTGTGCAGGCCAAGGCCAATAGCCATGCGGATGGCTACTCCACCATAATTATAGCCGGTGTTGGGCTTGTTGATCTTCTGCAAAAACATGGCTGACATGCCGAATGCTTGTACCAGTGTCAAATTGCCCGTTTCCAGAGCATTCACTGCAAGATAGCGCTTGGCCGTCCGGAAGATTGACAGACTCGTTTCATCTGACGAACTCGGATTTGTGACGAAAGCTCCGAGCGCTGCGACAATGTTCACCAGAACAAGCCAGATGCTCTGACCGGGTCGAGCCATTCTGCTGTCGTACTGAGCTCTGAATGTCGGCTCATGCAAGATAGGAAAGACGGGATGATAACGGACAAAGAAGGCATCGACGAACACGTCCACCATCGCCCGTGTCACCAGAGTCTGAGTCTGCACGGCCGAAGCTATCGTAGAGCTTTCTGTCCGCCGGCGGAGGAGATCTTGCAGGTCGCGTCGCCGATCGTTCCAGGCACCGGAATCCCACGAAGGACCGTTTCCAGACTCCATCCACAAGGATCTCAGATGAGAGGCACCGGACGCCATACCAAGATAACCGTAGTTGGCTGCATCGACTGTGAGCGTAGCCATGCCATCCATGACCTTTCTTACGCCTTCTTCATCATCCTCTGCCATTGCTACGCCACCAGCCAGTCCAGTCTGCTCTCTCTCGTCCCATTCGAACTCCTCATCACCGTCCGGATACAAAGCCGCTGTGGGATCTGGCTCGACATCGGTGGTAGGAAAGCTCCATGCTGATCCAGGATCCTCAAGACTAACACTTCCTTGTACTGATGTTTGAGGTTGCGAAGTTATTGATTGCTGTTGGTGCGACGAAGCTGGTGAATGAATGCTTCCTCCAGCAGGACTAGCCGTTCGTGGTGTCTGCGTTTGCGAAGCATTCCTTATTGAAGGCAGCACAGGCACATCGCCAGATCGTTCTTGATCAAGTAGGTACGCAACTTCTTGGTCAGAGAATAGTCTTTTGAGAATTGCTTCGGCACGCGACAGTCGATGCTCGACTTCTGTAAGATGTCNTGAAGCCTAAAGTCAGCCACGAAGTCTGCAACGAACCTTTGCCAAAACACACCTTCGAGTCAGCGGTGTCTTCCCAAGTCTGTCGTAAAGACAATGACGCTTATACCGCTTGCAAGTCGAGCACTCTGGTATCTTATGGTCGCAATTCGCCTTGCGACGACGGCATTCCTTGCATGCCAAGCTATCCTCCGCAGCAGCCTGTGACCGTCGCGTAGCACCAGAAACAGTAGGCGTGCTCATGATAACACTATACAAACGACACGTGAGCAGTCGATAGCGACATTGTCTGTCATTCTATCATCCATCTGCAGTCATAGGCGAAAATTGTTTCCCAAGTCTCCAAGACCTATTACGCCGAAAGGGAACGTTTGGCTGAAAGCCTGTTCAAGCCTCGGGCGACTCTCACCCTTCGGTTCGACGCTATACTGGTTATGGTAATGAGCTTTCTTGCAGACCACTCTAATTGTTTGCGGTCTCTCGACCTCATCTCTTCTTGCCTTTTCTCGTGTGTATACCACAGTCTGACAGAGAATGCTTTAACCCACATCCGACTTCGATGTCGTTGATGTTTTAGGGCAAGAAGATGCTTGGTCACTCCTGCCAATTTTCGAGCGATCATGCTCATTTTATTGACAGGGTTGTACCACCAGCAACACAAATCAACAATAGATGAACTATAACTCGCCAATCACAACATATAGAGTTCCCGTGTTACTTTGAGGGTGGTATTTGTAGGGCAGTATTGACTTCCTATCCACTCAATAGCCTTTTCGTGGTCTATGGATGGCAAGTCCTTCACTTTTCGAATTTCAGATGTCTCAATCAGGAAAGCTAGGAACAAGTCATTATATCCACCGCATATTTTTGCGTTTCAAAGCGACAACACGGGCATTGTTATAAGCAATAGAAACAAGGTTTCACGAGAATATACATAGTCCATCCCATGGAGACTATCTCAAGAGCCTCGACATGTAGGAGAGGACGAATCGTCCAATATGGCCTCTTTACCAAAAACCACCAACACCAAAAATGTGCAAGACCAACAAAACAAGCCTTGCCGCGCGGCTACCAAGAGACTCCTACCGCTGAGCAAAGATACATATCTACAAAACACAGCATTAAAGCAACTCAAATCTGTCCGGTACAACATACGCTTACATTCCACAACATAATCTCCCGAATCTTGCTTGCTTGTTCGTTACACTTGGCGATTTTGGGCCGTACCCACACTGCTGAGGAACATGCAGAGGAGATCATCTGGGATTTGTACGTGTTCTGTGAGGTACAGGGATACACAGCATACATGTCTGTTCTTGATAAGAAACACGACTAGGGGCTACGTAAGTCAGTGTCGAAGATTGGAGTTACGGCACTTTCCATTATTGTTGTACAAAGATACTGCCATTAAGGAGATCTAATTGTAGCTATGCTGGGTTCAGACATCTGTCGCACTTTATTCGCAAAACAATGGCAACACAGATTCGTTGGCAAGGACGCGTCGACCTATGCGACACTGTATACGCGTCTTCCCACGCATCGATAGCTATACAACATCCGTAACAAGCACACGAGACGTGGCAGTCATGAGCTGGCATTCGTCAGACCGATCCATTGACTTCTTCTTGATGCCCGAAACAACATCTTGTATCATCTTTTATGAGCCGGAGGGGCACGGGTGGTGAGGCTTGCATGATAGGGGTCCTCAAGGTTCATAGTAACTCTTGAGCCGATGGGCATATCTGAATGGTCACACTAAATCACAGAGAGAAGCGGTAAAATTAGTTTAACAATTACATTGTACTAAAAGTATTTTTTAGCGTCGCTGTGCACAAGCGAAAACGAGCCACTGTAGAAGCCTCCCTCTATCTTGTAACAATGCATAGCTCTTTATCAAACCGAAACTTCATCATGATCATTCCTCTAAGATGGAAGGATGAGCAACTCTTTGATCACTGACAGACTTGTCCCTGCCATGGCATGTGTCATCTCAACGTTGCAACATCTCATTGATGTCAAGCCTCCTTCTTTNTCTGGGGCTTCCTGAACCTTCCCCTGTCTCAAAGTCATCTTCGCTGCTTACTCGTTCGGTAGCATGCCTTTGCTGCACGGGCGAGCTATGAAATACTGGTACTGTGGCCCCACTGTCTGCTCGTAATCTGGTTTGAATGTGTCTGCCAAGCGAGTCCATGGTATCTGACCTAGGGCGACTGCGGTGGCCTTGCATGGGTGGTTGCANAAAGGAAGGCTGGGCCATATGACTGCTTGAACTAGATCCTGCCGTGCCTGGGCGCTGGTCGGAGGACTGTGAGAGCGCTGGCGGTGGCGGGAGCATCTGTTGCGCCGATTGTTGATGTTGTTGTTGTTGTTGTTGTTGTTGTTGTTGTTGTTGTTGTTGTTGTTGTTGTTGTTGTTGTTGTTGTTGTTGATGATAACTGGGTTGATAATGCGTGCTGTGTGTATATGAATGTTCACCAAAGGTATAGCGTGGGTTGAGTGTGTAGTTTTGTGATCCAGGATCGGCGGTCGGGAGTATATAGTAGGTAGACGGTGGTTCAGAGATACCTGGTCGCTGTTCCATCATCACAGGACTGCCTTGGAATTGCACGGGAGGTGGTGCTGCAGCTCGCGTAGGAAACATGACCGGTGGTGGCTGAGGAACTATAACTTGCTCGGCGACCTGTGGCGGTAACGGAGGTAGGAAAAGAGTTACAAAGTATACCGACGTCTTGGCCAACCTCATACGGACCGGCAGTGTCTGGTCAATACCACCTCCAAGTCGAAAGGTCCAGTTGAATTGATGATCGGCAAACCCTCTTGTGACTTCTTCTACGTCGTGGTCCGTGGTTCCAATGCCTGAGACTGGATCTAATCTTGGCTGCAGTATAGGCGGCAGGTATGCTGGCTCGCGTATCTCTCTTTCTTCTCTTAATCGATTCCGAGCATTCTGAAAGCTGTCTCCTTCCAATGGCTTTGCGATATCTGACAAGCGAATGCCTTTGATCTCCTGTAGCCACGAGAAGAGACGTTGGAACGTTGCGTTGGCCTTTAAAACCACAAAATCGGTATCGAGGAAGGCTATCGGCACCTCAGGGGATGGAGCTAGGCGGGGATGTCTGGACGGTGGTAGAAGTCCTGTCGGCGGAGCTGCTCCAAAAGAATATGCTCGTTCCCGACCCGAGACACCTTGACCACTTGAAGGCTGATGACTCTGTTCTGCAGCAAAAGCGGCCAATGTTCTCAAGGAGGCTGTTTTGCGGTGTCCTGGCCGAGCCATGGGTCTAGCAGACGAAGGACCCGTCACTGGGCTCTCTACTGCCTCTGCTTCAGAACCAGCTTGCTGCAGGTGAAACTGGGCCTCATCACGTAGACGGGGCCGTCCACGCTNTTTGTGAGGCACATCACGGCACGTCTCCTGGGAGCTGTCAGCCTGTAACATGATGTTTACTCAAGATAGACTCACAGCCTTGCCTGTAGCGACACATCTTCCACAGGGTCTCTCAACATCGCAGCTGAGGTGTGCCCGCTTACAGTTGTTGCATGCGTTTGCGACATGAGCTTTGGCTCTTCTACCACCCCGACCTATGTCAGATGCTGACTGTCCAACACTGGGTCCAGCAGTAGGAAGTGGATCCGGAACATTGCTTGCACTTGAGCCAGACTCTCTCTGACGATGTAATGCAAGACTTTCTGTGGAAGACGATGAATAGGTGCGGGGTGCTCCTGATGACGTTGCTACTGGTGTTGGCGCAGAAGAGTGAGGAGGAGCGCTTTGGGTCGTAGATACACGTGCACCTGCCGAAGTGGGGGTATGTTAAATCCAGTCCTTGTGGATGACGGATCTGAAGATGTAGTAGTGGTGGCAGAAAGTGTAAGCTCGGAAAATGTTGTAGCTGGTGGAGGCTGTATNATCAGATACCTTCCTCTGTGGGGAAGGCGGGCTGGACATAGGCGGTGAAGGGTAGGAGGGAACGAGCTGCCACAGCGGAGACCCGCCCTGTGCGAAAGCAAGGTCTGAACGATCGATTTGAGGTCGAGATTCGTATGGCAAGTAGAAGTAACTGGGCTGTGATGACCCGGTCATACTTTCCCGAAAACGAGTCGATTGAGAATCGAGTTGCCGAGTGGGGAGGAGCGAACGACAAAAGCTCACACTGGACTGAATCGTATTCAGTTTGAAGAACGAGCTTTGACAGGATTTTTCTGTTTAATTGCGATTTGCAGGATGGTCCTTTACGAAAGTATTCAATCGTTCTCCATGGATGTCTGTGTGGATTGCTCAAATTGTGCCTACGGACAATTATACAGGATTGCGGAGGCCGGGGTACTCGGAGTTGGTGGACAGTGAGATGGAGGAGACAGATCCGGAGAAACGACTGAGAGCTGAGAGCGAGTGTTGCGATGATTCAGTTTGATGGTGCTATCGACAATGTCCTACAAACACAGAAGCAGAAAACAGAGGCACTGATGTAGCTGGAAATCCAGCCTAGATGAGACGAGAGGGTAGAAGGTCGGACGGAAAGTAGACGCACTAACCCCCGTGAATTGGGTTAGAATTGCACAGACTCGTACATAAGGCTGTGAGCAGCAACAAACGTCGGACAGCTCAGAAAATCATGGCGTAATGCGCCTGAACTAAGGTTAGATCATGGGGAAGCCGCACATGAGATGGCATAACAACGATTGCAGACATGTCATATGGACCGCGCATCCCTCGCCGTCTGGTGCTGACAGGACGGGTTTCCATCATTGCATCGCCCAAAACACGATGCATCGGAGCCACCATGCCCTTGAACGAGGACCCATGAGTTGGTCCTGTGCATGTCGGTTCCACTGTCGCTTGGCATATCGATAACGGCTACAGCAAGATGCAGATGGAGTGTGCAGGGCAGTAGATCATTGAACGCCCTCAAACGCATCGGCGACAACAACCACCGATATGCATCCACCATGTACGAAACGGTCTGCGGGATGGCGCATGCTTCGACCGTGCTGGGCTCGTGTTTAGATGCTCTCTAGGCAGCGATTGCCGCATGAGGGTGGGCATAGCCAGAAGCTGGCGCGGCCAGAGGGGTCGCTCAGGCCAATCAAGAGCTCTACGGGTATTGGACTGGACGACGTAAGTGACGATGCAGGTGTACCTGCCGGAAAGATCCTGAAACGCCTCGATTAAGCTCCATTGCATGCTGTCGGCGGGTCATTGTTTCCAAAGAGTGGCTGCTGTTGTTGACAGGATCGTGGGGCCGGATCGGCAGCTTGGACCTACACTCATGATCGCTCAAGAACACAAAAGATGGCTTCAAACCAAGGGGACCTACTCTTGCAAGTCTTGAACGCGAAGGAAACCTTTTTGATCTCGATCATCGACTTTCGCAGCTCTGTAGCTTTGCAAGAACTCGATCGTCGTGCTGACCCAACAGGTTTTCCAGTATCCGCAAAGAGATTTCGGACCCGAGAATGGGATTCCATTTTCCCACCACCGGCCCTGAAAGAGTCCGGAACGTGAGGGAAAGAAAACACTTGCGGGAGTCCTAAACACGAGACGGAGGAGCTGGAAATAAAACAGACGGAAAAACTGTCAACCCTCTCGCGGAAGCCACAGAAGCATCGTGGAACGTCCTATTTCCTGTTCCAGCATTGTAAGAAAAACTGCATGGCAGTCTCACAGTCCGGAGAAAGGAGGATTATCGCATAACCCTGCGGTCCTGCGGAGTCCCGGTTGGCGCTGAGCATCAAAAACGCAGGCAGCGATGAAGGCATGATCGGCATTGATCAGACCTTGCCAAGCATGTGTACCTGGAGCAAAACGTGGCCCTGGTATTCCTTCCCTTGCTGCTGAGCAGAGACGGTCCGGGCTGAAGTCCAGAGTCGGCGTAGATTCTCGAGGCTGCAAACTGAGTGAGTATCGCAATCACTGCGCATTTCATGCACGAGCCGCATGATGCAGACGGTATCAAACAGTCGAGAGTGAAAAGGCCGAGGGCGCTACGGAGTTTCTGGCAAAGGGCAGGACTCAAGAGGTGAGGTTGGAATGGGAAAGTTGGGGGCCGAGCGAAAACGTCCGATGTTTCGACGCGCCAAGGCCTAGAGACAACCTCACGTCGCCATTGCCTTTCGCCGCATAATGCTTGAGCAGCTATTCTGGACCAACCTTGTCCGTTGCGGTAACACCCATAGACGTCTGTTTGACCAATAGAACCATGGTCTTGGGACCGATCCAAGCGCTGTACTTTTACCGCTGCGAACGGCTTACATATGTGATGATGAAGCACCAGCATCTACCAAATACATGTCCCTTGCGGGAGCTTTAGGGACCACTGCAAGCCTGACTATCTTAGCGGCTTGATCAAAGCACCTTTAAGCATTACCTGCAGTCCACCATTGAGTAGTGACCCGTTGCTTGTCCGTGACAACGGCTGTCCATATACACGACCATGTTTCATCATCATACCGAGAGTCAAAAGCAACAGCATCGGTATCACGGCGTTTCGAGTCACCGGGCCGTCCTCCACGTTCGAGTCAGCATCAAAGTCAATTCAATCCTTGCATAAGATCACAGCTAGGGTAAATTCATGTACTTGTCCATAGAACCTTCTGTCTTTATTAGCGACGTATGACCGAAGGACCAATGGGATCTGACACGCTGTATGTATCAACTGTCAGCGAATCCTGGAAGACTTTCCTCCGTCAAGGTAGGTTAGCTCAAACGCCAATCAGATAGCCATAGTGATTCAAGCCAGGAGTCGTGTGGGTCGGATAAGCGCCGCGTACAGAATTACAGAATGCGTGTATTAAACAGGTGAATATGTTGCAGAGCTGCAAAGTAGATCTATCCAATGATGCTCGCACGAGTTCTACTTCTGCTACTATGCTAGCGTAGAAGATACAAAGAACATGAAGGCTCCTACTAATTTCTGCCCCTCTGCCTCTGCCTCCGCCACGACCTCGACCACCACCGCCACGACCTCCCCGACTGCTTCCACCACGATCTCCGAACCCACCTCGGCTCGATCCACCACGTCCACCACGCCCACCACCACCGCGGCCGCGACTGCTTGAACCTTGTGGTCGACCGTTTTTGTCCTGGCGTTTCTGCGCTTCTTGTCTGAGCTTGTGAACATCATCAACACCTCTGATCTCGCTCTTGCCAGGTCCACTCTCGAACCTGCCGATGCGCTTCTCCTTTGCTGCATCCACCTTTGCTTTTTGTTTGTGGTAGTCGTCTCGGAATTTGTCGGCATCTTTGGGTGCTTTAACCATTTTGTGCTTGAAGCGTTGATTATCAAGACCATTTCTGTTGCCTGGGCGCTCGAGTTCTCCGACACGAGGAAGAACATCGAGTTTGTTGTCCTTCCTCCATCTATCGAAGCGACCACTACGGAATGAGGCTGCGATCTTCAGACCGCTCTCACCCGTGATCATCTTGGTACCCTTAGAGCCATCCTCGTCGTTGGCGCGGGATACGTATTTTCTGCTCTNTTTGTCCCAACGAAGGCCGCCAGCCTTGCTAGGAGCACCGAAAGCCTTTGTGTCATCGTTTGCAAGGTCCATAGTAGCTCCGCGGGCGGCATCCAAGAAGTGCGTATTGCGTCCTCCATCCGTACCCGAATGAACGCCGTAACCTCGATCTTCAGCCATGTTGATATTTTGTGGCGTGTAAGACATGAAGAATTCCGAATCTTGTCCTGTGCTTGACGATTTTGCCTTCTTCTTGTCGGGTTGTGAGAACGTGATCTCAAGTTCGTCTTCAGAAGCCTCATCCAGGTCAACGTCGACATCGCCTTCCGGTAGGTCTTCATCGTCATTGTCAAAGATGGAAGCATCTGCATCCATCTCCTCAATTTCCGCAGCTTCTTCCTGTTGCTTGCGAGGCTTGATCTTGGCGCGTCTATTCCTCATGATTTCCGTAGCCTCATTGGCTGTACCTCGTTTGCCGACCTCGAAAATTGTCTCCGGCGGACGGAAACCGCTGACACGAGCAAGCATCTTCTCTCNTTCCAGTTCCATCTGTCTAGCCTCTGAGTCGTCCTCGAACAAGGTGTGAATCTCTGAGTAATGAGGCGAGGAGCCGACGACCTTGGCACGCTTTGCACTTTCAGAAGAGGCTGAAGTACGAGTACGAACGTATTGCTTTTCAGCCTTGACGGAGACATCGCGCATGCCGGACAAATCAACGTCCTCATCTACAAGCTTTCCGACTTCCTCAACACAGACCTCGAGGGGAGCTCTAACGAGCGATCCCAACACGACCTGATCTGCGTAGTTGATTTCATTAGTGGGCTCTCTTCCGAGAATCAGTTTGCGACTCAGGAAGAGCTGTAGATCGAGTAGGTAAGGCAGATCCTTTTGTGTGACCAGACTGTAGGCCCAACCCTTGCGACCAGCACGAGCGGTACGACCAACACGGTGAACAAAGATTTTTGGTTGCGAAGGGAAGTCGTAGTTAATGACGTTGGCCAGAATAGGAATATCAACACCACGAGCAGCAACATCGGTAACGACAAGAATGTTAGTAAGGCCAGATCTGAACTCCTGAATCTGTATCTTTCTTGCCGTCTGGTCCAAGGCACCATAGACGTATGACACAGCATAGCCGAGTTGACTGAGAAGGTTGTAGAGGTATTCAACGTGGTGTTTTGTAGCAGCAAAGACGATGGTAGAATGTTCAGTTGGTGTTTCATTGGCACCAGGGCCATCGGGACCTCGCTTGCGCTTCTTGGACTTCGCATTGTCTTCCTTGATTTGCTTGGACCTCTCAGTAGGTCCACTGGGCATCTTGATGACATCTCTGAGGATGTGTATAAGGGCTCCCTCCTTCTCCTGAGTGTTGACAGAGAAGTAAGCAGTTTCGAGGTCAGGCGAGACCTTTGTTTCGGCATCAAGACGGATGAGCTTGGGCTCCTGGAGGCCAGCGCGAGCAAATTCGACCAAAGATCTGGGCAGAGTGGCAGAGAACAGGAGCGTCTGTCTATTTGGAGGCAGAGCGGCCATAATCTCGGCCAGCTGTGCTGCGAAACCCATCTCGAAAAGACGATCGGCCTCGTCAAAGACAATGTATTTGATTGAAGACAGGTCCAGGTTCATCTCAATCTTCAAATGCTCAAAACGACCAGGAGTGGCAATAATGATATCTGGGTTTGAAGCCATAGACGAAAACTGCTCTTCCAGACTGTCACCACCAACCAGCAAGATTGTCCTGAGATCTGTTCCCTTGCCCATCTCTTTAACGACCTTGAGTGTTTGTAGTGCAAGTTCACGCGAAGGCGACAAAATGACGCCTCTTGCGCCGACCTTTGCGCTGTGTGACTTCAACTTCTCAATCATAGGGATGACGAAGGCAGCTGTTTTTCCGGAACCGGTTCTGGCCATACCGACAACATCCTGGCCATCCAGAATGACAGGGATAGTCTTGCGCTGAATGGGCGTAGGTACGGAGAAACCTTTGCGGGTAATGGCCTTAAGCAGGTTTCCGTTCAGACCCATGGACTGGAAGCCTCCTCCCTTCTTTGTGATTTTTCCTGTTGCATCTTTCGTCTTTCTGTTGTTGGCAGCCTGCTGAGCAGCAATGTACAGTTCGTCGCCATCACTATCATCGTCGAGTCCAGCTCCAGCGGAAGCATCAAGGGCGGCGGGCTGAGGCTGTTCGAAGCCAGCGAGGGTGTTGTCGTCGTCCGAGTCTAGACCGGCTCCTCCGAACAAAGCATTGGAGATGTCGAAGCCATTCTCCGAAGCGGTAGGCGAGACGGCTCGTCTACCCATATTGTATTATGGTTGTGAATGAGCCTTCGCAGAAAAAGCGCCTCTCCGCAAATTTGGGAAGTCGCGATCCTAAACTTTTGCTGATAAGCTTTTGACGTTCTGTCTTATCGGCACGTGACAAACCACTTAACGCGTTCGCAGTCGCGGGTCGAGGCTGCCGTCGCGTCCATGCCACTTTTGATCACATCCGTCAAACACAGGACAACTAACAAGAACACCGAGGAGCTTCTTAGAACGTAATTAAGAAACACAGAGAATACCATCTCACCACCCAGATCATACCCTCTTCGGTGTTCACAAACAACACTCGGAAAATCACATCACAATGGGTGAGGCGCTCCATTCTCAAGACTGACGCGCAAGAGGCGATTCTGACAACCGCAGATTACGGTTACTCAACAACATCATATGGTGCACAGGGCGGCAATGAAGACGGTGGTTTCATGGCCGGCAGTCAGGACAGTCCTAGCGCAAAGAGAGTGAGTTTCCCTGGACATGAAGTCTTCTATCCACATCTAACACCCACANNGTCATATGGCAAGGAAACACTACGCCCCGTTACCATCAAGCAACTGCTCGAAGCCGATCAACCTGACAGTGAGAACTTCGCCATCGACGGATCTGAACTGACCACAATCTCGTTTGTCGGCCAGATCCGCAACATCAGCAAGCAAACCACAAACATCACCTACAAGCTGGACGATGGCACTGGCACCATCGAGGTCAAAGTCTGGATTGATATGGAGACTGCTCAGAACGACGAAGACAACGGAACCAAGGGCGGTCTGGTTGAGAACGCATACGCTCGCGTCTGGGGCAAGCTGAAGACGTTCGGCAAGCGTCACGTTGTCGCCCAACAAATTCGTCCCCTGACCGATCTGAACGAGGTCAACTACCATATGCTAGAAGCTACCTACGTCCACCTCTTCTTCACACGCGGCCCTCTTGGAGCACAACAACAAGGCCAACAGGGACAAGCCGCCACGAACGGTGGTCATTCCGCTGCAGGCGGCACTCTTCCTGCTGGTGTCTCGACTCACGCCAGAAAGGTCTTCCAGTGCATGCAAACCACTCCTCAGATCAACGAGGGTCTTCACATGCAGGATATTGCCAGCAGAACTGGCATGGATGTTGCCGATGTGCTCAAGGGAGCAGACGAGCTTCAGTCCATGGGCAAGATCTATCCGACCGTTGACGACCAAACTTGGTGTTTGCTTGAGATGTAGATGGCCGATTGCCACACAGGAAGGGTAGAGAAGGAGTTTTGCTTTGAGGGCTACGGTCAAAGATACCAACATTATTTGTACGTTTACGACAGCGAGGCGTGTAAAAACTTCATGAATCGTCAATCATCAACCATTTCAGGGCATCACCTCAGCGTGTCCGCTCTCTCTCCCCAGCATTCGTCGACAAGAATAGCACGCATGCAGCCACAATCGAAGTCGCTACAATCGTAAAGACNNCTGAATCTGCAGTCAGAAACACGACACAAAGACACGCCGAGCTGAAACTCACCACCTGCGTTTTCCAACCAGTCTGCACCAGCGCCTGTCGCTTTGAGTATTTCTGGACCGTCTTTATGTAGTTTGCCGTCCCGCTAGCTAGGCAAGCTAGAGCAAGAAACCAGAAGATGATGCCAAACGGCAGTGCTATCCTTCGTTCGAGCGGCGTAGGTTGACTTTTGAGGTGGAAGGAGATGAGAATGGCTACACTGACGACAGCCATGTATATAGCTAGACGTAACCACGAAAGAAANNGGCTACAATTACAATGCAAATGGTCAGATTCTCGAAATGAAATATAAATAATCTTCGAATGCAGACTGTACATACTTCTCTCGTTGGCGCAATGGTCACGAGCATCGGAGTCGACATTGTCGAAGAGTAGAGCACTCATCAAAGGGCGCTCGACAAAAACATGGCGATCATACGTTGGTCGTCTATCATTGACGTTACTATTGCCCTTGCAACATAAGATCGGGTCTGATGAGTTCACATACTGGTTGACCAGAACAGGCTTGGAATGAGGCACACACAACACTATCTCATAAGGCTCGACACGTTCTTGGGTCATCGTAGCCATCTGGAATGTATGTACTCTTCAAACAGATTAGGAAATTTGAATGCCAGCAGAGTACTTGAAACAGGAAGATGGATCCGATGTCGTTACACATCCGGGGACCGCCAAGACTGGCGCAAAGGTGGTCGGATTCTGCCGACGCNAGAACAGCGGCCGACTTTTGGTATGCGGCGAGCACGACCGAGAAATCACAGCCAGTNCAAACATCACACACCACAAACATGTCGGCACAAGCACCATTCCGCAGGGGGGCTNNGAAGGAAGTCTTCCTGTACGTTCAATCAATTGCGTATCCGCACTTCCAGCATTTCTGTGACCAACGAAAAGTACTGACTACCATGCAACAGNNGCCCAATTTCACAGTGACCCTCATCCGATCACCGCGCATGCCTCCCAGCTTCGCCAAATTCATTGTACCTCTCAATATGAACAAGCTCGACCTTCGCGATTACCTCTTCCACGCATACAATGTCCGCGTCGTCAGCGTCCGTTCCTACATCGAACAACANAAAGTCACTCAGGGCAAGCCCAATGCTCCCAAGATGCAGATCAAGCGCTGGTTCCGCCCGCGTGCCATCAAGAAGATGACTGTCGAACTTGAGACTCCATTTGTCTTCCCAGAAATGCCGACCAAGGACGAATTGAACGAGAACTGGAGCAAGGATACACACGAACAGGCCCAGAAGGACAACGACAAGTACGCCGAGCAAAGAGGCAGATTGGCCGATACCTTTGTGGACAGGGACGAGAGAAAGAGCATGAGAGAGCAGGCGAGGGCGCTGTTGGAGAGAAAGGAGCAGTGGAAGCCTGCCGAGACATTGGGCTTTGCATCAAGGAAGTGAAAGGCGTCATGACCATGATTTTCTTCATGAGCATTCTTGGATTGGAGTTTTGAGGCGTTGCGACTAAAAAGATGGGGCAATTGTGCATATGGGATTGCACTGTACTATATCTGATCACAATCTTTGGGCATCTCTTGCTCGCTCACTGTAATACCACAGTGAGTTGTATTCTTACAACCATACCACCTGGACGTTTTCCAGCCCTGTCCCTCGTCATGAACCGATTCGATGAAATTGCTTTGGATTTTGTGGCATCTCTTGGTCTAACTACCTAATTAAAGCAAGTGTAGCCGGCTTCCACCTTTGACTCACAGAATGTCCGGCAAGGTATATTCGAACTCTATACTTTCGAATCTGACAACTCTACACTTCCCATAAAGTGTCCGATGTACCAAGCATCACATTGCTTCGTCTTTTCGTCAACGGTCTATGCCATCACGTTCATTGCAAGTTTCATAAAGCCGAGCACAAGGCCTCGGCAAAGTCGCGGGGAACGATCATGTCGGGAAACTTCTCGGAGAACTTGTACTTGCCATCTTTATTCTCTTTACCATTGCATTATCCAGATACGCTAGGGATGGCTCAATCAGGGACCAATTCCATGGACCCTCCTTCCGGAACACGCCCATATCGTTCCCACAAGTTTCCCGCTTGTACTGCCTGCCGCCAACGCAAAATTCGCTGCCACTTTGATCAAGTTGCTGCTCAGTGCACCCTCTGTCGGGAAAAGGGCTGGCAATGTATCACGGCTTCTCCAGCTGCAAGTGCTCAGAAACGCGATCGCTCCTCTACGTCTGGTCCGGGCGAGAGGCCTGCGAAGCGCACTACTCCAAGTATAGGTCCAGGAGGCGATGGTTCGCCGCAAGCCCAGGCTAGACGACCATCCCGCCAAAACTCTACAATAGGCACTCCTGCTGAAGCCTCTGCTGAGATTGCACAACCCTTGGATCATCCGAGTACTGAGTCAACGGTGATTGTGGGGCCTGTATTCCAAGAAGACATACAGATTTTGGGACCATATTTGAATTCCAAAGGAGATGAAGCGAGACAATCGTCCAAAGAACGGCAAACTGCAGCAGCTGGACCGAGTCGTAATCCCCTNTTGTACCTTTCTGTACCTCGTCGCCGGCGAGGTCTTCAGCCAGCCAAAGATCCTGGCTCTAACCAGAAACTCATATTGCAACATCTGGTAGGACCTTTTGCCGATGAGCTTGTTGACCTGTGAGTGTTTGATGAGTGTTCAGATTGAACATAGCCAACAGCTTATATCTATTAGNNATACTTTGAGAATGCACATCCGTGCTTCCCTATCCTTGATGAGCTAGCTATCAAGAAACATGGAGCAATAGGCATATCTTCTACATTGTGGTCTTATATCATCACTAACGCATTGTCCTCCTGGGATCGATCGCCTAAACTAAGAAATCATCCTCGCCCAGATCCAATCTACGCTTGCAATGTTGCTGTTGCTGCCTTGCAGGAAGATTTTATGGAATCCAGCGTTTCGACCATACTCAGCAGCGTACTTGATATGATCGGTCGTCCGGTGAACTCCATCGTGGGCAACATCATCAATGAAGGGCGAACTCTAGCCCTTGCTCATACCTTCGGTATGAACCGCAACCCGACCAACTGGGGATGCTCAGAACACGAGAAACGACTGAGGATCCGGACATGGTGGGCAGTTTTAATCAGCAACCGAATGTAAGTCCTGAGAAGAATCTGTTTCGATCAAGCTAATCTGTTCAAGNNGTCTGCTCTAGCTCATGGAACACCAGCCACGTTGACCAAGGGCCAGTATGACGTGCCTCTGCCGACACATGCTATGCTCTTGACGCCGGGCAAGGAAAACGTCTATCGTCAACAGGGCGCAGAGCACTTCATCCAGTTGTGCAAGTTATGCGAGATACTTGGTGAAATTCTACACGTCGCTGCTGACCTTCGCCGGCCCTTCGATGCAAAAGTGCCCCGAGAACTTCGACGACTTGAGTGCGACTTAGATCAATGGGAAGCTGATCTGCCATCATACCTTACACACCCTTTGGAGGAAGGNAAAGGACCAGGAGCATGCAACTTGCATTTTTGCTTTCTATCGACCAAGCTTATGCTTGCCCGAACCGCACTGAAGGTGCGTTGGACAATGCCTCTTGATAAAATCTGGCTGACATGTTCANNGGTTGCCAATTCTGATGGTCAAAANCCAGACAACAGTAGTGATCATTTACGATACCGTCTTTCTGTGCTGCGTAGTTCGGCGCGCGAAATTGCAGACTTCGTTTGTGCTCTTACAAGTCAGCATCTAGCTGAGTGGTGGTTGCCNATGTAAGTCTTAGATTTTTTTCATCATGCTCGACCAGGACTAACAATCCTCTGTTCAGACACAGCGCATCTACTAGCCTCCTCAGCAATGATTCTTCTCCGCTGCACCATCGAAACGACTGANCAGACCTGCAAACGCAGTCTCGAAGCTCTTCGAAAGCGCCTCCGTTCCGCCCGCGATGACTCCGACTGGGACCTCGCCGATATCTTCCTCAACCAATGCGACGAGCCCATCTCTCGTGTAATCAATAAACTCTCCACTGCCTCTTCTTCGTCCGTGGTTGCTACAGCTTCCTCACCCCATCTTCAGCAACACACTCAAGAGCAGATGGCTCCTGCTATCAATGTTGAAGATGTGGTGTTACAGCCTTTGCAACAAGATTTTGCCTTTGACCTTGCTGGCTTTGGGGCCACGACGACGGATTTAGGTTTCTCGTTTGAGGGATTGGGCTTGCCGTTTGAGAACATGTGGACCGGGTTTGATCAAGATGTCGACGCTAATGGCATGAATGGCTTCTAAGCAAGTAATTATGAAGCAAGGAATGCGTCAAGGTGAAACAACCTCCCCGTGTTCTAAAGTATGTAACTTTCATCGTACTCCGCCTGCGGCGACAAGCAAAATGTACACTATAAAAAGGCACAGATGTTATTAGATAAGAGACGTGTCCATCGAGAGCCGATAGGTTGTCGCTTCTCAATGGACAATCTCCTATTTCCTTAAACTATTGTGCATTTTTATAGCTACTCGCGTTACATCTTTTAGTACATGGGGAGGAAGGAAAGTCTCATAACAATCAGATCTCAGCAGTACGAAAAGGTTTTGTTGATGCCGAAACTCGAGCATTAGAGGGACTTGATTAGGAGGATATGAAACAAGTCTCAAACGAAATGCCGACTTGTCTCCAACGCTGCTGATTTTGATCCCGGACGTTCGTTGATCAGGTTGTTGTCGATGAGGATGCGATCTCACTTGCACAATCAGCGGCATTGCAGAACAGAGAAGCCGTGCTGTGTTACGGCAGCAAATGTCAGTGGTATATCGATTCTAGCTCAGCGGGCTCATGTCCTAAGTAGAGGACGAGTCATTGATGGAGAGGCTCGATAAGAACGACCCTACCCTCTTTCCTCCGACCTATTTCCATCCTTTGACAACACTGTTGTACAGCTTGAGATATCTGTTTCTAGAACGCCTCGACTCGCAAATAATTTGCGGAAGTCGCGATTGTGGCAATGAGACCAGGAAAGTTGGACTTTGGTCTTGGGATCGCAGCTGCCCCTTTACAGCAAGACAATGCCATATTGCACACAACAAAATTCTGGAAAAGGAAAGAGCAACAAACATACAAAAAAAGAACATCTCAAACAACAACATCCGGTCCAAGAAAAAGGCCAGACGTCAGGCTAAACATTTGGGTTCAAGCGCTGGCAGCTGCCATCTTGAAGCTTGCTTTCGACCGTTCCACGCCCAAATTCTTCTATTTCGAAGGCTATCAAACAACCATCAATATCAATAGCAAGCAAAACACGAGGAGGATTTGTTGAAGCGCTTCGTAAATTACTTGTAGGATGAGTATATGCACACAGCTTCGTATGTTTGATTCTATTTTTGGTGCTGCAGTGATTCTTTTCTGGCTACGGAGAATTGGGTGGAGTGCCGGGTGTGCATGTAACGAGCATATGTATAGTAAGCTGGCTTGCATTGTGGATTATGCATACTATGTCATGAGAAGGTTTACACCGAGTTGAACAAATATAGACTATTGCTCTCATTGAAAATATTCATCATATCTTTCATGTAATTAGAGATGAAATGAATATACGTCGAAACGAGAAAAGTGATATGTCCGCAAAATTCCACCCAAATATATTTAGTCAAGAGCTCCCCCATATACACAGTAGCCCTTCATGATAATTATATCCCAATATCCTAGACCAATGATTTTTTCCCCAAGAGTGGAAAAAAGACAACAAATTCATACAAGTGACGACAGCCAAAAGACACATTCCTTCCTTCTACCAGCCATTTCCAAAGTGTCCACCTCTGCTCTTGCAGGCGGTCATGACACCTGTGGGTGTTACGGTTGTTGTCTTGACGAATGTGGCCGTCATGGTCCTGGTTTGCCATGAGTAGGCTGTGTTGACTGTAAAGGCAGTCTTTGTGACAGGAGGGAGAGTGAGGTATGCCGATGCGTAGCCGGTCTTGATGGTAGCTGGTGGAAGTGTGCTGCAAACACATGTCAGTACTTTCTGAACGCTGGAGATAGGACTATGAACAAGAGAACTTACGTGGTGATTGTCGAACTGCTCAAGACAATGTTCATCACTGTTGTCGGGGCGGCAGTGAAGGTGTTCTATACTCTTGTCAGCTTTGCGGTCTTGCTTGCTAGGCAAACCCAAAGGGCAGAAACTCACAGTCCAGTTTGCAGTCACGCTGCCAGTAACGGTAATCGTAGCCGCATCAGCAGTTCTCTTTGCCAAGTTTCTTGCATCAATCTCGGCAGCTCTTCTAGCTCTAATATCTGCCAGTCGCTTCTTGATGCTGGCATAGTCCTCTGGTACATCTCTGGCAATGTGCACACCTGAGGGTACACGGATCAGGCGTGGCCAACGGGTGCATGGCGGATCGGGCTGTTGAGGGCGGGGAGGGTGTGCAGCTGGCGGTCTTGGTCCACACAACTGCAGTGCGTGNNTCCAGGTCTTTAGGGTGCGGGTCAAGTTGACTGTCTTTGTGACTACTACAGGGTCGGGAGTGATTGTCACCCAGCGTGTGGCCTGGATTTGTTAGTTTATACTCACTGCAGGCTGGGTAATAGTNNCAGAGAGTTGTTGACCGTTGTAGTGTTCATGACCCAAGAAGTGGTACGCGATGTAACCGTTGGTGTAGTCGTCATATTGAAGGTCATAGTCGGTGTAATCTGTGCTTCTAATAAGTCCCTGATCCATCAGAACGTTGCAGACGAAACTCACAGTAGAAGTTGCTTGTGTGCCAACGTTCAACGAGAAAGTCCTTTGGGCTGCCAGAGGATCGCCTTCACCATTGTTGGAGATGAGGATCAGTCCCCAAGTGCCCGAGACCATTTGGTCTTTCTCAATGTTACAGGTGGATGTCTCTGGGGTCAAGTCGGGTTGTAGAGGAATGTCTGAGCAGATGTATTCGTCTCCTGTGTCCCAGTTGACAAGTTCGACATTTGCAGTGTCGCTGTCGCATCCTGTGTCCATATTTAGCGCATGAAATACCATGTTGAGAGAATTTCACTCACCTTGAAACTCTGTGACAGACGTAAAGGACTGGTTTGAGGCTGCGTTAATGAAGTACTGNNGGATCCATGTTAGCAGATTTTCGTTATGTGGTCTGTGGCAACAACATACAACTCCATTGTTGACAAAGTCGATACCGTAGGAATTACACGTCTGTGCATTTGCTCCTATCAGGAACGAGGCCGACCATGCCAGCGGCAATAGCAAGGAAGAGCGAGTGTGCATTGTGGAAGAAGAAACGAGAGCCTGCTGAAACGAGAGAAGGCAGACTGCTACAAGAGATACAGCAAGGTATGCTCAAGCACGCAAAGCTATGCAAGACAACAAAAGGCAACTGGAGCTTAGTGTTGACATGTACAAACCAGGGCGAGATCACCTACCTTTATATACACTGACGTCTGCAGTTCCTAATATAAAAATATACAGCGATCGCCTATTCTCCGCTTAGACTTGGTGTGAGGCTATGCGTATGACTACCGACCTTGTTCCTCATCCGGGTATAGAAGGATGGATAGTGTGGGTAGGATTCATGGTTTCTCTGGCCTGGCTCTGCCGCAACAATTCAGCCCGAATGTCACGAGGGCTTGCATCCTACAGGTGTGGTCCAGAGGATTCGAGTTGACTAAACGCATGCAACTGGAGCGAGCGCAACTCGGCGTAGTGGAGCATGCAACGTGTTGACGGTTTCAAAACACGCGCTGAGAGGCGGCAGGGCAGCAGCAGTTGCAAGGATCAGTGCATACAGCTAGGGTTGGCCGACCAAGCTTTGCTGCCGGTCATCCTTGATATTCTCCTAGTAGGTGATCATCATCTGCACATGGCATCATGGTGTCTGCTGAAGTTTGTTAGCCTTATCGAAAGATGACCTCTTCGGACATCAAGTCAAGGGCTGCTGCTATGGCTGATGAGCCATTGTCTCGGCGTTCGAGGCTCGTTTTCGCAAGGCATTCTCTTACTTGATTTCCCTTCAACAATGCAATGCATCTCGTGTTGGAGTAGAGGAAGCTTCTTGGTAGTCAGCAAACGACTTGGCCTAGGGCTGCGTGGCTTGCGGCCTTGCATGGGGAAACTCTTCGAAATGTCCGAACAATGATGACGCTCACGCACACATCTACTCCTTCGATGCAAGTAGGATATGGCGATCGTATCTGCGATGAGATACATATCATATGTATTCCAGGTTGATTCGCTCTCGGCAAATACTCATGATAGGTATTCAACCTTGAGCTGCATGGTTGCATGAATCTGTGTTGACTATCTGCAGATTCAGCCTGGTTGAACCCCGCTGTCAACACTGAAGCTTGGTTTCCGCCCGCCGACTGACTGGCTCGGGGTCTACCTTAATTCTATTATTTATAACCCTGTCGCACAAGATACTGCCACGATTTAATCCATGGATCAGTCCTCAGGCTCACGCGAGAAAACAATATATATGCAAGCCTGAAAGTGGTAGATCAGGAATACATCTACGAGGCGCCGTAATCTCACATCTTCGTGATTTGAGGCGGACCTTGGTCAAGGATGTTTACCTTGCTTACTTATCCCGATTCTTGCAAGTCAGGTCCACAGCGGCAAGACGAGCCGTCATAGTTTGCAATTGAGGCACGGCACGCAGACATAAGCATCCTCCCACAACGCTATCTGGTCGCATGGAGGATGCAAATTCCAATAAACCTTCTTTCGACACATGTAACTGTGTATCTTGTTCTCATGTCACCCTTGTAGTCTCTCTGTTCGAGTCCAAATATAAAGGTACAATCGCTCATGAACCCTCCGGCAGGCCAATCGATCAGCTTCGGAGATTTCTGCTTACTGGCGCTATGCGAGTTGGCAGGATCGACGGATCACCGACAGAGGTTTGCTGCAAGTCGAAGAGCACATGCTTGTTCGTGCATGCAGCGCATGAATCTTCTATCTCGGCTCGAGCATGGGTAACCCTACGCCCTCACTGTTGATTGTGATCACAGATTCAGGAAGTGGCTTGCGCTGTCTCGCTCCGTCAGAAAATGAGGAAGAGATCATCTCTAGCTGTACCATAACTAGGCCTGTAACTCATGTACCTGGGGCCGAATGAAACGTCTCCGTTCCTGGATAGATACGTTCATCTATTTTTGTTCAGTTCATCCTGGCTGATTGAGACCATCCAGGAGATATGCCTCAAGCTGAACATCTAGACCTTGACACCTGAATTCCTTCAGGGCATCGACGAGTCAGAGGAGCACTCGCTGGCCTTCTTTGTCGGGGTTGGGGGCTTGACCAAATTGATGGTATGTTTCTCGCTGGCATTGAATTCAATGTCTTTGTAAACGCAGCTGTACTGCCACAGGCTGTCATCAGGCATTTTGGGATCGGACGTTCTGTTCCACTTGGCTTTGAATGGTGAGCAGCCGATACGTGCAAGTCCGATGCTGGGAAAAGCAAGTATCTTTTCTTCCTTGCTCACAACTCCGTTTTGATCCCTGACATCAGATATTTTCACAATCACAGGGATTGTGTGACGAGTTTGTCCTGATGGTATAAGAGCGAACCTGTGCTCTTCATGCCAACCACCCTTCCGTGCCGATTCTCCCCTTCTTAGGAATCTGACCACAACAGATGTTCCAACAGGAACGTTGGCTGGTATGTATCTTAGCTTTATCCACCATCGATCATAAAACAACTTTGTTTCCGTCCAAACAGGTTCCTCGGAGGTGCTATGGTTGTCTTCGGTGACGTTTAGAAGAGTCTGGGTCAGGAACTCTGGTGCTCGTGTTGGTCGTGGGAAGATGAGATACTTCTTCTGCTTTTCCACTCCATTCTCGTGGGATGAGGGATCTTTGACCAGAGTAACGTTGCCGATATGGACAGTGTTTGAAACTGGTTGCCAATTTCCAAAGGTAGATGGGAATACAAATCCCACGGCCCGGGAAAGGTCTTTCAACGCAAGTTTACTCCGATCCTCCACTAGAGAGAAGAACTTGCGCATCAGTATCGCCGCTATCAGTTGATGATCCTTCTCGTGACTCAACTGCATCTCGATATCCGGATGAATGTGAAATGATACAGAGCTATGGTTGAGATCCAATTCGATTCGACAATTGTCGAAGTAAGCTGCAGCTTTTGTTTCGCAAGATGCATAGTTGTTCCACTTATCTACAGCCAGCTGCCTCAAACGATCAGGAGTCAATGCAGCTGGCATAACCTTGGCCTGGAGCATTTGCCTAATTGCATTGCGCGGTGTCAAAGTCCTGTCCGCGTTTGTCGCATCTTCGTGCCATTTCACGAAATTGATCTTGCAAGTGTCAACGAGTTCCGACTTTGTAAAACCCAGCAGTGGTCGGTGAAGCACGACGCCGCCGGACTCAACAAAGATAGACGTTAAGGTTCTGGTACCATCCAGGTATCGTAAGGTACCGGATCTGGACACCTTGTAGATTCCGTGGCATTCTGCAATAGGCATCTTGGGTTGGATACCTGTCAGACCGGTTCCTAAATATCCGGCATGGATCCTTGATAGTACAGTCTCTGCTTGATCATCTGCATGGTGAGCTAAAAGAAGAGTGTCGATGTCTGCAGCGGCACAGGCACGGCCGAGAGCCTGGAAGCGCATCTTGCGAGCTGCTGATTCCAGATTTGGGATTTGACTTGGATCAGACACTCCTTCCCAGTCCACAGTCAAGACTTTGTGCTTTATACCGAGGTGGCCAAGGTATGCCGCTACAGATTGAGCTTCTTTAGTGCTTTCAGGTCGAAGACGATGATCCACTATGAAGGCAGTTATGGNGGGCGTTTTGAATCTGCGTACTCGCTTGCATAGAATAGCGAGAGCCATCGAGTCCACTCCGCCACTGATGGCAAGACCTACGCTNNAGACCGTCAGCGGTTTCTAGAGATCAAGACAGTAATTTTACAGTAACGAGCATACCCAAACCTTTTTGCCCCGACATATTGGCCGCAAGATTTCATCGAACCTCCTCTGAACAACGGGCTCATATGTATACCTCACGAGCGACCTCTTAAACATCTCATGGCAATGTCCGGCTGTGGGCGAAAGCAAATGGACGGCGTGATGAGAAGTTGGCTATGTCAAGCGGATGGGCGGTGCATCTCCAGCCGAAGCTCGGGCAGGAGCGATCACGGAAGCTGCTCACAAATTCCATGGCGTCAACTTTTCGGCTTCTGACAGCAACCGCCATGGCTTGACATTATCATAGCACGAGCAATTGATCTCAATTCGCTCTACATTTCACAATGGCAGGAGTCGTTCAAGAAAAGACTCCGCTGGTAGAGTCGCCCTACTTGCGCTCGCTCTTGGTAAGTGCTTCCGTTATATCTTCACGTCATTGAATGCCCCTCCACGCCGAGCTCTACACCACATGCGACTACATCTAGTTACGACAATGCTATGAATTCTCTAGTCCCTCCCTTCGCCTTTCATGACATTATTGGCAAGCATTGAAACCATAGCTAACTAAACTGCCCACACAGGCAGGCGCAGTAGCAGGTACCACAGTTGACACATCCCTCTACCCCCTCGACACGTTAAAGACCCGCCTGCAATCATCCTCAGGCTTCCTCGCCGCCGGTGGCTTCCGCGGTGTCTACGCAGGTGTCGGATCCGCCATCGTCGGTTCTGCCCCAGGCGCCGCCCTCTTCTTCGTCACCTACGACGGCATAAAGCGCAACTTCTCCTCGCCAACCCACACATCCACACAACAGGCTGGCGTACACATGGCAGCCGCAAGTCTAGGAGAGGTAGCCGCTTGCGCTGTGCGTGTACCCACCGAGGTCGTCAAGCAAAGAGCACAAGCCAAACAATTTCCCAGCTCGTTGTCGGCCTTCACGAGTATTCTTGACTTGAGGAAGAGCGCGGGATATGGTGTCATGGCGAGAGAGTTGTACCGTGGGTGGGGTATCACAGTCATGCGTGAAGTGCCCTTCACAGTCATCCAGTTCCCCATGTGGGAGGGTATGAAGAGATGGGCTGCCAGAAGAGATGGCAGGGAGACCGCTACTGGCTTCCAGTCCGCTGTCTTCGGAAGCATATCTGGCGGTATTGCTGCCGCTTTGACGACACCATTGGATGTGCTAAAGACGAGGATGATGCTGGCAAAGGAGAAGGTCTCAGCTTCATATCTGTTGGGCAAGATTTACAGAGAAGAAGGCATGAAGGCTTTCTTCAAGGGCGTAGAGCCCCGAGTCACCTGGATCAGCATTGGCGGTGCTGTCTTCCTAGGAAGTTACCAGTGGGCGAGCAATGCATTGGGCGGTGTCAACTAATATACCTTGTACAATACACGTAAGCCTTGTAAGAAATAGACCATGGTCAAATATCTTCTCAACTGTTCACAGCATCAGCTTGTGGCCCTGCTTCCGCACATCAAGCCAACCTCTCAAGGACTTCCACCCAACTAGAAGACCCGGGTTATATTCACTAACCACTCGCTCCGTTCGAAGTATGTGCTTGCTCCTCCCAAAGCTCGCAAAAATGATCAAGTTTCCAAGATATCAACCAGATCCGCTTCCCAATACTAGGTTGGTTGAGAATCTGCTGTATTGCATGAGTTGATCTGAGACTTTTGCCCGCCATCTAAAGTAGCACTACCGATCGACAGGGTTGTATCAACTGATGTCTCACATTTCCAGATTTCGTACTTGAGCACTTATTCAATGCGTAAGTACGAATACGAATGCGAGTACGAATACAATCCTCAACGGCTATAACGAAGAAGTGCTTATCTTCTGTTCGAAGAGTCTTGAAGAAGACATGTGTAGCTAACTTATAATCTTTAATAGAGTGACAATTGTCTTATGCGTCAAAGATACGGTGGATCGTTAAGATGCCACGAACAGGAAAATGCTTGACTATGTGTCAATGAGAAGTGCCATAGCCCAAGATATGGCAACTCGTTACCACAATCGTTTCATGTAAGCAGTACACAGACACAGGACAACAACAAGGGTTTTGGAAACAGTATCTGTAATTTTTTGGTTTCCAAAAAGGGGGAATTATGCCATTTCGCTTCCTGCACCTACACCAGATGTAAAGCCTTTCCAGTGTAATATGATATAAAACGCAAGCACCCAGCACCCGAAACTAGAAAAGGTTGAAAAGAGGATTCGAACATGATTGTAAAGGTAGAATGGGAGAGGAGGAAAAAGAGAAAGAAAAAAGTGTGAACCCCGAAGAAGATGGTGAGCTGTAGTGAATCATTTTTCATATAACTTCGTGTTGCTTTTTCTTTCTTTATGCACCGAACTCCTTGATGTCGGGAGTGTACTTGCCGGGGACGAGGGCAAGGGGGACGATACCGGAGACGTGCATCTCGGGACCGAAGACGTGCATGTCGAGCTTGAGCTCTTGGCCGACGGCCTTGATGTTCTTGAGACCCTCCTGGTAGTTGGGGCCAGCGCGGCGGACCCAGATCTTGACGTTGTGCTCGATGAGGAGAGGAGCAACCTCACGGAGGGCACGAATGACACCCTTGAAGGTAGAGGCAACGTTGGTGAAGTTGGCAATACCACCACCGATGAAGAGAACCTTGCCCTCGGAGTGCATGGGAGCACGGAGCATGAGGTCAAGGACGGTTCTGGCGTAGTGGAAGGTCTGGGTCTCGGTGGGAGCACCAGAGTACTCGCCGTAGTTGGCAAGCTCGCCAGCGTAACCAGCAGAGGCGATGGCATCAGCGTAGACGACCGAAGCACCACCACCAGCAACAAGAGTCCAGACACGACCGTTGCCGTTGAGGATGGTCAGCTTGAGGGAAGCACCAGTCTTAGCGTCCATCTCAGCGATGTAAGCCTCCTCCTTGGACATCTCACGACCGAAGGGAGCGGGGAACTCCATAGGAGGGCCGACATCGATGGAGACCTTGGAGTCCTTCTTGTCAGCGACGTTCAAGCCGAGGGCAGTAGCAGAGCGAGCGATGGCCCACTTGGCACCACACTCGAACTCAGCAGTCTGGTCGATCTTGGCAGCCAAGTCGAGGAAGTGGACATCAGCAGAGGTGGCATCAGCGTTGGGGATGACAACGAGAGGGTTGATCTCGAGGTAGCTGGTTCTTGTGTCAGTAGATTTATCGAAAGCTTTGCAGATGAACAACGTACGTGAACTGGCAGTCAACGTAGACGGCGTAGAGGCGGGAGATGAAGTCAACGAGGACGTTGTGGACACCCTGAGGGACCTTCTTGAGGAGAGTGGCAGCAATCTCCTCGTTTGAGGGGTACTCCTTGAGGTCGACGGGGATCAAAAGCTTCTCAGCCTTAGCATCGACATCACCGACATCGACACCACCCTCGTGAGTGAAGAGAATCCAGTCACCCTATTGATGATATGTTAGTGGTTGCCGATGAGATGATGAATATGATAGACATGGCGGTATGGTGACAACATGGGAGTGACAAAGGAGACCGTCGACAGCGGATAGATCCGCAAGTCAATCGACAGTATGGGAGTCTAATGCAGGTACAGATGTTGTGCATCGGTGTAAGGGATAGAGGATATCTGTGCACGCTTGGTGGGACTGGTGGGATTTCTCCCTTCACCCGAGAAGAATAGCCGGGGAATTGCTTCAAAATGCCAGCCCAACGTGACTTTCACATGCAAAACAATCATATGAAAACTTCACCCTGGTCCTTGCCTTTTCCCTTGCTTCTTTTCTTCCAATAAAAAGATGTTCAAGAAAAAACTCGACAAGCCCGGAAAGGTTGGTCTCCAATGACTGGTTTCGACATCCAAGGAAGAAAAAGAAAAAAATGAAAGAAAAATGCCACATACCTCACGGACGGAGTTGATGTTGATGTAGTACTCGGTGTCTTGGGGGTGAGGCACGAAGGGCTCAACCAAGAACTGTCTCAGGACACCATCAACAGTCTCGACTCTCTGCTCCTTGCCGGCACGCTCCTCGACCCATGCTCTGGCCTCAGCCCAGGTCTTGTTCAAGGCCAAAGGCCGCTCTTGCCTCGTCGCTTGATGAGCTGATCGGGCTTTGCAACGAACTTGGCGCCAGACTCGTGCAACCAGGGGTACTTGACCTCGGCCTCGTCAAGAACATCCTTGGGGGAAACACCCTCGGCGAAGTAGAGGGAGCAGAGCTTGGCGTGAGGGTTGTGGTTGGCAGCTGCGGGAAGAGGAGTGGGCTTGATGACGGGAGCTCTGGTAAGGTGGTAGTTGAGGATGGCCTTGCCATCGGCTTCGAGGATCGACTTTGCGGACATGACTGCTAAAAAGGAACTGGCGAGAAAAAGTGAGCAACGACAAACAAGACCAGTCAAGGAGTCGAAGCGAGAGGGAGAGGGAGAGTGAGGACGAGATTAGGGAAAGAGCAAGGACAAGAAGAGAGTGCGAAGAGCAGGAAGCAAGAGGAGGAAAGTGGTGAAGAGCTAGGAGCAACAGCAATGCAATGGGGAATGGCTTGCGGCAACAAGTCGTGTGCTTTCGGCTCAACAAGAGTTGAGGGATACAGGCACGGCGCACGGAAGTGATATGCGAGACATGGACCATGAGACTTGCAAAAGTCCGACGGGCAATGTATCGACGAATCACCTTTGTTGCCCGAGAGCCAATTTTGGATACACAGACAGGTTGGAGGCTGGTGCTGGGGAGCTTGTTTGACGGGTGCTTACCTGTGGTTTGTGAAAGCGAAAAGTCCGAAGGGGTGGGTATCACACAATCAAGGAGACGCCAATTGGGGAGAATGAACAATGAAGGTGTCGGAGACTTTGGACTGGATGGATTCGGGAGAGCACTCTTTGAGGAGGGGAGCTGTGGATGAGATCGAGGAGAATATTGTCGGGTCTTGGCTCCAGGTGGCCGCAGAAGGGTGCAGACGGTGAGCTCTCGCTAGCGTGGGCGGGGCGTGTTAGCGCAGCCGTTGGGTCGACCAAGAACGCCGATCCCGCAACGCAAAAGCGCTGGGACGAGTGGTGAGTGGGCTGATTATGCTGCTAATGCTAATTTTATACAGGGCTTTTGTGGAGAGAGCTCCAAAGCACGCGCCGCCGCACCGAAACAAAGAGGACACGTCAAACACACACTTGGAAGGAGGCACGGAAACACACAGTCAGCGGTGGTGCAAGCAGCAGCAGCAGCAGCCGTGACTCGGGCCGGTCGTCTGGTCAAGATACCCACATTCATGTCGAAACCCGCTGATGCCGCTCACTCAGCGCTTTGTCACGGCTGTTGGACGTCTCTCAGAGTTTCGACACATTGTCACCAACAATTCCCGCAAGCCTTGCCCAATGCAAGCAAGAGCAACAGATGAAGGGGGAAATTGATGATGGTACGATTTTTGGCTTGCTCACGGCCGGAGTCGGGTGGTTTGAGGAGAGCCGTGCACACTTGGTCGCGGCTGTCACAGAAGGGCGCATCGGCTTCGTCGGGGAATTTCCAACCCACACAAACCCAGGAAACGCAACGGGCGCGCCAAAAGCATCAGTGACTCGCACCGGCGACCGGATCGCACTAACCTCAACCGGACCCCTGCACCCCTCGGACTTTTGGCCCTGCGGTTGAAGCCTCAGCAAAGCGCCTCTGCGTGCGACGAGTCGAACAATATTGCTTAGGTTGTCGACCAAGTCTTACCTCCTCCTGCCTCGTCCCGACCTGCTTGCTCATCTCCTTTGGTCATTCATCTTCTGCTCGTCCGACCTTTCCTCTCTTCTCCCTCTTTCTCTCTTCCTGTTGTCGCTTTTGATATCACTGTAAGTAAGCTGTGAATTATTGTTGCTCTCGCCGAGTCAGCTTCGGCAAGCTTTGCACACCCCAACCTCCCAGCGCTCTTTCAATTGCCTTGCCCCTGCACATCTACAGCTCCAATCTCGCACAGCATTGCTCCAGCATCGCGTTTGTAGCAATTGTCCAAGCTTGAAGCCATCTATTTGCTCACGTGTCTCGTTGTCCGTCCCTCCCTCCACCGCTTCTCCTCTCTCTTTCCACAGCTCCCACTGCGAACAAGTCTACTGACACAGCACGCCTCGCAGTTTTCACAATGGTTTCCGCAACCACATCCACCCCGGCTGCTGCCTCCACCTCAGTCAACGGATCCAGCCAGCCCAATGACAACATCACCCGCTTCGCTGCCCCCAGCAGAGCGCTGAGCCCTACTCCTTCTCACACCCTCTTCCACCCCAAGACGAGATGTTTCGTCTACGGTCTGCAGCCCAAGGCCGTCCAGGGTATGCTCGACTTTGACTTCATCTGCAAGAGAAAGGTTCCCTCGGTCGCCGGTATCATCTACACCTTCGGTGGTCAGTTTGTCAGCAAGATGTACTGGGGCACCAGCGAGACTCTTCTCCCTGTCTACCAGAGCACCGAGAAGGCCATTGGCAAGCACGACGACGTTGACACTGTTGTCAACTTTGCTTCTTCGCGTTCCGTCTACCAGAGCACCATGGAGCTCATGGAGTACCCTCAGATCAAGACCATTGCCATCATTGCTGAGGGTGTGCCCGAGAGAGTGAGTTCTTGACTCTCAAATGAGCAGTTGCAACACGCGCTAACATGAGAACAGCGCGCTCGTGAGATTCTCCACGTTGCCGCCAAGAAGGGTGTCACCATCATTGGTCCTGCCACTGTCGGTGGTATCAAGCCCGGTGCTTTCAAGATCGGTAACACTGGTGGTATGATGGACAACATTGTTGCCTCCAAGCTCTACCGCCCCGGTTCCGTTTCTTACGTCTCCAAGTCTGGTGGTATGTCCAACGAGCTCAACAACATCATTGAGCAGACCACCAACGGTGTCTGCGAGGGTGTTGCCATCGGTGGTGACAGATACCCCGGTACCACTTTCATTGACCACTTGCTCCGTTACGAGCAGGACCCCAACACCAAGATCCTTCTCCTTCTCGGTGAGGTCGGTGGTGTTGAGGAGTACTGTGTTATCGAGGCCGTCAAGTCTGGCCAGATCAAGAAGCCCATTGTCGCCTGGGCCATTGGTACCGTTGCCAGCATGCTCAAGACCGAGGTTCAGTTCGGTCACGCTGGTTCGTTCGCCAACTCCCAGCTCGAGACTGCTGCCATGAAGAACAAGTCGATGAAGGATGCCGGTTTCTACGTTCCCGACACTTTCGAGGACATGCCCAAGGTTCTCGCCGAGCTTTACCAGAAGCTCGTCGCCGACGGCACCATCCAGCCCCAGTCCGAGCCCGCCGTTCCCAAGATCCCCATCGACTACTCATGGGCCCAGGAGCTCGGTCTCATCCGTAAGCCCGCTGCCTTCATCTCCACCATTTCCGACGACCGTGGTCAGGAGCTCTTGTACGCTGGTATGCCCATCTCCGACGTCTTCAAAGAGAACATCGGTATCGGTGGTGTTATGTCTCTTCTGTGGTTCCGCCGTCGTCTTCCCGACTTCGCCAGCAAGTTCCTTGAGATGGTTCTCATGCTTACTGCTGACCACGGTCCTGCCGTTTCTGGTGCCATGAACACCATCATCACCACCCGTGCCGGCAAGGATCTTATTTCCTCCCTCGTTGCTGGTCTCTTGACCATCGGTTCTCGTTTCGGTGGTGCTCTCGACGGTGCCGCTGAGGAGTTCACCAGAGCCTACGACAAGGGTCTTTCTCCCCGTGACTTCGTCGACACCATGCGCAAGGAGAACAAGCTCATTCCCGGTATCGGTCACCGTGTCAAGTCGCGCAACAACCCCGATCTCCGTGTCTCGCTCGTCAAGGAGTACGTCAAGGCCAACTTCCCCCGCACTNNCCCCCTCCTCGACTACGCCCTGGCCGTCGAGTCCGTCACCACCTCCAAGAAGGACAACCTGATTCTCAACGTTGATGGTGCCGTTGCCGTCGCTTTCGTCGACCTTGTCCGCAACTGCGGTGCCTTCACCTCCGAGGAGGCTGAGGACTACCTCAAGATGGGTGTCCTCAATGGTCTGTTCGTCCTTGGTCGTTCGATCGGTCTCATTGCCCACTTCCTCGACCAGAAGAGACTGCGCACTGGTCTCTACCGTCACCCTTGGGTAAGCTATTTCCTCCACTTGTATCTTGAGCAAACTTCTAACAACATTTCTAGNGACGACATCACCTACCTCCTCCCCAGCCTCAGCGGCGGCGCCCCCGGCAACGAGGGCCGTGTCGAGGTCTCTGTTTAAAAAGATTCAACCAAAAATGATACCAAGAGAAAGGGAAACAACAGTTGGGACATGTGGAGCTTTTTTCTTCTTTTCTTCTTTCACAGACTGGGTTTTGGTCTTTTCTTTCTTCGTTCTCGCATGGACCGGGGAGTTTTGTGTTATGTCTCCCACCACCTCCCACCACAATATAATGATCATCAACGTTCAAGCGTCATATTTCCATACATGCCTCTTTCCTTCCTTACGGATCTTCGCGCTGTGTGCCTGTGAACCATCAGCAAGGTTTTGAGTTACTGACTAAGGACAGGATTAGTTTATATCTTCGGCTACACGATGACACCACTCTCTTTGCGAAAAACCGTGCCAATCGTATTGCTGCGATTCACAGAGCGTCCTGTATTTCTCGAGGAGGCCGCTGACTGTGTCTGCAGTGGTCAAGGACCCGCTGAAGAGCAGAGTGGAATCCATAGGTGGGTGACCCCAAAGACGATTGGTGGACCTCACTGTATTGGAACGACTTGTTCTCTGGATGACGACAGCATGTTTATCAGAAGATGGCCTTTACCATCCGAAGAGTGTAGCACTCTAGAGCCTTGCGCCCTTGACCTCCTCTTCCTCTAACCTCCTCCTGTGTCATGCTTCATCAACCTCAACTCCATCCTATATACCTCACCATCACACCAGCTAGACAACCAGGTTAGGAAATTGATCAGTCAAGCCACCCGTTCTATGCCTGAACCACAAATCAGCCTCGGGTTCAATGTACATCGCGAGATTCGAGAAACATCGCACCTGCATGTTGGAGCATTTTCTTTCAACACAAGACGGGGAGTTAGCTGACGCTCTAACTATGATCAGGATTATGAGACCTAAGCAACGTCTCTTTGACACAGCATTGGATGGTTTCACAGCCCTGTTAACACGCTGTGTTAACTTGTTATCTGGGGACAGATCCAGTAAGAGTATTCAAAGCAGATCTTGTTTCAATCAACGGCAACCAGATAAGAAAGTCCATGAAGAGTGTCACTATTCTCGAGATGGGAGATGGTGAAGTTTCAAACATCAGCCTCTCGAAAACAGAAAGTTGTCGCTTCAGGTCTAGCAAGCACGCGGAAGTTGCACCTTCCAATCTTTCGATCCTGCAAATCCATCTTTTGGAAGTCGCGCCTTCCAACCTCAGCATCTTCTAAATCCATCTTTATTTTCTCTACCTTTTCCCTTTCTATTCTCCATCCATCAGCATCATCAACGCATCTATCATCTAGACTACTGCGAAGCCTTCAGCGACGGTGCAGCCACGCGACACACCGCTTTACTCTACCATCCTTAAGGGGATCGAGAGACCTAAAAGACCTTCGTATCAGCATCCCTCTGTTTTGACGCCATTGTGCTCGATTCAAGTCTGCTCCAACGTCGTGAGTCACGGGGTGCATCGTGTAGAAGCGGGTTTCCCGACCTTGATGTGTGAACGACCGTTTGAGATGATGGGTGTGTTGTTGGTGAAGGTGGATGCGAATGGTGAGGTGAGTATTGGTCGTGAGCTACAATGGTCATCCTCGGTCTACGATGAAAGACTACCGACCACAGCAACATAATCAGGTTCAGCATTCAACCGTTGACTTGACTTCCTCATGTTCTGCGCCCATGATCCATTTAGAGATATGACAAGGATACGAACCTGACTCAGTCTGCCGAAGAGGTTCGTTTGATGATCCACCGCTACGTCTTGTACAGAAGAACCGTCAAACGCTCGTTCCCTGCTATCCTTTCTGTTTTCTCTCAGATCGGAAAGACAGCTAGCCCTGTCTTCCACCGCAGAATAGCTTCTTCTTGCAAGTGGTCTGGCCGCATCATACACAAACATGTGTAAAGAGGACTACCAAGCAGCATATCAATGGAGCTCTATAGAGTTGGTCTGTCATGCGGTCAGTCTTGAGAACTGGAATCATGCCCTCGAGACGTCTGCTTGAGATATAACACATTTCTCAAGGCTATTTTATAGATTGAATTACTATAACGAGGCTGATTACAAGCCTGAACTCTCTTGTACCTGAGAGTACACATTCGCCTTTTCATGGCACGCAAACGAGGTTCAGAAGCGCGATTTCGGCTTAGACTATGAACAGGCTCTCGAATTTCTAACAAGCCATTTGGTCTGGAGGAACAATGCCGATTTCCTGGCACTAGAAGTCATCTTTGCCAGGTTTCTGACCTTGAGGCTATCTCAATGCTCTCGTCTCGGATTGGGTGCTTTTCATTTCTGTGAAAATGCATGAATAGTTCTGGATCCACCACCACTTCCAGAGATTGTGTCTATCCAATGCCTCCTTGGAACAATACCAAACTCAAGAATCACTGTGTAACTTCACAGTTCTGCTTTTAAAGCAATAGCGTGGGAGAACTAGATTCAATTACCTCGACCTCAATAACCCCGGCACATCACCAGCTTCTGAACCTAGCCAATCATTGAGACTGGTCTGACAGACGAACCTCAAGACTCACCTTGCGCGCCCATCGTCTACCCCGTCATCACTCGCCATACTGCCGTCTACCCTCAAAGACTTGTCGACCACCTTCAAGCAGATTGGGACATGACTTTGAGTTCGAAGTTCACAAGCCTGAAGAGTTTTTTGGATGCAGCCAAGCGTCACAACCTTCACGTTGCATTGTTTGTTGATCCCAGCGACCTTGCTGCTATTCTCAAAAGTTTCTTGCAGGGTATCAGCATCATGTTAGATGTGACTACAGGAACATCCTCTTCCATCACCAAGACCGTTGCTGACACAGTGGACATAGAAAATGTCTAGATGGCCAGAAGAACTGTCATTCGGGCTCTCGGCTCAGCGCAAGGCTTATCTAATGCTTGTAAAAAGTCACGAGTGTCTGTCTAGTCGAGCGCTGTCCATTGAGAGAGTGTCACAACCGATGGTCTCGGTGGACAGCCTTCGGTTCTTGAACTTTACTGTGCACTTTCCACCCGTGGAAGCCTGTTCTCCTGTCTTCAGTTACAGCTTTCCTGTTCACTTGCACACATCACATCCAGATTACATTATCGTCAGCTTCCATCCGATATTTTCGAATACCTATCAGGATGTTCAAGCAATCTGCAAACTCCTTTCGACGCATTCTCTGCCGTCGCCAGACACGCGTTCCCAAGATTAAAGGGAAGCTTTTACTTCTTTGCTCTGAGGTAAACTTGTCTCAATCCAAGTTGAGTTCCCACTCTAGGGTATCAGCTGTTTTGTGTCTATAAAAAGTCATGAACCTGTATCAAAAGGCACCATGTCCAGTGAGATCCAAGTAGCTCAAGCTGTTTCAGCGGAACTGACGAACTATCCCGATAACATCGTGCATTTTGATAGCACTGTTTTGCAGGAGTGGCTGCAGAGAAACAACCTTACCCTGGTATTGCGGTACACACATCTCTGAACCTGGATTATGCTCCCACTTCAACGTGTGGATTGCTATATATCTATCAAAAGTCACAAACTACTTTAGAAGGAGACCATGTCCAGTGAGATCTTAGTGATTCGAGCCATCTCAGTGGAACCGACGAACTATATCAATACTATTGTGCATTTTTATAGCATTATTTACAACATCATCTGCTTCCGGGAGCTTTTGATGCCTGGAAGTATGCTTGCAATCTCGAGTTGAGCTCCCACTTCAGAGTATGAAATGATGTATATCTATAGAAAGTCATAAACTATCACGAAATAGAGCCATGTCCAGTGAGATGTGGATGGATTGACCCATCTCAATGGAAAGTACACTATTTGCAATAAGTTTGTGCACTTTGATGGCATTTTTCTGCAATATCATTTGCTATAGAGAGCTCTGTACCCTGTGAGCCCGATTTGAGCTCCCACTCCAGAGTACGAGATGATGTATATCCATAAAAAGTCACAAATTACTACGAAATGAAGCCATGTCCAGAGAGATGTAGATGGATCCACTTATCTCAATGGAAATAACACTGTTTACAATAAATCTGTGCATTTTGATAGCAGTATTCTACAATATCGTTTGCTTCTGAAAGCCCCTGATGTGTTCGAGTACCCTTTTGAGGCTATGTTGAGCTCCCACTTCGAGTGTGACCTGATTTATGTCTATGGAAAGTCATAAACTACTCTGAGATAGAGCTTCATCCAGTGAAATGTTGGTAGATTGGGACGTCTCAGTGGAAACACCATGTCTTTGGATAACTTCATGCATTTTTATAGTATTTTTCAGCATATATGCGGCTATGGAGAGCCCTTGGTATGTTCAAGTACCCTTTTGAGCCTGTGTCGAGCTCTCACATCGAGTGTGGCCTGAGTTTTGCTCATACAAAGTCATGATATACTCTGAGATAGAGCTGTTTCCACTGAGACCTGGTTAGATTCGGCCATCTCAGTGGAAACATCATGTTTCTTGATTAGTTCGTGTATTTTTATAGTATTTTTCAACATGCATACGGCTTCGGAGAGTATGAATCTCTATGATATTTCTATAAATTTACATATAGTCATTTGATATCCAGTGATTTCTAGATATATGGTATGTATTCGAACAATATAGCACTATATCTATAGATACAGCTAACAATCTAGCTAACGGATATATAAATAATGTTTCTAAGAGTATATAGACAGTATATAGACATATATTTAGCTAAATATAGTAGTAATAGATGCATTTACTAGAAAATTCAAGTCACGTGCAATGAATAGCTATATCAGAGCAGGAACAAGAGTGGTATACATGTGCTAAGCAACCGCTAAGCAGCCAGAGAAGAACCAGGGTCTCTATCTAGGCCTTTGCCTTTCCCTTGCCCTTGGCCTTACCCTTAGCCTTGGCCTTACCCTTAGTCTTCTTAGCCTTCTTAGGGGCCTTAGGGTCGCGAGGAGGAATCACATCGTAGGATTCCTCGGTAGAGGCGCGAGAGGCGGCGGGGGAGGAGGTGAGTCTATAAACAGGTTATTAGACGACGTAGCATAGTAGTACTAGGCGATATATCACATACCTTCGCGCTTGCG